ATAATAAAAACACTCTATTTTTACCAAATATTCTTAAATATGCTTCAAATAATTAACTAGCAAATATTTTTTAAATAGGTAATTATTGCTTACAAGATCCAAATTAATTGGAAAATTTGCAGTGTCTCAAATGCCCAATAGGTTCTAAAAATTGTTATTAAAATACCATATAGTTATAAAATGGGTATTGGAGTAAGAATTAGCATTCAGACTAAATTTACTAATGTATAAACCCAGAATTTTGTACCCCAGAAGACCCTTTAAATAAGTTTGGATGCTAAATAGGACATGTAGGAGCTATTTGTGAATCTTGTGATACTTAAGGAATTGTTTGGGGATCAAGATATGGAAGAAGTAATGGCGGAATTTAATGCTAAGAATGCTCTAAGTAGAATTCAACTTACTCTATCCTAATACTATTTTTGCTTTTGATAATAATTTGTGTTTATTTAATCTTCTAAATTTAAAGATAGCTGGCATTAATATAAAAAAAAATGGAATGGTTTTATTTAAGAAAGCTCAAAATAATTTTATTATAAAATCAAAACATTAGTAGTGCTTCTTCTTACATGAAAATTCTTATCAATTATTTATAGTTTATAGCATTAATAAATAACTTAGGTATGTAGACTTAATAATTTATCTCTGTTGCTGAAATTGGAGGTGGTGATCCTGTATAGCATACAGTTTATAATTTAGATTGTATATTTAGTAGCTATGATATCTAAATTCCTTTGTATGCTATGAGAGTTATATTTATAAATTTCTAAATAATTACCATATATTTTTTGATCCAGTTAGTAAAATTCCTCACAAAAATCTTTAAGATAGATGACTTTTCATTTTTGATTTCTTCTTTCATATTAATATACTTATTCTTTAGTTCTTCTGTAATTAAAGTATTGATATAGTCTTCATCTTGCAGAGATATGGGAGGTAATCTATATATTATTACTGAAATGTAGAATGAATGCTACACTTAATAACACATTAAAATATTACTATTTTTAGTAGGTCCATTACTTTTTATATGGTTCATTATAATACCTGCGTCATTTTATATTATTTTGTACAGAAATAGATAAAAATTATAAAGCTTGCTTTATCTGAAGAAGTATGGTCTTTTGTACTAAGTAAATAGTTTTTTAATAAAACAAAAGCATTTTTTTTAATAAAATTTTTTTTATTAATAGGAATATAAAGTAAAGTCTTATTATTGGGATTTAACTAGAAATCAAGCAAGAGCATCTCTTGTTATATTTCTAAATTTAATTAGAGCTTCACCATTACTAAAAGCTTAGTTTTTATAATTTTTTATGCTTATTTATCTAATAGTTTTGATAAAAGTAAGTCCTTATTAAAGATAGTAGTTAAATAATATTGATTAACTATCTTGCAAATTAGTTATAATAAGTATATTAATAATATAAATGATATTAGTTACAGATAATCTATTATTTTAATAACTATTATAAATTATTTTGATTGCCTTAAATGTGAGTTTCCTAGCAATCTTGCTCTTATTATTAATTTAAAGACCGATTCCTTATGATAAAAATAACTATAATATCTTATAAAAGTTCTAAGTTTATATATCCAAATTAATTCCAAACTCTATTTATTAACTTACTTATTAAAAGTAGATAAATTTATTAAGAATAAATTATCTATGGAAAATAGTTCAAAACTCTTTAAGTTAAATTATTGGTATGGAAGCAAATTTAAAGAATTAAAAGTGGTATTTACAATCAAAACTGTTTGAGTAAAGTTAATTCAAAGTTAGAAGTTCAAGAATTAGCTAACAACTAAAAAATCATTTCTATAAATAAGCACTAGAGAATTGTAATTTAGATAAAAATCTAAAATGAATAGAAGTTATTTCTAAAATAAAAAAAATTTTAACTTAAAAGATAAAAATAATAACTTTATTAAAGATAAAAAATTTTTATTTAAATTGTTTTTATTTGTATAAATTAGTTTTTAACTGATTTTATTTTTGAATTTACAAAATTATATTTGAAATAATTAAAATCATATTTATTTCTACATCTTTTTATTTGGAATGCTGAAAATAAAATCAAGTTTATTTTAATGTTTAAATTTATTTTATTTTACTTTTATAAATTTTTATAATATTGAAGGAATTAAATTTCTTTGTAGTGAAAAAGACATATTAAAAAATCAATCATAGCAAAAACAAATATTTCTTTATTTGAATTTCAAATTACTAAGGCTAATTAAAATATTTCCACTTTTTCATAAATTAATGAAAATTTTAAAAGAATTTATATATATTATTTACTAAAAATGAATAAAACTTAGTTAGTATCTTGTTTTGATTAAAAATTATAACAGATTACTTAATAAACAAGGTAGGATAACAAATAAATTTTTATTTAAAAGAATATTTTAATTTATTTATTTTTAAATGTTTTTTTCATCTCAAAAATTTTTAAAAAGTTATTTTTTTTTAACATTTTTTTTTTAAATATGTTAAAAGTAAAATAAAAATAATTTCAAAATCTATTGATTTTTCTGATTGTATTTAAATTTGATATCTTTATTTTGACAAGGTTTATTTATTAAGAATGTTGCTTACAAACTAAAAATTACTAACAAATATTGCAAAATAATACTTAAAAATTAATGAAGTTGAAGACATTGATGATTATCATACTAAATATAACTTTCCTTTTTTTTGGACAAGAGTATGATGTTTCTTAATATAATCAGGTCTCTTAAGATATTTAATTAAAGTTTTGATTGTCTTGGATGTAAATACCCATTTTATATTTATCAGAATAACTATAATTGCATTTAATTTTGTCCTAGTAGAACATATGTAAACTAAAATATGGAATGCCTTCGCTTATAAATTTTTCTCAACTACTTATCTACTGAATGATATTAATGCTAACCTGGATACTCAGTAAACCCACATGATAAAGTAATTTAATTATTTATTTATTTTTCTTAATTTCATTACATTTTTTTACTCCAGTAAGGATGCATTGAGAATTGTTAAGATGATTAACATCTTTATCATGAAGAGAGTGTATATGAATCCAGCATGTAATGTAATAGCTATTTTTTAGATCTATCTTAGCTATAAATCTGCCCTTTATTTTCTTATTTTCCTTCAACTTAAGTGGTTGGTCAAATATCATTCTTTAGCATATTCATCAGTGAAGATAAAAACTATAATTTAGACATATAATTTATGTTTTTTGTTGTTTTTTTAATTAAACTAGCCATTCAATGATTTGCTTAAATGTTTTAAGATATAATCAAAATGAAATTAATAATATTAATTAAGTTTTTTCATAAAAGAAAGAGGGGAAAAAAAATTTAGTAAAAGATCAACAAAAAAGCTATATAATCAATGTTTTCCCTTTAAAAATCAGTTAATAATAGCTAAATAAATTGAAATTGAAATATTAAATAGCATTATATAAATTTTTTCTTCTTCTAATTTTATAGGATCATATTCATATATAAAGATCAAACGCATAAAATAGAATTTAGCTATATTTATTGAATTTATTTTAATTTTATCAATATAACTTAAAAAAACATAATTTTTTAAAGAGTTTGTAAATAAAAATTATTTCAAGTCATTCTTATTATTTTTTTAAGAAAAAATATTTAAATTTAGCTAAGTTTTATATAATCTTTGATCTTTTGAATTCTAATAACTCCAAATCCTCATTAATTAAGCTCAGAAAAAATATGGCCTAAATTGAATTTTTTTCCAAAATACCAATAAAATTTTTTTCATAATAAAGTATTTATTAATTATAAAATATAGAGATGTCAAAGTTTTTATTAAATTCATATTATTTTATTAGAAATTTTGTTGAATTGTATATTTAAATTATTGTTAAAACAAATTAATTTCTAATTTTGTTAATTTTGCGCTGGCTTCTATTATATATGTATTTATTACAAAGTAAATTATAGTGGTAAGAAAGTACCTGCCAATTTGAGCATCCTCATTAAAATATTATATTTTTTAATGATCTTCTATCTATTTGCAAATACTTTACGAATTTATAAATTAACTTTATTTCTTTTATCTAGTTTTATGTTACAAATATGTAACTTTGAAAAGTCCAAAATACAAATCCGAATAAAAATGTTTTCTAAAGCTATGAAAAAATTACTATAAAATGATTATTTTAAGATATGAATTGTTTTTTTCAGTTACTTGTTAAAATATTTTTTCCAGTACTTTCCTCTACAATTTATAACTTTACGACATTTCTAGGCAAATATATATTCTTGAGAGACTCTATAAATAGATATATTATTTGAGAGTTAGTCAGTCAAATGTAATTTAATAAGCTATCAGATTTCAATTGAGATCAAGGTTTTAATTAATTAAATTTTTTTCTTAAAATTAGCACTTTATCTATAACAATTTTTTTATTTTCTACCTCTCATTTTGGCTAATTTTTTAGCTAAAGTTATTTATTATTAACCTATTTAAATAATTTTCAAATTAATTGAGGCAAACATTTGTTTAATAGGTTTAAATTATACTAATTCAAGTTTTTATTATAACTTTTATTTTGTTTTTCTATTGATTAATTTTCTACTTGAAAGGAGTTACTATGTAGAAATACAATAATTTTATCTATAACTGCAAAATGTACATAAATATTAGTAGTACTTTACAGTTTCTTTTTTATTTTATTTGTAAATATTTTTCCTCTTTCCTTAAAATCTATTTTCTAAATTCTAAAAATTTAATTTTACTTATTACTTTCTTACTTAAATTTCAAAATAGATGAAATTAAATTGAGAGTCTTTTAAATATGCCTCTTTTTTTAAAATTAATTACTAATTTCAAATCTATTTCTCTACTAATCTATAACTAATTCGAAATTGAAAATTAACTTACTTATTTATTTTATATCTATTGAGGATTTCTAAATATTATAAATTAATTAATATTAAAAAATACACATCATACAAATTAAATAAAAAAGTAATTAAAAATGAAAGCCCTCATATTATTAGCAATTATTGTATTGAATACTGTTCAATGTGTTGAAACTCCCTCTTGGCTTAGCCAATCTGCTTTTGAAACTTCATTAAACTGCGTTTCAGCTTTGAAGACTCCCGATTGTATTGATACAACTTGCATTGATGCTGCAGTTGCTTACTCCCTTTGTATCTTTTGTTAATCTTATAATGGTAGCTACAGTTCCTATTTAAATTGCGCTAAAGATTGTGCTACTATTTTTATTAATGATCCCACTACTAAGGATAATACTACAGTTGCTGCTTATGCTAACGGATATACTTCTTGTATTCAAGCTATTAATGGATAGATATTGGCCTTATCAACTTTCTTCTTAGCTGTTTTCGCTTTGCTCTTCTGATTTTTAAATTAAATATAACTCCATAAAATTAATTTATTTGTAATATTTGAATGTATTTATTAAGTTTGACTATGTATTCACATTTAATTTATTATATCCAAATTTACAATCAAGATATTATCTTACAATATTAGATTCATTCATTTAAAAATATAAAAAAAATTAAATTATCAAATTTATTTTAAATTTTTAACAATATAAATTCTTTTAAAAAATGATTTTAAAAAATATTTTTTATTTAAAAACCTAGCCTAATTAATATCTAGTGGTTGTCATTCCACTAGATTTTAATTAGGCGTTTAGCTATACTTTAATAAATTACCTGATTTCAATTGAGATCAAAGCTTTAATTAATTTAAATTTTTTTCTAAAAATTAACGTATTATCTATAACAATTTTTCTATTTCCTACGATTCATCAAAAATAAATAAAGCAAAAGTTATTTTTTGTTTACCTATTAATTTTCAAATTTATTGATACAAAGAATTTCATTTACAATTTAAAAAAAACTAGTTCAAATTTAGATTATTATTTTATTTCTATTGATTTATTTTCTTCTTGAATATAGTCACAATTTAGACATTAAAGACAAGAATTTATCTATAACTTCAAAATATAAAAAAATAACAACAATTTACAGTTTCTTTTTTTTACTTTTTAAAAATTTGTAAATATTTATCTTCCTTACTTAAAATTTGTCATTTGAATTCTAAAAAAATTTTATTTTGCTTATTTCTACTTTCTTAACTTTCAAAGTACATGGAATAAAACTGAGAGCCTTTTAAATAAACTCCCTTATTTTTAGTGATTATTAATTTCAGCTCTATTTTACTGCTGATTTATCCCTAATTCGAAGTTTAAATAAACCTATTTTAAATCTATCAAGGAATTCAAACGAAATAATAATAAATTAATACTAAAAAGAATTATATCAAATAAATAATATAAATAAGTAATTAAAATGAAAGTCATCATCTTAATAGCAATTATTGCTTTTAATGCTGTTAAATGTGATACGCCGTCTTGGGCTAGCTCATCTGTTACTTAAACTGCTAAGAATTGCGTTACAGCTTTGGTACTTCCAACCTGTCTTGCTACCACTTGCGCTGATGCTGCAAAAGCTTACTCCACATGTATTATTTGCTCATCAAACAATGGTAGCTTCAGTGCTTATTTAAGTTGTGCTAAAAGTTGTGCTAATACTTATATTAATGACCCCACTACTAAGGGTGATACCACAGTTGCTACTTATGCTAATGGATATACTTCTTGCATTCAAGCTATGAATGGATCACTATTGGCCTTATCAGGTTTCTTCATAACTATTTTAGCTTTACTCTTCTGATTTTAAAATTAATTAGAAACTATTTTAAAATTTTGAACATAAATATCAAGTTAGGTTATATAATTACATATATATATATAACGTATTATATCCAATTTTAAATCAAAATATTATTTTATAAGTTTATATTTTTTTGAAATTAATTGAATTATTTAAAAATGAAAGGAAATAAATTACTAATGATAAATTAGACAAACTGTATTATATATATATTTTTATTTTTTTTCATCTCAAAAATTTTTAAAAATTTATTTTTGATCATATAAATGAGTACATCTACTTTTTTAAAATACGTTAACAGAAAAATTAAAAATTGATAATAATAATTTAAAAAGCTGTTGATTTTTCTCATTGTATTTAATTAAAATTTATGTCTTTATTTTTTAAAGGCCTGTTTATTAAGAATGTTGCGAACAAACTACAAATTACAAACAAATACATTAAACAATATATTAAAAGTTAATGAAATTGAAGACTTTGATAATTATCCATTTAATACTAAACATAACTTTCCTTTGTTTTGGACAAAAACATGATAATTTTTAATAACCATGTCTGTTAAGATTACTATTGCAATAAAAGCTTTAAGTAACTTGGATGCAAATACCCATTTTATTTTGATCAGAATAAATATAATTGCATTAAATTTTGTTCTAGTAGAACATATGAAAATGAAAATATAAATTGTTTTTCTTGTGCTTATAAATTTAGCTCAAGCTACTCATTTCGTGAATGCAATTAATGCTAACCTGGATACTCAGTGAACTCACAGGATAAAGAAACTTATTCATTTACTTTTTTTAACATCATTAAATTTTTTTTTACTCCAATAAGGATGAATTGCAAATTGTTAAGATAGATAATATTTGCTTGATGGAGAGAGCGTATAATAATCCAGCATTTAACATAATATATACTTTTTAGATCCATATATTAACACAACCTTTTTCTTATAATCCTGCATCTTCAAATATCACTCTCTAGTACTTCCATCAGTGAAGATAAAAACTATAATTTAGGCATATAATTTACATTTTTGTTGCTTTTTTTAATTTAAATAACCCTTCAATAATTTGCTTAAATGAATTAAGAATTAATCAAAATGAAATTTAAAATGTTAATCAATTTCTTTTCATAAAAGAAATGGAAAATAAATTTTTAGTAAAAGATCAACAAAACAATTATAGAGTGAATGTTTTTTCCTTTAAAATCAGTAAATTATAACAAAATAAATTTAAATAAACAGATTAAATTGCATTTAATTTATTTCTTTTCTAAATTTACAGCATCATATATATTCATAGATAAAGAAAGATCAAATTCATAAAATACTAAATATGTTGAATTTATTTAAATTTAATCAATATAACTTACATATGATTATATGAAATACTAATAGTAGTACTTAAAAATGATTTTTGGTTTATTTTAAATTGAGGTAATAAGCTATCTAAAAAATGTTCTATCATGAGACACTCATAAATTTTTAAGCGAAATTTAAAAAAAATCAACTCCGCTTTTTAAATTTTTGTAATTTAATCTTTGTTTTTTTTGAGTGAAAATATACTAAAAATAATATAAGTAAATTAAGGTTTAATTATGCAAATTAAATGTTATTTGAAACTACGTATTTTTCTAAATTTGTTATGAGCAAAAATAGAAGGCTGGCTGGCTAATTAGTTTTTCTATCAATTATTTATAAATTAACCAGCGAAAATGAAATTTAAAAAATGTAAGAAAATAAATATCTTTTTGAAAAATTTTGACCATAGAAATAAACATTTTAGGTAATAATAAAATAATTTATTTATTTTAAATTTTGATAACTTTTTTATTTTATGATTTTTTACTAATATAAATGCAAACCAAAATACTCTCCAAGTCTATACATGAAAGGCACTATTTTTCAGGCATATTTCTTAATTTGCTTTAAATTATTGTGTTTAAAATAAAGTAAATAAATTAATTTTAAAGTATTTTTTACTTTGTTTACATAAAATATATAATTTTTTAAAGCATAATTTTTGTAAATTTTTTTTATTTCATATTTAAATTTAGCTAATTTTAATATCATCTTTGATATCTATTAAATCCTAATAATTCTAAATCCTCATTAATTAAGCTCATAAAAATCACTTTTTTTAAAAAAATACCACCATACAAATTTTTAAATTTCATAAAAATATTTACAGCAAGAAATAGAATTTTGAGCGATCAAAGTATTTATTAAATTAGCATAGTTTTAAAACAAATTTTATTGAACTATACATTTAAATTATTAGTTATATTTCTAATTTTATACTTATTTCTATAACAAAGGTATTTATTACGAAGTAAATTATAATGGTAAAACAGGTCCTGCTAATTTGAGCATTCTCAATAGATTATTATATATTTTTTTTGATGATATTCTTTCTTTCTACTTGCTAATTAAATATTTTACGAATTTATAAATTTATGCTACTTCTTTTTTCTAGTTTTAAGATATAAATTTTATGAGCCTTGAATTGTCACCCATATAAATGCAAATAAAAATGTTTTCTTAACCTATGAAAAAAGTGCTTTTAAATGATCATTTTAAGATATGAATTGTTTTATTTCTGTTACTTGTTTAACTATTTTTTTACTTTAAAAAAAATGAAAAATGAAAAACAAAAATTTATATCCTCTCAGTTTTTTCATTTACAAGTTGTAATTTTAAATTACTGTTAGGCAATAATATATTCTTGACTCTATAAATAGATATATTATTTGGGGCTTGAAAAGTATAATTTAATAAGTTACCTGATTTCAATTGAAATCAAGGTTTTAATTAATTAAAATTTTTTTCCTAAAAATTAACACTTTATCTATAACAATTTTTCTATTTTCTACCAGCCTTAGCCTTTGGTAGATTTTTCAGCAAAATTTATTTATGATTAACCTATTTAAATAATTTTCAAATTAATTGAGACAAAACAATTTCTTTAAAAGGTTTAAAATATACTAATTCAAATTTTGGTTAGAATTTTTTATATTGTCATGTTAAATTTTTTACTTGAAAGCAGTTATTATGTAAATATGAAAGACTTTAATTTTATCTATAGCTGTAAAATGTATAAAAATAAACAATTATTTACAGTTTCTTTTTTACTTTAATGTAAATACTTTTCCTCATTCCTTACAATTTCTATTCTAAATTCTAAAAATTTAATTTTGCTTATTTCTTACTTACTTACTGACTTAACTTTCAAATTAGCTGAAATTAAATTGAGAGCCTTTTAAATATACATTTTTTAAAGTAAATATTAATTTCAAATCTATTTCGCTGCTAATCTATCACTAATTCGAAATTTAAAACTAATTTATTTATTTTAAATCTATTGAAGATTTCTAAAAATTATAAATGAATTAATATTAAAAAAACATATCATATAAATTAAATAAAAAGTAATTAAAAATGAAAACCCTCGTCTTATTAGCAATTATTGTATTGAATGCTGTTCAATGTGTTGAAACTCCCTCTTGGATTAGCTAATCTGATCTTTAAACTACTCTAGCTTGCGTTTCAGCTTTGAAGATTCCTGATTGTATTGCTACCACTTGCACTGACGCTGCAGTTGCTTACTCCACTTGTATCTTTTGCTCATCTAATATTGATAGCTTCAATTCCTATTTAAGTTGCACTAAAGCTTGTGCTACTACTTATATTAATGATCCCACTACTAAGGATGATATTACAGTTGGTATTTATGCTAACGGATATACTTCTTGCATTCAAGCTATTAATCCTATTAATACTATTAATGGATCATCGATATTGGTCTTATCAGCTTTCCTCTTAGCTGTTTTAGCTTTGCTCTTCTGATTTTTAAATTAAATTAATTAATTTGTAAATATTTGAATGTATTTGTTAAGTTTGACATTGAATTTACATTTAATTTATTATATCAAAATTTCAAGTAAATAATATCTTAAAAATTTAGATTTATATTAAAAAATAAAATGATTAAGCTTATTTAAAATTTTAAACAATTTTCTATTAAAAATTGAATAAAAAAATAAATAATATTTATATTATAAGCACTAATAAAATTTTTTAGTAATGTATTCTACAGAGAACTTCAGAAAATAATAGAAAGAATCTTAAAAAATAATACATTACACATACAATTTATAAAATCATAAATAAGAGCCCCTTTTTTATTTTAATTTACACTTTCCCATTGTTTTTAAACATTAAAATAACATTTTTTAATAAATTGAGTAAAGGTCTCTTCAAATACCATGGTACTGACTTACTTACATAATTCTTCTTTTTTGTTAATTCAATCATATTAGCACTTTACTCTTCATTTGATTTATATAAAGCAATTTTCAATAGGGTTTAAATCAGCTTCTTTAGGGGGACATTCAAGAATATTTATGTTGTTTTTTTGCAGCACTTCTACTGCTTCTGCAGCAGTATGCCCTCTGGTCCTGTCTTGCTGAAATATTCCTCCATATGTACCATATGTAGAACCTATTTTTAAATCCTTGCTATTCTTGCTATTGACAATATACCTCTTTAAGATGTTATTTCTGAAGTAGGCTCAATTGATCCAAGTATATGAAGTAAGCTTTATCCTTTCTATCTCATATTTCTCAGATAATACAATCCATATGTTAATGCTCAATCGAAAGATATTCATTTCTTTTCTAAATCTTTCTTCCACCCAATTTTCTTGGTCTCTTCTCAGCACAAAAATACTAGAGTCATCAAGATAGATATTACTCTCATCTGAGTAGAATATCTTAATTTAGCTTCTTTTTACTTCATAAACAGTATACTTTTGATAATCTATAAATATCTTTCTATACGATTTTATTATTTTGTATAAATTGTTGAATGCATTACCTTGACCGTTTAACCTTTATTTAATACTACAGTTTATGTAATTACTATCTTTGATAATTTTATTATTTTTTTTAAGGAAGATTAAATTGACTTTCCTTTATCTTTTCTCCCTTCCTATTCCTATTCTTTACTTTAGCATTAATACTATTTACTGAAGAGTTAGAATACTGCTTTATTTTATTGTAAATCCTCACACAATTAGTTATTCCGCTTTAAAAGAGAACTCATATCATTAATTCCTTAGGTAAACAAGGGATAAAATATTAGCTTTACAGATTCACTAAAAAATTTAAATACTAATTGTCTGTTGTAATTGTTTTTAATTTTTGAAATTTTAGTTTTTTATCACTTTGAAATAATTTTTGAAATGAGCAAGTATTACTGAATGATTTTTAAAAATATTAATTAATAATTTAAATTTGCATTTATCTTTTAAAATCAATAGTTTTTAGCAAGCGTTTTTAATATTTCTATTTTGAATAAAATAATTTCTAAATATCTAACTAACCTTTAATAATTCATTTCAAATAGTTTGTTGTAAATATTTTACATATTAAAATATGAATAAAAAGAAAAATAATAATAAAAATTAAGTTATGTTTTTTTGACTCAATTTTGGTAGATTAATTTTTCAAAATATTATTTTATTATTGACTGATTATATTCTTTTGTATTTGATAATACAATTTCACATAATATTTATTATATAAACATGTTATTACAACATTTAAAAAATAAATTTATATCTTTTGGTTTTTCTTTAATGAAAAATAATTTAAGGGCATTAATTTTTCTTTGAAATTCCATATTATTTTCAATTTATGAGAAAAGATAAATGTTAATTCGATTTTCAATCAATTTATTTATTAAGTAGCCAACGAAAATGTAATTTAAAAAATGCAAAAAAAAATTTAAAAATCCAAAATGCTCTCAAAGTCTGTCTATACATTAAAGGTAATATTTTGGAAAATAAATAAATCATTTGTAAAGTATTTTTTTGCTATTTTTACATAAGATATAGAATTTTTTTTAGCATAATTTTTGTGAATTAATATTATTCCATTTTCATATATTTTTTGAAGAAATAAACTGTTATTTTAACTAATTTTTATATTACCTTTGATATCCTTTGAATTCTAATTAACTCTAAATCCTCATTTTTTAGGTCAAAAAAAAATCATATTTTGAAAAAAATAATTAAAATTTTTAAAAATAGAATGTTTAGCGATGAAGTTTTTTAATTTTAAATGGGGAAGAGCACCTATTTAAATATATATATTATTCTTTAACATTTAGAACAGAGCTCTTGATCTTCTAAATCAGAATCAATAATAAATAAAATAGTGATCTTATTATTATAATTTCAAAAGAGGTAGACTTTTCACATTATATTTAAAATAGATGAGTTTATTTTGGAAAAGCTTTTTTTCAAGAATATTGATATTGATTACAAACTAAAATTTACAAAAAAGAATGCAAAAAAATATTTAAAAGTTGATGAAGTAGAAGACTTTGATAATTATCCATTTTATGCTGAATATAACTTTGCTTTCTTTTGGTCAAAAAGATGGTGATAGTTAATGTAATTAAGTATGCTAAGATTGCTCTAGCGATAAAAACTTTGAGTGCCTTGGATGTAGATACCCATTTTATTTTGATCAGAATAGCTATAATTGTGTCTAATCTTGTCCTAGTGGAACATACGAAAACTTTAACATGGAATGCATTTCTTGCGATTCTAAATTTTGCTCAAGCTGCTCATCTACTGAATGCTATTAATGCTTACCTGGATACTCTTTGGACCCATAGAATAAAGTAACTTAATCACCATTTTTTTTAAAAACCATTGCATTTTTTTTTATTCCAGTAAGGATGCATTGCGAATTGTTAAGATAGTTAATCTTTACTTGATGGAGAATGCGTATATGAATGCAGTATTTAATCTAATAGCTATTCCTTAGATCCATCTTCTAACACATGCATTTAACTATAAATCTGCCCATCCTTATCTTATATACCTGAATCTTAAGCAGTTGATAAAATATAGTTCTATAGTGCATCCATCAGTGAAGGTAAAAACTATAATTAGGCAAATAGTTTATGTTTTTAGTTATTTTATTTAATTTAAAAATATTTCTATAGTTTAATTAATTGGCTTTCAGATATATCTAAATAAGACTATATTTTTTTTCATAAAAGAAAGAGGAAAAGAATTATTTAGTAAAAAAGATCAACAAAAAAACCCTAGTTTCATTGTTTTTTCCTTTAAAATCAGTTAATTATAATAAAATCAATTTAAATGAATAGATTAAATTTCATTATATTTTCTTTTTTCTAAATTTATAGTATTGATCGATTTATATTCATAAATAAAGATCAAATTCATAAAATATAATTTAACTATATTTATTGAATTTATTTTAATTTTATTAATATAACTTGCTAAATGATTATATGAAATACTATTTATAATATTTTAAAAATAATTTTTTATTTTTTTAAATTAAAGTAATAAGCTATTAAAAAACTTGTTATCATGAAAGTATTCATAAGCGAATTTTTAAAAAATATACCCTATTTTTTAAATGATTGAATCTTCATAAAAAAATTTATTAAAATAACTTTTAAAAGTATCTAAATTCCTCTTTTACATTTAAGAAAATCCTTCTTTTGTATTTTAATGAGAGGTTTTTGTTATTTTTTTAATTATTCATTTATTAAGTTAATTCAAAGTTTAAATAGCTGAGTTAGTTATGAATTTATTATTCTATATTAATAAATAATATTTAATAGCTAATTATATTTTTAACTAAAATTTGCTTATTTGATATTTTATTGAGAATTAGCATTTTTAAATTTTGCAAAGAGTTATAATGGTAATTAACTTCTAAATTGAATGATTGCTATTAAATTGAATAAGTTTCTAAAAAAAGTTGATTTTTAAAATGCTGAATTTTATCTTTATTTGCTTTAAGTAAAAATAATTAAAAGCTCATTTAAAACATCTAATGAAAATAATTCAAATTTAAAATATTTTATAATATTGTATAAGCAAGCATTTTATAAAATATTTTACTTTTTTTATCAAAAAGAGGCTTGTGTGTTTTTTAATAAGACTCATTTGTTTAATCAAAAACTTTGTTTTAGCTATATTAAAAATTAAAATTAATATAGAGATCCTAACTCTACATATTACTCCAAATACCGAAAATTTTTTTAATTTAAAAAAAAAAGATAATAGCACTATGCTTTAGATTGATCTATAAGGCAAAGTTATTGTGAAATCAATTCCTTAGCTCGTACCTTAAGCTTATTATACTTTTCCATAATTAGCATCTGTAAATAAATTATTTCTTTTTATTTCTTTTTTAAGTTTCAAAAATTAATAACAGATCGCAAATTGTGTGTAAACAGTAGAATAATCAACTCAAAATAAAACGCTATCGTGTATGAATATATATACCCAAGTTTTCACTTTTTAAATCTCTAGTGGCTTACTTTTATCATAAAACATTACATTTAATTAATAAATAAGTAATATATATTACTTAGATGGAATGAAAATGACTTTTTTGACATAAGCAGGTTTTATAGTCTAATATGACTTCCAATCTTATTAATTTTCTGTTGTTGATAATTCATCAGATACTTTAAATTAAATACTCAGCGTTTAAAATTATCAGTTAAAAAATGATCAATTTATCCTTGCTATTAACTCAACAAATACAATTTTTTATTATGATTAATCATTTAACAAGAATATACTTTTATAGTATTCATCATAGAACACTCTTTAAATAGAAAATTTAGATACACAAAATATGTGGGTGTTCTACTAAAATAATAAAATAGACTTTTACTAAATAATATTTGGTCAAACTCCTTTACTAATCAAATCTATCACTCCTTAGACTATTCTATATTCAATAATGAGATCTAATGAAGTAAAAAATACTATTTTATTAATATTAAAATAAAATATTTATATCTAAATATATAGACTTTGACTCTAATTGGTGGTAAAAATTAAACAGCAACTTAAGTACTCTAAATTAGCTCAAATAAATAAGTTACAGAAATCACAAGTGCTTTACCACCTACTTTCCTTAATTCTGACTGCTTTTGGAAGACTAAAGATATCTATTTCTCTCAAAAACAAGATCTGCTTTACATTTTCAACCTTAACTCAAATAATTTTAATCTTTCTTATACTCTTAAACTATCTTAACCTTTAGTTTGCTCACTAACTTCTTTAGAAGTTTTTTAAAATAATGATAAAATATATTTGTTAACTTAAATAATGTAAGATATATAAATTTAAGAGCTCACTTAAAGTCAGTTAACCTCTGTAAATTCTAGTTAAATGTATTTCTCATCTGAATAGCATACTTATTACTATGCTTAATTTTTATTTAATACTCCGGCAATTAATATTTTAGATACTGTTACAAATAATTAAATATTAGAATTAAAATGCAATGGAATTACTTACTAATATGATTTAGAATCGAGATAGATTACTAAATCATTTTATTTTTGGGATGATTTTTATTATCCAGACCAAACAATTTATCTAGGCTATTAGTTATACAACTATATAGCTGTATAAGAAGAAGAAAAATTAATACTTACTGGAATAAGAAATGGTGTTTTGACAATAAGAGAATTGAATTTATATACTTTTGAAATACTTTTAGAAAACCAGTTTAGTGATATAGATATTGCACCTGACCAAATACATTTCTTTAATTAACCGTTCTATATCAAGAGTACAAAAACATTGATAGTTAATAAATAAAATGTAGTAATAATCGAATCTAAAACAAAATTAACAGAGCTTCTTATTTTTCATTATAGTTAAATAAACAACTAATACAACTATACATTCTCAATAAGATAGATAGTAAATGACGTTTAAGTTTCACAGAAAACTGGCGATATTATTTGTTTCTTAGTTTTATAGTAAATATACCTTTCATAAATATTGATCTACAATGTTTACAAAGATGTAATTATTTTTATTTTATTCAAATTATTTTGATAATCATTCTTTTAAAAATAGTAAAATCCTGTTTATGTCACTTCAAAATTTTATAATATTTGTTTTGGCTAGATAGGTTTTTTCAATCTAAACTAAGATATTATTTACTATTCTGATTATTTCGGAGGAATAATAAGTAGGGACCTTCTAAACAATTATAAGAAAAAAATATTTAGTTAATATACATAAATTATTTCTTATTATTTATCTCCAAATTTAACATATTAGATCTTTGGCTTAACACCTTATACTACACTTTAAATTGTCTCTACTCAAGATAATAAGGTTTTATATGTATCATATCAATATAAAATAATTTTAAAATAGTTATATATTTTTTTTTAAACTAGGAAATACCTACTGGTTCATACATAGCATATTTCGTTAGTTATGGCAACAAAGTATTTATTCTCAGCAATAGTGCCTTTTTATAATACTATGATGGAGATACAAATTAGATCATACTATACCAAAACGACTATTATGGGTAAGGTATGTAGAACTTTTTACATAAATAATATTAGATAATATTTATAAATACCATGATCTCTCTTATAATTAGTTTAGATGATCCGAATCTTTAATTATAACAGGTAAAATAAACTAATATATAAACTTAAGTTTAACTTCTAAAAAAACTTTTTTTTTTAATATAAGGTATAATAAAATATTTATAATGAATTTCAATTTAACGATATTTAAGTTCCTTTATCTGGTGATAATTTTTGGCTATAGTAAATAGTAGATGTAAAATAAATATTTTGTTATGAATATTAAAATAATGATTTTTTAAATACATAACAATATTAATATGTTGTTAATTTTTATGAGTTAGATATATAGTTAAATATATATACAAATTAAATAAGAGTGATAAAATACCAAAAGATAATAGCATAAATTAATATTGATTTCTAACAACCTGTTTAGCTAATTTCTTAAAATTACATGTACTATCATAAATACGATAATAAAGGATTTTATTATCCATATTAAAAATATATGGTAATAGTTGTTGGATTTCGTCTTGCTTTAATTAGCTCAACTAATTTTGAAATTGTAAAAATTTATTTAACATTTACTTAATTTCTTTCTTTACTTATTTGATATAAAAAATATAAAAAAGCTTTTTAATTACGTGTCTAAATAAATATTTATGAATCTTGCATACGATATAGAATTAGGATACATGGCTTTTGTAGATAACTTGTAAGATTGCATATTCGACTTAAAGGTAAGTAAATATATAAATTTAAAAATAAAAATTTTACTTTTTTTTTTCATAAATCATTTTTAAGGCTATTTCTTTAAATTGCATCACTAACAACTTTCCGTTTGCAGATTACTTTTATGGGACTATTATTTAAAGACAAAAATAGTTAATCATCTTTTATAGTAAATATAGTTTAAGAGTGTACTCTTTAAAAGAATAAATTTATAAGTTTGTTAAATATTCAGAAAACTTTTTTGCTTATTATATATATTATAATGACTATGGTAGCAATATAATTATTGGAGATAACTAAAGTAACAGTTTTAAAATACTTAATTTAGATACATATCAATTGTTAGATACTTCTTTCCCAGCATTTACTACTAACACTAATGAAAATCTGTATAAGGTATGAAAATAAATAAATTTCAATTGTACGAACAATTTTATATATATTATTTTTTAACTAAAAGTTTTATTTTTTCTCTGACCAAATATAAGTGATGCTATTTTCTACTTACAGTAATTCTATCGTAATATATAACATAAATACTCAAGTGGTTATGTAAACTATCTAACTATAGTATTAATTTAATCATCAAAGTCAAATAGTTGTTGATGAAATTCTTGATCTGGTTATGCTAATTGATAATTAAAATTAAATTGAAATTATTTCTTATGATACCAATTAAACTGTTCAAATATTTTAAGTAATTTTTTTAATTTATTATTTTTTTCCTTTTATAAAAATATCCTTTAGTTTTCACTAAAGTTATTTAAAAAATTCAATTTTTATATATTTTTTCTTAACATAATATTAAAATAGTTAGATAAGGTATAAAATGACGCAAATGCTTACTAAAAAATATTGATTTGGGACCATTATAAGAGAAAACTTTTTGCAAGCTCAAATAATATTTTTTATATATTTGATTACGATGATAATATTTTTATTTGCAAATACCAATTTTAGCTTCCAATATTTGATATTTACATCAGCTTTAATAAAAATTAAATATTTGTTACAGACTATTTGAATTTAAAAGTTTTTGATTACTCTATCTTAGAGTTTAACTAAAATTAATAATTACCTTATAGTTTAATACCAAATCTATTATAGATTAATTAAAACCAATATATTTTATTTGATAATGGTCAATCAACTCTTAAAAATATAGTCAATGGTGAAGTAAAGGATGCTAAATACTTTAATCAACTAAATCCTTCATACTTTTACTACAATTATTACAATAAAAATGACTCTTAAATTTATGTAATAATATTTAATTAACTCTTAATCTACAATATAACTTCTACTAGAATTACTCCTATATTTTCTTAATTGCTTGATTCTTAAATAGTTACTTTTATCAGAGACTCTGATTTCCAAGTTCTTTTTTTAACTTAAAAGTAGTCTTTATATTCTCTTTAGAAGAATCAAACTAATCCATAGCTCATTATACTAGCATATATATCAACAGGAATAGGCCAATTTATTATGATTGATGATTCCTATTTAATATACAGCTCAACAAAAAACAGAAGCCTATGGAATAAGATAATATTTTCATACTCATAGTCTCTTTCAACTTAAATTAAAATTGAATAATTTTAATTTAAATTAGAATAAAATGATATTATTAAAAAGCTTATTAGAATAGATAATACTTTGAACATCATAATATTAACAAATGAATATATACAAATAATAGATATTTAGACAGGAGATATTTTGTAAACCTCTCAATTAGATTTCTAAAACCAATAATCTTAAATCTACTTTGATCCTCTTTATTAAAGGATTTACTATACAGATAGAACTGAAGGAGTTAACGTATATGATCTAAAAATGTAAATTATTAAATAGAATTTACCATCTTCAAGTATAAAATTAAAAATGGAAGGCTCTTTCATATATATGCTTTCATTTAACTCTGTAAGTATATACTTAAGATAAGACCTCAAATTATTCTAAATAATAAGAAATTTTAATAGCACTCAATCACTAATAGATATTGAGTACACTGGATTTAATAATACTTTTGTTTTATATTTCGACAATTCAATTAGTTTCTTTGATGCTAACCCTTTTTATTAACCTAAATTAATTGATTATTTATAAATATAAAATTATAAGGTTTTATCTTCATAATTAAAACTCCAGAATTCTTAGTATTTAATTGTTGATATGATGATTATAACTATAGAAAATACTATAAAATACATCACTTAACTAAATATTGGCTCTTTTTCAAAAAATATTTGCTCAGCATAGTTATAAATACGAACAGATTAAAATGATTTAATAACAAAAAATCAATAAAGTGATTATTTGAATTTATTATCACTAAAATAGCTCTTAATTTAGAACATTATTTATAGTATGGATATAAATAATGGCGAATAAACAGATTTAAAGTATCCTTTTGTTAGCTCTAGCTCTGTGACAAACTAGTACTCGCTAAACATTTAAGCTATAAACAATAATAGTATTTATCTAAATATTCAAAATAGTACAGATTAAAATATTGTAGAGCTGAAACTATAAAACCTAAAAATTTCCTTTAAAAACTTAAATAATACTCAGTTCTTATTTGGAAATCAAACATTTAAAAAATTAGAAAGACTGTTTTTGAATGACATAGAATTATCAGATTTTGGTAGTAACCAGCTATCATTTGAAAGTATCAATCATCTATTTATCTAAAATTTAGTGATTAATGGCGAACAAATTCAACAGATTAACAAATAGATTATACTTTTCTAATATATTAATATAGTTGTAATACAGAACATTACTTTTACTAATTGCCAATTTAATAATATAATGAATCTACTTTAATTTATTAATATAAACTAATTGACCATAAATAATTTGAACATCAACCATAATATTTTACATTCAAACTTTAAACAAAACTCTATGATAAATATCTCATAAATAAATTTACTTACAATAAATAATACTAACCTTATAGAGAATATGTTTTAAAATGTTTAAATATTCAAAATAACTAATGTTACTTCAATTAGTATTAGCAACATGAAATCATCTTAAAATGAAATAATAATGAATTAAAATGTCGACGTATAAGGTATTATTTTCTAAATTGAAGCAACTCCTTAAGTTAATTTCATTAAAATCCAATTTAATGATCTTAAATTTACCTCACTCTCACCCCTTTCTTTACTGAAATTTTCTAATGTAAATCAAACATTAATTTTTAATGATTTTTATTTCACAGATTTTAAATTAGAAAACTCTTAAAATAGCTCAATTAGTGGCTAATAATTTTTTATTTTAGAATGTGAGGGAATACTTAATTCGAATTTCTCAAATATTCAGATAAAAAATTCAAGTTTGCTAGGATTTATTAACTTACATGATTTAAAAAATGATAATGGAGTTAATATTTAAAATAAAATATCAACATACTACAACTATTAGCACTCTCTTTCTGCAACAAATCAACTAATGTTACTTAATGCTTAATAATTAACAATAATAAATTCTAATTTTACATCTATCTCTAGCATAAATTCAGAAGCTGGCTTTATTTAAATTTAAGTAAGCTAAAGCTTTCTTTTAGATACAATCTAAATTTAAAAAGTTGAACTTAAGTAAAATAGTTTTATATACATATCTTAAAGTCCTTAAATAGTTATCTAAAATGTTTAATCAAAAAATATAGAAACAAATAACATAGCAAGTGTTTTTTATTTGTTATAAATATCGAGTCTAATAATGAAAAATAACAATTTTATCATGAACCTATCTTATCTTGATGGAGGAGCTATTTATTTAAACTAAATATCAGAAATAATCTTTTTAGGTAACACATTTTAGTAAAACGAATCAAAGACAGGAAATGGGGGAGCTATTTATTGCTTCAGTAGCGTATTTTCTTAGTTTCATGGCAATACTTTCTTTTAAAATTCATGTAGATAAGGTTCAGGTGGAGCATTATTGTTGAACAATTGTGATATTTAAAACATGACAGATAATATTTTCAAATAGAATTCTGCTCTTATAGGAGGTGCTTTTAGATATTAAGGCATATAACCTTATGTTTTATAAAAAACAAATGTGAGCCAAAAGAAGCTTACCTAAAATTAAAATTCTTTTATTAAAAACTATGCATAATTATATGGAAAAAATATAGGTTCCTATCCATTTTATTTGGATGTTAAAAATTAAATGCAAGATGATTTAAAGATTTAAAGTGCTAAATTAGAAAATTTATAAAGTGGTAGCACATCTTCACCTATAATTATGAGATTAATAGATGAAGAAATGAGAGAAGTTAGTTTTTAAAAAAATACAAATTAGATAAATTAAGAAATCCTGATTGAATTTAGTAGCTATTTACTTGAATTGTAAAGTTAAGAAGTTGGGCTTTATGGTGACCTCAGATAGAATTATAATTTTGATTAATTTGGTTTCGTTTTTAATGTGTCTTATTCTTATCAGCCTAATGCTAACTCCTCTATCACAGTTAAAACAGTTAGCCCTGTCCCTATTTTAAATACCACAACTTTTATGTTTGACTATCAGGAGTTAAGTATCTCTATTGATGTTAACTTTAGGAAGTGTTAGTAAGGAGAAATTTTACAAGCTTTGTAGAAGTATAAAATATGTTTTACTTGCTAATAAGGTAAATTTTTATTTAATAATGATTTCAAGATATAAAAGAAATTAAAAATTTATTGAATGTTTTTTGTAATAGCTGATCAAATCTTCTTTATTGCTATATTAATTGCAAATAATCTATTATAAATAAATACAAGGTTCAAAAATATTAAATAAGTATTTTAATAAAACTAACTGAATTAGTTTATGGATTATCTACAATATTATCAATAAAAATTTAATACCATTTTTAGCTTTTTCCTCAACATAAATCAAAAACACCAACTTCTTTTACAACTTTAAAAGTTCTAAATGGAGATTTAAATAAATCCCAAAAATAATTTTAAAATTTTCTTATTTTACTAAAAAAATTTTATATTAAATTTTTGAATTGGAATAAGCATCTATCTATCCCCCCCTCAACTTTAATATTTTTATTTTCTTTTTAAAAATACTTTAAAAATTAAATAACCTAAAATTTTATTTTGATTATTATAGCTCCTTTTAAAAAATAATTTTTTTAAATTTAACTCAATAATAAAAACAATCTATTTTTACCAAATATTCTTAAATATGCTTCAAATAATTAAACTAGCCAACTTTTTTTAAATAGGTAATTATTGCTTACAAGATCCAAATTAATTCGAAAATTTGCAGTGTCTCAAATGCCCAATAGGTTCTAAAAATTGTTATTCTAATACCATACAGTTATAAAATGGGTATTGGAGTAAGAATTAGCATTCAGACTAAATTTACTAATGTATAAACCCATAATTTTGTACCCCCGAAGACCCTTCAAATAAGTTTGGATGCTAAATAGGACATGTAGGAGCTATTTGTGAATCTTGTGATTCTTAAGGAATTTTTTGGGGATCAAGATATGGAAGAAGTAATGGAGGAATTTAATGCTAAGAATGCTCGAAGGAGAATTCAAATTACTCTATCCTAATTATATTTTTGTTTTTGATAATAATTTGTGCTTATTTAATCTTCTAAATTTAAAGATAGCTGATATTAATATAAAGAAAAATGGAATGGTTTTATTTGAGAAAGCTTTAAATAATTTTACTATAAAATCAAAACATTAGTAGTTCTTCATCTTACATCAAAATTCTTATCAACTATTTATAGTTTATAGCATTAATAAATAACTTAGGCATATAGACTTAATAATTTATTTCTGTTGCTGAAGTTGCAGGTGGTGATCCTCTATAGCATACAGTTTATAATTTAGATTGTATATTTAGTAGCTATGATATCTAAATTCCTTTGTATGCTATGAGAGTTATATTTATCAATTCCTAAATAATTACCATATTTTTGTTGATCCAGTTAGTAAAATTCCTCACAAGCATGTTTAAGATGATAGATGACTTTTCATTTTTGATTTCTTCTTTCATATTAATATATTTATTCTTTAGTTCTTCCGTAATTAAAGTATTGATATAGTCTTCATCTTGCAGAGATATAGGAGACAATCTATATATTATTACTGAAATGCAGGATGTATGCTACACTTAATAACACATTAAAATATTACTATTTTTAATAGGTCCACTACTTTTTATATGGTTCTTTTTAATTCCTGCATCATTTTACATTATCTTGTACAGAAATAGATAAAAATTATAAAGCTTGCTTTATATGAAGAAGTATAGTCTTTTGTACTAAGTAAATAGTTTTTTAATAAACGAAAAGCATTTTTTTTTTAATAAAATTTTTTATCAATAGGAATATAAAGTAAAATCTTATTATTGGGAGTTAACTAGAAGTCAAGCAAGAGCATCTCTTGTTATATTTCTAAATTTAATTAGGGTTTCACCATTACTAAAAGCTCAGTTCTTATTATTTTTTATGAGTATTTATCTAATATTTTTGATAAAAGTAAGTCCTTATTAAAGATAGTAATTAAATAATATTGATTAACTATCTTGCAGATTAGTTATAATAAGTATATTCATAATATAAATGATATTACTTACAGATAATCTATTATTTTAATAAATATTATAAATTATTTTGATTGCCTTAAATATGAGTTTCCTAGCAATCTTGCTCTTATTAATAGTATAAAGACCAATTCCTTATGATAAAAATAATTTAAATATCTTATAAAAATTCTAAGTTTAAATATCAAAATTAATTCCAAACTCTATTTATTAACTTACTTATTAAAAATAGATAAATTTATTAAGAATAAATTATCTATGGAAAATAGTTGGAAACTCTTTAAGCAAAGTTATTGGTATGGAAGCAAATTTAAAGAACAAAAAATGGTTTTTATCATCAAAACGGTCTTAGTAAAGTTAATTCAAAGTTAGATTTCCAATATTTAACTAAAAACTAAAAACTAATTTCTATAAAAAAGCACTAGATAATTGTAATTTAGATAAAAATATAAAATGAATAGAATGTTATTTCTAAAATAAAAACAATTTTAACTTAAAAGATAAAAATAATAACTTTATCAAAGATAAAAAATGTTTTTATCTAAATTGTTTTATTTGTATAAATAACATATTTTATTTTTGAATTTACAAAATTACATTAAAATCATATTTATTTGAACTTCATTTTATTTGGAATGTTGAAAACAAAATCAAGTTTATTTTAATGTTTAAATTTATTTTAATTAACTTTTATAAATTTTTTAAATATTGGAGAAATTAAATTTCTTTGTAGTGAAAAAGACATATTAAATTTTCAAACATAGCAAAAACAAATATTTCTTTATTTGAATATAAAATTATTAAGGCTAATTAAAATATTTCCACTTTTTCATAAATTCATGAAAATTTTTATAGAATTTATATTCAAAGATTTAATTAATTTTTTGATGAAGAAATTTAAATAAATTTTTTTATCAAACATTTAATCTTGAATTAATTAATTTTTTTACATTTAAAATGAATGAAAAAAGGCTTAAATCTAAAAATTAAATGTTTGATTAATAATTTAAATTTGTATTTATTTTTTAAAATCAATAATTTTTAGCAAGCTTTTTTAAAAATACACTAAAAATAACTTAAGTATATTAAGGTTTATTTATGCGCATTAAGTGTTCTTTCAAACTACATATTTTTTTAAATTTTTTATGAGAAAAGAAAGATAAAGGTTAATTGGATTTTCAATCAATTGATTTATAATAAAGCCAAGGAAAATGAAATTTAAAAAATATGAAAAAATATACAAATCCAAACACTCTCTAAAGGTAATTTTCATTAAATTTTTGTGCTTAAAATAAAGTAAATAAATCATGTGTAAAGTATTTTTTTTCTCAAGTATTTATAAGAATTAATGAATGATTTTTTTAAATATTAATTAATAATTTAAATTTGCACTTATCTTTTAATTAATATCCATTAGTAAGCGTTTTTATATTTTTATTTTGAATACTAATTTATAAAAATATCATTTTATTATTGACTGACTATATTCTTTTGTATTTGATATTATAATTTTACATAAGATTTCTTATAGAAATAAGGATAAATTTGATTTTCAATCAATTTATTTATTAAGTAGTCAAGGAAATGAAATTTAAAAAATGCGAAAAAAACTTAAAAGTCCAAATACTCTCAAAGCAGTCTATACATTAAGTGTTCTATTTAGGATACATATTTCTTTATTTTTATTAAATTTTTATGAATAATCATTTATAAAGTATTTTACTTTGTTTACATAAGAAATAGAATTTTTTATAGATAATTTTTGTAATTTTATATTATTCCAATTTCATATTTTTTTTTGAAGAAAAAAACTTAAAATGAAATGAATTTTCATATTATCTTTGATTTTTTTTGAATTCTAATTACTGTAAATCCTCATTTTTTTAATAAGAAAAAAATCACTTTTTTAAAAAATAGTGCTATAATTAACTAATTTGATTATTTTAAAATAGTTAGGAATTTCATTATTCTATTTTTAAAGTGTTATGGTATAATTGCTTTTTTATTAGAATTTTTTTGAATAGATTATTGTGCTTTCTAAAATTTACATACTCGCCCGCATGTCATGCTCGCGAAAAACAAACAAATTCGAAATATAATATTTGGTGATAGAGTTTTTTAATTTTAAATTGGGATGAGTTTCGATTTAAATAAATTTGTTATTCTTTAACATTTAGAATAGTGAGTAGTGATTATTTAAATCAAAAATATATCAAATAGTGATGTTATTATTATAATTTAAAAACATTGATTTTCCTCATTATTTAAAATTGATTTGTTGATTTTGGAAAAGCTTTATTTTCAAAAATATTGATATTGATAAAAAACTAAAAATAACAAATAATAATACAAAAAAATACTTAAAAGTTGATGAAGACTTTGATAATTATACATTTCATACTGAATATAACTTTCCTTTCTTTTGGTCAAAAAGATGGTGCTATTTAATGTAACTAGGTATGCTAAGATTGCTCTAGCGATAAAAGCTTTGAGTGCCTTGGATGTAAATACCCATTTTATTTTGATCAGAATAGCTATAATTGTGTCCAATCTTGTCCTAGTGGAACATACGAAAACTTTAACATGGAATGCATTTCTTGCGCTTCTAAATTTTGCTCAAGCTGTTCATCTGCTGAATGCTATTAATGCCTAACTGGTTACTCTTTGAACCCATAGGATAAAGTAACTTAATCACCATTTTTTTAAATAACAATTGCATTTTTTTTATTCCAGTAAGGGTGTATTGCGAATTGTTAAGATAGTTAATATTTACTTGATGGAGAGTGCGTATATGAATGCAGTATTTAATCTAATAGCTATTCCTTAGATCCATCTTCTAACACATGTATTTAACTATAAATCTGTCCATCCTTATCTTTTATACCTAAATCTTAAGCAGTTGGTAAAATATAGTTCTATAGTACATCCATTAATGAAGGTAAAAACTATAATTTAGGCGAATAATTTATGTTTTTCGTTATTTCATTTAATTTAAATATCGTTCAATAGTTTAATTAATTGGCGTTCAGATATATAGAGGGAAATTAAAAGACAATATTTTTTTCATAAAAGAAAGTGAAAAAATAATTATTTAGTAAAAAAGATCAACAAAAAAATTCTAGTTAAATTACTTTTTCCTTTAAAATCAACAAAATCAATTTAAATGAATAGATTAGATTTTATCAATATATTTTCTTTTTCTAAATTTATAGTATCTATCAACTAAATATTCATTTTTAAAGATCAAATTCATAAAATATAATTTTATAATATTTTAAAATAATTTTTTAATTTTTTTAAATTATGATAATAAGTATAAAAAAACTTCTTGTCATGAAATTATTCATAATTTTAAGTGAATTTTTTAAAAATATACTCCATTTTTTTCATGATTGAATCTTCATAAAAAAACTTATTAAAATAATTTTTAAAAATAAATAATTATATAAATATAAATCTTATTATTATTCGTGTATGTAGCCTTGAAAAAAGGCAGTACCTTTGGGTACTATATATATAAGTGGCTTGTTTTTTTTTAATAAGACTCATTAGTTTAATCAAAAACTTTGTTTTAGCTATGTTAAAAATTAAAATTAATATAGAATCCTACTTCTATATTTTACTCCAAATACTGAAAAATTTTTTAATTTTAATAAATAGATAATAGCAGTCTGCTTTAGATTGATGTATAAGGCAAAGTTATTGTGAAATCAATTCCTTAGCTAGTACCTTAAGCTTATTATACTTTCCCATAATTAGCATCTGTAAATAAATTCTTTATGTTTATTTCCTTTTTAAGCTTACTAAATTAATAAAAGATTGCAAATTGTGTACAACTAGTAGAATAATCAACTCAAAATAAAACACTATCTTGTATGAATATGGATACCCAAGTTTTAACTTTTTAGATCTCTAGTGGTTAACTTTTATCTTTAAATATTACATTTAGTTAATAAATAAGTGATATACATTACTTAGATGGGATGAAAATGACCTTTTTGACATAAACAGGTTTTATAGTCTAATATGACTTCCAATCTTATTAATTTTTTGTTGTTGATAATTCATCAGATATTTTAAATTAAATACTAAGTGTTTAAAATTACCAGTAAAAAAATGATCAATTTATCATTGCTATCAACTCAACAAATACAATTTTTTATTATGATTAATCATTTAACAAGAATATACTTTTATAGTATTCATCATAGAACACTCTTTAAATGGAAAATCTAGATATAGAAAATATGTGGGTGTTCTACCAAAATAATCAAATAGATTTTTACTAAATAATATTTGGTCAAGCTCCTTCACTAATCAAATCTATCACTCCATAGATTATTCTACATTCAATATTGAGATCTAATAAAGTAAAAAATACTATTTTATTAATATTAAAATAAAATATTTATTTAAAAATATAGACTTTGACTTTAATTGGTGGTTTAAATTAAACAGCAACTTAAGTATTCTAAATTAGCTCAAATAAATAAGTTACAGAAATCACAAGTTCTTTACCACTTACTTTCCTTAATTCTGACTGCTTTTGGAAGACTAAAGATATCTATTTCTCTCAAAAATAAGATATGATTTACATTTTTAACCTTAACTCTAATAGTTTTAGTCTTTCTTACACTCTTAAATTATCTTAACCTTTAGTCTGCTCAATAACTTCTCTAGACGTTTTTTAAAATAATGATAAAATATATTTGTTATACTAAATAATGTAAGATATATAAATTTAAGAGATCACTTAAAGTCAGTTAACCAATTTAAATTCTAGTTAAATGTATTTCTCATCTGAATAACATACTTATTACTATACTTAATTATTATTTAATACACCGGCAGTTAATTATTTAGATACTGTTATTAATAATTAAATATTAGAATTAAAAGGTAATGGAATTGCTTACTAATATGATTTAGAATCGAGATAGATTGCTAAATCATTTTATTTTTGGGATGATTTTTATTATCCAGATAAACAATCCATGTATTAATACAACTACATAGTTGTATAAGAAGAAGAAAAACTAATAGTTACTGGAATAAGAAATGGTGTTTTGACAGTAAGAGAATTGAATTTATATACTTTTGAAATACTTTTAGAAAACCAGTTTAGTGATATAGATATTACACCTGAACAAATATATTAATTTAGATAACCTTTTTATATCCAAAGTACAAAAATATTGATAGTTTATATATATAATATTTTCATCCCTGAACTTTCTTCACAATTAAGACAGCTTCATATTTTTCAATATAGCTAAATAAATAAGTCATACAACTATAAATTCTCAATAAAATAGATAGTAAATGACGTTTAAGTTTCACAGAAAACTGGTGATATTATTTGTTTCTTAGTTTTAGGAGGAGTATCCATTGCATAAATAAAGATCTACAATGTTTAAAAAGATGTAATTATATTTATTTTATTCAAATTATTTAGATAATCATTTTTTTTAAAATAGTAAAATCCTGTTTATACCTCTAAACTATTTAATAATTATTGTGTTAACTAAATAGGGTTTTTCAATTTAAACTAAGATACTATTTATTATTCTAATTTTTACTAAGGAATAATGAGTATAAACCTTCTAAATAATTATTAGAGAAAAATAATATTTAGTTAATATGCAGAAACTATATCTTATTATTAATCTCCAGATTTAAGCTATTAGATCGTTAGCTTAGATCCTTATACTACACTTTAAATCGTCTCTACTCAAAATAATAAGGTTTTATATGTATCATAATATAAAATAATCTTTTAATGGTTATATATTTTTTTTTAAACTAGGAAATACCTACTGGTGCATACATAGCACATTTCGTTACTTATGGCAACAAAGTATTTATTCTCAGTAATAGTGGCTTTTTATAATACTATGATGGAGATACAAATTAGATCATACTATACCAAAACGACTACTATGGGTAAGGCTTGTAGAACATTTTACATAAATAAAATTAGATACTATTTATAAATACCTAAATCTCTCTTATAATTAGTTTAGATGATCTAAATCTTTAATTATAACAGGTAAAATAAACTAATATATAAGCTTAAGTTTAACTTCTAAAATTTTTTTTTAACATAAGGTATCTTAAATTGATGAATATGAATATGAATTTAACGATATTTAAATTCCTTTATCTCGTAATAGTGAATGGCTATAGTAAATGGTAGATGTAAAATAAATATTTTGCTATGTATATTAAAATAATGATTTTTTAAATACATCACCACCATACGATTATGTTGTTAATTTTTATGAGTTAGACATATAGTTAAATATATATTAATATTATATAAGAGTGGTAAAATACCAAAAGATAATAGCATAAATTGCTATTGATTTCGTACAATCTTATTATGTAAATTCGTAAAATTACAGGTACTTTATTTTACACGATAATAAAGGATTTTATTATCCATATTAAAAATATATGGTAATAGTTGTTGGATATCGTCTTGCTTTAATTAGCTCATCTAATTTTGAAATTGTAAAAATTTATTTAACATTTACTTTCTTTCTTTATTTACTTATTTGACATAAAAAATATTAAAAAGCTTTTTAATTATGCGTCTTAAATATTATTTATGAATCTTGCATACGATATAGAATTAGGATACATGGCTTTTCTAGATAACTTGTAAGATTGCATATTCAACTTAAAGGTAAGTAAATTTATTAATTTAAAAATAAAAATTTTAATATATTTTCTCATAAATCATTTTTAAGACTATTTCTTTAAATTGCATCACTAATAACTATCCGTTTTCAGATACCTTTTGTGGGGTTATTATTTAAAGACAAAGATAGTTGATAATCTTTTATAGTTAATATAGCTTAAGAGTGTACTCTTTAAAAGAATAAATTTATAAGTTTGTTAAATATACAGAAAAATTTTTTCCTTAAGCCATATATTACAATGACTTTGGTAGCAATATAATTATTGGAGATTAACCAAGTTAAAGTTTTAAAATACTTAATTTAGATACATATCAATTGCTAGATACTTCTTTCCCAGCATTTACTACTAACTCTGAAGAAAATATGTATAAGGTATGAAAATAAATAAATTTCAATTGTACAACAATTTTATCTTATTTTTAAACTAAAAGTTTTATTTTTTCTCTGATCAAATAAAAGTGATGCTATTTTCTTCTTACAGTAATTCTATTGCAATATATAACATAAATACTGGAGTGGTTATGTAAATTATCTACTTTTAGTATTAATTTAATCATCAAAGTCAAATAGTTGTGGATGAAATTCTTAATTTGGTTATGCTAATTGATATTTAAAATTAAATTGAAATTCTTTCTTATGATACAAATTAAATTGTTAAGACATTTTAAGTAATTTTTTTAATTTCTTTTTTTTAATTTCATAAAAAATATCCTTTTATTTTCATTAAACTTATTTAATAGATTCTATTTTTAAATATTTTTTTCTAAACAAAATATTAAAATAGTTAGATAAGGAATAAACTGATGCAAATGCTTACCAAAAAATATTGATTTGGGATCATCATAAGAGAAAACTTTTTGCAACCTCAAATAATATATTATATATCTTTGATTATGATACTAACATTTTTATTTGCAAATACCAATTTTAGCTTCCAATATTTGATATTTACATCAGCTTTAATAAAAATTAAATATTTGTTACAGATTATTTGAATTTAAAAGTTTTTGATTACTCTATCTTAGAGTTTAACTAAAATTAATTATTACCTTATAATACAATACCAAATCTATTATAGATTAATTAAAATCAGTATATTTTATTTGATAATAGTCAATCAACTCTGAAAAATATAGTCGATGGTGAAGTAAAGGATGTTAAATACTTTAATCAACTAAATCCTTCATACTTTTACTATAATTATTACAATAAAAATAACTCTTAAATTTATGTAATAATATTTAATTAACTCTTAATCTATAATATAACTTCTACTAGAATTATTCCTATATTTTCTTCATTGCTCGATTCTTAAATAGTTACTTTTATCAGCGGCTCGGATTTCCAAGTTCTTTTTTTAACTTAAAAATAGTCTTTATATTCTCTTTAAAAGAATCTAGCTAATCCATAGCTCTCAATACTAACATATATATCAACAGGAATAGGCCAATTTATTATGATTGATGATTCCTACTTACTATACTGCTCAACAAAAAACAAAAACCTATGGAATAAGATCTTATTTTAAAACTCCTAATCTCTTTCTATTTAAATTAAAATTGAATAATTTTAAATTAAATTAGAATAAAATGATAGTATTAAAAAGCTTGTTAGAATAGACAATACTTTGAACATCATAATATTAACGAATAAATATATATAAATAATAGATATTTAGACAGGAGATATTTTGTAAATCTCTCAATTAGATTTCTAAAACCAATAATCTTAAATTTCCTTTGATCCTCTTTATTAAAGGATTTACTATACAGATAGAATTGTAGGAACTAACGTATATGACCTAAAAATGCAAACTATTAAATAGAGTTTACCATCTTCAGGTATAAAATTAAAAATTGAAGGCTCTTTCATATATATGTTTTCATTTAACTCTGTAAGTATATACTTAAGAAAAGACCTCAAATTATTCTAAATAATAAGAAATTTTAAGAGCACTTAATCACTAATAGATATTGAGTACTTTGGATTTAATAATATTTTTATTTTATATTTCGACAATTCAATTAGTTTCTATAATGCTAACCCTTTTTCTTTACCTAAATTAATTGATTATTTATAAATATACAATTATAAGGTTTTATCATCATAATTAAAACTCCTAAATTCTTAGTATTTAATTATTGATATGATGATCATAACTATAGAAAGTACTATAAAATACACAGCTGAGCTAAATATTGGTTCTTTTTCAAATAATATTTGCTCTGCATAGTTATAAATAAGTACAGACTAAAATGATCTAATAACAAAAAATCAATAGGGTGATTATTTGAATTTATTATCTCTAAAATAACTTCTAATTTAGAACATTATTTATAGTTTGTACATAAATAATGGCGAATAAACAGATTTAAAGTTTCCTTTTGTGAGCTCTAGCTCTGTGACAAACTAGTACTCACTGAACATTTAAGCTACAAACAATAATAATATCTATCTAAATACTCAAAATAGTACAGATTAAAATATTGTAGAGCTGAAACTATAAAACTTAAAAATTTCATTTAAAAACTTAAATAATACTCAGTTCATGTTTGGAAATCAAACATTTAACAAATTAGTGAGAGTGTTTTTAAATGACATAGAATTATCGGATTTTGGTAATAGCTAGCTATCATTTGAAAGTATCAATCATCTTTTTATCTAAAATTTAGTGATTAATGGCGAATAAATTCAACAGAATGAAAAATAGGTTATACTCTTCTCATATATTGATATAGTTGTAATACAGAACATTACTTTTAATAATTGCCAATTTAATAATATAATGAATCTACTTAAATTTAGTAATATAAACTAATTGACAATAAATAATTTCAACATCAAGTAGAATATTTTACATTCAAATTTTAAACAAAACTCTATGATAAATATCTCATAAGTAAACTTACTTAAAATAAATAATACTAACCTTATAGAGAATATATTTTAAAATGTATAAATATTCAAAATAACTAATATTACTTCAATTAATATTAGCAACATGTAATCATCTTAAAATGAAATAATAATGAATTAAAATTTCGACTTATAAGGTATTATTTTCTAAATTGAAGCAACTCCTTAAGTTAATTTCATTAAAATCCAATTTAATGTTCTTAATTTTACCTCACTCTCACCCCTTTCTTTAATGAAATTTTCTAATGTAAATCAAACTTTACTTTTTAATGATTTTTATTTCACAGATTTTAAATTAGAAAGCTATGAAAATAGTTCAATTAGTAGCTAATAATTTTTCATTATAGAATGTGAGGGTATACTGAATTCGAATTTCTCAAATATTCTGATAAAAAACTCAAGTATGTTAGGATTTATTAATTTACATGACTTAAAAAATGATAATGAAGTTAATATATAAAATAAAATATCAACCTACAACAACTATTAGCACTCTCTTTCTGCTACAAATCAACTAATGCTACTCAATGCTCAATATTTAACAATAAAAAATTCTAATTTTACATCTATCTCTAGCATAAATTCAGAAGCTAGTGTTATTTAAATTTAAGTAAGGTAAAGCTTTCTTTTAGATACAATCTAAATTTAATAAATTGAACTCAAGTATAATAGTTTTATTTACATATCTTAAAGTCCTTAAATAGTTATCTAAAATATTTATTCAAAAAATATAGAAACAAATAACATAGCAAGTGTTTTTTATTTGTTACAAATATCGAGGCTAATAATGAAAAATAACAATTTTATCATGAACCTATCTTATCTTGATGGAGGAGCTATATATTTAAACTAAATATCAGAAATAGTCTTATTAGATAATACATTTTAGTAAAACGAATCAAAGACAGGAAATGGAGGAGCTATTTATTGCTTCAGTAGCATATTTTCTTAGTTTCATGGAAATATTTTCCTTTAAAATTCTTGTAGATAAGGCTCAGGTGGAGCAATATTGTTGAACAATTGTGATATTTAAAACATGGCAGATAATATTTTCAAATAAAATTCTGCTCTTATAGGAGGTGCATTTAGATATTTAGGCACATAACCTTATGTTTTATAAAAAGCAAATTTGAGCAGAAAGATACTTACCTAAAATTAAAATTCTTTTATTAAAAACTATGCATAATTATATGGAAAAAATATAGGTTCCTATCCATTTTATTTGGACGTTAAAAATTAAATATAAGATGACTTAAAGATCTAAAGCGCTAAATTAGAAAATTTATAAAGTGGTAGCACATCTTCACCAATAATAATGAGATTAATTGATGAAGAAATGAGAGAAGTTAGTTTTTTTAAAAATTCAAGTTAGATAAATTAAGAAATCCTGATTGAATTTAGTAGCTATTTACTTGAATTATAAAGTGAAGAAGTTGGGCTTTATGGTGATCTCAGATAAAATTATAATTTTGATTAATTTGGTTTCGTTTTTAATGTGTCTTATTCTTATCAGCCTAATGCTTACTCCACTATTACAGTTAAAACAGTTAGCCCTATCCCAATTTTAAATACCACAACTTTTAAATTCGACTATCAAGAGCTAAGTATCTCTATTGATGTTAACTTTAGGTATTGTTAGTAAGGAGAAATTTTACAAACTTTGTAGAAGTATAAAATATGTTATACTTGCTAGTAAGGTAAATTTTTATTTAATAAAGCCTTTAACTTTTTAGTAATGATTTCAATAGATAAAGCAAATTAAAAAATTTATTCAATCTTTTTTGCTATAGCCGATCAAATCTTCTTTATTGCTTTATTAATTGCAAATAATATTATAAATAATAAAAGTTTTCAAAAATATTTAGTAAATTTTTTAATAAAACAAACTGAATTATTACTTTTGCATTAAACTTTTACTTACAGTAAATCAGCATTTATCTATCCCCCCCTTAACTATAATATTTTTATTTACTTTTAAAAAAATACTTTAAGAATTAAATAACCTAAAATGTTATCTTAACTATTTTATTTTGATTATTGCTCCTTTTCAAAACTAATATTTTGTAAAATTTACTCAAAATAAAAAAACACACTAATTTTACCAAATATTCTTAAATATGCTTCAAATAATTAAACTTGCCAACTTTTTTTAAATAGGTAATTATTGTTTACAAGATCCAAATTAATTCGAAAATTTACAGTGTCTCAAATGCCCATTAGGTTCTAAAAATTGTTATTCAAATATCATACAGTTATAAAATGGGTATTGGAGTAAGAACTAGAATTCAGACTAAATTTACTAATGTATAAATCCATAATTTTGTACCCCAGAAGACCCTTCAAATAAGTTTGGATGCTAAATAGGACATGTAGGAGCTATTTGCGAATCTTGTGATTCTTAAGGAATTGTTTGGGGATCAAAATATGGAAGAAGTAATGGAGGAATTTAATGCTAAGAATGCTCGTAGTAGAATTCAACTTAATCTATCCTAATTCTATTTTTGTTTTTGATAATAATTTGTGCTTATCTAATCTTCTAAATTTAAAGATAGCTGATATTAATATAAAGAAAAATGGAATGGTTTTATTTGAGAAAGCTCAAAATAATTTTACTATAAAATCAAAACATTAATAGTGCTTCTTCTTACATCAAAATTCTTATCAACTATTTATAGTTTCTAGCTTTAATAAATAACTTAGGCATATAGACTTAATAATTTATCTCTGTTGCTGAAATTGGAGGTGGTGATCCTGTATAGCATACAGTCTATAATTTAGATTGTCTTTTTAGTAGCTAAGATATCTAAATTCCTTTGTATGCTCTAAGAATTATATTTATCAATTCCTAAATATTTACCATATATTTGTTGATCTAGTTAGTAAAATCCCTCACAAATATGTTTAAGATGATAGATGACTTTTCATTTATGATTTCTTCTTTCATATTAATATACTTATTCTTTAGTTCTTCCGTAATTAAAGTATTGATATAGTCTTCATCTTGCAGAGATATGGGAGACAATCTATATATTATTACTGAAATGCAAGATGTATGCTACACTTAATAACACATTAAAATATTACTATTTTTAATAGGTCCACTGCTTTTTATATGGTTCATTTTAATCCCTGCATCATTTTATATTATGTTGTACAGAAATAGATAAAAATTATAAAGCTTACTTTATCTGAAGAAATATGGTCTTTTGTACTAAGTAAATAGTTTTTAATAAAACAAAATCGTTTTTTTTTAATAAAATTTTTTTTATTAATAGGAATATAAAGTAAAGTCTTATTATTGGGATTTAACTAGAAATCAAGCAAGAGCATCACTTGTTATATTTCTAAATTTAATTAGGGTTTCGCCATTACTAAAATCTTAGCTCTTATTTATTTTTATATGTATTTATCTAATATTTTTGATAAAAGTAAGTCCTTATTAAAAATAGTAGTTAAATAATATTGATTAACTATCTTGCAGATTAGTTATAATAAGTATATTCATAATATAAATGATATTAGTTACAGATAATCTATCATTTTAATAACTATTGTAAAGTATTTTGATTGCCTTAAATATGTGTTTCCTAGCAATTTTGCTCTTATTGATAGTATAAAGGCCTATTCCTTATGATAAAAATAACTAAAATATCTTATAAAAATTCTAAGTTTAAATATCAAAATTAATTCCAAATTCTATTTATTAACTTACTTATTAAAAATAGATCAATTAATTAAGAATAAATTATCTATGGAAAATAGTTGAAAAATCTTTAAGGTAAGTTATTGGTATGGAAGCAAATTTTAAGAGCCAAAAATGGTATTTACAATAATAAATGCCTTAGTAAAGTTAATTCAAAGTTAGAAGTCCAATAATTAACAAAGGACTAAAAAATAGTTCCTTTAAATAAGCAGTAGAGAATTATAATTTAGATAAAAATCTAAAATGAATAGAAACTTAAAAGATAAAAATAATAACTATTAAAATATATTTTTTTATTTAAATTGTTTTTATCTATAAATAAGTTTTTAACAGATTTTATTTTTGAATTTACAAAATTATATTTATTTCTACATCTTTTTATTTAAAATCTTGAAAATAAAATCAATTTTTTTTTAAATGTTTAAATTTATTTTTTTGACTTTTATACATTTTTAAAATATTGAAGGAATTAAATTTCTTTGCAATAAAAAGACATATTAAATTTTCAAACATATCAAAAACAAATATTTGTTTATTTAAATTAAAAATTACTAAGGTTAATTAAAATATTTCCACTTTTTCACAACTTAATGAAAATTAAAATTTTAAAAAAATTATTATATAATATCAAAATTTATTTTCTACTAATCATACCTCTCTCTAATATTTAAAATTTTAATGTTTAATAAATATTTAGTGAAATTATTAAATAAATTATATTTTTTTTCAATATTACTAGTGATTTTTCTTTGCTAAATTTATTTTAATTTGTTAATTAATTTTTACACATTTATTCAATTAATTGCTTATTAATTACATTAATTGAAATTTTATATAATCAAAAAAATGTAATACTTTTTTATTTGAATATAGATATTTGAGTTTTTTTACTAATATTAAAATAACTTGTATTAAGTTTATTATATAAACATATACTAATTAGTATAAATAATTGTTTTTAATTTTAGAAACTTGATTATTATATTTCTACTTTCAAATAATTTTTGAAAGCTCTTTATTTATTTATTATTTGTTTAAGTTTTCTTAATTTATTTTTACAATTAAGAAATATTAATCAATTATTTTTTACAATATTAATTAAAAATATAAGTTTTTAAATTTTATTAAATTTGCTTTTATCTTTTAAAATGAGTGATTTTTAGCAAGCATTTTTTATAGTTCTAATTTGAATAAATAGATTCTTAAGATGTAACCTTTAAGACTTCATTTAGGATAAATTTAGTTATAAGTATTCCCTATTAAATTATAAATAAAAATTAAAAATAATCATATAATTAATTTTTTTTATCAGTATTTTGCTACTTTAATTTATAAACATATTATCATATTATTAAATTTATTCTTTTCTATTTGAGAATTTAATTTCAGATCAGATATATAGAGGATTTTAATCACTTTTCTACTAAATCTTTGTATTTTAATCTATTATTTTTCTTAATTGAAAATATACTAAAAATAGTTTCAGTAAATTAAGGTTTGAAACTAAATTTTTTTTTTATGAGGAAAAATAGAAGGGCTGGCCTGGTTAATAAGCTCTTCAATCAATTCATTAATAAGGAAATTAGTGGAAATAGTAAAACCATTTTTTTCAAAAACTTTGGGGAGGGTGTGGCCTTAATTAATGAGGAATTACAGTATATATATTTTTTTTATATCATTAATTTGACTCATGACTTATAAATAAATATTTTAATTAGTATTTCTTTAAATTATTAATGGTTGATGATACCATAAATTAATTGAGTTATTTATAAAATGAAAGAAAATAAATTTCTAATGATAAATTTGATAAAGAAACTGTATTTAAATGTTTTTTTTTATCTACAAAAAATTTTTAAAAACTCATTATTTAACAAAGATTAGAACGTTTAGATTTTTAAATATGTCATCAGAAAAATAAAAAAATTGACAATAATAATTTCAAAAGATGTTGAATTTCCTCAGTGTAATTACTTAATTTTTAAAAAACTTATTTATTAAGAATGTTGCTTGCAAGCTAAAAATTACAAACAAACATACTAAATAAAATTTAAAAGTTGATGAAGTTGAAGGCTTTTATAATAATCCATTTAATACTAAATATCAATTTCCTATGTTTTAGTCAAAAATTTGGTGTTTGCTAATGTGACTGTGGTGTCATTTAAGATTGTTCTAGCAATAAAAATTTTGATTACCTTAGACGTAAATACCCATTTAATTTGGATTAGAATAGCTTTAATTATATCTGACTTTTTCCAAGTAGAACATATGAACAAAAATATGGAATGCGTTTCTTGCTCTTATAAATTTTGCTCAAGCTGCTCATCTACTGTATAATATTAATGCTTCTATGGGTACTCAGTGAACCCCATGGGATAAAGAAACTTATTCGTTTAGTTTTGTTAACATCATTACATTTTTTTTTATTCCAGCAAGGATACATTGCGAATTGATACTGGATGGAGAGAGTGTAAATGAATCCAGCATTTAATCTAATAGTTATTTTTTAAATGCATTTTCTAGCACATGTATTTAGCTATAAATCTGCCCTTTATTATCTTATATACATAAATCTTTCGCAGTTGGTTTAAAATAGTTCTATAGTGCATCTATCAGTGAAGATAAAAATAATAATTTAGGCATATAATTTATGTTTTTTGTTGTTTTTTAATTTAAATAACCATTCAATAAATAATTTACTTCAAAGAATAAAGATATAATCAAAAGAATGGCATTTGGCTATTTTTTTACAAATTAAATAGGAATGATAAAAGATAAAATACCAAAATATGATATTGAAATCTTAAAACCTAGATAATTAACTGATATATAATAAAATTATAGACGCTATCATATGTATGATAATAAATTAAAAATATATGGTTAAAGTATATTAACTATAAGATTAAATAAGGATTTATCATTGAAATGAGTGATTTTTAACAATAATTTTTTTAATTCAATTTTGAATTAAATATTCTTAAGATTTAACCTTTAAAACTTCATTAAAGATAATTTATATTATAAATATTTTATTAAAAAATAAATTAAAATTAAAAATAATTATGAAATTAAGTTTATTTTAATTACATATTTTTGCTAAATTAATTTAAAAAAATATATTTTAATATTGACTATATTTTTTTCTAATTGATGATCTAATCTCATATCAAATTTATAATAGAAGCATTTAATCACCTATCTATTAAATTTTTGTTAATTAATCTACATTCTTTCTTTAACGACTTTTTTTTGAGGAAAAATAGAAGGTTTGCTAATTAGATTTTCAATCAATTTATTTATAAATTAGCTATCGAAAATGAAAATTCAAAAATGTGAGAAAATACCTTTTTGAAAAATTCTGTCATATAAATAATAATTTTAAGTAATAATAAAATAATTTTTTATTATTAAATTTGATAGATTTAATTACTATTTTATGATTATTTACTAATAAAAATATAATACAAAATCCTCTCTAAGTCTAAATGTTAAAGACACTATTTTAGAGGCATATTTCTTAAATAGCATTAAATTATTGTGCCTAAAATAAAGTAAATAAATTAATTTTAAAGTATTTCTTGCTTTGCTTAAATAAAAAAAAGTATTTTTTATTTGTAAATTTATATTATTTCATTCTTATTATCTTTTAAAAAAAAATATTTAAATTTAGCTAATTTTAATATCATCATTGATATCTTATGAATTCTAATAACTCTAAATCGTCATAATACGCTCAGAAAAAAATCGCTTTTTATTTTTTAAAAAAATGCAAAAAAATCACAAACAAATTTATATACTCCCAGTTTTTATATAATTTGTAACTTTATTACATCACGAGGTAAATATTTATTTTTAAATCAATAAAATATTTTTGAGATTATTCTATTGTACTTTATAGTTAACCTAATTTCAATTGAGATCAAAGCTTTAATTAATTTTAAAAATTTTTCTAAAAATTGACACTTTATCTATAAGAATTTTTTAATAACTCTTAGACTCATCCAAAGGTTTAAGAGCAAAATCTATATTTTTTGTTTACTTATTTAAATAACTTTTAAATTATTTGGTACAAAAGAATTTCATTAACAGATAAAATATACTAGTTGAATTTTGATTATAATTTTTATTTTACCCTTCTATTGATTTATTTCCTATTTGAAAACAGTTACTATATAGATATGAAAGACACAATGATTTTTAGTTTCATTTTTTACTTTAAAAAAATATGTAAATATTTATCTTCTTTTTGCCAATATCTTTTCTCTTCGAAATTATAAAAAAATTATTTTATTTATTTTTACTTACTTAACATTTAAATTATCTAAAATCAAATTTAAACCTTTTAAATATACTCCTTTATTTATAAATATTATTAATTTCAAGTCTATTTCACTACTGATCTATCTCCTATTTTAAATCTATCAAAGACTTCAAAAAATAACAAAAATATACGTCAAGTAAATGAATTAAAAAAAGTAATTAAAAATGAAAGCCATAGTTTTAGTATCAATGTCACTTTGAATACTGTTCTATGTGATAATTCGTCTTGGATTAGTACATCTACTAATTAAAATTTGGGTAATTGCCTTTCAGCTTTGAAGCTTCCCTACTGTCTTTCCACCATTTGCTCTGATACTGCAAAAACCTATTCTTTATGTGTCATTTACTCACCAAACTTGGGTATTTACAATGCCTATTTAAACTTTATTAAGCTTGTGCTAATACTTACATTAATGACCCCCACTACTAAGAGTGATGTCACAATTGCTACTTATGCTAATGGAAATACTTCTTGCGTTTAAGCTACTAATGGATCTCTTTTGGCCTTATCATCTTTCTTCTTAGCTATTTTAGCTTTAGTCTTCTAATTTTTAAATAAAATTACAACTGCATATAATAAACTATTTGGTAAATATTTGAACCTATATATTGGTTATGTATTTACATTTAATTGATTTTATCCAATTTTGTTTGAATAAAAATATTTTCTTTTTATTTTAGATTTCATTTGAAGTTATTCAAAAAATAAAATGATCAAATTAATTTTAGATTTTTAAGTTATTCATTTACTAAAGGTGATTAATAAAGTTCCTTGTTCACAAAGTATTGCAATTTTTAATAATAAATTTGAATAAACAAAAAATTATCATCCATAGACTAATATTTAACAAGAAGTTTATATATCTGTTCCTGCATTTAAAATATCACATACCATGATATCATGATTTGTGTGTGATATTTCAAATAATTTTTATATTAATTATGAATATTTTTATGTTAACAGTAAAATAAAAAATTGATTAATATAATTTCAAAAGCTGTTGATTTTTCTCATTATATTTAAAATTGATTTCATTATATTGTAAAAGCTTGTTTATTAAGAGTATTGCTAAAAAACTAAAAATTACAATTAAACACACCAAATAATATTTAAAAGTTAATGAAATTTAAATTTTTGATAACTATCCATTTAATATTAAATATAACAGTCCTTTGTTTTGGACAAAAACATGGTATTACTTAATATATCCATGTCTGTTAAGATTGCTCTAGCAACAAAAGCTTTGAGTACCTTGGACGCAAATGCCCATTTTATTTTGATCAGAATAACTATAATTGCATTTAATTTTGTCCTAATAGAACATATGAAAACAAAAATATGGAATGGCTTTCTTGCTTTTATAAATTTTGTTCAAATTACTCATCTACTGAATGATATTTATGTTAACCTGGATACTCAGTGAACCCACAGGATAAAATAACTTAATCATTCAGTTTTCTTAATATGATTATATTTTTTTACTCCATTAAGGATGCATTGAGAATTACTAAGATTGTTAATATTTACATAATGGAGAAAGCGTATATGAATCAAGAATGTAATCTAGTAGTTATTATTTAGACCCATCTTCTAGCACATACATTTATATATAAATCTGCCCTTTATTATGTTATTTATATTTTTGAAATTAAGAGGTTGGTAAAATATATCCATCAATCAAGATAAAAACTATAATTTATGCATATAATATATGTTTTTAGTTGTTTTTTTAATCTAAATAACAAATCAATAATATACTTAAATGAATTGATATATAATGAAAATCAAATTAAAAGTATAGAGGAAAAAATATTTTTTGTAATAAATCAACAAAATAATAAAAGAGTCAATGTTTTTCTTTTAAATCTGTCAATTATAGCAAGATAAATTTAAATGGAAAGATTAAATAGCATAATATATATTTTTCTCTAAATTTATTTCATCATATTCATAGATAAAGATCAAATCCATAAAATAGAATTTAACTTTATTTATTAAATTCATTTTAATTTTATTTAAATATATATTATTTCATTTCATTTTGAATTCTAATAACTCTAAATCCTCATGAATTAAGCTCAGAAAAAAATTCGTTTTTTTAAAAAAATACATCATCTATTAAATTTTGAAAACCTAAAGCAACTTTTTGTAATTTTTAAATATTTTGGTTGCACACTAGCTATTTTTGATTTCATATAAATATATATCAGAAATAAATTTTAGATTTATACATAATCATTAATTTAATAATGTTTAGATCAAAATATTATATAAATCATCTTTGAAAAATAGCAATGATTATTTTTAACATCATAAAGTGCTATAAGTAATGTAATTAAAAACAAATGAAGAAAAAACCCCCTAATTAAATATTATAAAGAATATTAAATTTAATGGAGTAAGAAAAGAATGGTGCAGTATCTAACATATAAAGTTATGAATTAATCAAGCATCTAATATTAAATCGTTTTTATAAAAAACACTACTTAAGAATAAAAATGATAAATATACCTAATGAAATATACTAAAGAGGTAATTTATGACAATCGTATTTCAAGTACCTAAAACAAGGAAAAAAATGTTAGCTTTAAAAATTCACTAAAAAAGATAAAAACTAATAGTAATAGTTGTTTTTCATTTTCGAAATTTTAGTTTTAACACTTTTAAATGATTTATATTACTGAATGATTTTTTTATATCTTAATTAATAATTTAAATTTGCATTTTTCTTTTAAAATCAATAATTTTTAGCAAGAATTTTTAATATTTATATTTCAATAATATTTTTTTAATATTGAATATTTTCTTGTGTATTTGTTAATTTATTTTACATAAGATTTATTTTAGAAACTTATAATTGTAATATATTATAAATCTATATTTAATCTTTTGTTTTTCTTGAATGAAAATACACTAAAAATAGTATAAATAAATTCAGGTTTATTTAAGCGCATTAAGCGTTCTTTCAAACAATTATATTTTTTTTATTTTTTATGAAAAAACATAAAGGTAAATTGGATTTTCAATCAATTTATTTACTAGGTAGACAAGGAAAATAAAATTTAAAAAATGCCAAAAAAATATAAAAGTCCAACATAATGTCAAAGTCTCTTCATTAATTAAGTGCACTATTTTGGAATCACATTTTTTAATTTTCTTTAAAATTTTTAGCATAGAATAAAGTAAATAAACCATTTGCAAAATATTTTGCTTTGTTTACATATGAAACATATTTTTTTATTGCAGAATTATTGTAATTATATTTTATTATTCCATTATCATATGTTTTTTGAAGAAAAAAACTTTAAATAAAATGAATTTTTATATTGTCTTTGATGTCTCATGAATTCTAATTACTCTAAATCCTCATTTTTTTAGGTAAGAGAAAAAAAATCATTTTTTAAAAAAAATAGTGATATATTTGAATACTACTAAAATTGTAGTTAGGAAATTCATTCTTCTCTTTTCATAGTGTTATGGTATACTTGCTTTTTATTATATTTTTTTTAATTGATTATTGTGCTTACTCAAATTCACATACCCGCATGTCATCTCACGAAAAACAAACTGCTTCGAAATAGAATGTTTAGTGATCAAGTTTTTTAATTTTAATTGGGAAGAGTTCCTATTTAAATATATTTCTTATCCAAATTAAACAGTGCGTCTTTATTATTTAAATCAGTAATAAATCAAATAATTATCTTATTATTATAGTTTGAAAAACTGTTGATTTTCCTCATTGTATTTAAAATTGATTTGTTGATTTTGGAAAAGCTTTTTTTATCAAGAATATTGATATTGATAACAAACTAAAAATTAATTACAAAAAACAATACAAAAAAATATTTAAAAGTTGATGAAGACTTTGATAATTATCCATTTCATGCTGAATATAACTTTCCTTTCTTTTGGTCAAAAAGATGGTGTTAGTTAATGTAACTAGGTATGCTAAGATTGCTCTAGCGATAAAAGCTTTGAGTGCCTTGGATGTAAATACCCATTTTATTTTGATCAGAATAGCTATAATTGTGTCTAATCTTGTCCTAGTGGAACATACGAAAACTTTAGCATGGAATGCATTTCTTGTGCTTCTAAGTTTTGCTCAAGCTGTTCATCTACTGAATGCTATTAATGCCTACCTGGTTACTTTTTGAACCCATAGGATAAAGTAACTTAATCACCATTTTTTTAAAAAACCATTGCATTTTTTTTTATTTCAGTAAGGATGCATTGCTAATTGTTAAGATAGTTAATATTTACTTGATGGAGAGTGCGTATATGAATGCAGCATTTAATCTAATAGCTATTCCTTAGATTCATCTTCTAACACATGCATTTAACTATAAATCTGCCCATCCTTATCTTATGTACCTAAATCTTAAGCAGTTGGTCAAATTTAGTACTATAGTACATCCATCAGTGAAGGTAAAAACTATAATTTAGGCAAATAATTTATATTTTTCTTTGTTTTATTTAATTTAAATATCGTTCAACAGTTTAATTAATTGGCGTTCAAATATATCGAGTGAAATTAAATAAGAATAATTTATTTCATAAAAGAAAGAGGAAAAAAATTATTTTTGTAAAAAATATCAACAAAAAACTCTAGTTTAATTGTTTTTTCCTTTAAAATCACATAATTATAACAAAATCAATTTAAAAAATTAGATTAAATTTTATCAATATATTTTCTTTTTTCTAAATATATAGTATTGATCTATCAATATTCATAAATAAAGATCAAATTCATAAAAATAATTTTATAATATTTTAAAATAATTTTTTTAAATATGGTAATAAGTATTAAAAAGCTTGTTATCATGAAAGTATTCATAATTTTAAGTGAATTTTTAAAAAATATACTCCATTTTTTAAATGATTGAATCTTCATAAAAAAATTTATTAAAATAATTTTTTAAAATATCTAAATTCCTATTTTACATTTTAAATAATGCTTCTTTTGTATTTTAATGAGAGGTTTTTTTATTTTTTTAATTATTTCTTTTATTAAGTTAGTTCAAAGTTTAAATGAGTTAGTAATGAATTTACAATTCTATATTAAAAAATAATACTTAATAGCTAATTATATTTTAAACTAAAATTTACTTATTTGATATTTTTTGAGAATTAACACTGTTAAATTTTGCAAACAGTTATAATGGTAATTATTTTCTAAATTGAACGATTGCTATTAAATTTAATAAGTTTCAAAAAAAGTTGATTGTTAAAAAGCTGAATTTTATCTTTATTGCTTTAAGTAAAAATCATTAAAGTTCATTTAAAACATCTAATCAAAATAATTCAAATTTAAAATATTTTATAATATTGTACAAGCAATCATTTTATAAAAATATTTTACTTTTTTTATCAAAAATGTCTTGTTTTTTTTTAATAAGACTCATTTGTTTAATCAAAAAATTTGTTTTAGCTATTTTAAAAATTAAAATTAAAATAGTATCCTACCTCAATATATTACTCCAAATACCAAAAGTTTTTTTAATTTAAATAAATAGATAATAGCACTATGGTTTAGATTGATGTATAAGGCAAAGTTATTGTGAAATCAATTCCTTAGCTTGTACCTTAAACTTATTATACTTTTCCATAATTAGCATCTGTAAATAAATTATTTATTTTTATTTCCTATTTAAGCTTCCAAAATTAATAATAGATCGCAAATTGTGTACAACTAGTAGAATAATCAACTCAAAATATTACACTTTCTTGTATGAATATGGATACCCAAGTTTTCACTTTTTATATCTCTAGTGGTTTACTTTTATCATAAAATATTACATTTAGTTAATAAATAAGTAATATATATTATTTAGATGGGATGAAAATGACCTTTTTGACATAAACAGGTTTTATAGTCTAATATAACTTTCAATCTTATTAATTTTATGTTGTTGATAATTCATCAGATACATTAAATTAAATACTCAGTGTTTAAAATTATCAGTAAAAAAATGATCAATTTATCCTTGCTATTAACTCAACAAATACAATTTTTTATTATGATTAATCATTTAACAAGAATATACTTTTATAGTATTCATCATAGAACACTCTTTAACTCTTTCCATTGGGGGAGTTTGTATAATATAAAATTTTTGATAGTCATTTGCAAAAAAATTTTTTTTCACAAGCAAATAGCCTTATTCAAAATAACCCTCAAAAGTTCTTTCCCCCAAGTTAAAGAGTTAAATGGAAAATTTAGATACGCAAAATATGTGGGTGTTCTACCAAAATAATAAAATAGATTTTTACTAAATAATATTTGGTCAAGCTCCTTCACTAATCAAATCTATCACTCCATAGATTATTCTATATTCAATAATGAGATCTAATAAAGTAAAAAAATACTATTTTATTTATATTAAAATAAAATATTTATATCTAAATATATAGACTTTGACTTTAATTGGTGGACAAAATTAAACAGCAACATAAGTTTTCTAAATTAGCTCAAATAAATAAGTTACAGAAATCACAAGTTCTTTACCACCCACTTTCCTTAATTCTAACTGCTTTTGGAAGACTAAAGATATATATTTCTCTCAAAAATAAGATATGCTTTACATTTTTAACCTTAACTAAAATAGTTTTAGTCTTTCTTACACTCTTAAATTATCTTAACCTTTAGTTTGCTCATTAACTTCTTTAGATATTTTTGAAAATAATGATGAAATATATTTGCTATACTAAATAATGTAAGATATATAAATTTAAGAGCTCACTTAAAGTCAGTTAACCTCTGTTAATTCTAGTTAAATGTATTTCTCATCTGAATAACATAATTATTACTATACTTAATTATTATTTAATACACCGGCAGTTAATTATTTTGATACTGTTACAAATAATTAAATATTGGAATTAAAAGGCAATGGAATTGCTTACTAATATGATTTAGAATCTAGATAGATTGCTAAATCATTTTATTTTTGGGATGATTTTTATTATCCAGACAAATAATCCACATATTAATATAACTATATAGTTTTATAAGAAGAAGAAAAACTAATAGTTACTGGAATAAGAAATGGTGTTTTGACAGTAAGAGAATTGAATTTATATACTTTTGAAATACTTTTAGAAAACCAGTTTAGTCATATAGATATTACACCTGACCAAATATATTAATTTAAAAAACCTTTTTATATCCAGAGTACAAAAACATTGATAGTTTATATATATAATAAATACATCAGTGCAATTGCTACATATTTAAGGCAGCTTCATATTTTTAATTATAACTAAATAAGCAACTAATACAACTATAAATTCTCAATAAGATAAATTGCAAATGACGTTTAAGTTTCACAGAAAACTGGTGATATTATTTTTTTCTTAGTTTTAGGCAAATTATTCCGTGAATAAATAAAGATCTACAATATTTACAAAGATGTAATTATATTTATTTTATTCAAATTATTGAGATAATCATTTTTTTAAAAATAGTAAAATCCTGTTTATACCTCTAAACAATTTCGTAATTATTGTATACATTAGATAGGGTTTTTCAATTTTAAATAAGATACTATTTATTATTCTGATTTTTACAATGGAATAATGAGTATAAGCCTTCTAAACAACTTTTAGAATAATATGTTTAATTAATATGGAAAAGAAACTGTATCTTATTATATATCTCCAGATTTAAGCTATTAGATCGTTAGCTTAGATCCTTATACTACACTTTAAATTGTCTCTACTCAAAATAATAAGGTTTTATATGTATCATATTATTTAATATAATTTTTAAATAATTATATATTTTTTTTTAAACTAGGAAATACCTACTGGTGCATACATAGCACATTTCGTTACTTATGGCAACAAAGTATTTATTCTCAGTAATAGTGGCTTTTTATAATACTATGATGGAGATACAAATTAGATCATACTATACCAAAACGACTACTATGGGTAAGGCTTATAGAACATTTTACATAAATAAAATTAGATACTATTTATAAATACCTTGATCTCTCTTATAATTAGTTTAGATGATCTAAATCTCTAATTATAACAGGTAAAATAAACTAATATTTAAGCTTAAGTTAACTTCTAAAAAATTTTTTTTAAATAAAAGGTATCATAAATTGATTAATATGAAAATGAATATAGCGATATTTAAATCCCTTTATCTCGTAATAGTGAATGGCTTTAGTAAATGGTAGATGTAAAATAAATATTTTGCTATGAATATTAAAATAATGATTTTTTAAATGTAACACCATACGAATATGTTGTTAATTTTTATGAGTTAGATATATAGTTAAATATATATAAAGATTAAATAAAAGTGGTAAAATACCAAAAGATAATAGCATAAATTGCTATTGATTTCTATCAACCTGATAGTGTAAATAATTAAAATTACATGTACTCTCTTTTACACGATAATAAAGGATTTTATTATCCATATTAAAATTATATGGTAATAGTTGTTGGATATCGTCTTGCTTTAATTAGCTCATCTAATTTTGAAATTGTAAAAATTTATTTAACATTTACTTTCTTTACTTATTTGACATAAAAAATATTAAAAAGCTTTTTAATTACGTGTCTTAAATATTATTTATGAATCTTGCATACGATATAGAATTAGGATACATGGCTTTTCTAGATAACTTGTAAGATTGCATATTCAACTTAAAGGTAAGTAGATATATAAATTTAAAAATAAAAATTTAATATATTTTTTCATAAATCATTTTTTAGGATATTTCTTTAAATTGCATCAGTAACAACTATGCCTTTTCAGATACCTTTTGTGGGGTTATTATTTAAAGACAAAAATAGTTGATAATCTTTTATAGTTAATATAGCTTAAGAGTGTACTCTTTAAAAGAATAAATTTATAAGTTTGTTAAATATGCAGAAGACTTTTTTCCTTTTGCCATATATTACAATGATATTGGTAGCAATATAATTATTGCAGATTAAGCAAGTTAAAGTTTTAAAATATTTAATTTAGATACATATCAATTGTTAGATACTTCTTTCCCATCATTTACTACAAACTCTGAAGACATTATGTATAAGGTATGAAAATAAATAAATTTCAATTGTACAAACAATTTTATCTTTTTTTTTAAACTAAAAGTTTTATTTTTTCTATGATCAAATAAAAGTGATGCTATTTTCTTCTTACAGTAATTCTATCATAATATATAACATAAATACTCAAGTGGTTATATAAATTATCTACTTTTAGTATTAATTTAATCATCAAAGTCAAATAGTTGTGGATGAAATTCTTAATTTGGTTATGCTAATTGATAGTTAAAATTAAATTGAAATTATTTCTTATGATACCAATTAAATTGTTAAGACATTTTAAGTAAGTTTTTTAATTTATTTTTTTTTACTTTTTAAATAATATCCTTTTATTTTTATTAAATTTATTTAATAAATTCTATTTTTATATGTTTTTTTCTTAACAAAATATTAAAATAGTTAGATAAGGTATAAACTGATGCAAATGCTTACTAAAAAATATTGATTTGGGATCATCATAAGAGAAAACTTTTTGCAACCTCAATTAATATTTTATATATCTTTGATTACGATACTAACATTTTTATTTGCAAATATTAATTTTAGCTTCCTATATTTGATATTTACTTTAGCTTTAATAAAAATTAAATATTTGTTACAGATTATTTGAATTTAAAAGTTTTTGATTACTCTATCTTAGAGTTTAACTAAAATTAATTATTACCTTATAATACAATACCAAATCTATTATAGATTAATTAAAACCAATATATTTTATTTGATAATAGCCAATCAATTCTTAAAAATATAGTTAATGGTGAAGTAAAGGACTTTAAATACTTTAATCAACTAAATCCTTCATACTTTTACTACAATTATTACAATAAAAATAATTCTTAAATTTATGTAATAATATTTAATTAGCTCTTAATCTATAATATAACTTCTACTAGAATTACTCCTATATTTTCTTAATTGCTTGATTCTTAAATACTTACTTTTATCAGCGACTCTGATTACCAAGTTCTTTTTTTAACTTAAAAATAGTCTTTATATTCTCTTTAAAAGAATCTAGCTAATCCATAGCTTTCAATACTAACATATATATCAACAGGAATAGGCCAATTTATTATGATTGATGATTCCTACTTAATATACTGCTCAACAAAAAACAAAAACCTATGGAATAAGATAATATTTTAAAACTCTTAGTCTCTTTCTATTTAAATTAAAATTGAATAATTTTAAATTTAATTAGAATAAAATGATAGTATTAAAAACCTTGTTAGAATAGACAATACTTTGAACATCATAATATTAACGAATAAATATATACAAATAATAGATATTTAGACAGGAGATATTTTGTAAGTCTCTCAATTAGATTTCTAAAACCAATAATCTTAAATCTACTTTGATCCTCTTTATTAAAGGATTTACTATACAGATAGAATTGTAGGAACTAACGTATATGATATAAAAATGCAAATTATTAAATAGAATTTACCATCTTCAGGTATAAAATTAAAAATGGAAGGCTCATTCATATTTATGCTTTCGTTTAACTAAGTAAGTATATATTTAAGAGAAGACCTCAAATTATTCTAAATAATTAGACAATTTAACAGCACTCAATCACTAATAGACATTGAGTACACTGGATTTAATAATATTTTTGTTTTATATTTTGACAATTCAATTAGTTTCTATAATGCTAACCCTTTTTCTTTACCTTAGTTAATTGATTATTTATAAATATACAATTATAAGGTTTTATCATCATAATTAAAACTCCTAAATTCTTAGTATTTAATTATTGATATGATGATCATAACTATAGAAAGTACTATAAAATACACAGCTGAGCTAAATATTGGCTCTTTTTTAAATAATATTTGCTCAGCATAGTTATAAATAAGTACAGACTAAAATGATCTAATAACAAAAAATCAATAAAGTGATTATTTGAATTTATTATCTCTAAAATAACTTCTAATTTAGAACATTATTTATAGCTTATACATAAATAATGGCGAATAAACAGATTTAAAGTATCCTTTTGTTAGCTCTAGCTCTGTGACAAAATAGTACTCACTGAACATTTAAGCTACAAACAATAATAATATCTATCTAAATACTCAAAATAGTACAGATTAAAATATTGTAGAGCTGAAACTATAAAACTTAAAAATCTCATTTAAAAACTTAAATAATACTTAGTTCATGTTTGGAAATCAAACATTTAATAAATTAGTAAGACTGTTTTTAAATGACATAGAATTATCAGATTTTGGTAATAACCAGCTATCATTTGAAAGTATCAATCATCTTTTTATCTAAAATTTAGTGGTTAATGGCGAATAAATTCAACAGATTGACAAATAGATTATACTTTTCTCAAATATTGATATAGTTATAATACAGAAAATTACTTTTAATAATTGCTAATTTAATAATATAATGAATCTACTTAAATTTAGTAATATAAACTAATTGACAATAAATAACTTCAACATCAACTAGAATATTTTACATTCAAATTTTAAACTAAACTCAATGATAAATATCTCATAAGTAAACTTACTTAAAATAAATAATACTAACCTTATAGAGAATATATTTTAAAATGTATAAATATTCAAAATAACTAATGTTACTTCAATTAATATTAGCAACATGTAATTTTCTTAAAATGAAATAATAATGAATTAAAATATCGACTTATAAGGTATTATTTTCTAAATTGAAGCAACCCCTTAAGTTAATTTCATTAAAATCTAATTTAATGTTCTTAAATTTACCTCACTCTCACCCCTTTCTTTAATGAAATTTTCTAATGTAAATCAAACTTTACTTTTTAATGATTTTTATTTCGCAGATTTTAAATTAGAAAGCTATGAAAATAGCTCAATTAGTAGCTAATAATTTTTCATTATAGAATGTGAGGGTATACTTAATTCAAATTTCTCAAATATTCTGATAAAAAATTCAAGTATGTTAGGATTTATTAATTTACATGACTTAAAAACTGATAATGAAGTTAATATTTAAAATAAAATATCAACCTACAACAACTATTAGCACTCTCTTTCAACAACAAATCAACTAATGCTAATCAATGCTTAATATTTATAAATAACAAATTCTAATTTTACATCTATCTCTAGCATAAATTCAGAAGCTAGTGTTATTTAAATTTAAGTAAGGTAAAGCCTTCTTATAGATACAATCTAAATTTAAAAAGTTGAACTTAAGTAAAATAGTTTTATTTACATATCTTAAAGTCCTTAAATAGTTATCTAAAATGTTTATTCAAAAAATATAGAAACAAATAACATAGGAAGTGTTTTTTATTTGTTATAAATATCGAGTCTAATAATGAAAAATAACAATTTTATCATGAACCTATCTTATCTTGATGGAGGAGCTATATATTTAAACTAAATATCAGAAATAATCTTTTTAGGTAACACATTTTAGTAAAACTAATCAAAGGCAGGAAATGGGGGAGCTATTTATTGCTTCAGTAGCATATTTTCTTAGCTTAATGACAATATTTTCTTTTAAAATTCTTGTAAATAAGGCTCAGGTGGAGCGTTATTGTTGAATAATTGTGATATTTAAAACATGACAGATAATATTTTCAAATAAAATTCTGCTCTAATAGGAGGTGCTTTTAGATATTAAGGCATATAACCTTATGTTTTATAAAAAGCAAATCTGAGCCAAAAGATACTTATTTAAAATTAAAATTCTTTTATTAAAAACTATGCATAATTATATGGAAAAAATATAGGTTCCTATCCCTTTTATTTGGATGTTAAAAATTAAATGCAAGATGACTTATAGATCTAAAGTGCTTAATTAAATAATTTATAAAGTGGTAGCACATCTTCACCTATAATAATGAGATTAATTGATGAAGAAATGAGAGAAGTTAGTTTTTTTTAAAATACAAGTTAGATAAATTAAGATATCCTGATTGAATTTAGTAGCTATTTACTTGAATTATAAAGTTAAGAAGTTGGGCTTTATGGTGATCTCAGATAGAATTATAATTTTGATTCATTTGGTTTCGTTTTTAATGCGTCTTATTCTTATCAGCCTAATGCAAACTCCTCTATCACAGTTAAAACAGTTAGTCCTATCCCTATTTTAAATACCACAACTTTTAAATTCGAAAATCAAGAGCTAAGTATCTCTATTGATGTTAACTTTAGGAAGTGTTAGTAAGGAGAAATTTTACAAACTTTGTAGAAGTATAAAATATGTTATACTTGCTTATAAGGTAAATTTTTATTTAATAAAGCCTTTAACTTTTAACTTTTATTAAGTAATGATTTCAAGATATAAAAGAAATTAAAAAATTTATAGAATATTTTTTGCAATAGCTGATCAAATCTTCTTTATTGATATATTAATTGCAAATAATTTATTATGAATAAATAAAAGTTTTCAAAAATATATAGTAAATATTTTAATAAAACAAACTGAATTAATAATTGGATTATCTAAAATTTTATCTATCTATAATATTTTTATTTACTTTTAAAAAAATACTTTAAGAATTATATAACATAAAATTTTATCTTAACTATTTTATTTTGATTATTATTGCTTCTTTTCAATAATAATATTTTTTTTAAATTTAACTCAATAATAAAAAACACACTATTTTTACCAAATATTCTTAAATATGCTTCAAATAATTAAACTAGCCAACTTTTTTTAAAAAGGTAATTATTGTTTACAAGATCCAAATTAATTCGAAAATTTGGAGTGTCTCAAATGCCCATTAGGTACTAAAAATTGTTATTCAAATATCATACAGTTATAAAATGGGTATTGGAGTAAGAACTAGAATTCAGACTTAATTTACTAATGTATAAATCCAGAATTTTGTATCTCAGAAGACCCTTCAAATAAGTTTGGATGCTAAATAGGACATGTAGGAGCCATTTGTGAATCTTGTGATTATTAAGGAATTGTTTGGGGATCAAAATATGGAAGAAGTAATGGTGGAATTTAATGCTAAGAATGCTCGAAGCAGAATTCAACTTAATCTATCCTAATTCTATTTTTGTTTTTGATAATAATTTGTGCTTATTTAATCTTCTAAATTTCAAGGTAGCTGATATTAATATAAAAAAAAATGGAATGGTTTTATTTGAGAAAGCTTAAAATAATTTTACTATAAAATCAAAGCATTAGTAGTTCTTCTTCTTATATCAAAATTCTTATCAACTATTTATAGTTTATAGCATTAATAAATAACTTAGGCATATAGACTTAATAATTTATTTCTATTGCTGAAGTTGGAGGTGGTGATCCTGTATAGCATACAGTTTATAATTTAGATTGTATATTTAGTAGCTATGATATCTAAATTCCTTTGTATGCTATGAGAGTTATATTTATCAATTCCCAAATAATTACCATATTTTTGTTGATCCAGTTAGTAAAATCCCTCACAAACTTGTTTAAGATGATAGATGACTTTTCATTTTTGATTTCTTCTTTCATATTAATATACTTATTCTTTAGTTCTTCCGTAATTAAAGTATTGATATAGTCTTCATCTTGTAGAGATATGGGAGGCAATCTATATATTATTGCTGAAATGCAGGAAGTATGCTACACTTAATAACATATTAAAATATTACTATTTTTAATAGGTCCACTACTTTTTATATGGTTATTTTTAATTCCTGCATCATTTTATATTATCTTGTACAGAAATAGATAAAAATTGTAAAGCTTGCTTTATCTGAAGAAGTATGGTCTTTTGTACTAAGTAAATAGTTTTTTAATAAAACAAAATTATTTTTTATTATAAAATTTTTTTATCAATAGGAATATAAAGTAAAATCTTATTATTGGGATTTAACAAGAAGTCAAGCAAGAGCATCTCTTGTTATATTTCTAAATTTAATTAGGGTTTCACCATAATTAAAAGCTTAGTTCTTATTATTATTTATGTTTATTTATCTAATATTTTTGATAAAAGTAAGTCCTTATTAAAGATAGTAGTTAAATAATATTGATTAACTATCATGCAAGTTAGTTATAACAAGTATATTCATAATATAAATGATATTACTTACAGACAATCTATTATTTTAATAACTATTATAAAATATTTTGATTGCCATAAATATGAGTTTCTTAGCAATCTTGCTCTTATTAATAATATAAAGACCGATTCCTTATGATAAAAATAACTTAAATATCTTATAAAAATTCTAAGTTTTTATATCAAAATTCATTCCAAACTCTATTTATTAACTTACTTATTAAAAATAGATAAATTTATTAAGAATAAATTATCTATGGAAAATAGTTCAAAACTCTTTAAGGTAAGTTATTGGTATTGAAGCAAATTTAAAGAACCAAAAATGGTATTTACAATCGAAACTGGCTTAGTAAAGTTAATTCAAAGTTAGAAGTCCAATAATTAACTAAGGAATAACAAATAGTTCCTTTAAATAAGCAGTAGAGAAACACAATTTAGATAAAAATCTAAAATGAAAAGAAACTTAAAAGATAAAAATAATAACTATAAAAATAAATAATTTTTTTTATTTAAATTGTTTTTACTTGTATAAATAAGTTTTTAACATATTTTATCTTTGAATTTACAAAATTACATTTGAAAAAATTAAAATCATATTTATTTCTACTTCTTTTTATTTGGAGTGTTGAAAATAAAATCAATTTTATTTTAATGTTTAAATTTATTTTATTTTACTTTTAAACATTTTTAAAATATTGAAGGGATTAAATCTCTTTGCAGTGAAAAAGACATATTAAATTTTAAATAAGTGTTTTTAATATTTCTATTTTAATAATAACTTATAAAAATATTATTTTATTATTAACTAAATTCTTTTATATTTGACAATGTAATTTCACATAAGAATTATTATAAAAACTTATAATCTCAATTTATATTTAATCTTTAGTTTCGCTTGAATGAAAAAAACTAAAAATAATTTAAGTAAATTATGGTCTATTTAAGCGCATTAAGTGTTCTTTCAAACTACATATTTTTTTTAAATTTATTATGAGAAAATATAAAAATTAGTAGGATTTTCAATCAATTAATTTATTTATTAAGTAGCCAAGGAAAATGAAATTTAAAAAATACTAAAAAAATATAAAAATCCAAATACTCTCTAAAGGTACTATTTTGGTGACAGACATATTTATTAATTTTTATTAAATTTTTGTGCTTAAAATAAAGTATATAAGTCATTTTTAAAGTATTTTTTTTGAAGTATAAATAAGTATTTATGAATGATTTTTTAAATATTAGCAAGCGTTTTTAATATTTCTATTATTGACTATATTGTTTTTGATAATATAATTTTACTTATGTTTTATTATAGAAACTTATAATCACAATATATTTAAAAGTTTGGTTTTTCTTGAATGAAAATACACTAAAAGTAATTTAAATAAATTAAGGTTTATTTAACCACATTAAGAGTACTTTCAAACTACATATTTATTTTAATTTTTTATGAGAAAAGATAAAGGTTAGAATAAATATTTTTTAATTTTATAAAATTATTTAAAAACAAGACAATTTTTTTTCACATTATATATTAATTATAAAAGTTTAAAATTATTAAATTATTTATTTTGATTGACATGATTTTAATAGAAATTTTATTGAATTGTACAATTAAATTATTAGTTATACCAAACTAATTTCTAGTTTAAAAAATTTTATAATTACTTCTTTAATAAAGGTATTACTAAGTAAATTATAATCATAAGAAAAGCCTGACAATTTGAACATCTTTATTAAATTATTATATTTTCTTTATGATCTTCTTAAATATTTTATAAATATATAAATTATATAAATATCTTTTTTCTAGTTTTAAGATTCAAATATGATGAAATTTGAATGATCAAATCTTTATAAACGAATCTTGATTAAAATTTTTACTAAACCTATGAAAAAATTACTATAAAATGATAATTTTAAGATATGAAATGTTAAATATGAATTATTTTTTTTCAATTACTTATTTAAATATTATTTTGAATTAGAAACAAGCAAAAATTTACATTCTCTCAATTTCTTACTTTATTACTTGTAAATTTAAGTTAATGTTAGGTAAATATATATTTTTGATTCAATTAATAGATATACTTGAGGCTTCTCAAATGTGCTTTAATAAGTTACCTGATTTCAATTGAGATCAAAGCTTTAATTAATTAAAAAACTTTATTCTTAAAATTCAAACTCTATCTATTACAATTTTTTCTATTTCCTAAAATTAATAGACAAAATTTTTCAGTAAATGTTATTTATTGTTTACCTATTTAAACAATTTTGAAATTAATTGAGGTTAAAAAATTTCTTTTAAATACAAATTTTGATTATTATTTTTATCTTACATACTATAAATTAATTTCTACTTGAAAGTAGTTATTGTCTATAAAAGAAAGACATCAATTTTATCTATAACTGCAAAATATATATAAAAATTAACAATGATTTTCAATTTTTTTTTTTACTTTCTATAAATTTGTAAATGTTTTTCTTGCTTCGTTACAATTCCTCATCTAAATTCTAAAAATTTAATTTTGCTTATTTCTTACTTACTTAATTTTCAAATTAGATGAAATTAAATTGAGAGCCATTTAAATACATCCCTTTTTTTTAAGTAATTTGTAACTATTTAAGTTTAACTCTAAATTTAAAATTAATCTAATTTAAATCTATTGAAGACATCAAAAATTTATTATTAATTAACTAATAAAAATACATATCAAATAAATTTATTAAAAAAATAATTAAAAATGAAAGTCCTCGCCTTATTAACAATTATTACAATGAAATCTGTTTTATGGGCTAAAACTCCATATTCATTAGCTAATCTGATCTTTAAATTTCGTTAAGTTGCATTTCAGCTTTGAAGACTCCGATTGTTTTGCCACCCCTTTGCATAGAAGCCCTGCTTATTTGAATTGTATCTTTTGCACATCTAATAATAGTGCTTCAGTTCCTATTTAAATTGCTCTAAAATATATGCTAATACTTTTATTAATGACCTCACTATTAAGGGTGATATCACAGTTACAACTTATTCTAATGATATCTGTCTTACATTCAAACTATTAATAGATCAATTTTGTCCTGATGAGCTTTTTCTTAGCTTTTATCGCTTTACTCCTCTATTTTTTAATTAAATGCAACTTCATAAAATAGATTATATAGTAAATATTTGAGCATATATATCAAGTTTGAATTTGTAATTACATTTAATTATTATATCCAATTTTCAATCAAAATATTATCTTATAATTTTAGATTTCATTTCTAAGTATTAAAAAAATAAAATGATTAAAATTATTTTACATTTTAAATTTTTCTTTTTCAATAGGCTATTAATATGATTCCTTATTAAGGAAGCAATACAATTTTCTATTAACAAAAAATCTAAAACCAATTTATGAATAATCAAATTAACAACTACCTGCACAGTAAAACTTTTTATTAATTTTAGAATTCATTAAAGAGATCAGCTTCAAAGAATTCTTTATCTATTATAAAGTAGAATTTAATAAAAAAAAATTAAATTGATTAAGAAATATCTACCAGGCTTTTAAATAACAAAAGTATAGCACTTTGCAATTTTAAAAAATATTCAAGAGAGAATATACAATCGGAGCGTTTATGGGCATGGGGGGGTAAAAAAGGCCTTTTCCTTATTATTTGCATAAAATCAATTCAAAATTAAATTATAGGAATTCGGTTATTATGCTCACTGATTTCGCACACTCCCTCATAACAATAAACTTCGAAATAGAATGTTTGGTGATTGTTGGAGGGGTTTAGATTTTTAGGCGATGATATTTGCTATTTATAGTAATAATTTTTTAGTAATAATTGTGGAAGAGTTCCTATTTAAATATATATCTTATTCTTTAACATATAAAACAAAGCATTTTTATTTTTTAAATCAGTAATATCTTATTTTTATAATTTAAAAAGTTGTTGATTTTTCTCATTGTATTTGAATTGATTTGTTTATCTTGGTAAAACTGTTAAATAAGAATATTGATAACAAAAGAAAGAACAAACAAGCACACTAAAAAATATTTAAAAGTTGATGAAGTAGAAGATTTTGATAACTATTCACTTAATACTAAATATAATTTTCCTTTGTTTTGGTCAACAAGATGGTGTTAGTTAATGTAACCAGGTATGCTAAGATTGCTCTAGCGATAAAAACTTTGAGTGCCTTGGATGTAAATACCCATTTTATTTTGATCAGGATAGCTATAATTGTGTCTAATCTTGCCCTAGTGGAAAATATGAAAACTAAAACATGGAATGCATTTCTTGCGCTTCTAAATTTTGCTCAAACTGCTCATCTACTGAATGCTATTAATGCTAGCCTGGATACTCTTTGAACCCATACGATAAAGTAACTTAATCACTTATTTTTTAAAAAAATCATTCCATTTTTTTTACTCTAGTAAGGATGCATTGCGAACTGTTAAGATAGTTAATATTTACTTGATGGAGAATGCGTATATGAGTGTAGCATTTAATCTAATAGTTATTCCTTAGATTCATCTTCGAACACTTGCATTTAGCTATTAGCCTGTCCTTTTTTATCTTATATACCTGAAACTTAAGCAGTTGGTAAAATATAGTTCTATAGTACATCCATCAGTGAAAGTAATAATTATTTTTCGTTATTTTATAATTAAATAAATTGGGTTTAATACATAATGAAAATATACTTTTTTTTTCATAAAAGAAAGAGGGAAAAAAATTTTTAGCAAAAGATCACAAAAAATTTAAATTTTATTGTTTATTCCTTTAATAATCAGTTAATTTTCATTAAATTAAAATGAAAATTTATCATTATATTTCCTTTTGTCTAAATTGATACTATTGATATTCTTAGATAATGATCAAATTCATAAAATAGAATTTAACTATCTTTATTGAATTTATTTTAATTTTATCAATATCACTTACAAATCATTATTTGAAATAAAATTTATAATATTTAAAAATAATTTTTGATCTATTTTAAATTAAGGTAAAAAGCTATTAAATATTATCATATGAAAGCACTCATAATTTAAAGTTAATTTTTTTAAAATTTACTCTAGTTTTTAAATGATTGAATCTTCATAAAAAATTTGTTAAAATAATTTTTAAAAATATCTAAATTCCTTTTTTGCATTTAAGACAATGCTTCTTTTATATTTTAATATGAGTTTTTTGTTATTTATTTAATTATTAGTTATATTAAATTAATTAAAAGTTTTAAACGCTGAGTTAGTTTTGAATCTACAATTCTATTTTATAAATAATATTATTAGCTGATTATATTTAATACTAAAATTTTCTTATTTGATATTTTAATGCCTATTAGCGTTATTAAATTTTGAAAATCATGATAATAGTAATTAAATTCTACATAAAAATTGTATTTCGAATGATGATTATTTTTAAATTCAATAAGTTTTATAAAAAAGTAGATTTTTAAAATACTGAATTTTATCTTTATTGCTTTGAATAAAATTATTATAAGCTCATTTAAACCTCAAATGAACAATTAATCAAAATTTTATATTTTATAATTTTGTATTAACAAAGATTTAAAAAAAATATTTTACTTTTTTATCAAAAAGTTGCTTGCTTTTATTTAAATAATACTCATTTGTATAAATTAAACTTTTTTTGCAGAATTAAAAATTAAATTTAATATAATGAAATATCCTACCTCTCCTTCAAATAGTGAATAATTTTTAATATTTTTTTTAATTTTCGAAAAAAGATAATAGCACTTTGCTTTAGATTGATGAATATGGCAAAGTTATTACGAAATCAATTCCTTAACTTGTACCTTAAGCTTATTATAGTTTTCCTTAACTAGCATCTGTAAATAAATTATTTATGTTTATTTTGTTTTTAAGTTTCAAAAATTAATAACAGATCGCAAATTGTGTACAACTAGTAGAATAATCAACTCAAAATAAAATACTTTCTTGTATGAATATGGATACACAAGTTTTCACTTTTTATATCTCTAGCGGTTTACTTTTATCATAAAATATTACATTTAATTAATAAATAAGTAATGTATATTACTTAGATGGGATGAAAATGACCTTTTTGTCATAAGTAGGCTTTATAGTCTAATATAACTTCCAATCTTAGTAATTTTCTGTTGTTGATAATTCATCAGATATGTTAAATTAAATACTCAGCGTTTAAAATTATCAGTAAAATAATGATCAATTTATCCTTGCTATCAACTCAACAAATACAATTTTTTATTATGATTAATCATTTAATAAGAATATACTTTTATAGTACTCATCATAAAGCACTCTTTAAATGGAAAATTTAGATACATAAAATATGTGGGTGTTCTACTAATATAATAAAATAGATTTTTACTAAATATTATTTGGTCAAGTTCCTTCGTTGATCAAATCTATCACTCCATAGACTATTCTATATTCAATAATGAGATCTAATAAAGTAAAAATTACTATTTTATTTATATTAAAATAAAATATTTATATCTAAATATATATATAGACTTTGATTCTAATTGATGGTTAAAATTAAACAGCAATTTAAGTATTCTAAATTAGCTAAAATAAATAAGTTACAGAAATCACAAGCACTTTACCACTTATGTTCTTTCATTCTGATTGTTTTTGGAAGACTAAAGATGTCTATTTCTCTCAAAAACAAGATCTACTTTACATTTTCAACCTTAATTCAAATAGTTTTACTGTTTCTTATACTGTTAAATTATCTTAACCTTTAGTTTGCTCACTAACTTCTTTAGACCTTTTTTAAAATAATAATAAAATTTTTTTATTAATTAAGATAATGTAAGATATATAAATTTAAGAGCTCACTTAAAGCCAATTAACCTCTGTAAATTCAAGTTAAATGTATTTCTCATCTGAATAGCATACTTATTATTATAATTAACTATTATTTAATTAACCGGCAGTTAATTTTTTAAATACTGCTACAAATAATTAAATATTAGAACTAAAAGGATATGGTATTGCTTACTAATATGATTTAGAATCAAGATAAATTGCTAAATAATTCTATTTTTGGGATGATTTTTATTATCCTGACCAATTAGAAGTTTAAGTCTTTTTATTCTACAACTTTATAGTTGTATAAGAAGAAGAAAAATTAATACTTACTGGAATAAGAAATGGTGTTTTGACGATAAGAGAATTAAATTTATATACTTTTGAAATACTTTTAGAAAACTAGTTTAGTGATATAGATATTACACCTAACCAATTATTTTTCTTTGATTAACCGTTCTATATCCACAGTACAAAAACGTTGATAGTTTAAATTTATAATTAAGTAATCAGTGAACTTTTTTCAGAATTAAGAGAGCTTCATATTTTTAGTTATAACTAAATAAACAACTAATACAACTATAAATTCTCAATAAGATAGATAGTAATTGATGTTTAAGTTTCACAGAAAACAGGCGATATTATTTGTTTCTTAACTTTGCAATAATTATTCCTCAAATAAATATAGATCTACAATATTTACAAAGATGTAATTATATTTATTTAAATCAAATTAATTAGATAATCATTTTTTAAAAATAGTAAAATCCTGTTTTTGTCTCTGAAACATTTTATAATATTTGTACATTTTAGTTAGGGTTTTTCAATTTAAACTAAGATATTATTTATTATTCTGATTATTTTGGAGGAATAATAAGTATAAGTCTTCTAAACAATTATTAGTACAATTTATTTAGTGAAATAACATAAATTGTTTCTTATTATCTATCACCAAATTTAAGCTATTAGATCTTTAGCTTAGCACCTTATAATACAGTTTAAATTGTCTCTACTCAAAATAATAAGGTCCTATAAGTAATATCAATATAAAATAAGTTTTAAATTTATATATATTTTTTAAACTAGGAAGTAGCTATTAGTATATACATACCATTTTTCATTAGTTATGGCAACAAAGTATTCATTATCAGCCATACTTACACTTTATCATACTATGATGGAGATACAAATTAGCTCATACTATATTAAAATGAGTATTATGGGTAGATCTTGTAGACCCTTTTACATAAATAAAATTAGATCATATTTATAAATACCAAGATCTCTCTAATAATTAGCTTATAAGATCCAAATCTATAATTATAATAGGTAAAATAAATTAATAAATAAACTTAAGTTTAACTTCTATTTTTTTTAAATTTAAGGCATCATAAAATTCTTATTCTAATCCATATCAATTTAAGGATATTTAAATTCCTTTTTCTGCTAATAATAACTGGTTATAGTAAATGGTAGATGTAAAATAAATATTTTGTTACGAATATTAAAATAATGATTATTTAAATACATATTAAAACAAATATGTTGTTAATTTTTATGAGTTAGATATATAGTTAAATATATATGCAAATTATATTGGAGTGATAAAATACCAAAAGTTAATAACATCTATTGTTATTGATTTCTCACAACTTAATTCGCTATAACCTTAAAATTATAGGCAGTATTATTTGTACGATAATAAAGGATTTTATTATCCATATTAAAAATATATGGTAATAGTTGTTGGATATCGTCTTGCTTTAATTAGCTCATCTAATTTTGAAATTGTAAAAATTTATTTAACATTTACTTTCTTTCTTTATTTACTTATTTACATAAAAAATATTAAAAAGCTTTTTAATTATGAGTCTTAAATATTATTTATGAATCTTGCATACGATATAGAATTAGGATACATGGCTTTTATAGATAACTTGTAAGATTGTATATTCAACTTAAAGGTAAGTAAATATTTAAATTTAAAAATAAAATTTAAAATATTTTTTCATATATAATTTTCAAGGCTATTTCTTTAAATTGCATTACTAATAACTATCCATTTCAAATTTAATATTTATATGGGACTGTTATTTAAAGACAAAAATAGTTGATCATCTTTTATAGTTAATATAGTTTAAGAGTGTACTCTTTAAAAGAATAAATTTATAAGTTTATTAAATATTCAGCAAACTTTTAACCTTATTCTATATATAATAATGACTATGGTAGCAATATAATTATTGGAGAATAAAAAAGTTAAAGTTTTAAAATACTTAATTTAGATTCATATACATTGTTGGATACATCTTTCCCAGCAATGAATGCTTAAATTCGACAAAACCTGTTTAAGGTATGAAAAAAAAAATAAATTTCAATAAAAGAAAGTATTTTACATTATTTTTTAATTAAAAGTTTTATTTTTTCTCTGACCAAACATAAGTGATGCTATTTTCTTCTTACAATAAATATGTCGTAATATATAACATAAATACTCAAGTGACTATGCAAACTATCTAATTATAGTATGAATATAATTACCAAAGTCAAATAGTTGTTGATGAAACTCTAGATCTGGTTATGCTAATTGATAATCAAAACTAAATTGAAATCATTTCTTATGATAATAATTAAATTGTTAAAATATTTTAAGTAATTTTTTTAATTTACTTTTTTTAAAATATTCTTTTATTTTCACCAAAACTATTTAAGATATTCAATTTTTTTTTCTAAATAAAATATTGAAATAGTTAGATAAGGTATAAAATGATTCAAACGCTTACTAAAAAATATTGATTTGGGATCATTATAAGAGAAAACTATTTGCAACCTCAAATAATATATTTTATATCTTTGATTATGATACTAACATTTTTATTTGCAAATACCAATTTTAGCTTCCAATATTTGATATTTACATCAGCTTTAATAAAAATTAAATATTCGTTACAGACTATTTGAATTTAAAAGTTTTTGATTACACAATCTTAGAGTTTAACTAAAATTAATTATTACCTTATAGTATTTTACCAAATCTATTATAAATTAATCAAAACCAATATATTTTATTTGATAATAGTCAATCAACTCTTAAAAATATAGTCAATGGTGAAGTAAAGGATGTTAAATACTTTTTGCAACTAAATCCTTCATACTTTTACTTCAATTATTACAATGAAAATGACTCCTAAATTTATGTAATAGTATATAATTAACTATTAATCTACAATATAACTTCAACTATAATAACTCCTATATTTTCTTAATTGCTTGATTCTTAAATATTTACTTTTATAAGTGACTCTGATTTCCAAGTCCTTTTTTTGACTTAAAAGTAGTCTTTATATTCTCTTTAAAAGAATCAAACTAATCCATTACTCTCTATACTAACATATATATCAACAGGAGTAGGTCAATTTATTATGATCGATGATTCTTACTTAATATACTGCTCAACAAAAAACACAAACTTATGGAATAAATTAATATTTTAATACACTTAGTCTCTTTCTACTTAAATTAAAATTGAATAGTTTTAATTTAAATTAGAATAAAATGATAGTATTAAATAGATTGTTAGAATAAACAATACTTTGAACATCATAATATTAACAAATTAATGTATTTAATTAATAAATATTTAGACAGGAGATATTTTGTAAATCTCCCAACTAGATTTCTAAAACCAATAATCTAAAATCTACTTTGACCCTCTTTATTAAAGGATTTATTATGCAGATAGAATTGAAGGAGTTAACGTATTTGATCTAAAAATGCAAACTATTAAAAAGAATTTACCTTCTTCAGGTATCAAATTAAAAATGGAAGGCTCTTTCATATTTATGCTTTCATTTAACTCTGTAAGTATATATTTAAGAGAAGACCTCAAATTATTCTAAATAATTAGACAATTTAACAGCACTCAATCACTAATAGATATTGAATACACTGGATTTAATAATACTTTTGTTTTATATTTCGACAATTCAATTAGTTTCTATAATGCTAACCCTTTTTCTTAACCTAAATTAATTGATTAATTACAAATATAAAATTATAAGGTTTTATCATCATAATTAAAATTTCAGAATTCTTCATATTTAATTGTTGATATGATGATTATAACTATAGAAAATACTTTATAATACACCGCTGTGTTAAATATTGGCTCTTTTTCAAATAATATTTGCTCTGCATAGTTATAAATACGAACAGATTAAAATGATTTAATAATAAAAAATTAATAAAGTGATTATTTGAATTTATTATCTCTAAAATAACTCTAAATTTAGAACATTATTTATAGCTTGTACATAAATAATGGCGAATAAACTGATTTAAAGTATCCTTTTGTTAGCTCTAGCTCTGTGACAAACTAGTACTCTCTAAAAATTTAAGCTATAAATAATAATAGTATTTATCTAAATACTCAAAATAGTACAGATTAAAATATTGTAGAGCTGAAACTATAAAACCTAAAAATTTCCTTTAAAAATTTAAATAATAATCAGTTCTTGTTTGGAAATCAAACATTTAAAAAATTAGTAAGACTATTTTTAGATGACATTGAATTATCAGATTTTGGTAATAATCAGCTATAATTTGAAGGTATCAACAATCTTTTTATCTAAAATTTAGTGATTAATGGAGAATAAATTCAATAGATTAACTAATAGATTATACTCTTCTAATATATTGACATAGTTGTTATACAAAACATTAATTTTACTAATTGTGAATTTAATAATATAATGAATCTACTTAAATTTAGTAATATAAACTAATTGACAATAAACAACTTCAACATCAACTCGAATATTTTACATTCAAATTTTTAACAAAACTCTATGATAAATATCTCATAAGTAAACTAACTTACAATAAATAATACTAACCTAATTGGGAATATATTTTAAAATGTTTAAATATTCAAAATAACTGATGTTACTTAAATTAGTATTAGCAACATGAAATCATCTTAAAATGAAATAATAATCAATTAAAATGTTGATTTATAAGGTATTATTTTCTAAATTGAAACAACTCCATAAGTTAATTTCACTAAAATCCAATTTAATGTTCTTAAATTTAACTCACTCTAATCCATTTCTTTACTGAAATTTTCTAATGTAAATCAAACTTTAACATTTAATGATTTTTATTTCGCAGATTTTCAATTAGAAAGCTATTAAAATAGTTCAATTAGCAGCTAATAATTTTTCATTTTAGAATGTGAGGGAATACTTAATTCGAATTTCTCAAATATTCAGATAAAAAATTCAAGTATGTTAGGATTTATTAATTTACATGACTTAAAAAATGATAATGGAGTTAATATTTAAAATAAAATATCAACCTACTACAACTATTAGCATTCTCTTTCTGCAATAAATCAACTAATGATACTTAATGCATAATAATTAACAGTAACAAATTCTAATTTTACATCTATCTCTTGCATAAATTCAGAAGTTGGATTTATTTAAATTTAAGTTAGCTAAAGCATTCTTTTAGATACAATCTTAATTTAAAAAGTTGATCTAAAGTAAAATAGTTTTATTTACATATCTCAAAGTCCTTAAATAATTATCTAAAATGTTGATTCAAAAAATATAAAAACAAATAACATAGCAAGTGTTTTTTATTTGTTATAAATATCTAGTCTAATAATGAAAAATAACAATTTTATCATGAACCTATCTTATCTTGATGGAGGAGCTATATATTTAAACTAAATATCATAAATAATCTTTTTAGGTAACACATTTTAGTAAAACTAATCAAAGACAGGAAATGGGGGAGCTATTTATTGCTTCAGTAGCGTATTTTCTTAGTTTAATGGCAATGCTTTCTTTTAAAATTCTTGTAAATAAGGCTCAGGTGGAGCATTATTTTTGAATAATTGTGATATTAAAAACATGACAAATAATATTTTCAAATAAAATACTGCTCAAATAGGAGGTGCTTTTAGATATTAAGGCATATAACCATATGTCTTATAAAAAACAAATGTGAGCCGAAAGATACTTACCTAAAATTAAAATTCTTTTATTAAAAACTATGCATAGCTATATGGAAAAAATATAGGCTCTTATCCATTTTATTTAGATGTTAAAAATTAAATGTAAGATGACTTAAAGATCTAAAATGCTAAATTAGAAAATTTATAAAGTGGTAGCACATCTTCTTCACCTATATTAATGAGATTAATTGATGAAGAAATGAGAGAAGTTAGTTTTTTTAAAAATACAAATTAGATAAATTAAGATATCCTGATTGAATTTGGTAACTATTTACTTGAATTGTAAAGTTAAGAAGTTGGGCTTTAAGGTGATCTCAGATAGAATTATAACTTTGATTAATTTGGTTTCATTTTTAATGTATCCTATTCTTATCAGCCTAATGCTAACTCCTCTATTATTGTTAAAACAATTAACCCTATCCCTATTTTAAATGCCACAACTTTTAATTTCAACTATCAAGAGCTAAGTATTTCTATTGATGTTAACTTTAGGGAGTGTTAGTAAGGAGAAATTTTACAAACTTTGGAGAAGTATAAAATATGTTATACTTGTTAATAAGGTAAATTTTTATTTAATAAAGCTTTTAACCTTTAACTTCTTAGTAATATTTTAAGAGATAAGGAAATTATAAAAATGTATTGAATGTTTTTTGCATTTTCTGATCAAATCTTATATTAACTGCAAATAATCAAAGAAAATAAATAAAAGTTTTTAAAGATATTTAGCAAATTTATATATAAACGCTGGTAAAATTTAATGTAATGACATATATCACCTTATTAACAGAGAATTTACAACTATCCCTTACCCATAATATTTTTATTTACTTTTTAAAAAAAAACTTCAAGAATTGATTAACCTAATTTTTGATCTGAACGATTTTATTTAGTTTAATATTGCTCCTTTTAAAAAAAATATATTTTTAAATTAACTCAATATGAAATTGTTTTTATCAAATATTCATAAATATGTTTCAATTAATTAATAGCGATATTTTTTTAAAAAGGTAATTATTGTTTACAAGATCCAAATTAATTTGAAAATTTACAGTGTCTCAAATGCCCTATAGGTTCTAAAAATTGTTAATCCAATATCATACAGTTATAAAATGGGTATTGGAGTAAGAACTAGCATTCAGACTAAATTTACTAATGTATAAACCCAGAATTTTGTATCTCAGAAGACCCTTCAAATAAATTTGGATGCTAAATAGGACATGTAGGAGCTATTTGTGAATCTTGTGATTCTTAAGGAATTGTTTGGGGATCAAAATATGGAAGAAGTAATGGTGGAATTTAATGCTAAGAATGCTCGAAGCAGAATTAAACTTAATCTATCCTAATTCTATTTTTGCTTATGATAATAATTTGCGTTTATTTAATCTTCTAAATTTAAAGATAGCTGATATTAATAGAAAAAAAAATGCAATGGTTTTATTTGAGAAAACTTAAAATAATTTTGCTTTTAAATCATAACATAAATAGTGCTTCTTCTTATATCAAAATTCTTATAAATTATTTATAGTTTCTAGCATTAATAAATAACTTAGGCATATAGACTCAATAATTTATATCTGTTGCTGAATTCGGAGGTGGTGATCCTGTATAGCATACAGTTTATAATTTAGATTGTATATTTAGTAGCTATGATATCTAAATTCCTTTGTATGCTATGAGAGTTATATTTATCAATTCCTAAATAATTACCATATATTTGTTGATTTAGTTAGTAAAATCCCTCACAAAAATGTTTAAGATGATAGATGACTTTTCATTTTTTATTTCTTCATTCATATTAATATACCTATTTTTTAGTTCTTCCGTAATTAAAGTATTGATATAGTCTTCATCTTGCAGAGATATGGGAGACAATCTATATATCATTACTGAAATGCAGGATGTATGCTACACATAATAACACATTAAAATAATACTATTTTTAATAGGTCCACTGCTTTTTATATGGTTCTTTTTAATCCCTACATCATTTTATATTATTTTATACAGAAATAGATAAAAATTATAAAGCTTGCTTTTTATGAAGAAGTATGGTCTTTTGTACTAGGTAAATAGTTTTTTTATAAAGCAAAAGCATTTTTTTTAAATAAATTTTTTTTATATCAATAGGAATATAAAGTAAAGTCTTATTATTGGGATTTAACTAGAAATCAAGCAAGGGCATCTCTTGTTATATTTCTAAATTTAATTAGGACTTCACCATAGCTAAAAGCTTCACTCTTATTATTTTTTATGTTTATTTATCTATTATCTTTGATAAAAGTAAGTCCTTATTAAAGATAATAGTTAAATAATATTGATTAACTATCATGCAAATTAGTTATAATTAGTATATTCATAATATAAATGATTTTACTTACAGATAATCTATTATTTTAATAACTATTATAAATTATTTTGATTGCTTTAAATATGAGTTTCCTAGCAATCTTGTTCTTATTAATAGTATAAAGACCGATTCCTTAAGATAAAAATAACTTAAATATCTTATAAAAATTCTAAGTTTTTATATCAAAATTAATTCCAAACTCAATTTATTAACTTACTTATTAAAAATAGATTAATTTATTAAGAATAAATTTTCTTTGGAAAATAGTCTAAAGATCTTTAAGGTAAGTAATTGGTGTGGAAGCAAATTTTAAGAGCTAAAAATGGTCTTTTCAATTAAATCAGAGTTAGTAACATAGTTAATTCAAAGCTAGATAGTCAGGAATTAGCTAGCAACTAAAAACTCATATTTATAGATAGACGCTAGAGATTTGCAATTAAGATAAAAACCTAAAATGAATAGATGCTATTTCTAAAATAAAAGATAAAAATTTAAATAATAACTTTATTATAGATAAAAATAAGTTTTATTTAAATTGTTTTTATTTTAATTAATTTGTTTTCCACAAATTTAATATTCTATTTTATAAAATTACATTTAAAATAATTAAAATCATATTTGTTTCTACTTCTTTTTTTTATTTGGAATGTTAAAAATAAAATCAAGTTTATTTTTAATGTTTAATTTTATTTATGTTTTTTTTTGAAAAATATTGAAGGAATTAAATTTCTTTTTTGTGAAAAATACATTATTAAATTTTCAAACATAAAAACAAATAAATATTTATTTGAAGAATGTAAATTAAAATCAATTCTCTTTACACATTAATTTAATGAGAAATTTTAAATGAATTTAAATTTATTATTCATCAAAAAGGAATAAATAAAAATTTGCTACCATCATATTTTGATTAAAGATTATAACAGATTATTTAATAAACAACATAATGGAATCCTTAAAAATAAACAAATAAATTATTATTTTAAATAATTCATTAATTTTTTCATTTTTATTTGATTATTTTTTATTTGAGCTAATAAAAAAATAAAATTTTTTTAAAAGAGTTTAATTTAATTTGGCTATATTGCTAGATAATTATATATTTTTTTGGTTATAAATAGATGTATTTGAGGTTAGTCAAATGTGCTTAAATAAATTGCTTGCATATAAATTTCGTTAAGAAAATTTATTTCAAAAATAAATTAAAAACCGTAAATAATATTTATTAATAATTATATTTATCTATAACAAATTAAAAAATCTTTTTTCAAAAAAAAATTCTAATTAAGAATCAATTTTCATAAGCAAATTATTTTTTCAAAAATATAGAAAAATATTTTAAAATGACATAAAGTTTTTTATTTCTTAAATAATTTAATTAAAAAGATCATTTTATCATTAACTTCTATTTTTAAAATAAACTAAGTTGTCTTTTTAAAATCCATATATTATTTTCATCTCTTTTACAACTTCTTAGTTTTTATTTGGAAAGATTTCAAAATTTAATAGTATATAAGCTAGCATAGATTTTCCTTCAATCATGGCTAGATGCTATCCAATGCAATTTCTTGGTCCTAATGAGAAGGGAGTGAAATTAAATGTATTCTACTAACTTTTTATTCATTAAAAAAATACATTAATGTTAACTAATTATTTATGAATATTAAATAAATACTCTATTTGTTTCATCCATCTTGAAGGATCAAAATTATTTGGTTCAGGATATATTTCTGGGTTGGAAAAGTTGTAAATGAAGAATGTATTTATAAAATCTCCTTTTTTAACTTCAAAATCTCCAATTTGGATGTCTTAAATAGCAACTCTTGGGAAAACTTCAATTGCTGGTGGTATTAACCTCAAAGACTCTTTCAGTACAGAATTTAAGAAATTAAGATTTTGAATATCTTCAAAAGTTAATGAGTTAAATAGATCAACAGGGTTGGTTGACTTTGTTCTAGATGATGCCAGTTTGATTATTTCCTCTCTTGCTTTGTTTTGAATATCTGGGTAGAGTGATAAGTAATATAAAGCTACTCTTGTCATGTTCCCTGTAGTGTCAGTGCCAGCAAAAAATAAGGCCAAGAAGTTGTCTATGATTTCTTCATTAGATATTTTTGATTTTTCATTTACTATCATTTCTTTTAAATATTAATGCAAAAAGTTATTTTTAGCAGATTTTATAACTTCTATGAGCTCTATTCTTCGTTTCTCAACAACTTACATACATTATTTCTTAATCTCAATCAAACGCTTTTGCAAATTCTACTCATTTTTAGTAGGAAAATATTTAATAGTGTTTCTTTCGAAAAAAATTCATTTTATGAGTGATATTTTATCATTCTATAGAATTTGAAAGGAATTAGTAATTGTTGAAACAAGTTCTTAAGCAACTGAAATTTAGCTTCCATCTTCTTTTGTAATTTTCAAATTTTAAGATGTTTATCCAAAGAAAACTCTAAAAGAGACTTCAGAAGTAACTGATTCACATGTTTTAACAACTTATATTTCTATTTGATCTGATTATTTTAACTATTCTTTGATTTCTCCAAATAATTTCATAGATGTCTCTTTAATTGAAGGTAGATAATTCTTAATTTCTTCAAAATGGAACGATTTTCCTAAAAATTATCTTTAGCGTTACCATTCCTTACCTTTAGCATAGAGTAAAGAGTCACCAAATAAATATATTATAGCCATAGAAGCATCAATCTTCATAAAAGCTTCATGATTTTAGTGCACCTATTTAATTAAATTAGAATCTACAAAAATCAATCCTACTTTGGTACCAAAGCAAAAAGCGATAGCTTACAAACTCTTCTGGTGTAAATTACGGAAGAAAGCTAAACTATCTTTGTATTAGCTTAAGCTCTATTTGTATTCTTTTAAAAGGCCTACCCCAAAATTAAAGTAAACTTTAACTTTTTTTCCATGTTTCTTTGAGAAAGTAGATAATCTCAAATATGGGTAGATAAAAACTTTGTAGACTACAAAAACCAAAAGCAACAGGAATAAACCTAAAAAAGTAAAAAGAATTTTCAACATGAGTTAGATAGATGTTCCAGGTTTTATTTTAAAATTATAAATTTATAATAATTATTTGAATAATCAAATCAATATTGGAAGCATTTCTTGTAAAAAGTAGAAAAGAAAGATTTTTAATTATTAAAGTGACTGATCTTAGATCAATCAACAATAAATATTTCTATTTATATATTATTATTTAAATCAATTTCTAAAAAATAAGCATAAAGCTAAATTGCACTATAAATAGACTTTAAAGGCTTATTAATAGGTTTTAATTCTTGATGCTTGAATAAAACCATAATTTTACATAAAAAATAAATTTAAAAAGATAAAATAGACTCAAATCTTTTTAAATAATCCTAAAAATAATATATTTTCAATAAAAATGTATATTTGAATTTAAAAATATTGAGAAGATTAGAAAGATGGAAAACTGACTGATTACCTTACTATAATTCAAATCATAAATTTCTTATTATTAGTGTTTATGACGCTATTTATGATTTAATTAAAGTATCTCAAAAAAATTCATAGAAATTTCTTCATATATTCTTTTTCTTAATTTTAAGTGTAAACAACTATAAGACGAGTTATTCTTATTTCCTTTTTAAAAAACCGTTATAAATAAAATAAAAGAACAACAAAATTTATTCATAAGCCAATATATATATTTTATATCAACAGGTTTAAAAATTTATTTCTTTTTTTATTAAAAGCAAATAAATAATATCAATTCAAATAGTTTTTACAAAATGAATTTTATCTAAATATTTTTATGAAATAAATAATATTTTAATTTTTAAATCAAAATTAGACTTTTTTATAAAATTAGCTTCTATTTAAAATAATTTGTACAAAAATTAATATTTATTAAAGAAGGTAGATTTTTTAATACAAATAAATTAATTATTATCAATTTATTTTTAAAATATTATTAAGATATTTTTTTAAAATTTTTTTAAGATTCCTGTTACAATATAATGTTCCTCACTATAAAATAAAAAGAAGATGGAAACATCATGATTACATTTTACTTTTATAAAATATAAAATATATCTTTGGAAAGAATAAATAAATAAATTGATAAGTTTTACATGCATAAGAAATGTTAATATATTCTAATCTTATCCTTTTACCATATATTTAAAAAATGTTTATTTAATTTAAAATTTAATAAAACAGTTAATGATGCTTTTTAAAAAATCTTTTTTAATTATTGTTCTATTTATCTTTATTATTTAATTTTGGTAAATTTATTTTTTCATAATTTAATTAATATTTAAATCTTGATGCTATGAATGAAACATTTTATTATTCAGTAATAAATAAAATTTTATTTTTTATTTTTACAAATTTTTTAATAATAATTAAATTTATTTTGTTTTAATATTATGTATGTATAAAAAGAACTTCAATTAAATAGAATTATTTAATATGAAATATAATTATTCAAATTATATTTTATCTTTTTTTGAAATAAATTAGATTATCGTTTTAAAACCCATATATTACTTTGACTTCCTTCGCCACCAAAACTGATGGATTTGGTAGAATATCAAATAGAAGCAAAATATAAACTAACATGCATTTGCCTTCTATCATTGCAAGATGCTGACCTATACAATTTCTTGGGCCTTAAGAGAAAGGAGTAAAGTTAAATGTATTACTCTAAGTGCTATTTGTTAAATTAATGATAAATATTTTCTAAAAATATAAATATTAATTAAACTTACTTATCTTCATTCATCCATCTAAATGGATCAAAATTATCTGGCTTAGGAAATATTTCAGGATTTGATTGATTGTAAACAAAATTTGTAGTAACTAATTATCCTTTTTTGATCTCAAATTCTCCAATTTTAATGTCCTAGCAAGCAATTCTTGGGAATACTTAAATTGCAGGTGGGATTAATCTCATAGATTCTTTCAAAATAGAATTAATTAGGTCTAGATTTGAGAGGTCTTCAATAGAAAACTAACTGAATAGTGAGTCAGGGTTTTTATCATTTGATTTAGAAGAAAGTATTTTTATTATTTCTTCTCTAGCCTATCTCTGAATTTCGGGGTAGATTGAAAGATAGTATAGAGCGACTCCAGTCATGTTAGCAGTGGTGTCAGTACCTGCAAAAAACATACCGCAAAAGTTATCAATAATTTCATCATCAGTAACTTAGCTTGATTAGTTTTGCATTGTATCAATTAAGTATTAATCTAAGAAAATTTTTTTCGCTTAAGTAGGTTCTTTTATCAGTTCATCTCTTCTTTTTTATACTATTTGAAGACAACATTCCTTTATAGCAGTAAGGCGTTAAAATAAATCTTCTTCTTTTTCAGTCCTAAAATATCTAGCACTGTTTCTTTATAGAAAAATCCATTTTATAAGGGCTATTTTATCAATGGTCAACATTTAAAATGCACTCTTAACTACTTCCACAAGCTCAAAAGCAAGTAAAATTTAGCTACCATCTTTCTTTGTAATGTTTAAATTTTGAGAAGTTTTTCCAAAAAAAGTTCTAAATATCACTTCTGAAGTAACTGTTTCACATATTTTTACAGCTTATATATTGATTTGTTCTTCATTAGTCAACTTTTGATAAGTATTTCTAAATGTATTTTAGCATATCTCTTTGATTTAAGGAAAATAACTTTTTATCTCATCAAAATGGAACGATTTCCCTAAGAATTATCTTTGTTTTTGCCATTCTTTTCCTTTAGCATAAAGGATTGAATTACCAAATAAAAATGTGACAGCCATAGTTGCATCCATTTTAATGAAATATTCATGGTTTTGATGAACTTATTTTATGAGTTCAGGGTCTAAAAAGCTAAACCCTACTTTTGATCCATAATTGAAAGCCATAGCCTTTAAATTTTTTTGATGCATATTGCGAATGAATGCAACTCCATCATTTTTTTCAATTAGGCCTTTTTTGTATTCTTTCAGCATTCCCTAGCCTATGTTAAAGAAAACTTTTATTTTATCCCCATACTTATATTTCATTAATATAAACCAGAAGAAAGGATAAAGAACAAGTGAGTATATTGCTAAGGTTAATATAGAAGCTATAATCGCAAAGATGATTTAAAAAATTATTAACATTTTTTTTATTTTTTTGTCAATTATTTTATTAAATTAATTACATATATCGTTTAAAGCTTAATTCATGTTTAAATGTACTCTTGGTTCTTTATCACATACTAAAATCTGTAAATAAATTTTAAATAATTGCAAAATTCCTATCAAAATAATAATAAATAAATTAATATATAGTTTTTTATTTTTGAAATCACTTTTTATAAATTAGATTTCACAATCCCACACTAAAAGTTGTAACAAAAGTTAAAGCAAATTCATGAACTACTTTTCAAAAAATAAATAACAATTAATAAAATTTTGTTTAAAGATTATCATTCCTCATAAAGTGAGGATTAACCAAAAATATAATAAATCTCGATAATTAATTGACTTAAAATTAAAAAGAGCCATGCAATCAAAATAAGCAAAGACATAAATTTTATGTATTATTTAAAATCCAGTTCAAGATTTTTATACCATACAGTAGCACAAAAAATAACTGTTACAGCATAAAAAAGTATTAATTTCGCATTATGAAAGATTATTGAACAACAGATATACAGTATTTCTAATGAAATTTGACTCTATTATTTGGTGAAAAAAAATTTATAATTAAAGTAAACAGATCAATTATAAATTGAAATTTAAAATGCTGATCCCTACGAATTTAATAGTATATACCAGGCTTTATTATGAAACTATCCTTTAATTTACTTTGAATATTTACAATTTTTACATTTGAAATAAGAATTGTACTAAAATGAATTTTTAATAAATTAATGGTTGGTTTTCTAAGGTTGTTTAGTATATGTGATGGTTGTATTATGAACGGTTTTGATTTGATTGATTTGATTGATTTTAATTTGTTATTCTTTTGATTATTTTTTTATTGAATTTTTTTAAATAGATTATTGGCCTCCAGAAATATTTTCTCTACATTAGCACACGTACTCGTTATGCTCACATGTAATAGACAAAATTAGAATAGAATAATGGATGTAAATTGTTTTTGTGTGAAGGAAAAATTGAGCTGTTTCTAAGTATTTATTTTGCTTAAATATGTAAGAGCACAATTTTTTAATAATATTTGTTTGAATTTTAAGACTGATGAGGTCGAGATTTGTCTTATTTGATTGTTTTAATTTTATGGTTTGGAATTTGATTTTTATATTTTGATGGTTATGGTATAATTATTTTTATTAGATTTTTTTTTTGAATAGATATAAGGACTTCGGTTATTGTGCACACTGATTTTGCACACTCCCTCAAAAAAATAAATTTCGAAATAGAATATTAGGTGATGGGATGATGGGGTTTTGATTGTTAGGCGATGATTTTACTATTATAAATAATAATTTTTTAATTTTAATTGTGGAAGAGTTCCTATTTAAATATATATTTTATTCTTTAACATATAAAATAGAGTATTTTTATTTTTTAAATCAGTTATAAATAAAATAGTGATCTTATTATTATATTTCTCATTGTGTTTAAATTTACTTGTTTATTTTGGAAAAGTTGTATAATAAGAATATAGATAACAAACGAAAGATTACAATCAAGCACACAAAAAAATATTTAAAAGTTGATGAAGTAGAAGATTTTGATAATTATTCACTTAATACTAAATATAACTTTTATTTCTTTTGGTCAAAAAGATAGTGTTAGTTAATGTAGCTAGGTATGCTAAGATTGCTCTAGCGATAAAAACTTTGAGTGCCTTGGATGTAAATATCCATTTTATTTTGATCAGAATAGCTATAACTGTGTCCAATCTTGTTCTAGTGGAACATATGAAAACTAAAACATGGAATGTGTTTCTTGCGCTTCTAAATTTTGCTCAAGCTGCTCATCTACTGAATGCTATTAATGCTTACCTGGATACTCTTTGGACCCATAGAATAAAGTAATTTAATCACTTATTTTTTTAAAAATCATAGCATTTTTTTTACTTCAGTAAGGATGCATTGCGAATTGTTTAGATGGTTAATATTTACTTGATGGAGAATGTGTATATTAATGCAGCATTTAATCTAATAGTTATTCCTTAGATTCTTCTTCTAACACCTGCATTTAGCTATAAATCTGCCCTTTTTTATCTTATATACCTGAAACTTAAGCAGTTGGTCAAATATAGTTCTATAGTACATCCATCAGTGAAGGTAATAATTTTTTTTTGGTTATTGAATTTAATTTAAATATCCTTCAATAATTGAATATAATTGTCTATATATGCATAATGAAAATTAAACTAAATATGAAAATATACTTTTTTTTTCATAAAAAAAGAGGGAAAAAATATTTTAGCAAAAGATCACCAAAAACTCTAATTTTATTGTTTTTTTTCTTTAGATAATCAGTTAATTATAATAAAATCAATTTAAACGAAAAGATTAAAATTTTATCATTATATTTTCTTTTGTCTAAATTGATACTATCGATATTTGTAGATAATGATCAAATTCATCAAATAGAATTTAACTATCTTCATTGAATTTATTTTAATTTTATCAATATCACTAACAAATGATTATTTGAAATACTATTTATAATATTAAAAAATAATTTTTAATCTATTTTAAATTAAGGTAATAAGCTATTATAAAATTTGTTATTATGAAAGCACTCATAATTTAAAAATTTAAAGTTAATTTTTAAAAAATTTACTCTATTTTTTAAATGATTGTATCTTCATAAAAAAACTTGTTAAAATAATTTTTAAAAATGTCTTAATTCCTCTTTTGCATTTAAGACAATGCTTCTTTTGTATTTTAATGATAGTTTTTTGTTATTTTTTTAATTATTAGTTATTTTAATCGCTGAGTTAGTTTTGAATCTACAATTCTATTTTATAAATAATATTTTTAGCTTATTATATTTAAAAAGAAAATTTGCTTATTTGATATTTTACTGCGAATTAGAGTTATTAAATTTTGCAAAGAGTTATAATGGTAATTAAATTCTACATAAAAATTGTATTTTGAATGATGATTATTTTTAAATTCAATAAATTTTGTAAAAAAGTAGATTTTTAAAATACTGAATTTTATCCTTACTGCTTTGAATAAAATAATTAAAAAGTCATTTAAACGTCAAATGAATAAAAATAATGAAAATTTTAAATATTTTATTTTTTTTATCAAAAATTTGCTTGTTTTTTAATAACACTTATTTGTTTAATCATTAACTTTCTTTTGCTATATTAAAAATTAAAATTAATATAATGAAATATCTTATTTCTCCTCCAAATAGTGAAAATTTTTTGATATTTTTTTTAATTTTCGAAAAAAGATAATAGCACTATGCTTTAGATTGATGAATATGGCAAAGTTATTGTGAAATCAATTCCTTAGCTTGTACCTTTAGCTTATTATACTTTTCCATAATTAGCATCTGTAAATAAATTATTTATGTTTATTTCCTATTTAAGCTTCCAAAATTAATAATAGATAGCAAATTGTGTGCAAATAGTAGAAAAATCAACTCAAAATAAAATACTTTCTTGTATGAATATGGATACCCAAGTTTTCACTTTTTATATCACTAGAGGTTTACTTTTATAATAAAATATTACATTTAATTAATAAATAAGTAATGTATATTACTTAGATGGAATGAAAATGACTTTTTTGACATAAACAGGTTTTATAGTCTAATATAACTTCCAATCTTATTAATTTTCTGTTGTTGATAATTCATCAGATATGTTAAATTAAATATTCAGCGTTTAAAATTATCAGTAAAAAAATGATCAATTTATCCTTACAATCAACAATACAAATACAATTTTTTATTATGATTAATAATTTAACAAGAATATACTTTTATAGTATTCATCATAGAACACTCTTTAAATGGAAAATTTAGATACACAAAATTTGTGGGTATTCTATCAAAATAATAAAATAGATTTTTACTAAATAATATTTGGTCAAGCTCCTTCATTAATCAAATCTATTACTCCATAGACTATTCTATACTCAATAATGAGATCTAATAAAGTAAAAATACTATTTTATTAATATTAAAATAAAATATTTATATCTAAATATATAGATTTTGACTCTAATTGGTGGTCAAAATTAAACAGCAATTTAAGTAATCTAAATTAGCTCAAATAAATAAGTTACAGAAATTACAAGCACTTTACCACTTACTTTCTTTCATTCTGATTGCTTTTGGAAGACTAAAGATGTCTATTTCTCTCAAAAACAAGATCTACTTTATATTTTCAACCTTAATTAAAATAATTTTACTGTTTCTTATACTGTTAAATTATCTTAACCTTTAGTTTGCTCACTCACTTCTTTAGACGTTTTTTAAAATAATAATAAAATATATTTGCTAACTAAAATAATGTAAGATATATAAATTTAAGAGCTTACTTAAAGCCAATTAACCACTGTAAATTCTAGTTAAATGTATTTCTCATCTGAATAACATGCTTATTACTATACTTAATTATTATTTAATACACCGTCAGTTAATTTTTTAGATACTGCTACAAATAATTAAATATTAGAACTAAAAGGTCATGGTATTGCTTACTAATATGATTTAGAATCAAGATAAATTGCTAAATAATTCTATTTTTGGGATGATTTTTATTATCCTGACCAAGCAGAAGTTGGAGGCTTTTTATTATACAACTTTATAGTTGTAAAAGAAGAAGAAAAATTAATACTTACTGGAATAAGAAATGGTGTTTTGACAGTAAGAGAATTAAATTTATATACTTTTGAAATACTTTTAGAAAACTAGTTTAGTGATGTAGATATTACACCTAACCAAATATTTTTCTTTAATTAACCGTTCTATATCCACAGTACAAAAACGTTGATAGTTTATATAAATAATTTAGTAATCAGTGAACTGTATACATAATTAAGATAGCTTCATATTTTTCATTATAACTAAATAAACAACTAATACAACTATAAATTCTCAATAAGATAGATAGTAAATGACGTTTAAGTTTCACATAGAACTGGTGATATTATTTGTTTCTTAACTTTGTAATAAGAATACCTCAAATAAATATTGATCTACAATGTTTACAAAGATGTAATTAATTATATTTATCTTAATAAAATTAATTAGATAATCATTTTTTAAAAAATAGTAAAATCCTGTTTATGTCTCTAAAACATATTATAATATTTGTACAATTTAGTTAGGGTTTTTTAATTTGAACTAAGATACTATTTATTATTCTGATTATTTTGGAGGTATAATAAGTATAAGTCTTCTAAATAATTATTAGAAAAATGTATTTAGTAAATATACAAAAATTATTTCTTATTATTTATCTCCAAATTTAAGCTATTAGATCTTTAGCTTAAAACCTTATAATACAGTTTAAATTGTCTCTACTCAAAATAATAAGGTCCTATAAGTAATATCAATATAAAATAATTTTTAAATCTTTATATATTTTTTAAACTAGGAAGTAGTTACTGGTGCATACATACCATATTTCATTAGCTATGACAACAAAGTATTTATTCTCAGCTTTACTTACACTTTATCATTCTATGATGGAGATACAAATTAGCTTATACTATTTCAAAACGAGTACTATGGGTAGAGCTTGTAGACCCTTTTACATAAATAAAATTAGATAATATTTATAAATACCAAGATCTCTCTTACAATTAGTTTAGAGGATCCAAATCTTTAATTATAGTAGGTAAAATAAATTAATATATAAACTTAAGTTTAACTTCTAAAATTTTTTTTTAAATTTAAGGTATAAAAAAATGTTTATTATAATTCATATCAATTTAACGATATTTAAATTCCTTTATCTGCTAATAATAAATGGTTATAATAAATGGTAGATGTAAAATAAATATTTTGTTATGAATTTTAAAATAATGATTTTTTAAATACATAATAATACTAATATGTTGTTAATTTTTATGAGTTAGATATATAGTTAAATATATATTCAAATTAAATAAGAGTGATAAAATACCAGAAGATAATAGCATAAATTGTTATTGATTTCTTACAACCTATTTAGCTAACTCCTTAAAATTACAGGTACTATTATATGTACGATAACAAAGGATTTTATTATCCATATTAAAAATATATGGTAATAGTTGTTGGATATCATCTTGCTTTAATTAGATCATCTAATTTTGAAATTGTAAAAATTTATTTAACAATTACTTACTTTCTTTCTTTACTTATTTGACATAAAAAAATTAAAAAGCTTTTTCATTACGTGTCTTAATAATTATTTATGAATCTTGCTTACGATATAGAATTAGGATATATGGCTTTTATAGATAACTTTTAAGATTGCATATTCAACTTAAAAGTAAATAAATATAATTTAAAAATAAAATTTAAAATATTTTTTCATATATTATTTTTAAGGCTATTTCTTTAAATTGCATCACTAACAATTACCCATTTAATGTATAATTCTTATATGGGACTATTATTTAAAGACAAAAATAGTTGGTCATCTTTTATAGTTAATATAGCTTTAGAGTGTACTCTTTAATAGAATAAATTTATAAGTTTGTTAAATATTCAGCAAACTTTTTACCTTATTCTATTTATTATAATGGCTATGGTAGCAATATAATTATTGGAGATTATCAAAGTTAAAGTTTTAAAATACTTAATTTAGATTCATATAAATTGTTGTAGACATCTTTCCCAGCATTTAATACTTAAACTCTTGAAAATCTTTTTAAGGTATGAAAATAAATAAATTTCAATTATACAAACAATTTTATATTACTTTTTAATTAAAAGTTTTATTTTTTGTCTGACCAAATATAAGTGATGCTATTTTCTTCTTACAGTAATTCTGTCGTAATATATAACATAAATACTCAAGTGAGTATGTAAACTATCTAATTATAGTATTAATATAATTATCAAAGTCAAATAGTTGTCGATGAAATTCTTGATCTGGTTATGCTAATTGATAATCAAAACTAAATTGAAATTATTTCTTATGATACCAATTAAATTGTTAAAATATTTTAAGTAATTTTTTTATTAATAAAAATATCCTTTTATTTTCACCAAAGTTATTTAATAAATTCAATTTTTAAAAATTTTTTTCTTAATAAAATATTAAAATAGTTAGATAAGGTATAAAATGACTCAAATGCCTACTAAAAATTATTGATTTGGGATCATATAAAGAGAAAACTTTTTGCAAGCTCAAACAACATATTTTATATCTTTGATTATGATGAGAACATTTTTATTTGCAAATACCAATTTTAGCTTCCAATATTTGATATTTACATCAGCTTTAATAAAAATTAAATATTTGTTACAGACTATTTGAATTTAAAAGTTTTTGATTACTCTATCTTAGAGTTTAACTAAAATTAATTATTACCTTATAGTACTATACCAAATCTATTATAGATTAATTAAAACCAATATATTTTATTTGATAATAGTCAATCAACTCTTAAAAATATAGTCAATGGTCAAGTAAAGGATGTTAAATAATTTTTGCAACTAAATCCTTCATACTTTTACTTCAATTATTACAATAAAAATGACTCCTAAATTTATGTAATAATATTTAATTAACTATTAATCTACAATATAACTTCTTCTAGAATAACTCCTATATTTTCTTAACTGCTTGATTCTTAAATAGTTACTTTTATCAATGACTCTGATTTCCAAATCCTTTTTTTGACTTAAAAGTAGTCTTTATATTCTCTTTAAAAGAATCAAACCAATCCATAACTCTCTATACTAATGTATATATCAACAGGAGTAGGTCAATTTATTATGATTGATGATTCCTACTTAATATACAGCTCAACAGCAAACACAAACTTATGGTATAAGATAATATTTTAATACTCCTAGTCTCTTTCTACTTAAATTAAAATTGAATAGCTTTAATTTAAATTAGAATAAAATGATAGTATTAAAAAGCTTGTTAGAATAAACAATACTTTGAACATCATAATATTAACAAATTAATGTATATAATTAATAAATATTTAGACAGGAGATATTTTGTAAATCTCTCAATTAGATTTCTAAAACCAATAATCTTAAATCTACTTTGATCCTCTTTATTAAAGGATTTACTATACAGATAGAATTGTAGGAGTTAATGTATATGATCTAAAAATGCAAACTGTTAAATAGAATTTACCGTCTTCAGGTATAAAATTAAAAATTGAAGGCTCTTTCATATTTATGCTTTCATAAAACTCTGTAAGTATATATTTAAGATAAGATCTCAAATTATTCTAACTAATTAGAAATTTTAACAGCACCCAATCGCTAATAGATATTGAGTACACTGGATTTAAAAATATTTTTGTTTTATATTTCGACAATTCAATTAGTTTCTATAATGCTAACCCTTTTTCTTAACCTAAATTAATTGATTATTTACAAATATAAAATTATAAGGTTTTATCATCCTAATTAAAATTTCAAAATTCTTCATATTTAATTGTTGATATGATGATTATAACTATAGAAAATACTTTATAATACACCGCTGAGCTAAATATTGGCTCTTTTTCAAATAATATTTGCTCTGCATAGTTACAAATACGAACAGATTAAAATGATTTAATAACAAAAAATTAATAAATTGATTATTTGAATTTATTATCTCTAAAATAACTCTTAATTTAGAATATTATTTATAGCATGTACATAAATAATGGTGAATAAACTGATTTAAAGTATCCTTTTGTTAGCTCTAGCTCTGTGACAAACTAGTACTCGCTAAACATTTAAGCTATAAACAATAATAGTATTTATCTAAATACTCAAAATAGTTCAGATTAAAATATCGTAGAGTTGAAACTATAAAACCTAAAAATTTCCCTTAAAAACTTAAATAAAACTCAGTTTTTGTTTGGAAATCAAACATTTAAAAAACTAGTAAGAGTGTTTTTAATTGACATAGAATTATCAGATTTTGGTAATAATCAGCTATAATTTGAAGGCATCAATCATCTTTTTATCTAAAATTTAGTGATTAAAGGAGAATAAATTCAACAGATTAACTAATAGATTATACTTTTCTAATATATTGATATAGTTGTAATACAGGACATTAGTTTTATGAATTGCCAATTTAATAATACAATTAATTTACTTAAATTTAGTAATATAAACTAATTGACCATAAATAATTTGAACATCAACCATAATATTATACATTCAAGCTTTAAACAAAACTCGATGATAAATATCTCATAAGTAAACTTAATTACAATAAATAATACTAACCTTTTTGAGAATATATTTTAAAATGTTTAAATATTCAAAATAACAGATGTTACTTCAATTAGTATTTGCAACATGAAATCATCTTAAAATTAAATAATAATAAATTAAAACGTGGACTTTTAAGGTATTATTTTCTAAATTGAAGCAACTCCATATGTTAATTTCATTAAAATTCAATTTAATGTTCTTAAATTTAACTCACTCTCATCCATTTCTTTACTGAAATTTTCTAATGTAAATCGAACTTTACTATTTAATGATTTTTATTTAGCAAATTTTAAATTAGAAAACTCTTAAAATAGCTCAATTAATTGCTAACAATATTTCATTTTAGAATGTGAGGGAATACTGAATTCGAATTTCTCAAATATTCAGATAAAAAATTCAAGTATGCTAGGATTTATTAATTTACATGACTTAAAAAATGATAATGGAGTTAATATTTAAAATAAAATATCAACATACTACAACTATTAGCACTCTCTTTCTGTAACAAATCAACTAATGATACTTAATGCATAATAATTAACAATAACAAATTCTAATTTTACATCTATCTCTAGCATAAATTCAGAAGCTGGCTTTATTTAAATTTAAGTAAGCTAAAGCTTTATTTTAGATGCAATCTAAATTTAAAAAGTTGATCTTAAGTAAAATAGTTTTATTTACATATCTCAAAGCCCTTACATAGTTATTTAAAATGTTGATACAAAAAATATAGAGACTAATAGCATCGCAAGTGTTTTTTATATGTTACAAATATCAAGGCTAATAATGAAAAATAATAATTTTATCATGAACCTATCTTATCTTGATGGAGGAGCTATTTATTTAAACTAAATATCAGAAATAATCTTTTTAGGTAACATATTTTAGTAAAACCAATCAAAAACAGGAAATGGGGGATCTATTTATTGCTTCAGTAGCATATTTTCTTAGTTTCATGGTAATGCTTTCTTTTAAAATTCTTGTAAATAAGGCTCAGGTGGAGCGTTATTGTTGAATAATTGTGATATTTAAAACATGACAAATAATATTTTCAAATAAAATTCTGCTCTAATAGGAGGTGCTTTTAGATATTAAGGCATATAACCTTATGTCTTATAAAAAATAAATGTGAGCAGAAAGAAATTTACCTAAAATTAAAATTCTTTTATTAAAAACTATGCATAATTATATGGAAAAAATATAGGTTCCTATCCATTTTTTTTGGATGTTAAAAATTAAATATAAGATGACTTAAAGATCTAAAATGCTAAATTAGAAAATTTATAAAGTGGTAGCACATCTTCTCCTATATTAATGAGATTAATTGATGAAGAAATGAGAGAAGTTAGTTTTTTTAAAAATACAATATCAATAAATTAAGAAATTCTGATTGAATTTGGTAGCTATTTACTTGAATTGTAAAGTTAAGAAGTTGGGCTTTATGGTGATCTCAGATAGAATTATAATTTTGATTAATTTGGTTTCATTTTTAATGTATCCTATTCTTATAAGCCTAATGCTAACTCCTCTATTGTAGTTAAAACAATTAACCCTATCCCTATTTTAAATACCACAACTTTTAAATTCGACTATCAAGAGCTAAGTATTTCTATTGATGTTAACTTTAGGAAGTGTTAGTAAGGAGAAATTTTACAAACTTTGTAGAAGTATATAATATGTTTTACTTGCTAATAAGGTAAATTTTTATTTAATAAAGCTTTTAACTTTTAACTTCTTAGTAATATTTCAAGAGATAAGGATTTTATAAAAATTTATTAAATGTTTTTTGCAATATCTGATCAAATAATATTTTAAATGCAAATAATCTATAAAAGATAAATATAAGTTTTCAAAGATATTTAGTAAATTTATAAATAAAAGTAGGTAAAGTTTAATATAATGACATATATCACCTAATTGATAAATATGTTATATAAACATAAAATAAATTATTTGAAACTACCTCCCCTAGCAATATCTATTGACAGTAGAAAAGTTGTAAAAAAGTAGAAAAGTAGAAAAGTTCCTTTTAGAAAATATATTTTTTACAGTATATTAAAACTTTTTAATTTATTTTTATTGCGGAAAAATAGGTTAAAGGTAGAATATTTTTTTTTACCTACTGATCTAAAAATGCTCCAATTGTAAATTCTCTTATTGCTTAAAGCAATTCAGATTCTTAAATATTTTTACCCTTTCTTAATATCATTAAATTTTATTTATAGTAAATTCTCATTAATTAGCATCTACCTATCCCTCACCCATAATATTTTTTATTTACTTTTAAAAAAACACTTCAAGAATTAATTTACCCGATATTTTATCTTAACGATTTTATATTTTGATTACTATTGCTCCTTTTAAAAAATATATTTTTTTAAATTAACTCAATAAAAAAAATCTCTCAGTTTTTATCAAATAAATATTCATAAATATGCTTCAAATAACTATTAGCTAAATTTTTTTAAATAGGTGATTATTGTTTACAAGATCCAAATTAATTTGAAAATTTGCAGTGTCTCAAATGCCCAATAGGTTCTAAAAATTGTTATTCAAATACCATACAATTATAAAATGGGTATTGGAGTAAGAATTAGCATTCAGACTAAATTTATTAATGTATTAACCCGTAAATTTGTATCCCTGAAAATCCTACAAATAAGTTTGGATGCTCTATAGGACATATAGGAGCTATTTGTGAATCTTGTGATTCTTAAGGAATTGTTTGGGGATTAAAATATGGAAGAAGTAATGGCCGAATTTAATGCTAATAATGCACTAAGAAGAATTCAACTTACTCTATTTTATTTCTATTATTGCTATTGATAATAATTTGTGCTTATTTAATCATCTAAATTTAAAAATAGCTGATATTAATATAAAAAAAAATGAAATGGTTTTATTTGAGAAAACTTAAAATAATTATACTATAAAATCAAAACATAAGTAGTGCTTCTTCTTACTTTAAAATACTTATCAACTATTTATAGTTTCTAGCATTAATAAATAATTTAGGCATATAGACTTAATAATTTATCTCTGTTGCTGAAGTTGGAGGTGGTGATCCTGTATAGCATACAGTTTATAATTTAGATTGTATATTTAGTAGCTATGATATCTAAATTCCTTTATATGCTATGAGAGTTATATTTATTAATTTCTAAATAATTGCCATTTATTTGTTGATCCAGTTAGTAAAATCCTTCACAAACATGTTTAAGATGATAGATGACTTTTCATTTTTGATTTCTTCTTTCATATTAATATACTTATTCTTTAGTTCTTCCATAATTAAAGTATTGATATAGTCTTCCTCTTGCAGAGATATGGGAGGCAATCTATATATTATTGCTGAAATGCAGGATGAATGCTATACTTAAAAACACATTGAAATATTACTATTTTTAATAGGTCCATTACTTTTAATATGGTTCATTTTAATCCCTGCATCATTTTACATTAGTTTGTACAGAAATAGATAAAAATTACAAAGCTTGCTTTATATGAAGAAGTATGGTCTTTTATACTAAGTAAAAGTTTTTTGATAAAACAAAAGCATTTTTTTTAATAAAATTTTTTTTTATCAATAGGAATATAAAGAAAAATCTTATTATTGGGATTTAGCTAGAAACCAAACAAGAGCATCTCTTGTTATATTTCTAAATTTAATTAGGGTTTCACCATAGCTAAAAGCTTCGTTCTTATTATTTTTTAAGTTTATTTTTCTAATATTTTTGATAAAAGTAAGTCCTTATTAAAGATAGTAGTTAAATAATATTGATTAACTATCTTGCAAATTAGTTATAATGAGTATATTCATAATATAAATGATATTACTTACAGATAATCTATTATTTTAATAAATATTGTAAATTATGTTAATTGTCTTAAATATGAGTTTCCTAGCAATCTTGTTCTTATTAATAGTATTAAGACCTATTCCTTATCATAAAAATAACTAAAATATCATATAAAAATTATTAATTTTTATATCCAAATAAATTCCAAACTCCATTTATTAACTTACTTATTAAAAATAGATAAATTTATTAAGAATAAATTTTCTATGGAAATTAGTCTAAAGGTCTTTAAGGTAAGTTATTGGCATGGAAGCAAATTTTAAGAGCTAAAAATGGTATCTGCAATCAAAACTGAGCGAGTAACATAATTAATTTAAAGTTAGAAAGTCAAGGATGAGCTAACAACTAAAAACTCATTTTTATAAATAGGCGCTAGAGATTTGCAATTAAGATAAAAAACTAAAATGAATATATGCTATTTCTAAATTAAATAAATTTTAACTAAAGATAAAAATATAAATAATAATATTATTAAATATAAAAAAAATTTTATTTAAATTGTTTGTATTTTTATTAATTTAGCTTTTCCTTATATATAAATATTTTTATACTTACAAATTTAAGATTTGACTCATGATTTATAAATAAATAAATTGATGAGTATTCCTTTAAATTGTTAATAGTTGATGATATTTTAAATTAAATGAATTATTTATTTAAAGAAAGGAAATAAATTTTTCATGATAAATTTGACAAACTGTATATTTAAATGTTTTTTCATCTCAAAAGCTTTTAAAAAGTTATTTTTTAACATATATATTAGAAAGTCTAGATTTTTAAAATATGTTAACAGTAAAATAAAAAATTGATAACAATAATTTCAAAAGCTGTTGATTTTTCTGATTGCATTTAAAATTGATTTCTTTATTTTGTAAAAGCTTATTTATTAAGAATGTTGATAACAAACTAAAAATTACAAACAAATACACTAAATAATATTTAATAGTTAATGAAATTTATGATTTTGATAATTATTCATTTAATATTAAATATAACTTTCCTTTGTTTCTTTGTTTTGGACAAGAGTATGATGTTTCTTAATGTAACCATGTCTGTTAAGATTCCTCTAACAATAAAAGATTTGTATTCCTTGGATGCAAATACCCATTTTATTTTGATCAGAATAAATATAATTGCATTTAATTTTGTCCTTGTAGAAGATATGAAAACTAAAATAATACCTTTCTTGCGCTTATAAATTTTTTTCAAGCTTCTCAACTACTAAATGCTATTAATGCTAACCTCGATACTAAGTGAACCCATAGGATAAAGTAACTTAATCATTTAGTTTTCTTAACATTATTACATTTTTTTTACTCAAGTAAGGATGCACACGAATTGCTAAGATGGTTAATATTTACAAAATGGAGAAAGCGTATATGAATCCAGCATGTAATCTAATAGTTATTTTTTACCATATTCTAACATGAATTTATATATAAATCAGCTCTTTATTATCTTATATTCCTGCAACTTAAGTGGTTGGTCAAATATCATTCTTTAGCTCATCCATCAGTCAAGATAGAAACAGACATATAATTTATGTTTTTTGTTGCTTTTTTAATTTAAATAACCATTCAATAATATACTTAAATGAATTAAGATATAATCAAAATGAAATTAATAATGTCAATAAAATTTTTTTCTTAAAAGAAAGAGGAAAAAAAATTTTTATTAAAAAAGATCAACAAAAAAACAAAAGAGTAAAAATGCTTTTCTTTTAAATCAGTGAATTAGCAAAATAAATTTAAATGAAAAGATTAAAGAGAATTATATTTTATTTTTTTCTAAATTAATAGCATCAAATTCATAGATAAAGATCGAATTCACAATATAGATTTTAATTATATTTATTGAATTTATTTTAATTTTTTCAATATAACTTACAAATTTAGAATTTTTTATAAAATAATTTATGTAAATATTTATTATTTCTTTTCATCTCAAAAATTTTTGAAAACTTATTCATAAACATTTAGATTAGAGCATCTATATTTTTAAAATATGTAATCAGTAAAATAAAAAAGTGATAATAATAAATCCAAAAGGTATTGATTTTTCTCATTGTATTTAAAGTTGATATTTTTACTTTGGAAAAATTTAATTATTAAGAATGTTGCTAACAAGCAACTAATACATCAAATAATATTTAAAAGTTAATGAATTGAAGACTTTGATAATAATAGATTTGATACAGAATATAACTTTCCTTTTTTTGATCAAATATATGGTGTTTGCTGATTAAACTCTGTCTGTTAAGATTGCTATAACGATATAATTTTTGAGTATATTGGAATTAAATACCCATTTTATTTTGATCAAAATAGCATTTAATTTTGTCCTTGTAGAAAATATGAAAACTAAAACATAAAATGCATTTCTTGCGCTTATAAATATTGCTCAAGCTACTTATTACTGAATTCTATTTATTAATGCTAACCTTGATACTCAGAGAACCCACTGGAAAAAGTAACTTATTCATTTAATTTTTAAAAATATCATTGCATTTTTTTTACTCCAATAAGGATTCGAATGTTATGATGGATATTATTTACTTGATGTAGAGAGCTTATATGAATCCAGTATTTAAACTAATAGTTATTTTTTAGATACAACTTCTAACACAGCCATTTAGCTATAAATGTGCCCTTTATTATATTATATTTCTACGTCATATGCGGTTGGTAAAATATCATTCTTTAGCACATTAATTAGTGAAGATAAAAGCCATAATTTAGGCATATAATTTATGTTTTTTGTTGCTTTTATCATTTTAAATAAACCATCAATAATTTAATTAAATGAATTAAGATAAAATCGAATTGTAATGAAAAATGTTAATAAATTTGTTTTCATAAAAGAAACAGGAAAAAAATTTCAGTACAAGATCAACAACAAAAAATATAGAGTGAATGTTTTTTCTTTTAAAATAAGCATCATATTTTATTTTTTTCTAAATTTTTAAAATAATCATAGGTAAAGATCAAATTCATAATATTGAATTTAACTATATTCATTGAATTTTTTTAATTATATTAATATAATTTACATATGATTATATGTAAAAATGTTCTATCATGAAGAAACTCATAAGTTTTAAGCGAAATTAAAAAAATTCACTCCAGTTTTTAAATTTTTGTAATTTAATCTATGTTTTTTCTTAAATGAAAATATACTAGATGTTTTTTAAATTTTTTATGAGGAAAATAGAAGGCTGGCTAACTAGATTTTCAATCAATTATTGATAAATTAGCCTGCGAAAATGAAATTTATAAAATGCGAGAAAATGTCTTTTTTGAAAAATTCAGTAAATAAATATAATAATTTTAGGTAATAATGAAATAATTTATTTAATATAAAATTTGATAACTTTAACAACAAAATTTCTGATTATTTACTAATATAAATAAAAACCAAAATACTCTCCAAGCCTCTTTATTAAAGGTATTATTTTTGAGGCATATCTCTTAATTTGCTTTAAATTATTGTGCTTAAAATAAAGTAAATAAATTAATTTTAAACTATTTTTTGCTTTTTTTACATAAAATATAAAGTATTATTTTTGTAAATTTATATTATTTCATTCTTATTGTCTTTAGAAGAAAAAATATTTAAATTTAGCTAATTTCAATATTATCTTTGATATCTTTTGAATTCTAATAACTCTAAATCCTCATTAATTAAGCTAAGAAAAAAATCACTTTTTTTTAAAAAATACTAACTAAAAATACTTATATCCTCCCAGTTTTTTCCTCTATAATTTGTAACATTAAGATATACAAGGTAAATATATATTCTTGAATCTATTAATAGATATATTATTTGAGGGTAGTCAAGTAATTTAATAAGTTACCTGATTACAATTGAGATCAAGGTTTTTATTAATTAAAATATTTTTCTAAATATTAACACTTTATCAATAACAAATTTTGTATTTTCTACGATCCATTGGCAGATTTTTCAGCAAAAGTTATTTATTATTAATCTATTTAAATAATTTTCAAATTAATAGAGACAAAAGAATTTCTTTAAAGGTTTAAACTTATAAGTTCAAATTTTGATAAAAATTTTTATTTTATCTTTCTTTTGTTAAATTTTCTAATTGAAAGCAGTTACTATGTAAATATGAAAGACATTAATTTTATCTATAACTGTAAAACGTTCAAAAAATAAACAATGATTTCCAGTTTCTTTTTATTTTAATGTAAATATTTTTCCTCCTTCCTTACAATTTCTCTTCTAAATTGTTAAAATTATTTCTTACTTACTTATCTTTCAAAATACCTTGAATTAAGTTGAGAGACTTTTAAATATACCCATTTTATTAAAGTAATTATTGATTTCAAATCTCTTTTGCTGCTAATCTATCACTAATTCAAAATTTAAAACCTACTTATTTTAAATCTATTGAAGATTTCTAAAAATTATAAATTAAATAAAAAAGTAATATGAAAGCCCTCGCTTATTAGCAATTATTGCTTTGAAAGCTATCCAATGCGTTGAAACTCCCTCTTGGATTAACTTTTCTGCTCTTTAAACTTCATTAAATTGTATTTCAGCTATGAAGACTCCCAATTGTATATATACTACTTAAATTTATGCTGCAGTTGCTTACTCGAATTGTATCTTTTGCACATCTAATAATGGTAGCTTCAATTCCTATTTAAATTGTGCTAATGCTTGTTTTACTACTTTTATTATAGATCCAACTACTAAGAATAATACTGAAGTTTCTACTTATGCTAAGCGATATACTTCTTGCATCCAAGCTATTAATGGATCATATTGGACTTATCAGCTTTCTTCTTAGCTGATTTCGATTCGCTCTTCTGATTTTTAAATTAAATATAACTCCATAAAATTAATTAATTTGTAAATATTTGAATGTATTTGTTCAGTTTGAATATGTAAGAGAAGTAGGGTCCAGGACTTTTTGTCCTCACTCTCTATGAAATTCTTCAAATAGTTTTTTAGATTTAAAAAATAAAAAAAAAAATTTTTATAAAAATAATCACAAGTGCGCTAGACCCCCTATTTCTCTATATATTAAATATACCTAACGAAATATACTAAAGAGGCCATTTATGACAAAGGTATTTCAAGTACCTAAAACAAGGGAAAAAATATTAACATTACAGATTCACTAAAAAAGATAAAAAAAATTGTTATAATTGTTTAATTTTGGAAATTATAGTTTTTTATTTCACCTTCAAATAATGTTCGAAATGAGCAAGTATTAATGAATGAATATAAAATTTAAATTTTCATTTATTTTTTAAAATCAATAATTTTTAATATTTCCATTTTAATAAAATAATTTCTAAAGATTTAACCTTTAATACATCATTTAAAATAGTATTTATTAATAATATTTTACCTATTAAAATTTGAATAAAAATTAAAAATAATTATAAAATTAATTTATTTTTTTTTTTTACACTATTTTGATATATTAATTTATAATAATATTATTTTATTAATGACTATATTCTATTGTATTTAATAATAATATTTCACATAAGATTTATTATAGAAACTTATAATCACATCTATTAAAAATTTATATTTAATCTATGGTTTTTCTTCAATGAAAATACAATAAAAATAATTTAAGTAAATTAAGGTTTATTTAAGCACATTTAGTGTTCTTTGAAACTACCTATTTTTTTGAATTTTTTATAAGAAAAGATAAAGGTTAATTAGATTTTCAATCTGTTTATTTATTAAATAGCCAACGAATGAAATTTAAAAAATGAGAAAAAAAATTTAAAAATCCAAAATACTCTCCATGTCTATACATTAAAGGTATTATTTTGGATACATATTTCGTAATTTTCATTAAATTTTTGTGCTTAAAATAAAGTAAATAAATAATATGTAAAGTATTTTTTGCTTTGTTTGCATAAGATATCGAATTTTTATAACATAATTTTTGTTATTATATATTATTTAATTTTCATATATTTTTTGAAGAAAAAAACTTTAAATTTTATATTATCTTTGATAACATTTGAATTCTAATTACTCTAAATCCTAATTATTTCAGGTAAGAAAAAATCACTTTTTAAAAAAAACAGTGATATTAATCTAATTTGATTGTTTTAATTTTCTAGTTTGGAATTTAGTTATTTTATTTTAATAGTTGTGGTATATTTGTTTTTTTATTATTATTTTTTTGAATAGATTGTAGGCCTTCTGCTATTGTGCTCACTGTGTTCACAAACACACAAACACGTTTTTCATGCTCGCCAGAAGCACAAACAACTTCGAAATTGAATGTATGGTGATGGGATGGTGTGGTTGGGATTATTGGGTGATGATTTTTATGATGATAAGATGATAATTATTAGTTTTTTAATTTTAAATGAGGAAGAGTTCCTATTATTCATTAACATTTAGAATAGAGAGTCTTTATCTTTTAAATTTACAAATAAAATAGTGATCTTATTATTATAATTTCAAAAGTTCTTGATTTTTCTCATTGTATTTAAAAGCGATTTCTTTATTTTAGAAAAGTGTATTTGCAAGAATATTGATAAAAAACTAAAAATTATAAGCAATAATACAAAAAAATATTTAAAAGATGATGAAGTAGAAGACTTTGATAATTATCCATTTAATGCTGAATATAACTTTCCTTTCTTTTGGTCAAAAAGATGGTGTTAGTTAATGTAACTAGGCATGCTAAGATTGCTCTAGCGATAAAAACTTTGAGTGCCTTGGATGTAAATACCCATTTTATTTTGATCAGAATAGCTATAATTGTGTCTAATCTTGTCCTAGTGGAACATACGAAAACTTTAACATGGAATGCATTTCTTGTGCTTCTAAATTTTGCTTAAGCTGCTCATCTACTGAATGCTATTAATGCTAACCTGGATACTCTTTGGACCCATAGAATAAAGTAACTTAATCACTATTTTTTAAAAAAACCATTGCATTTTTTTTATTCCAGTAAGGATGCATTGCGAATTGTGAAGATAGCTAATATTTACTTGATGGAGAGTGCGTATATGAATGCAGCATTTAATCTAATAGTTATTCCTTAGATCCGTCTTCTAACACATGCATTTAACTATAAATCTGCCCATTCTTATCTTATATACCTGAATCGTAAGCAGTTGGTTAAATATAGTTCTATAGTACATCCATCAGTGAAGGTAAAAACTATAATTAGGCTAATTTATGTTTTTTGTTATTTTATTTAATTTAATATCATTCAATATTTTAATTAATTGGCGTTTAGATGTAAGGAAAAAGTTATTTTGTAAAAAAGATCTACAAAAAAACACTAATTTTACTGCTTTTTCCAAAAAAAATCAGTTCATGATAACAAAATAAATTTAAATGAATTGATTAAATTTCATTATATTTTCTTTTTTCTAAATTTGTAGTATCATTGATATTCATAAATAATGATCAAATTCATAAAATATAATTTAATTATACTTATTGAATTTATTTAAATTTTATCAATATAATTTACAAATAATTTTATAAAACATTATTATTTTAAAATAATTTTTAAGGTAATAATCTATTAAAAAACTTATTATCATGAAAGTATTCATAATTTTAAGTGATTTTTTTTAAATATACTCCATTTTTAAATGATCGAATATTTATAAAAAAACTTATTAAAATATTTACTAAAAAATAACGGAAAACTCTTATTAACATACAAAAAAAGCATTGTCTTAAATGCAAAAGAGGAATTTGGATATAATTCAAAGTTTAAATCGCTCAATTTGTAATGAATTTCCAATTCTATTTTTACTTTATAGCTTACTATATTTTAAACTAAAGTTTGCTTATTTAATATTTTATTGCGAATTGCATTATTAAATTTTACAAAGAGTTATCATGGTAATAAAGTTCTAAATTAAATGATTATTTTTAAATTCAATAAGTTTAAATAAAAAGTAGATTTTTAAAATGCTGAATTTTATCATTATTTCTTTAAGTAAAAGTAATTAAAAGCTCATTTAATAAATAATTAAAATTTAAAATATTTTATAAAATTGTATAAACAATCATTTAAATATTTTACTTTTTTTATCAAAAAATGGCAACTCATTTATAGCGCTTCCAGGATTAAAATTCTTGTGGTAGCGCTACCGCAAGAATAGTAATCTTTGAAGCGCTTTATTAAATTACTTGTTTTTTATAAAAAAGAAGTATTTGATATTTTTTTTAATTTTAAAAAATAGATAATAGCACTATGCTTTAGATTGATGAATATGGTAAAGTTATTGTGAAATCAATTCCTTAGCTTGTAACTTTAGCTTATTATAATTTTCCATAATTAACATCTGTAAATAAATTATTTATGTTTTTTCCTATTTAAACTTCAAAATTTAATAACAGATCGCAAATTGTGTGCAGCTAGTAGAATAATCAACTCAAAATAAAATATTATCTTGTATGAATATGGATACCTAAGTCTTCAATTTTTATATCTCTAGTGGTTTACTTTTATCATAAAATATTACATTTAATTAATAAATAAATAATGTGTATTACTTAGATGGAATGAAAATGACTTTTTTGACATAAACAGGTTTTATAGTCTAATATAACTTCAAATCTGATTAATTTTCTATTGTTGATAATTCATCAGATATGTTAAATTAAATACTGAGCGTTTAAAATTATTAGTAAAAAAATGATCAATTTATCCTTGCTATCAACAAAACAAATACAATTTTTTATTATGATTAATCATTTAACAAGAATATACTTTTATAGTATTCATCGTAGAACACACTTTAAATTGAAAATTTAGATACGCAAAATATGTGGGTGTTCTACTAAAATAATAAAATAGATTTTTACTTAATAATATTTGGTCAAGCTCCTATACTAATCAAATCTATCACTCCACAGACTATTCTATATTCAATAATGAGATCTAATAAAGTAATAAATACTATTTTATTAATATTAAAATAAAATATTTATATCTAAATATATAGACTTTGACTCTAATTGGTGGTCAAAATTAAACAGCCACTTAAGTATTCTAAATTAGCTTAAATAAATAAGTTACAGAAATTACAAGAACTTTACCACCTACTTTCTTTGATTCTGACTGCTTTTGGAAGACTAAAGATATCTATTTCTCTCAGAAGCAAGATCTGCTTTACATTTTCAACCTTAACTCAAATAGTTTTACTCTTTCTTATACTGTTAAATTATCTTAACCTTTAGTTTGCTCACTAACTTCTTTAGAAATTTTTCAAAATAATGATAAAATATATTTGTTAACTAAAATAATATAAGATATGTAAATTTAAGAGCTCACTTAAAGCGAATTAACTTCTGTAAATTCTAGTTAAATGTATTTCTCATCTGAATAACATTCTTAATCTTATGCTTAATTCTAATTTTATTTGCCAACAGTTAATTTTTTAAATACTGCTACAAATAATTAAATATTAGAACTAAAAGGCCATGGTATTGCTTACTAATATGATTTAGAATCAAGATAGATTGCTAAATAATTTTATTTTTGGGATGATTTTTATTATCCTGACAAAAAAGATGTTCAAGGTTTTATGTTATACAATTTTATAGCTATATAAGAAGAAGAAAAATTAATACTTACTGGAATAAGAAATGGTGTATTGACAGTTAGAGAATTGAATTTATATACTTTTGAAATACTTTTAGAAAACTAGTTTAGTGATATAGATATTACACCTACCCAAATATCTTACTTTAATTAACCTTTCTATATTCAGAGTACAAAAACTTTAATAGTTTATATTAATAATTTAGAAATCAGTGACATTTATGCAGAATTAAGACAACTTCATATTTTTCAATTTAGCTAAATAAACAACTAATACAACTACAAATTCTCAATAAGATAGATAGTAAAAGATGTTTAAGTTTCACAGAAAACAGGTGATATTATTTGTTTCTTACGTTTGGAAGATTTTTTCCTCAAATAAATATTGATCTACAATGTTTACAAAGATGTAATTAATTATATTTATTTTAATCAAATTAATTAGAAAAACATTTTTTAAAAAATAGTAAAATCCTGTTTATGTCTCTAAAATATTTGATAATATTTGTACGGTTTAATTAGGGTTTTTCAATTTAAACTAAGATACTATTTATTATTCTGATTATTTTGGAGGAATAATAAGTATAAGCCTTCTAAACAATTATTAGAAAAATTTATTTAGTAAATATACAAAAATTATTTCTTATTATTTATCTCCTGATTTAAGCTATTAGATCTTTAGCTTAAAACCTTATAATACCGTTTAAATTGTCTCTACCTAAAATAATAAGGTCCTATAAGTAATATCAATATAAAATAATATTTAAAAAGTTATATATATATATATTTTAAAACTAGGAAGTACCTACTGGTGAATACATAGCATATTTCATTAGTTATAGTAACAAAGTATTTATTCTCAGCTAAACTTACTTTTTAGTATACTATGATGGAGATACTAATTAGCTCATACTATACCAAAACGGGTACTATGGGTAGAACATGTAGACTATTTTACATAAATAAAATTAGATAATATTTATAAATACCTAGGTCTCTCTTATAATTAGTTTAGATGATCCAAATATTTAATTGTAGTAGGTAAAATAAATTAATATATAAAATTAATTTTTAATTCTAAACATTTTTTTTTTTAAATATAAGGTATCATAAAGTTATAATTATAATACATATCAATTTAACGATATTTAAATTCCTCTATCTGCTAATAATAACTGGTTATAGTAAATGGCAGACGTAGAATAAATATTTTGTTATGAATATTAAAATAATGATTTTTAAAATACATAACCACCATACTAATATGTTGTTAATATTTATGAGTTAGATATATAGTTAAATATATATACAAATTAAATAAGTGTGATAAAATACCAAAAGATAATAGCATAAATTGCTATTGATTTCATACAACTTGTTAATCTAACTCCATAAAATTACAGGTACTATCATATGTACGATAACAAAGGATTTTATTATCCATATTAAAATTATATGGTAATAGTTGTTGGATATCATCTTGTTTTAATTAGTTCATCTAATTTTGAAATTGTAAAAATTTATTTAACATTTACTTAATTTCTTTCTTTACTTATTTGACATTAAAAAAATTAAAAAGCTTTTTCATTACGTGTCTTAATAATTATTTATGAATCTTGCATACGATATAGAATTAGGATACATGGCTTTTCTAGATACCTTGTAAGATTGCATATTCAACTTAAAGGTAAGTAAATATAAATTTTAAAATAAAAAATTTAAAATATTTTTTCATAAATCATTTATAAAGGATATTTCTATAAATTGCATCACTAACAACTATCCGTTTACATAACATTTGTTTTATGGGACTATTATTTAAAGACAAAAATAGTTGATCATCTTTTATAGTTAATATAGTTTAAGAGTGTATTCTTTAAAAGAATAAATTTATAAGTTTGTTAAATATTCAGCAAACTTTTTACCTTATTCTATATATTATAATGACTTTGGTAGCAACATAATTATTGGAGATTATCAAAGTTAAAGCTTTAAAATATTTAATTTAGATACATATAAGTTGTTGGATACATCTTTCCCACCATTTAGTACTTAAACTTATGAAAATCTGTTTAAGGTAAAATAAATAAATTTCAAATTGTACAAACAGTTTTATATTATTTTTTAACTAAAAGTTTTATTTTTTCTCTGATCAAATATAAGTAATGCTATTTTCTTCTTACAGTAATTCTATCGTAATATATAACATATATACTCAAGTGGTTATGTAAACTATCTAATTATAGTATTAATTTAATTAATAAAGCCAAATAGTTGTGGATGAAATACTTGATTTGGTTATGCTAATTGATAATTAAAACTAAATTGAAGTTATTTCTTATGATACAAATTAAATTGCTAATATATTTTAAGTAATTTTTTTAATTTATTTTTTTTTTACTTTTATATAAATATCCTTTATTTTCGCTAAAATTATTTAATAAATTCAATTTTTATATATTTTTTTCTTAATAAAATATTAAAATAGTTAGATAAGGTATAAAATGATTCAAATTCTTACTAAAAAATATTGATTTGGGATCATTAAAAGAGAAAAATTTTTGCAAGCTCAAACAACATTTTTTATATTTTTGATTACGATGACAATATTTTTATTTGCAAATACAAATTTTAGCTTCCAGTATTTGATATTCATATCAGCTTTAATAAAAATTAAATATTTGTAACAGACTATTTGAATTTAAAAGTTTTTGATTACTCTATCTTAGAGTTTAATTAAAATTAATAGTTACCTTATAATACAATACCAAATCTATTATAGATTAATTAAAGCCAATATATTTTATTTGAAAATAGTCAATCAACCCTTAAAAATATAGTCAATGGCGAAGTAAAGGATGTTAAATACTTTAATCAACTAAATCCTTCACACTTTTACTTCAATTATTATAATAAAAATGGGTCCTAAATTTATGTAATAATATTTAATTAACTATTAATCTACAATATAACTTCTTCTAGAATTACTCCTATATTTTCTTAATTGCTTGATTCTTAAATAGTTACTTTTATCAGCGACTCTGATTTCCAAGTTCTTTTTTTAACTTAAAAGTAGTCATTATATTCTCTTTAGAAGAATCAAACTAATCCATAGTTCTTTGTACTAACATATATATCTACAGGAATAGGCCAATTTATTATGATTGATGATTCCTACTTAATATACTGTTCTACAAAAAACACAAACCTATGGAATAAGATAATATTTTAATACTCCTAGTCTCTTTCTACTTAAATTAAAATTGAATAATTTTAATTTAAATTAGAATAAAATGATAGTATTAAAAAGCTTATTAGAATAAACAATACTTTGAACATCATAATATTAACAAATTAATGTATATAATTAATAAATATTTAGACAGGAGATATTTTGTAAATCTCTCAATTAGATTTCTAAAATCAATAATCTTAAATCTACTTTGATCCTCTTTATCAAAGGATTTACTATACAGATAGAATTTAAGGAGTTAATGTATATGATCTAAAAATGCAAACTATTAAATAGAATTTACCATCTTCAGGTATAAAATTAAAAATGGAAGGCTCTTTCATATTTATGCTTTCATTTAACTCTGTAAGTATATACTTAAGATAAGACCTAAAATTATTCTAAATAATAAGAAATTTTAACAGCACTCAATCACTAATAGATATCGAGCACACTGGATTTAATAATACTTTTGTTTTATATTTCGATAATTCAATTAGTTTCTTTGATGCTAATCCTTTTTCTTAACCTAAATTAATTGACTCTTTATAAATATACAATTATAAGGTTTTATCATCATCAATAAAACTCCAGAATTCTTAGTATTTAATTGTTGACATGATGATTATAACTATAGAAAGTACTATAAAATACACCACTGAGCTAAATATTGGTTCTTTTTCAAATAATATTTGCTCTGCATAGTTACAAATACAAACAGACTAAAACGATTTAATAACTAAAAATAAATAAAGTGATTATTTGAATTTATTATCTCTAAAATAGCTCTTAATTTAGAACATTATTTATAGTATGTACATAAATAATGACGAATAAACTGATATAAAGTATCCTTTTGTTAGTTCTAGCTCTGTGACAAACTAGTACTCACTGAACATTTAAGCTATAAACAATAATAGTATCTATCTAAATACTCAAAATAGTACAGATTAAAATATCGTAGAGCTGAAACTATAAAACCTAAAAATTTCATTTAAAAACTTAAATAATACTCAGTTCTTGTTTGGAAATCAAACATTTAAAAAACTAGTAAGATTGTTTTTAAATGACATAGAATTATCAGATTTTGGTAATAGCCAGCTATCATTTGAAAGTATCAATCATCTTTTTATCTAAAATTTAGTGATCAATGGCGAATAAATTCAACAGATTGACAAATAGATTATACTCTTCTCATATATTGATATAGTTGTAATACAGAATATTACTTTTATTAATTGCCAATTTAATAATATAATGAATCTACTTAAATTTGTTAATATAAACTAATTGACAATAAATAATTTCAACATCAAGTAGAATATTTTTCATTCAAACTTTAAGCAAAACTCTATGATAAATATTTCATAAGTAAACTTACTTACAATAAATAATACTAACCTAATAGAGAATATTTTTTAAAATGTTTAAATATTCAAAATAACTAATGTTACTTCAATTAATATTAAAAGCATGAATTCATCTTAAAACAAAATAATAATGAATTAAAACTTCGACTTATAAGGTATTGTTTTCTAAATTGAAGCAACTCCATAAATTAATTTCATTAAAATCCAATTTAATGTTCTTAAAATTACCTCACTCTCATCCCTTTCTTTAATGAAATTTTCTAATGTAAATCAAACATTACTTTTTAATGATTTTTATTTCGCAGATTTTGAATTAGAAAACTCTTAAAATAGCTCAATTAGTGGCTAATAATATTTCATTTTAGAATGTGAGGGAATACTTAATTCGAATTTCTCAAATATTCAGATAAAAAATTCAAGTATGCTAGGATTTATTAACTTACATGATTTAAAAAATGATAATGAAGTTAATATTTAAAATAAAATATCAACCTACTACAACTATTAGCACTCTATTTCTGCAACGAATCAACTAATGTTACTTAATGCTTAATAATTAACAATAACAAATTCTAATTTTACATCTATCTCTAGCATAAATTCAGAAGCTGGCTTTATTTAAATTTAAGTAAGGTAAAGCTTGCTATTAGATACAATCTAAATTTAAAAAGTTGATCTTAAGTAAAATAGTTTTATTTATATATCCTAAAGTCCTTACATAGTTATCTAAAATATTGATTCAAAAAATATAGAAACAAATAACATAGCAAGTGTTTTTTATTTGTTACAAATATCGAGGCTAATAATGAAAAATAACAATTTTATCACGAATCTATCTTATCTTGATGGAGGAGCTATATATTTAAACTAAATATCAGAAATAGTCATTATTGGTAACACATTTTAGTAAAACGAATCAAAGACAGGAAATGGGGGAGCTATTTATTGCTCCAGTAGCATATTTTCTTAGTTTCATGGAAATACTTTCTTTTAAAATTCTTGTAGATAAGGCTCAGGTGGAGCATTATTGTTGAACAACTGTGATATTTAAAACATGACAGATAATATTTTCAAATAAAATTCTGCTCTAATAGGAGGTGCTTTTAGATATTAAGGCATATAGCCTTATGTTTTATAAACAGCAAATGTGAGCCAAAAGATACTTATCTAAAATTAAAATTCTTTTATTAAAAACTATGCATAATTATATGGAAAAAATATAGGTTCATATCCATTTTATTTGGATGTTAAAAATTAAATGCAAGATGATCTAAAGATCTAAAATGCTAAATTAGAAAACTTATAAAGTGGTAGCACGACTTCACCTATAATAATGAGATTAATTGATGAAGAAATGAGAGAAGTTAGTTTTTTTAAAAATACAAAATAGATAAATTAAGAAATCTTAATGGAATTTGGTAACTATTTACTTGAATTGTAAAGTTAAGAAGTTGGGCTTTATGGTGATCTCAGATAGAATTATAATTTTAATTAATTTGGTTTTGTTTTTAATGTGTCCTATTCCTATCAGCCTAATGCTAACTCCTCTATTATAGTTAAAACAGTTAACCCTATCCCTATTTTAAATACCACAACTTTTAAATTCGACTATCAAGAGCTAAGTATCACTATTGATGTTAACTTTAGGAAGTGTTAGTAAGGAGAAATTTTACAAACTTTGTAGAAGTATAAAATATGTTATACTTGCTAATAAGGTAAATTTTTATTTAATAAAGCCATTAACTTTTAACTTCTTAGTAATGATTTCAAGAGATAAACGAAATTAAAAAATTTATTTAATCTTTTTTGCAATAACTGCTGATCAAATATACTTTATTACTTTTTTAATTGCAAATAATCTATAAAACATAAAAAAGTATTCAAAAATATTTAGTAAATTTTTTTAATAAAATAAAATGATTAACAATAATATTTTTTATTTACTTTTAAAAAAATATTTTAAGAATTAAATAACCTACAATTTTATTTTAACTAATTTATTTTGATTATTATTGCTTCTTTTCAAAAATAATATTTTGTAAAATTTACTCAAATAAAAAAACACTAATTTTACCAAATATTCTTAAATATGCTTCAAATAATTAAACTAGCCAACTTTTTTTAAATAGGTAATTATTGTTTGCAAGATCCAAATTAATTAGAAAATTTGCAGTGTCTCAAATGCCCTATAGGTTCTAAAAATTGTTATTCAAATATCATACAGTTATAAAATGGGTATTGGAGTAAGAACTAAAATTCAGACTAAATTTACTAATGTATTAACCCATAAATTTGTATCCCTGAAGACCCTTCAAATAAGTTTGGATGCTCAATAGGACATGTAGGAGCTATTTGTGAATCTTGTGATTCTTATGGAATTGTTTGGGGATCAAAATACGGAAGAAGTAATGGCGGAATATAATGCTAAGAATGCTCTAAGCAGAATTCAATTTACTCTATCCTCATTCTATTTTTGCTTTTGATAATAATTTGTGCTTATTTAATCTTCTAAATTTAAAGATAGTTGATATTAACATAAAAAAAAATGGAGTGGTTTTATTTGAGAAAGCTTAAAATAATTTTACTATAAAATGAAAACATTAGTAGTGCTTCTTCTTACATCAAAATTCTTATCAACTATTTATAGTTTATAGCATTAATAAATAACTTAGGTATATAGACTTAATAATTTATCTCTGTTGCTGAATTTGGAGGTGGTGATCCTGTATAGCATACAGTTTATAATTTAGATTGTATATTTAGTAGTTACGATATCTAAATTCCTTTGTATGCTATTAGAGTTGTATTTATCAATTTCTAAATAATTGCCATATATTTGTTGATCCAGTTAGTAAAAGCCCTCACAAACATCTTTAAGATGGATAACTTTTCATTTTAGATTTCTTCTTTCATATTAATATACTTATTCTTTAGTTCTTCCATAATTAAAGTATTGATATAGTCTTCATCTTGCAGAGAGATGGGAGGCAATCTCTTTATTATTGCTGAAATGCAGGATGAATGCTATACTTAAAAACACATTGAAATATTACTATTTTTAATAGGTCCATTACTTTTAATATGGTTCATTTTAATCCCTGCATCATTTTACATTACTTTGTACAGAAATAGATAAATATTATAAAGCTTGCTTTATCTGAAGAAGTATGGTCTTTTGTACTAAGTAAATAGTTTTTAATAAAACAAAAGCATTTTTTTTAATAAAATTTTTTTATCAATAGGAATACAAAGTAAAGTCTTATTATTGGGATTTAACTAGAAATCAAACAAGAGCATCTCTTGTTATATTTCTAAATTTAATTAGGGTTTCACCATTACTAAAAGCTTAGTCCTTATTATTTTTTATGTTTATTTATCTGATATTTTTGACAAAAGTAAGTCCTTATTAAAGATAGTAGTTAAATAATATTGATTAACTATCTTGCAAATTAGTTATATTAAGTATATTCATAATATAAGTGATATTAGTTACAGATAATCTATCATTTTAAAAACTATTGTAAATTATTTTGATTGCCTTAAATATGAGTTTCCTAGCAATCTTACTCTTATTAATAGTATAAAGACCAATTCCTTATGATAGAAATGACTAAAATATCTTATAAAAATTCTAAGTTATTATTTCCAAATTAATTCCAAACTCCATTTATTAACTTACTTACTAAAAATAGATAAATTTATTAAGAATAAATTATCTATGGAAAATAGTTCAAAACTCTTTAAAGTAAGTTATTGGTATGGAAGCAAATTTTAAGAGCTAAAAATGGTATTTGCAATCAAAAATGCTTGAGTAAAGTTAATTCAAAGTTAGAAGTCAAATAATTAGTAAACCACTAAAAAATAATTTTTATAAATAAGCACTAGAGAATTGCTATTTAGATAAAAATCTTAAATGAATAGAATGTCACTTCTAAAATATAAAAAATTTTAACTTAAATGATAAAAATAATAACTCAATTAAAGATAAAAAATTTTTTTATTTAAATTGTTTTTATTTATATGAAATATTTTTTCGCATATTTTATTTTTTAATTTATAAAATTATAATTGAAATAATTAAAATCATATTTATTTCTACTTCTTTTTATTTGGAATGTTGAAAATAAAATCTAGTTTATTTTTAATGTTTAAATTTATTTTATTTTTCTTTTATAAATTTTTAAAGTATTGAAGGTTTTTATTTCTTTGTAGTGAAAAAGACATATTAAAATTTCAAACATAGCAAAAACAAATATTTCTTTATTTAAATATAAAATTACTAAGTTAATTAAATATTTCCACTTTTCTTTCTTTAACTTCTATTTTTAAAATAAACTAAGTTGTCTTTCTAAAATCCATAAATTATTTTCATCTCTTTTACAACTTCTTAGTTTTTATTTGGAAATTTTTCAAAATTTAATAGTATATAAGCTAGCATAGATTTTCCTTCAATCATGGCTAGATGCTATCCAATGCAATTTCTTGGTCCTAATGAGAAGGGAGTGAAATTAAATGTATTCTACTAACTTTTTATTCATTAAAAAAATACATTAATGTTAACTAATTATTTATGAATATTAAATAAATACTCTATTTGTTTCATCCATCTTGAAGGATCAAAATTATCTGGTTCAGGATATATTTCTGGGTTGGAAAAGTTGTAAATGAAGTATGTATTTATAAAATCTCCTTTTTTCACTTCATATATCTCCAATTTGGATGTCTTAAATGGCAAGTCTTGGGAAAACTTCAATTGCTGGTGGTATTAGCCGCAAAGACTCCTTCAGTATAGAATTCAAGAAATTAAGATTTTGAATATCTTCAAAAGTTAATGAGTTAAATAGATCAACAGGGTTAGTTGAATTTATTCTAGATGATGCCAGTTTGATGATTTCCTCTCTTGCTTTGTTTTGAATATCTGGGTAGAGTGATAAGTAATATAAAGCTACTCTTGTCATGTTCCCTGTAGTGTCAGTGCCAGCAAAAAATAAGGCCAAGAAGTTGTCTATGATTTCTTCATTAGATATTTTTGATTTTTCATTTACTATCATTTCTTTTAAATATTAATGCAAAAAGTTATTTTTAGCAGATTTTATAACTTCTATGAGCTCTATTCTTCGTTTCTCAACAACTTACATACATTATTTCTTAATCTCAATCAAACGCTTTTGCAAATTCTACTCATTTTTAGTAGGAAAATATTTAATAGTGTTTCTTTCGAAAAAAATTCATTTTATGAGTGATATTTTATCATTCTATAGAATTTGAAAGGAATTAGTAATAGTTGAAACAAGTTCTTAAGCAACTGAAATTTAGCTTCCATCTTCCTTTGTATTTTTCAAATTTTAAGATGTTTATCCAAAGAAAACTCTAAAAACTACTTCAGAAGTAACTGATTCACATGTTTTAACAACTTATATTTCCATTTGATCTGATTATTTTAACTGGTCTTTGATTTCTCCAAATATTTTTATAGATGTCTCTTTAATTGAAGGTAGATAATTCTTAATTTCTTCAAAATGGAATGATTTTCCTAAAAATTTTCTTTAGCGCTACCATTCCTTACCTTTCGCATAGATTAAAGAGTCACCAAATAAATATATTATAGCCATAGAAGCATCAATCTTCATAAAAGCTTCATGATTTTAGTGTACCTATTTAATTAAATTAGAATCTACAAAAATCAATCCTACTTTGGTACCAAAGCAAAAAGCGATAGCTTACAAACTCTTCTGGTGTAAATTACGAAAAAAAGCTAAACTATCTTTGTATTAGATTAAGCTTTATTTGTATTCTTTTAAAAGGCCTACCCCAAAATTAAAGTAGACTTTAACTTTTTTTCCATGTTTCTTTGAGAAAGTGGATAATCTCAAATATGGGTAGATAAAAACTTTGTAGACAACAAAAACCAAAAGAAACAGGAATAAACCTAAAAAAGTAATAAGAATTTTCAACATAGTTAGATGTTGCAGGTTTTATTTAAAAATTACAAATTTATTATAATTATTTGAATAATCAAATCAATATTAGAAGCATTTGTTGTAAAAAGTAGAAAAGAAAGATTTTTAATTATTATTAAAGTGACTGATCTTAGATCAATCAACAATAAATATTTCTATTTATATATTATTATTTAAATCAATTTCAAAAAAATAAGTATAAAGCTAAATTGTACAATAAATAGACTTTAAAGGCTTATTAATAGGTTTTAATTTTTGATGCTTGAATAAAATCATAATTTTACATAAAAAATAAATTTAAAAAGATACAATAGGCTTAAATCTTTTTAAATAATCCTAAAAATAATTTATTTTCAATAAAAATGTATATCTGAATTTAAAAATATTGAGAAGATTAGAAAGATGGAAAACTGACTACCTTAGTTTAATTCAAATCATAAATTTCTTATTATAAGTGTTTATGACGCTATTTATGATTTAATTAAAGTATCTCAAAAAAATTCATAGAAATTTCTTTATATATTCTTTTTCTTAATTTTAAGTGTAAACAACTATAAGACAAGTATTCTTATTTCCTTTTTAAAAAACCGTCATAAATAAAATAAAAAAACAACAAAATTTATTCATAAGCCAATATTTATATTTTATATCAACAGGTTTAAAAATTCATTTCTTATTTCATTAAAAGCAAATAAAGAATATCAATTCAAATAGTTTCTAAAAAATGATTTTTATCTAAATATTTTTATGAAATAAATAAAATTTTAAATATTAAATAAAAATTAGACTTTTTTATAAAATTAGTTTCTATTTAAAATAATTTGTACAAAAATTAATATTTAAGAAGGTATATTTATACAAATAAATTAATTATTATCAATTTTTTGAATATTATTTAGATTATTTTTTAATTTTTTTAAGACCCCTGTTACAAAATAATGTTCCTCACAATTTTTTGGTTAAAGAAACTAAAAAAAGATGTCGGGAGTGGCGTGGTGTTAATATACAAGGATTTATGGTATAAAGAAAAATAGACTTACTCAAAACAATAAAAAAAGTAACTCTTAAATTGTTGTATGCATGCATTATTTTAACAATATAAAAGCCATTTTTTACTCTAAAAACATTTTTTTCATAAATATTTTACACATTTTGAATATAAAATAATTTTCTGAAAAAGTTGAAAATTAAAAGAGATAAAATGATTTATAAAAATATAATTTAATACTTGTTTTGTTTATGATTTTATATAACCATTTAGTGAAATATAATTTTTATATATTTGTTTATATTAATGATAAAGCTTCATTAATCATCTCTATTTAAAATAAACCAAATTATCAGGAGATAATCCGTAAATAATTTTCATTTCTAATCCTATGTTTTATGATTTGTTTGGTAAAATGTCATACTTAAGTAAAAAGTTAGCAAGCATGCATTTACCTTCAATCATAGCCAAATGTTAACCTATACAGTTTCTTGGGCCTAATGAAAATGGTGTAAAGCTAAACGCAAATTACAAACTATATTTAATAAATTTTTGTAAATAAATAATAAAAAATTAAATGATTAATTAATTAATTAATTACTCATTTCCATTCATCCATCTTTTAGGATCAAACTGTTCTGGATTTTAAAATATTGAAGGATTTGACTAATTGTAAATAAAGTGAGTGTTCACTAAGTCTCCTTTCTTTAATTCAAACTAACCTATTTTAATATCTCTGTTTGCATATCTTGGAAAAACACCAATAGCAGGAGGAATAAGCCTTAAAGATTCTTTTAAAATAGAATTTATGAGATTCATGCTAGAAAGATCTTCAAAAGTTATATAATTAAATTGGTCTTTTAAGTCTAAGTTTGAATTTTTCTTTGAAATAATTTAAATCACCTCTTCTCTAGCTTCTTTCTAAATTTAAGGATTCAAAGAAAGGTAATACAAAGCTACTCCTGTCATATTTCCGGTGGTATCTGTACCCGCAAAAAAGAGACCACAAAAATTAGCTATGATTTCATCAATAGTAATTTATGTGTTACTATTTTGAATCATTTCTTTCAAGTAAAGATCAAGAAAGTTATTTTTATACAAAGCAGGATCTAATTAGAGCTATTTCTTTCTCTATAAAACTATTGTTTCACAAGCTTTCTTTAGTTATATCAAGCGATTATGTAGCGATTTCTCTTCTCTAAGAGGAAATATTTTCATACTGTATCTCTTTAAAATTAAACTTTTGATCAAAAGTAATTTATCTTATTGAAGAATTCGGAAAGAGTCCATAACGATTGAAACAAGCTCTTCCGAGATACTTAATTTCTACCCATCCTCTCGTTCTATTAGAATATTCTCTTAAGTAGATCCAAAAAACACCCTAAAAACTACTTCAGAAGTAACTTTTTCACAAATTTTGACAACTTAAATTTCTTTTTAAGGATTTATTCTAATATCCTCACTTATTTAGTTTGAAGTTTTGATACAAATATCTTTAATGCAAGGCAAATAATTTTTGATTTCTTCAAAATGGAATGATTTCCCTAAGAATTATCTTTAGCGCTACCATTATTTACCTGTGGCATAGATAAGTGAATTAGAAAAAAGATAAACTACAGCTTAACTCACATCAATCTTTTAGAATGCATCATGATTTTTGTGAACTTGTTTTATAAGTTCTGGATAAACAAAGCTTATTCCAATTTTAGGTCCAATATTAAAGGCAAATGCTTCAACATTACTTTAATTTTCTTTTGACATTTTACGTATAAAAGCCATACTATCATTTAGCTGTTAAAATCCTTTTTTATACTCCATTAGTAAACCTGTTCCATAATGGTGAACCACTTTAATACTTTCACCATACTTTTTCTAAAGCTGCATCAGTCTTATTTTAGGATAAAGTATCATTTTATATAATATAAAAAGAATACCCAATATAAATAAAACGGGTATTAAGTTTATATTTTCTACAAACATTTTTTTTGAAAGGCTAGCAACAAAAAAACTAATTTTATCAATTAATATTTTATATAATTCATAGTAAACTAATATGCTAATTTAAGCAAATATTTTTATCAAGTAGTTTATCGAAAACTATATTTTTTTTAGTCTTTCTCAACCTATAAAATTACGATTAAAAAAAACTTTATTTTTGTAAGTAAAAGTAAATTTATTGAAACCTACTTATTAAATCTGAAAATGTTGTGAATAAATTAAATGAAATCTCCTGTCTCAGTTTCTTATCAATCAAAAATAAAATAATCAGAAATTTTATTTTTGATAATAATTATTTAATAAAAGAAATATTAAAAATTATATAATAAGCTAATTAATTAATGTTTTCAATATGAATTCTATTTTATTTTCTGTTTATCAACTAAGAAATTATTCATTTAAAAAAAATAAATAATAAAATTTTTTTAAATTAAGTTTATTTTAACAAATATTATTGTTAAGATTTATAAAGAATAAAAAATTTAAATTGTTTATTTATTTCTTTCTTTTTTAGAAATCGACTTATTTTTCTTAACACTTAGAAGAAATAAAAGAGTCACTTTACTTATTTTAATTGAAAATTTTGAAAGTAATACAAACAAATTATAAAAAATATAGTTTAAATTTAAAAAACTCATGTTTTTATTAAGCTTTTTTGATTGTAAAAGCTCAAATCATTCATCCTCAATTTGCTTTTAGTTTTTTGAAAAAAATGATGTTATCATTTTTTAACCCATAAATAACTTTAACTTCTTTAACAATCTTAGCTGAATGGTTTGGCAAAATTTCAAATTATAATAGAATGCTTGCAAGCATACATTTTCCTTCAATCATAGCTAGATGTTAACCTATGCAATTTCTGGGACCTAAAGAGAATGGAGTAAAGTGAAATGTGTTCTATTAACTATTTTTAGTTAAATATTATTTTTTAAGAATGAATATAAAAATAAAATTTACTCTTTTGCGTTCATCCATCTATAAGGATCAAAAATATCTGGATTTGGATAATATTCAGGGTTTGACTGGTTGTAGATAAAATGGGTATTAACTAAATCTCCCTTCTCAATTTAGAAGTCACCTATTTTCATATCATGGTCAGCTATTCTAGGGAACACTTCATTGGCTGGAGGAACTAGTCTTAGAGATTCTTTCAAAATAGAATTTATTAGGTCTAAATTTGAGAGATCATCAAAAGTTAATTAATTGAATAATTAATCAGTTTTCTTTTCCTTTTATTTTTAAGAGAGAACTTTAATCACTTCTTCTCTAGCTTGTTGCTGAATTTCAGGATAAAGGGAAAGATAATATAGAGCAACTCCAGTCATGTTGCCAGTTGTGTCTGTACCAGCAAAAAATAAACCAGAAAAGTTATCAACTATTTCATCATATGTCACTTTACTGTTTTTGTTTTAAATCATATCAATTAAATATTAATCTAAGAAGTTCTTCTTAGCTTAAGATGGATCTTTAAAGAGCTCATCTCTTCTTTTGATCACAACTTAAAGGCATGTTTACTTTACAGTAATCAGGCGATTGAGTATACTTTCTTCTCCTTAAGTTCTTAAAAACTTAGTGCTATTTCTTTTAAATAACAGCCATTTTATTAGAGCTATTTTATCATTTTATAACAGCTAAAAAGAGTTCATTATTGTTTCTACAAGCTCATGGGCAATAGGAATTCTAGTTCCATCTTCCTTTTTTATATCTAAGTTCTAAGAAGTTGATCCGAAAAAGACCCTAAAAACTACTTCTGAAGTTATTTGTTCGCATATTTTTACAGCTTGAATTTCTGTTTACTCCTTTAGAGCCAATTATTTATTAACATTTTAAAATGTATTTTGGCACACCTCTTTGATAAGAGGTAAATAATTTTTTATCTCTTCAAAATGGAATGATTTTCCTAAGAATTATCTTTATCTCTGCCAATCCTTACCTTTTGCATACAGAATTGAGTTACCAAATAAGAAAGTTATAGCCATAGCTGCATCAATTTTATGAAAAGAATCATGATTTTAATGCACTTATTTAATCAAATCAGGGTCTACAAAGCTTAATCCTACTTTAGCTCCTAAATTGAAACCTATAGCTTTTAAATTCTTTTGATGCATACCACGAATAAATGCTAAGCTATCACCTTTATCTTCCAAATCGTTTTTGTATTTTTTGAGTATTCCATCTCCAATGTTAAAGAACACTTAAATCTTATCACCATATTTTTATTTCATTATTTTGAGCCTTAGATATGGATAGAAAACGAGATTATATAAGGCAATAGCGAATATCAAAGCCAAAATTCCTAAAATAGTATATATTGCTACAAATATCATTTATTTCTGTTTTTATTCTAATTTATTTTAAATGAAATTAATTTATTATAACATTCAATAAAATTTGTGGTTATATTTAATGCTTTCTTTTTTTTTAATGCAACTTTAAAATAAAGAAGTAAAATTAAAAAAGAGTAAGCTAATAAAAGCAATATACTAATTTTTAAATCTATTTACGATGAGTTTTTCTTTTCTATTATTACATTTGCAAAAGGTAATTAGAACAGATAGATGTTAATATAATTCACCTAATTATATCTTACATTTAAATAAAAAGTAAAAATCTTTAATAAAAAAATAACACTTCTAGAAAAAATTCATTTTTATGAATTATTTATTGTAATAAAAGTTTAGCTTGCAATTTATTTATTAAAATACATGCTTTCAAATGATAAATATTCTCTAAGAATTATAATTCGTATTTGAAATCAAAATATTGTTTTATTAAGATTAAAAAGGAATAGTAATCTATATGTATGTTTGTACTAGATAAAATCAAATATTCTGATTATTATAAAAATTCTTTATTAAATATTATTGATAAATAGATGGTCAAGGATACAAATTAAAACTCTAGAAAAAGCAGATTTATGCTTAAGAATCATAAAATTATTAATATATTACAATTTAATAAACAACTGATAAAGAGATATTTTTCACTTAACAATATAAAAATGTAAATATCTATATTTAAGATACTACCTCTTTCAATTCATGATTATTTAGCATATATCCTTACAGATATTAACAATATGATATTTTATCCTTAAGGCGAGCGCTGAGTCTATAGCTGAGGATGTATGATTTTCATAGGATTAAAAATTTATATATCTAGTAATGAAATAATTTTTAATATTCAATATCAACAAGAATTTAAAACATGGAAATACTATACTATCTATACTCATATGGTAAAAATCTCAAAAATAAATAATATCAAATGAAATAATAAAAATTTAAAATACCAAAAATTGGAATAATTATAAATGATGGCATAATAAAAATAAATAGATATCTTTAATTTGAGTTTTTTAGAAAAAAATAACAAATTATTATTTTTAAATTTATAAAAGACTACATACATATATACTCACTGTATAAATTAAATACATATTTATTTATATTCTTTCATTGTTTTTCAAACAGATTTCAATTGTTTCTTTTTCTGAAATAAACTAAGTCATCAGGCTAAAGTCCATAAATGACCTTCATTTCATATTAAACTTGCTTCTATGGGATTGGCATTATATCAAAGTTTATTAAAAAATTGATAAGAATACACTTACCTTCTATCATCGCCAAATGTTATCCTATACAGTTTCTAGGTCCTAACGAAAAAGGAGTAAAATTGAATGCATTATTTTACCTTTTAATTTATATTTATTTAAAAATTATTTAATTTTTTTATAATTATATAAAAATGTTTTACTCTTTTCCTTTCATCCATCTATAAGGATTGAACTAGTCCTAATTTTCATAGACTTCTGGATTACTTTGGTGGTAAATAAAATGAGTGTTTACAAGATCTCCTTTTTTAACTTCAAATTGTCCAATTTTAATATCTCTGTTGGAAATTCTAGGAAGTACTCCTGAAGCAGGTGGAAGAAGTCTCAAAGATTCTTTTAATATTGAATTAATTAGGTCCAATTTAGTGAGATCCTCAAATGATAGATAATTATAAATATCTTTTAAGTCTGAGCTATTTGCTTTCTATTTAATTATCTGCATTACTTCTTCTCTTGCTTCTTGTTAAATCTTTGGGTTTAATGATAAGAAATATAAAGCTGCCCCAGTCATATTTCCTGTAGTATCTGTTCCTGCAAAAAACAAAGCACAAAAATTATCAACTATTTCCTCTATTGTTATTTCATTATTAGAATTTTAAATAATTTCTTTTAAGTATAAATCTATGAAATTTTTTTTATAGAGAGATGGATCAGAAACAAGCTCTTCCTTTCTTTTTAGTACAATATTTTTGCAAGCTTATTTTAGTGTAATTAAGCGGTTTAGTAATTTTTTTTCTTCTTTTAGAGGGAATATATTAAAGGTTTTTCTTTTCAATAACTAACTTTTAAGCTAAATCAACTTACTTTGTTAGAGGATGCGAAACGAATCCATAATTACCGAAACTAATTCTTACGAAATGGGTATTTTTGTGCTTCCGTTTTCAGTAGAAATAAAAATATTTTCAGAAGTAGCTCCAAAAAATGCTCTAAACACAACTTCAGAAGTAATTTATTCACATGTCTTGACAACTTTAATTTCTTTATTTGGATTTTATATTAACTCCTCACTTATTCTATCAGAAACTTTTAAGCAAATATCTTTAATCGATGGAAAATAATTTTTAATTTCATCATAATGGAAAGACTTTCCTAAGAACTAACGCTACTTTTACCAGCTTTTTCCTGTTGCAAATAACAAGGAGTTAGAAAAGAGGTAAGCAATAGCTTAGCTTACATCAATTTTTTAAAAAGCATCATGATTTTAGTGAACTTACTTAATTAGCTCAGGGTCAACAAAACTATACCCCACATTTGTACCAATATTAAAGGCATAAGCTTAAATACTTTTTCCATTCTAATAAGCCATCTAGCGTAAAAAGCTTAAACTATCTTTGTTTTAGGTGTAACTCTTCTTATACTCCACTAGAAGGCCAGGTCCATAATGATGAATTACTTTAATTTTATCACCATATTTTCTTTTTATTTATATCAATCTGAGTTTTGGGTATAATAAGAATTTGTAAATAATCAAAATTATTACAAATGATATTATAATAGAATTCAATAGCATGAAAGATATATTCTAATTTTTAATTTTCTTTTTTTAAATTCATTTATATTTTTGCTTATTCAATTTATCATTATTTATAGTCAAATTAAAAACTTCTTCGTAGATTGATTTACATTTTTTTTTTCAAATTTCTATTAAATTCTGATATTAAACTAAAAGACTTACATAATTTTTTTCAAAATTAGCTTGAATTTTATCTTAATACTTATTTCCTTTTAGTTGATTTATGAATCAATTTATAAATTAAAACAGTTTTAAAATTTAAAATTTAAGAATATTGATCATTTATATAGTTTTTACATCCTAAGAAAAGAGCAAACTTTTTAAAGGTATTTATTACAAGAAGAAATAAAAATATAAATAATTACATGATAATTTTTCTATATATTTAAGCAAAAATACAAATTAATTGAGGGAATAAATTAATTTATGAGTGTCTAATTTGAGTAAGCATAAACCCGAATATCAATAATTAACTAGTCTGTAATCAATATTATTCAAAAATCTTTTATTTTAATTAATATAATTTAATAAAAATTTTAAAGTCTATCTCTTATTTAAAAAATTATTTTTATTAAATTTTATAGCAAAATTAAAATATTTTCATTTAAAAAAAGGTTGTCGACACTGGGACTTCCCAAGCGGTCCCCCACCTTAGTACTAACCCAGCCTTAAGGCGCTTAACTTCGGAGTTCGAATGGGATCCGGTGTTTTCACCTTAGTATGGCCGACAACAAAACTTATCAGAAAGAATCACTATTAATAAGTGAACATTTATAATTTAGAAATTTTAATTTTATTTTTGGTAAAAAAATAATAGATTTAAACTAAAATATAATAAAAAAATATTTATTATTAAAAATAAAAAAGGTTGTCGACACTGGGACTTCCCAAGCGGTCCCCCACCTTAGTACTAACCCAGCCTTAAGGCGCTTAACTTCGGAGTTCGAATGGGATCCGGTGTTTTCACCTTAGTATGGCCGACAACAAAACTTATTAGAAAGAATGACTATTAATAAGTGAACATTTATAATTTTTTGATTTTAATTTAATTTTTTTGTAAAAAATAAATAATAGATTTAAACTAAAATATAATAAAAAAATATTTATTATTAAAAATAAAAAAGGTTGTCGACACTGGGACTTCCCAAGCGGTCCCCCACCTTAGTACTAACCCAGCCTTAAGGCGCTTAACTTCGGAGTTCGAATGGGATCCGGTGTTTTCACCTTAGTATGGCCGACAACAAAACTAATTACTATATTTAATTATAAAAAATTATGCTAAATAATTTAATTTTTTATTTTTGATGTAGAGAAGACTTTTTAAAAATTTTACAAATAAAAAATATTAATAAAGATATTATTTTAAGTATATTAATAAATAAAAAATATAATTTTAAACTTCAGATAATAAAGAAATTAATATTTATTGCAAGCAAACAAAAAAATAAAGTTTTAATATGGGATAAAAAAAATATAAAATAAAATTTAGAAAATGTTTTATGAGGTTATTTATTTTTCAATCTATTTTATTTTTTAAAGCTAAAACAGTAAAATAATGAAAAATCAATTATTTTATTTCCTTTATTTAAAATATATGAGATTATCTTTTTGGAATCCATAAATAACTCTCAATTCCTTCACAACTTCCTATTAATAGTTAGGTAAAATATCGAAGTTTAGTAATATGCAAGCAAGCATGCATTTTCCTTCAATCATAGCAAGATGCTAACCGATGCAATTTCTAGGGCCTAGTGAAAACGGAGTAAAGTTGAAATTATTCTATGAGCTTTGATTTATATTAAGAAGATACATTATAAATATAGAATATAATAAATATAAAAGACTTACTCTTTTACATTCATCCACCTTTGAGGATTAAATATTTCTGGATCCTGATAAAGTTCTGGGTTAGATTAATTATAAATGAAATAGGTAGATACTAAATCTCCTTTTTTAATCTAGAATTCGCCAATTTTCATGTTATGAATTGCTACTCTAGGAAAAACTTCTATAGCAGGAGGGATTAACCTTAACGATTCCTTTAAAATACTGTTTATCAAATTCATGTTTTATAGATTTTCAAATGTTAACTGGCTAAATAGTTCACTATGATTTCTTTTATTAGAGTTTTAAGAGAGGATTTAAATGACTTCTTCTCTAGCTTATTTCTAAATATCAGGATACCTGGACAGATAGTACAAAGCAACTCCAGTCATATTTCCAGTAGTGTCTGTTCCTGCAAAAAAAAGTCCTAAGAAATTATCAATAATTTCTTCATTATTTACTTCACTCTATTTATTTGTTATCATATCATACAAATATTAATCTAAAAAGTTTTTTTTTGCTTAAGTAGGATCATTCTATAGTTAATTCTTTCTTTATTAAACCACTTAGAGACAGCTTTCTTTAATAGCAATCAAGCGATTTAATATGCTTTGCTCTCCTTAGGTGCGGAGGAACTTAGTGCTATTTCTTCCGAAAATTAAATATTTAAAAAGAGCTATTTTATCTTTTTTTAAGAGTTAAAATGAGTTCATGATTGCTTATATGAGTTCATCAGCAATTGGTATTTGGCTTCCATCTTATCTTGTAATGACTAAATTTTAAGTAGTTGACCCAAAAAATGCCCTAAAAACAACTTCAGAAGTGACTTATTCGCATATTTTGACAGCATTTATCTCTAATTGATCGTTTTGAGTTAGTTTTTCGCTTACTCTTTCAAAAACTTTATCACAAATTTCTTTAATTAGTGGTAGATAGTTTTTAATCTCTTCGAAATGAAAAGACTTGCCTAAAAATTATCTTTGTCTTTGCCAACTTTTTCCTTTTGCGAATAGGATTGAATTACCAAATAAAAATGTTATTGCTAAAGATGCATCATTTTTGCGAAAAGCTTCTGGATTTTAGTGTACTTGTTTGACAAGCTCAGGATCTACAAAGTTTAAGCATATTCTAGTACCAAGATTATAAGCAAGAGCTTTAATGTTTTTTTAGTGTATGCCCCTTATAAATGCTACGCTATCTTTCTTCTAAGTTAAATTTGTATAATATTCTTTAAAAATACCTTCACCAATATGGAAAAATGTTTTGATTTTATCTCCATGCTTTTATTTCATTAGATTCAATCTTATTTAGGGATATAGGATAAGATTGTATATAAAAATAGCAATAAGTAGAACAATCGCACCTAAAGCAATATAACTAACTAAAATCATTCAACTATGCTAAATATAATTTTTTAATGTAAATAATTTATAATAAAAAGGTTCCAAATAATGATTCTTTTTTTTTTTAATAAAGCAATAAAAACTTCTATATTTGCTTAGTCCTACATTTGATTACAAATTTAAACTAAATTAACCTCCCTTTTTTTAGATTAGAACTTATTTGTTCATAATTTGAAATAAATTAAATATTAATATCTTATTATTATGTTATTAACTTACTTTATGAATATTTTTTTAGTATTTTTTAACAATTAATATAATTCACAATAATATATATATCATCAAAATAAAATAGAACTGATTTGAAACTTAATTAAATTTGCTTAATTTACAAAATACTTATTTTAAATTAAATCACATGTTATTGAATTGATAATCAATTTTGTAAGATATTGAAGAAATTACAAAAATAAATTACAGATATTGATATTAATTATTTTTTATACTAATTTCAATAAAATATATTATTTTTTATTTATAAAAATGTAAAGAATTTTTTAAACTGTTTTTATATTTTTAAGATTTTATCAAACAATTTTTAAAAAATTTAAATTAAATTAAAAAGTTTTTTTTACAAATAAATGAATGTTTTTAAAATTATTTTTTCTTTGAGTGAAAATAAATTTAATTATTATTTTGATCTTTGTTATTTAAATTATTTTTTTAATTTAAAGAAATAATTAGAATAAATATCCATCCTAATTACTAAATTTTGAGTAGGGAATTGACTATATTACGCTAAATTATTTGGAATTAATTTCTAAAAATTATAAAGAAACAAAAATTTGCAAAATAATTTAGTATTTATCATCAATCAATCAAATTAATAAATAGATTGTTACCTTTTGCTTATATAAACATTAATTGTTTTTTTTCTGTTCAAAATTTTGTAATTAATCAAAAATTAGTAATCTTGATTGCAGGCAAATCTCAGTTTTTATTAGTAAACTGTAACTTTACCTTTTATATTAAATTTCAAGATAATATTCTCGTATTAAATAATAAATAATGAAGGATCAATTAATATACATACGGTGACTTGAAAATAATTATAATTTCAATTAATAATGAAATTTTATTAATGGTATTGATTATACTTTACCCATTGAAAACAACTAAAAAATATAACCTCTTAGCATTATTTAAGTATTTTAAAATAATCTTAAACAAAAAAAAGTCTACTTTAAAATGTATCAACTAAGATTAATCATCTTAAAATTTTTTTTATTAAATATAAAAAATGGTTTCTAAGCTGATATTTATATTTTGATATCTAAGCTTAAATGAAGTACTGAGATAATAATGAGATTAATAATTCGTTTGAAACGAACGAAAAGATTATTTTGATTCTCTTATGATAAAATTTCTTTTTTAATTTAGTAATTAATATATGTTTTCGAAGATATTCTTTATTTAAGAAATAGATTCTGCTTTTTAATTAAATTGTAACGAAATATAAAAAATAAATGGTAAATATATGCAAGTTAAAAAAAATTCAAGAGATGAAATAATTTAAAATATAAATGTTAACGAAGCTAATTATTCTATGAAATAGAATTTATTTTAAAAAAATAAAGAGACTGACTAAGATATTTTTTACTTATATTTGAGTAGAAATACAAATTGAAATAATGTGCAAAAATTTTTCTTAATTAAAAAGATATTAAAATAATCCTCTAAAAATTGCTATACTTACAATTTTTTTGCTTTCATGATTTATTGATCAATTTTTAGTTTAAAAATAATTAGCAGATACTTTTTAGTATATTTGTAAATTTTTTTAAAAAAAAAGATAAATAATTGATAATAAATTAATAATAAAGAGATATTAAAGATTAAAATAATTAATTATGAAAAGCTGTTGTTATTTATTATACATTAGCTCATTATTTGTGCTTTTTAACTGCTTATGTGATCAAAAAAATTAGTGCTTTGATTATCTTTAAAACTAATGCTAAGAAATTGACGGATAAAAATACATAGGAAAATAGATAAAATAGAGTTTGTGTATAACAAATTCAGATATTTATGAAGAAGTTGATTTTTGTTTTGGTAAAGATAAAAACGTTTGCATAACTAAAGAAAAGAATATGTGTGTAAATATAAGCGAAAGCATTAAATATGTTGCAATTATCAAACATAATAATCAATGTGCTATTTTAAATGAAAGCAACTCTGATTTTGGGGAACCTTAATGTAGTCAAATATTATATTTTATTTATTTCTTCATAAAATATTTTAATTTAAAAAAAGAGATTCTTAAAATCAAAGAGGGATATTGTTAGAATTAAAATGCTGAAATAGTCAAAGGGATTCCTGGTAGATAATTTAACGATTATTTTCTATGCGTTAATTTAGCAAAAAGATATTCTGAATATTATTTCGATCAGTAATATTGATATGTTTTTATATTTCTAAATTTTTGTTTAAATAATTAAATTTAGAGACTATTGTTTGGAAATATTAACAAGAAAAAAATAGAAGTTATCAAAAGTGTCAGTAGATAGATATTTTTTGTTTTTAATAACTTTTATCAATCATATTTTTATAAATTAATAATACAAGGGAAAAACAATAGATGGGTTTTGTGTTAACTAAAATGAATATCATGAATAAAAAGTTATTTGCAAAAAATAATTTTGTGAGCACATGAACAAGAATTAATAATATACATGTTTTGACTACAATTTTCATTCAGTTATTGTAAACTTTAAGATTTAGCAAAAAATTAATTTATTAAATTTTTTAATAAAGGGTATAACAGAGAAAAATCAGTGCATTTTTGATGAATAATTCTTTGAAGTATAAATTTAATGCAAACAGTAATATTGTAGATAGATTTTAGATAATCGTGCTAATTGTATCAAAATATCAAGCACTTAAGTATAATTATAAGAAATTTTATTTGAACTTATCAAATCATTTTTTCAAAAGGAAGTTTTAAAAAATGGTGATTGTGTTCAAGGAGAAAAGGAAAAAAGAAACTTAGAAGATGATAGATACAACAAAAATGACAATATTAATCCTCAAACATAATGTACTCAACAGTAAAATATTTTCAATTTTTAAAAATTATTTCCAAATTCTAAAACATTATCAAATGAAAACAATTAATATGATTAATTATTTTTTTACAAACATGAATAAATACAAAATTTTTTTGTAAATTTGAATAAATAGAAATAAATGCTTTGATGATGACCAAAACTAATGTGTTGCTTTAGGATCTTCTCCTAATAGGTTAGCAAAATTATAAAATAATAATTGTGCAGGTTTGAATGTTATGAATTCAATAGCTTGTTATAATGACCCTCCAGCTTGTTTATCATATTCAGGTGGTGTTTGCTTGATGGTATCTTTCTCTAATCCTCAATCAGTGGTATAAGATTTATTTATATCATTAATTATTATTCTTAATTTACAAAATTAATTAATTAAGGGTTAGAGGTAAAATGGGTAATGCGCCCAGCTAAATACTATTTATAGGGGTAAATTAGTAAGCATTTTCTTATAAAAAAATTTATAAATTAATATGAAATAATAGATTTAAGTTCTTGTTACTAGAGTATTTGTCTAACTTAGTTTGGAAATGTTTAAAATTAACTTTGTGTTCCTTTTTATGGTTCTTCATATCTTTTCATGACCTTTTACTGCAATAATGTTTCACAAAAAGCTTAATAGTAATTAATTTTTTCATAATTTTAATTTATATCTTAAGTCTATTTTAATTGAAATGCTACATAAACTATTAATAAATAAATAATTCTATAAAAATTCTAATTATATTATTAAACAAACTAGTTGCTAAGATCCTACTGGCTAAATTTGCTATGATCCAAATTCTTAATAGTGCTATTAAACAACTTCTTTTGGAGGAAACGGTCTTGCATGTTAACAAAATGGTACATGCTAAACTCTTACAAATTATTTATTTATAGGTAGAGCTTAATCTAATTATTAATGCCTTCAGAATTATTAATAACCAACTAACCCTTTAGATATTTGCTTTTAAGACCCATAAAATGTATGCAAAGTTATTTCCTCAGTTTAATTTTGCGTGATATATCCATAGAGTAGCTAATATTTAGGGTTTGTTTCTGAAAATGGTAGTTGTGCTGTATTGAATTAAGTTACGTTATACAAAGGTTACATTGCTGGTAATATCTTTTTTATTTAATTATATTGTTAAACTAACTTTATTTTGATAGATCTTATAAATTTAAGAAGCAATTATTGCTAAGATTCTGATGGATACATTAGATAATTAGATTATTCTTTGAATATTGGAGTAGACTCATACAAATATTAATGCTTACAGTAAGATTAAGTATCACAAGGAACCATCATTCAATGTTAAGTTGGGTAAATCATAAAATATTAAAACCATTTTTTACATTTTAATTAATTAACATATAGGTTTTGCATAAAGTGGAATACCTGCTAAATATATAATTCTATATTTATTGGAAAGAATGCATGGCATCAGTGTTTGTAAGAAGGTTAAACTATTAGCATAGAGTGTAATTTTAATGACAATAATGTATGCCATGATACTGTAGCATAATCATGTAATCATTTAAGTGATGTTATACCAAACAGATAAGTAAATAATTTTATTTTGTTTTCATTAATAAAGTTCATTTTAATCAATCATTCAGGGTAAAGTTTCTGATGGTTCATGTGCATCAGGTGGTTTATTTTATCCAAGTAAATTTTATTTAATTTGCATATTAATTTTTAATTGTGTTTTTTTACAAAAAAGAAATAATAAAATGCTCATAAAATTTCTGCATCCAGAAGCAAAACTCGAATCCAAATTCATAAGAAGGTTGCTTTTCATTTGATTTGAATTCAAATAGAGTAGGAGTAGATGCTAATGGATATTGCATACAGATGGATTAGAATAACGCTGTTAGGTAAAAATATTTAATATAAAATTGGTAATTTGAATACAATTTTTTAATTAAAAAAAAGATGCATGAAAGGATAAGTTTGTTTAGACCAATAAAATGGCAATTCTTGCTGCACAGCTTTAGTGATGTCAAAAACTTTAAATAAATATGCAAGATAACAAACTACTAGTTACTGCTTGCCATATTTAGATCCTAATGGTTAAGGAGATTAAATAGAAACTTGTGTGTTGGGTACTTGCTTATATTAAGACCTTGGTAGTAATTAAGATTATTGTGTCACTCAAGGAACAATTTCAAAAGGAAATTTAATTGTTGGAGTAGATGTTTAATAGCTCTGTGTATCTTAAGATTAAATAACTTCAAATAGTAAATAAAATTAATATATTCGTTTCATCTAACTTTATCATTATAAATAAAGCTATCCTTACTTGCTATGGATTGAATTATTGCATTTTGTAAGTCGAGTAATTAATTATTTATTTTTCATAGTTTATTGAAGATTTAATTCATCAACAAAAATTATTTATTAAAAAAATTGATAATTTATTTAGTATTGGGTAACAAAAATGTGAGTAACTTTAAGATTTTGATCCTAATTATCCTAACATGGTTTATAGAGCTAAAAATTCTAACCAATAATGCTAAGATTTAAATACACGTATTACTTATTGCTAAAAAAGATGAATTTATTTAAAATTTAAATATTTAGCAAATAGCATAGGCTGCATGGATGGTTTATACTGTTTGAATACTTAAAATAACAACCAGTGTTAAGTTATGAGTGACCCTTCTTAATTAAATATGATAGGAAGAGATTTAACTACATAAAAATGTATTCCTTAAAACTAACCTATAGCAAGTAAATGTTAATAGGATTTTTGCATTTATTAAGGAATGTGTGTTCCTTTATCTAACTATTATCCTGGCAAAGAAAATAAGACTCATTTGTGTTTACAGTAGTCAAGTGTAGGTTAATATGGTGCATCTAACTGCTTTAAAGATAGGTATTAATCTCATTTAAATAATGCTAAAATGATTGTTTCAAATAATTAATTTTTTTAATTCTGATATTTATTTATTATTGCTTAGCTTTTATTAAAAATTAAATAAGTTTCAAGACAAACCTTAACTTTTTCAGCATATAATTGAAATGAATAAATAAGTAAAATAAATTTTAATATTATTTTAATAGATATTGTATGGAAGAAAATTCTGATGGCTTGTTTTCGTGCAATAAACTGGATTTTAGTAATCCAGACAGAGTAGGTAAAAATATTAATTATTTTAATATTTCTATCTATTAAGATTTTATTTTTTAGGAATTGAAAAAGATACTTTGAAATGTATTAAATAAGACTAACCAATAGCTGTATATCAATAACTTTAAGATTTTCATTAATGATATACTTATAAAAAAATTTTTTTTTTAGGTTATGTGTGCCATAGAAAAATATTGCCTAAATATTAAAACTCATACTTGTTAATTTATAGACTTAAATTAAGGTATGTGTGTAGATATCAATGGAGTATGTGCTCTTAATGGCTCTTGTAAAACTTGTGATATAGATTAATGTTTATCCCCTGATTCATCAAATACATGCCTGAACCTTGTTTAACCTTCAGTAACATACTGCATAGATTAAAATGGTAAAACTTTTAAATGATTAAATTTAATGCATCTAGCTATCAAAATATAATGGCTTCACTGTCTAAATATTAAAAATCTTCCATAAAATTATCTAAAATTAATTCTTTAATTCGTTTGCTAAATAAATAAAAATAATTCAAATCTAATATTTGATAAATTACAAAATGAAAATGATTAAATATGAATATTTACTTTTTAAAGAATATACATATTTTCTTTGATAAATTTAATTTATTTTTTAATCAGGTGTCTGTGCACCTCTGAACAACTAAAAATGTGTCTTTTGCCCTGATGGCTACTGCAATATATACAATAATGGAAACTGTGTGAATGGTACTTAACTACTGGATTTGTTAGTCGGGAATTCTTGTTTTACTTAACTAAAGAACTAAAATAATAAGTGCATACAATAGAGTGTAGATAATCTTGATAGTGATGGCAATATGTTGTGCTTAAATTCCTCAGGAATGTGTTCACAATTATCTTAAAATAGTAATAAATGCTTATTGTGCCCAAAATATTATGTTAATCCTGGTGATGATAAATGCTATAGTTTAGATGAAATATCAGCTCTTTAGCCTATTAACCCGTAATAACTATATTTTAATATGTAGTTGACTTATGTAAAGCTAGATTGCTATGACAATTAATTTTGCTTAAAAGACATTACTAAAAAATGTCCAATTGGGTATTTTATTGAAACTAATTAATTAACAACCTTAAGATTTTTATAAAATATATTAAAATAGATGTTTTTCTTGCTCAACAGAAACATTTTGTACATAATGTATTTAAGGTTACTTTTTATACCAAATATCTTCAAAATAATAAAGTTGTGTTAAGTGCAATACTGATATTTATTAATATACATAAGTATAGTAGTACTATAAAAATATTCCAACATATTCTTGCTTAGATTGCTCTTCGGAGTATGGATTATGGTAAAATATATTCATCATAACAAAATAAAATCAATACTTCTTTGATAAATTAGGAATGAAACAAAAAATAATTACAAAACCTGTTAGAATTATATTGTTTATTACGATTAGAATACTTAAATAGTGGCAAGTCCATTAAAAACTTCTAATTTTTAAGTCTAATTAGTTTCTGATTCATATAAACTAATATCTTACTAGCCTAACTCATGTAATATTAAATCATTCATTCAATTTTAAAAAATAATTTTACTCATTTTTAGGCACAAATCAATGCTCTTCATGCATTTAGAGCTCTTAAAATACTGTAATTTGTACTCAATGTAATATAGGTTATGTTTTATACAATGGATTATGCTAAATATGTCCTAACAACTGTTAATATTGCTAGTATGCAACATTTATTACTGGCTACGCTTAACTTATTACTGAGATAAATTATGAATAAAATCTATCTTAATATTATAATTTTATTTTGATCTGCTTATAATGCCAATAGAAATATGTGGTATCCTATGATTTGTAAAAATGCTAATAGTGTGGAAATTATTGTCTTAGTTGCTAATATGGTAAATTTATTTAATATACATTTTACTTACTTACTTACTTACTTACTTACTTACTTACTTACTTCATATTTTTCAAAATAAGAAAATGAAAACTCTGTTCTCAATTTGAAAAAATCAAATTTAAGGATATTAGATTTTAATGATTTTAGTTAAATGAAATACATTTAAAAATGTACTAGATGCCTTAATGGATACTTTTTATCATATGATGGTACTTAAATTATTATTTTTTATTATAAATTACAAGTAATATGTTAATAAATTAAGGTAAAACGTGCGTATAAAACATGTAAAACTGCGATTATAGTAGTTAAAAAGTAGTTTATGGATCATAGCAGTATGATTTAACAGAATAATTATGGACTTATACAAATACTAATGTATTTAATTATAGTACCAAGATATGCAAATAATGTAGTAAAAACTATATAGCATCAGTAGATTTAACTTCTTGTATGATAGGATGTGTTGCAAATAGTTCATAGTAAAAATGTACTAGCTGCATAACTAATTCTTCTTATAATGTTATTTGTAATTTTTGTAGTAAAGGTTCAGTTTTAGATAAATCAAACAATCAAGCTAAATGCTAAGATAGTATTTGCTAATAAAATGTATATTTTATTTTATTCATTTATTTATCTATTAACTTAACAAATCTCTATTTAAAATTAGATTAGTGGATGTGCTGAATGCTATTCATATTTAGATACTCTATCAAATATGAGTATATATTAATGCACTTCATGTTAAGATACATATAGTATTCCTTCCATTAACGGATGTCTAAAGTGTCCTGATGGATGCTCTAAATGCTATGAAGGTATGGACCTATTTATAATGATTATTATTGTTTTTAAATAAATTAAATTAAAAGTAATTTTCTTCAGATTTAAAATAAGAAATAAATTTGATTGTTTTAATTAAATAATTTTTTATCAAAATAAGAATTGTAAAATTAATTTTAAAATATTTAATTTAGTTAAATTAATAAAGAAATAATTAATTAATGGTTTAATTTATTATTTAAAAAAAATATTTTTTATTGAAATTAGGAACAAGAACTTTTAATTACACCTCTATACTTGTTTTCAATAGACCTTTTCTAAATATATAAGATAGATTAAACTATAACACAACATCTACAAATTATTAACTGATTTGTACAGAATGTTAATAAGGTTACTAATTTGATCAATAATTAAAATTATGTGTAAAACTCAACTGTGGAAAATATTGTCTTTAGTGCGCTTTAATTAATAACTAGCCTCAATGTATTCAGTGCAACTATGATTTGTTAGCTTCTTTAATTAAAAATCAATTATACTTTATTGGAACTTTCTACTATTAAAGTATATAGGATTTTAACGTAAAGAGTATGGTATCTCTTACTTCTACTGGAAATGATTGTCAACTTTGCCCATTAATGTAATTTTTATAATTATTCAATAATTTAATATCAATTAACAAAAAAAGGTGTGAAACTTGTGTAAATAATGAAGATTTATCATTTAATCCTTTTTACATGTATAATGCTTAATGCCTTTCATGCAAAAGCACCTTACCTTCAAGTAAAATACTTAAAAATTATAGAATAACTTTTGATAAAGAGAGAAGAAAATGCTTCTTATGCGAGAATGGTGAGTAAGGGTGCTTTTTTAAAAAATAACAAACTATTTATATCTAATGTTTAGACATAAATAGTAGAAAAGGTGATGGATCTTTTTCAAATCCTATTAACTTTAATAGATTAAACGAAATAGAGATAGATCAAATCATTTTAAATGAAATAGACTATGATCAGGCAATTGTTATCTACAATGAACTTTAAGTGAAATAATTGGAAGTACAATTAATATTTTTAGGAGATTTTTGTGTAGAGCAAAGGCCTTAGAATTTTACTACTAAATTAAAAGAATAAATAAGATCTCTTGAAACAACTGCTTTGAAAATAACTTGTTAAACATCTGTCCCAGGAAAATTGATGAAATTTTAATAAAATAATATTTTTGATATATCTGGATTCAATTAAGTATAAATAAATAATATTTAATTTGTGTAGTAATTAACTAATAGCTAACTAGGTTTAATCGTGGATGACATTAATCTAAACTTATTTACATTGACAAACTGTTAGTTTTCTCAGCTACTTTCCTTATAAAATTCTCTTTTACTTAAATAATATCTAACACTACAGCTTTCAACTTTAAATCAAGCAAATTTAGTCTTAGAACAAGTCTAGTTTGAAAATATATATATTGAAGCCAAGTAATAACTTATTTAAACTAAATCCATTAACAACAAAGATTCTTCCTTAAATGTAACCTTTAGCTTAGTAACTTTCACTGATGTAATGAAATAATTATTTTTCTTTCCAAATATAATTTTTTATTAAAATAATCAAATATTCTTTTTTAATTTTCAAATAATAATTTATCTAATTAATTTTTATTATAAATAAATTACTTAATATAAAAAATGCTAAATAAAGTAGAATCTTAGGATTCAAATCCATATACGGTAAAGGTTCATATATTAAGGCCACCTTGATACCAGTTTAGACATCTCACTTACAGGATATTAAAATTTTTTAAAAAATTGCCTTAGTATATTGTGGCCTTAATATATAAACCTTTACCGTAAATAAAATTAATTAATCAAATAAGACAGAATCTTAGGATTCAAATATATATAAATTTTAATTAGTTATTATGATAAAATAAATTAATTTAAGTATTTTTTAATTATTCTTTTTAAAAATAAATAAAAATAAAGGTTTATTTAGATTAATCATCATTAATTTAATTAAATATTATTGCAATTTAATTGAACATTCAGAATTTAACATTTTTGCTTTCAAAATTTGATAACAAAGCTATTGCTTTTGACATTTAGCCAAATTATATTACAACGTAGCAAGTAAATATCTTTATAAGTAACATGACTATTCAATAGACTTAAATATTTAAAGGATCTTAAATAATAAACTCAAATTTTTTGAATTCAATGACTATAAATAATTTCACCTTGATTTAAAATACTCTTTCTTAAATGTAAAGTTAAGTTACTCCTCTTCTCATCTCTAACACTTTCAATTTAAGCGGATTAAATATAATAAAAAATACAATTAAAAATTATTTTTTCTTTGAATAATAAGATAGTCTATTAAAATCTATGAATTTTATATAATACTCAATTTTTGAAGGAATAACCATTTTAGAGAATTAATTTAGTTCTAATAACTATGTATTCTTCCATTTTAAAACATAAGTAAATAGCAATACCTAAATAAGGAGTATGAAGCTTTTAAAAAATAAATTCTAAGCAGATTAGACTCCGATTGCTATTTATCTTGAAAGTATAAACACAATTTAAATATCTGATGTTTTAATGCAAGATAATTTATCATTTTTGCTGTTGTTAGTTGAGAGTGCTGTAAATGTTCTAATTTCTAAGATAGTATTAACTTAAACATAAAATGAGCTTATTACTCCTTAGATATGTCAACTGAATTAAATAATAAATTACATAAATATTGATAACATCTAATAATAGAACATAAACATATTTAAAAGCATAATTAAAATCGAAACTAGCTAAACTTGCATAAATAATAATTAATTTCTTTATAATAATAAATATCCACAAGGGATATTTTTAAATTAAATATAGAGTCATAGTGTAAATCTTTTGTATTCATAAAATACTCAAAACACTTCTCCTATCTCCATTTTTTCTAAATAATAAATAAATGTCCAGATTTCAAATTTGAATTTCTCTGATTTTACTGCTATTATCCAAACAAATCAAGTAATTAATGAAATTTTTTATAATTAATTAATTAATTATTTCATTTATTTATTTTTTCATTTAAAAAATTTAAGAAACTACTAGGACAAATATCTTTAGGCTTTTATTTTTAAGCACCAACAATTAGAGCTATTTTTTCAAAATCTAACTTCACAAATTTAGGATCAAATAACCCTTTTAATTGGATTTAGGGATAGGTTAAATAAATGGAATTTTATAATTGTTTATTTGACAATTAAATCAGTTTGAGTTAATAAAATTATTAAAATTTGAAGATTTAAAAAAATGGAGGTTTTATTACACTTTAAAGTGAGTATTTGATGGTAAAAAATTCAATTTTCAGTAATGGTATGGCCTCAAGTGGTGGATCAATATATTGGACATCATAAAACTAAGCACAACTATATATTTAGAATACTACATTTAGCAATAATATTGCATATTGCAGTGATGATTTAGAATCATAAGGTGGAGCAATTTATATAGATGGATAGCTATCATTTAATTTAAATATTCTTATACTTTAATCTTTATTTAAATCTAATATTGCTTCTTATAAAGGTGCAGCTATTTAAGTAAAAACCACAGTGATGCCAAGGAGTGTCGTATAAATTGAGGCAGTTATTTTTGATAATAACTATTCACTTTAAGGAAGTAATCTCAATATAGATAGTTAACTAATTGGAAAAACTGTAGTCATAATGAAGAACGTCACAGTTTACAGCCAAATTGAAATAATAGCTAACTAATTCCAAAGCTTATTTCCAATTATATCAAGTTCAGTCCAAGGTTTAATTCAAAACTCTATAAAAGCTTTATTTGTGTTTTAAAGCTCTTATGAAATTTCAATTGAAAACTCTAAATTTAGAATCTATTGCATTGATATTACTCAAATAAATTAAAAATTAATCAATGACTAAATATTTTAGAAAATAATATTTGTTCAAAATACATAATCCTATTAAGAATTCAACAATACTTATTATTAAAGTGTTTTTTTGAATAATCTTATTTATATCGCTCAAGCAACAAGAATGAGTATTATTAGCAATATAATTATGAATAATAAAAATATCAATAATATTATCAATATAGCAAGCTAAAAAAGCCAAGAATAAAGTTTGGCCTATTACAATAGCTAAATCTGTTCTATTAATTTTTTAAATGTAAATAATAATATTTGTAATTCTTGCACAAATGGAATAATTCAAATAAATTCTTAAAGTTTGTAAGTGCAACATTCTGTTTTTGGGAATAATTTGGCTCAATTTGGAGGTGGATTGTACTTTCAGTAAAGCTAAAATATTAACTAGATAAATCAACTTCAAAATTCTATCAAAAACTCTATTTTTAACAACAATAAGGCTTTAATAAGTGGAGGATCAATTTATATAGTTAATTCTTCTATTCTTATAAAAGAAAGTAGTTTTTAGAATAATATTGCTTAATAATCTGGAGGAGCTATATATCTTTAAAATGATGATATCATGTTAAACTAGTTACTTCTCTAAAAAAACTACTTTGTAGAAAATTATTCCTAGTATGGAGGAGCTATTGCTTCAAAGAATGGCTAAAGCGTTAGTTAAAATTATAATAACACTTTTATTCAAAATAAGGCATATTAATAAGGATAAAATATCCAAACTACTCCAAGTTCGTTCCATGTGTATATAAATAAAACTTTATAATATTTTTAGGATTCCTCTTTAATTTAAATTAAAATTGATAATCACACTGGAGGCTACATTTAGGTATCATCATTTTTTTCAATTATTTTTTCAAAATTTAAATAAAAATATTTTCAATTTATATTGATTTGATTTATTATTAAAAAGGATGATATTGTCTTGAAATTCTACTCTGGACTTAATGAAGAAATAATTAAAATTCCTGAGGATGTTACACTGAATGTAAAAATAATAAAAGGAGAAGGTTATATTAAAAGCAATAAAATATAATAACAAAATGGAGTTTTTATCCTAAATAAATAAATTTAAGTTTATGGCATAATGGGTTAATAGCTAGTTCTATCAATAACAAGTGATTTGATTTAAATTCCAAAATATAATAGTTCTAATTTTTTGGTTGGCTACGATAAAAATTATTAACTTCTTCTCAACGTTTAAATCGCTCAGGACTGCCCTATAGGTTAAGTAAAAAGATACATATAAGATAAATTTAACTTTTGCGTCTCCTGCATCGATACCTACAGTTTTACTTATTCAGATACCTGCTTTAAATGTCCTAATACTGAAGTAAAATGTATGGGAAATTAGATTTTTTTAACTTCCAATTATTGGAGAGTTAGTCAGCGATCATCAGAGATTTATAATTGTTAGAATTGCCTAGGCGATTATTAATTAAATCAACAAGAGATATAAATTTAGAAGCAAAGGTTGATAGTTAACGATTTAAACTACTATTGTTAAATGGGTAATAATTTATTATTATTAAATTAGTCTAATTTCATATATTAATAGGGTATGTTGGCGCTCTTTGTGAAGACTGTGATATCACCGGTAAATACTGGGGAAATTCGTATTATATGAGCATTTATAAAAAGTGTTAAAAGTAAATTAAAATATAATTTAGAAAATTATTTAATTTAATTCAATAATATTATTAGATGCTCAGAAATATAGGCTTCAGATTTACTGTATCCATTTTGTTTTACTTTAGCAGCTATTGTCATTCTAATTTGTATTACTCACAAGTACCGAAGATAAATTGAGAATAATTTACTGTATAGAGCATGTTAAATTATGTTTTAGAAATAAGTTTTTTATTTCAGATAAAACCCTACAAACACAGTTAAACTTCTCTTTTTTTAATTATTTGTAATTGGGATTGCGCTTTATTATGACAATAATACTCCAAAAATATTATCTTCTGTTCTTGTCGATATAGGAAATTTATTTACATCTTAGATTAGAATATCAGATTGTTTATTGGCTAAATTATTTCAAACAAATTTTCTGATAAAGAATTTTATATTTTATTTTTCAGCTTGGATCTTTGTTTTCTTATGCTTTATTGTAGCTTGCTTTTTTAAAAAAATTTGTTTTAAATAAAGATTTTGGATTTCAGAACTTTTTCTAGGTTTGTGGATTTTAGTTTACAATTCCCAAAATGCGATGTTGACCAAAATATTGAGGCTGGTAATTAATTATTAATATATTTAATTCAATTTCAATAATTCCTTATAATTTTAATCTAGTTTAAATGCTAAACATTTGATAACTAATCTTTTGTAACTGATTACTTATCTTTTTATTGTGATGAATTCCAACTTAAAATCCTTTATTATGTGCATGCTCCTGCTTATTTTATTACTTTATTGATTCCTTTAGGGTTTCTGATTTTTAAACTTAACTAAATGCGCTTATGTTTGAATGGTTTCGAAAATAAAGTCGTTTATGAATATTTTACCAAAGAATATAAAGAGAAATTTTTTTTTTGGGATATTGTAAAACTAATATATAAAATTATATTAGGAATTATATAAGCTTTTTCATACTAAATTACATCACTCTAGCCAGTCTTATCAATTGTAGCTACTCTTGCATATAGCTTTCTCCTTTTCTTATGTAATAAGCAATTTTTTAAAAAGTTTTCAAACTATTTAAAATAACTAAATGTGATTTTTGAATTGAATTTTTATTTTATTTTAATAATTATTCTTATATAGGTAAACCGTATGAAAAGGAGAAACTGAATTAAATAGAAATTAATATTCAATATTCGACTGCGATATTATTTTGTTTGGTAAATATTGATTTAGGTGATAACTAAATTATTTATTATACTTTTTATGGAGTTAAAAGTACAATTATATCATGTATTTTATATCAAATTTTAATAAAAAGCAATACAAATATGAAATATTATTACATAAACTTCATAGAAAAAGTCTAAAAGAGCTCTAAAATAATATCTTTAGTAATTAACAAGCTCAGATTAAACTAACCTTTAATAAAATACCAAAAATGCAAATAAAATTGGTATAAAATAAAATTAATAATATTTGCTAAAAGAGATGCCTTAGAGTATTTATTTATTAAATTAAATGAAAATCAAGATTAAAAGTTAATTATGTAAGCTTATCTCTAATAAAATTTTGTCAAATCGAAAAAAACTATTAACATAAAAACAACAAAATTGTCAAGCTTGACTGAAATTAAAAGTTTTACATGAAATTTAATCTTTATTTAAAAACAATTAATTAACGATAAAAAAAATAAAATAAATTAAATGTTTGTTGTATATATTTCTAAAGTATATTTCAAAAAAATTAATTTAAGATATTTTATTTAAAAATCTTTAAAATTTTTAAATTTAAAAAAATTATTTTAAACTTAATATAAATTACATAAATATATATGAATATCTATTATATAAATTTATTTAATATTATATTAATCTCTCTATTACAAAAAAAAAAATCTACAATTAGCAATATTATTTATGTTATTTTTTTCAAAATTTTAAAATATTTTATTTTCAGTGTCCTATCCAAATAATCACTATCATCTTAATTTATTGTCATTGATTCATCAATAATTTTGAGTCATAATTATTATTTTGATTATATTCTTCATTTTCAACTAATATAATTTATTTTATTATATATTAGCTAAAATTTTGAGAAAGTATAAATACTTTTTGATAGCAGCTCAAAAATAGTTTACGTATGATTAAAATAGATTTAAAGCTTATTTACATAAATTTATTTTATAAAAGTGAATAATTCAACTACTAGCATTTATAGAATTATGATGCAATAATTTTATTCTGTCTAATGGGCAATAATTTTTCTATTTAAACCAGAGATTGATGCAGTTTTTATGGAAAATATGGCGGCACTATAATTTACAAACTTCATCTTATGCCTAGTATTGCTCTAGGCAAATTGAGCACTCTTATTAATTTTGTTATGTCTCTACCATTTCAATAGCTTTGCAGCTTTACAACTAATTATATATTAGAGTATCTAGAGCCTCATCTTATAATGTTTTTATTTATTAAAGATTTCTTGACTACATAGACTAGTTTTATTGTAAATTAATGTTTAAATTTTATTAAAATTTTTTTTTGCAGTATTTAATAAATTTATAAATAATAAGCAAAAGACCAAAAATGAAGAATAAAATCTCATGCCATGATTATTTGGTGTCTAAAACTTCATCTTATTAAATTTTCAGAGCTACTTTTAAATTGATTATATCTTGATCAAAAGAAAAAATAGCTACTACTATGAGTTATTCTTATAATTTCAACATGACATTCCAAATATTTACTTTATAATTTGACTAATAAATCCCATTACCCATATCTTCCTCAGTAAGAAATGTTTGTTTAATTTATTTTTCATTAAAGACTATAATACTTTTATTATTATTATTATTTTATTTTTTCTAATATTGAAATTGAATGAAAAATGACGACTGCTATAAATTGGTGTTCTCTAATTCATTTTTATCTTTTTTTTAAGAGATTTATAGTAGCAGCTTATATATGGTATCTTTTTTAGGATGAAGAAATTATTTTAAATTCTAAAAATCTTCCTCTAAATTGTTTTTTTGTTAGTCAGGAATTAAGAGAATCTCATTCATTTTTATAGATTTATTCTTAAATTGAAAATAACAAAAAAATTCATCTTGGTATTCATTCTTGCATTAGCAGATATTGTTGTTTCTGCATGAACCATTATTGAAGCACTAAAAAGGGCAATAATTTTAATGGTCTATTTTTATCTATTTTAGCTAAAACGATTCTTCTTGAACGTCGTCTGTTATATTTAAATATTTACTATCTTTTATTCTTTTAAATACAAGTTAAATCTCTTTAAAATTGGAGCTTGTATGATTTAAGTAATAGTACTACATGAAGCTTTTAAACTAAAAGAGTGAAACTGTATCATTATAATCCTTTACTAATAGATAAGCAAAATATGTATACTAGGAGTCTATGATAAGCTCATAAAAAACATCATTTGGTTAAAAGAGTGAATAGATAAATGAGAATTAATTGCTTGAGCTAAATATATTAAAAATCTGAGCATAGTAAAGATTATCTTCTTGTTCAAATGGACTTAAAGCTATACTATGAAACTAATTTGTGAAAGATGAATTCTCTAACTAACAAAATCCAAGCTTCAAGTAGTTCAAAATGCAAATAAAAATACTAATTTTTATAATTATATGCATTATTGTTATTTATTATTATTAATATTATTATTATTAAAATTATTATTGTTTACTTAAATCAAATAATTATTATTTTTGATTTATATTTATCAATTACGAATGATTGATTTATTAAGCTTCTCATAATCATAGAACTATTTACTAACTAAATTTAAATAGCTCACCAATGATACCAATGATGAAAATAGAATAATATAATTTTGAAGATGTAATAAACTATTAATTATAAAATTTTGATGAATTAAATCATTTTTTAATAGTGATTGAGTATCATTATAGTATTTATTTAAATTTTTTGATCAATAAAAAATAAATTTATAAAAATATTACTAAATTTAACGCTTTTCTTTATTTTTATTCAAATTTCATTTTTTTTTGATATAATTTGCATAATGCTTCAATTTCACTTATTTTATTATGAATAATTTTTATTTATTTGTTTATTTATTTAAAAAATTGAGATCTTTTTTGCATAAACGAATTTTATTTTCGAAAACAAAAAAATAATGTCTTGTTATTTTAGAATTGGGAAAATTTTGAGAAATAAGCACAAAAAAATAAACATTCATTAATTTACATCCATTTTACATTATTAATAATCTAGAGTTATAAAAGACTAGATTTTAAAACATATCAGCTTATTTGTATAAAGTTAAATAATAAAATTGATTTAATTCAATTATAAGCAAGCTGGATTAGAATTATATCAAATATTTTATTCTATCTATAGGGCAAGAATTTTTTTTACCAATGATTAATGCAATTTTTATGGAATATATAACCACAATGTAATTTTATAAACTTCACATTTAAACCTAATATTGTTCTATGTAAATTGAGCATTCTTTTTAATTATGTAATATATATTTCAATAACTTTGAAGCAACTAATTTTTTTTAGAATATCTTCAGCCTCTTGATTATGTGCTTTTATTTACAAACAATGTTAAAACCATTAAGACTGATTTTCTTAAAAAATATTTTTTTAATTTTATTAGAACCTTACTTGGCAGTATGTACTGAATTAATAAAGGGGGAAAAAAAGTTGATTGAAAATGTAAGCCAGGACTATTTGATACCTAATACTTATTCTTTTTTATTTTCATAATAGTGTGTAAATTGTCTATTTCATCTTGATCAAAAGAAAACAAAGTTACTTCTTTTAAAAAGAGAAATTCAAAATTTTTTAAATGCAATTTAATAAATAAATCCCAATACCCAAATTTTCCTTATTAAGAAATGCTTTTGTAAAAAGGCAATTTTAATTAAAAGTAAAAATGCTTTTTATATTATTATTTAATTTTTATGATTATGAATTTCAATGTAAAAAGAGTGAAAATATAAGATTATTAATTGTTTGAGCTAAATCTACTAAAAATCTAATCATACATAGTAAATATTATTTTATAGTTGAGAGGCAATTAAAGCAATACTTTGAAACTACTTTGTTACAGTACTCAAAAATTAATTCTATGATATACAGAAAATAATTCAAATAGAACATAATGCAAAATTGTAGACTTTCCTACTCAAATCAAATAATTATTATTTTTTTCAATTTAAATTACTCAAATAGAAAAAACAAAGTAATAATTATATTTTAGTTTTCTTTTTAATGTAATTAGTCATTGTGTGTGTGATTTTTATTAATTTGTGAAGAAACAAACATTAATTTAAATTAGAGATCACAAAAAAAAAATAAATAAATTCATAGCACTTACTCAGGTATTAAATTTTTATGGATATAGAAAAGTAAGAATTTGTTTAATTCCTGGATTTGCTATAAAGTAGATTAATTAATTAAATAATTTTATTTTAATTTATATTATAAAATATTTTTTTAATCATTTTTTTAAATTTAAATACCGTCAGTTCTTAAATTAAGTACAAATCTTAAGTTGCAAAAAAAAATTTTTTAATTATTTTGAAAGCCAGTAAGTGAGATGTTTAAACTGAAATTGAGGTGGCCTTAATATGAATCTTTACAGTATTGAAAAAGAAATATTTTTTACTAATTAAAAAGAAGGTTTAATAGTTAAATAAAAATTATAGAAAAAGGAATTCAAGCTTTCAAAAATTAGCTAATTAACTTAATATACAATTTTTATTTAATTTTGAGTGAAAATTTAAAATAATGATAAATTTTGTTTATTGCAATTTGTATATTTGTAAATTAGTAAATAAAATGTGATTTTAAATAGTAAAATAGAATATTTAAATTTCATCTTAATTCAAAAATATAAAATAAATAAGCATTTATTTTTCATTCAAATTAAAATTTGAAAATTAACAAGTTAATTCATGATAAATATTATAGAAATAAAGTGTATCACTTTATTATAATTATAAATATTTATTTAAATTAAAATTCAAATATGTAGGTTATCTATCGTATAAATATTTTTTAGGTGAATAAAATATAAACTCTAATTTTCAAAATGTATTTTAACAAAATAAATAAATAAGTAAATATATAAAATAGTTAGCTAGTCTCTCTTTATGTCTTTTATGATCCAGTATTTATTGTAATTAATCTTAAAATAAAACTTATTGCTAACAAAATATCTAAGTAAATAAATCAATTATCATTCTAAATTTTCAGTATTGTTTAAATTTTATAAGCAAATAAATAGATAAGCAATAAATTAATTGACAACTAATTTTCTTAGATATTTTAAGATTAAGCAAAGGGTTTTTTTAGCAAATGTAACAATAGTTTAGATAGCAAAAAGAATATGAGAAAGATTTATGCAAAATTATATAAATGATCTATTTCTATGAAGAAAAAGTAATTAGCATTTATTTTTATAGACCTAATTTGTTTTTAATTTGAGATGTTATTTTCATCATCAACTATATTTTAAATTATAATATCAAAGCTAGAAAAGATCAGAATAAGCTTATCAGAATCAGCCCGTTTCAATATAGTTTTCCTCTTCTTTAAGATATCACGCATGAAAAACCACATAACTAAGAATGATTTAAGATCCTTTTTTGCGTATGTTTTTAAAAGTAGAATAATTTGATCTCTTACATAGAGTAATATATAAATAGGATCAATCATTAACCAGTTATTGAAAAAGAATGCGATTTTTTGGTATTCAACTATAGTTCAGACTAATCCAATTTCCTTATTTTTGATGAGTAAATATTTTATTTTCAAATGAGCTTTTTCAAAATTAATTTGTTTTTTTTTTAGTTTTTTAAAGTTGTTCACACCAAGGACAAACAAAGAATTAATACAAAGGCTTTAAGATTAGTATTATTCATATGCACAAGGAACTATGGTTTTGCCCTAGTATGAAATAAATTAAGCAAATATTCCCTTTTTTATAGAAGATATTTCAGTGAAATTGCTCAATTTAGAATTAAAGTTTTTCAGAGAATTAGAAGCTTAAAAAATGTACTTTACAAATAAATATGGGACTAATATTCTCTCAGCCTTTTAAAACATAAGTGAAAGAGGTCACAGTTTTGACATGTATTTAACTTATTATTTACATAAAATATATAGCAATTAGAATTTTAAATATAAATCTATTTAAAAAGTATAATTCATCAAAATATTACTAGTTAATTATTAATAGTGCCATTTTATTTTTGCTTATTACTTAAAATATTTTAGCTTTTAATTTACCTATTGTTTGTCATAATTAAAATAGAATTCATAAACTCTTTTAGAGATGCGGATATACCTTTACAATGGATAATTTCCACTACTTGATGAATAGAATAGATAGAGATGGTAATGGATTAATTTCTAAGGATGAATTTTTAGATGAAAAATTTATTCTCCCTTCTTACAAATTTGCTACTTATTCAACAATGATGTCTACTTAAAAACTAAATAATCCTTTTCAGTAGACATATCAAAATTAAGATTATAGAATTCCTACATCTGGAACTTTTAAAATAGCAGATAATAGTGATTAAAAAGGCTAATTTTCATTCATCTAAAGATCAGTTTAAAGAGAAGATGGAAACTAAGTATTAAATGGGTATTACTAAGTTCCTCTGTAAAATAATTAGAACGGAGTATATATAGTCAACAATTAACAACAGCTTTATAACTAAGCAAAAAATCAAATGGAATACGATAATCAGAATTTACAATAATTAGCTTAAAAGGAATTTATATAATAAAGAATGCTCAATTATTAATAATAACAAGAATAATAATAAATAAATTAAGAAAAAAGTTCATCCCTTTCTTAAAAAAACCAATAATAACTTCAAAATATGACTACAGATACATAAGGCAGATAATAAAAACAATCAAATTCTACATAATAAAATCCAGACATGCAAAGTAGATAACAAAATTCATAAAATTAAATTTTCTAAGATTCTTAGAACATAGCAAATCATCAAAACTATGTAAATGATCCTAATTCGCCTATCAATTTTGCTATAAACGATTCATTAGATCATGTTAATTAAATTTATGTAAACTCTCACTCCTAATCTAACTTAGCAGTATTGTCATAAAAAAAAATATGAATAAATTTATAAATAAATAAATAGTATGAATTATTTTAAAATATTAAAAATAGATAAAAATTAAATATTTTATGTTGTTTATACTGCTATCAAATATATAGAAATATCTCATTGAATAATCAAACTTTCGTTTCTACATTTATTTGTTAGAAACTTATATTAGAATAAATTACTTTAGCTTTAATAATGCTAAATATTTCAAAAACTTATATAAAATTAATAAACACCCTAATATTTTTCAATCTATACCCTCACTTAGATTATTGAGCAGAGTTTTTAATTAAATTTGACATATAAAATCTAGATAAATCAAATTTCATATTAAATATACAAAATTAAAAAAATCCAAGGTAAGTAAGTAAGGAAGGATTAATTCCACTATGAATATTATTAATTTTTTTTTGAAAAAATTCATGCTTCTAATTTCATTTTTTTAATTTAGACGAACAAAAATTTAAATAAAAGTTATTTATTCACTTTGAAATGAATATTTAATTAAATTATTTTTAAAGCCATCTTAATTAATTTAGACCAAATTATACTTCTAAAAGCAATTCAGAATGAATAAATAAATAAATATGAATTAATTCCTATAAAAGTATCCTAAACATTAATTTATATGTTATTCAAAATTTAAATTATGCAGATATTTTAAGCAAATTATCTAAATATTTTTTTAAACAACATTAATTGATTTTCAAATAAATTACATGATTTAATAATGTTATCATTAAACTTTATTAGATATTTTATTTATTATAGGTCAATAAATCTGATTGTTTGGTTTATCAATTTTTGTTTATCTTAATTAGGCATATTATCTAACTACTCGATTTATGATTAGCATTTTTTATTGACAAAATAATTTATATTTAAGAAAAGTTTTGATTAAATGAATAGTTTATATTGCTAAGGTATAAGGTTATTTATATTTAGCGTATTAATATTGTATGAATAAAGCTTAATAGCTGTATCAACTATTTAATCACAAATGGAGGTTTAGTCCATAAAATGTAGTATTTTTTAATTAGCTTATGCTTTATAATAATTTGACGCCTTAATTGTATTTGCTAGTGCAAGAAAGTAATGTAACTAATTGATTAGAGGATTATGTCCGATTTTACAATTTTATGAATCTGAATTTACATATCAAATATTACATCAGATTATTGCTTTATATTCTTGAGAAAAAAACATTACTTAATAAATTTATTATAATTATATTACTATTTTCTCTCTGACGAGGTATTACTTAATTTTTATTAGTACTATATATCTAATTGATAAGCAAATATCACTGGAGTTGATCTCCCTTTAATTACTAATTACATTATTTATTTTTTTATTATTTCTTCATTCCTATTGTTTTTTATCTCAATAATACTGGTTTGAGTTTTGAATTCTAATTACTGCTTTAATATAATCCAAATCAAAAGAGGATTTTTAGCTCATTAAATTTTTAGTTTTAAAAAAATATTTTTGTGAATCTTTTCTTTTAAGGTTGAATTTGATTATATTTATTTAAATATTATTTCTACCAAAGTGCATTATATGTAACTATATACTACCTACATTCTAAACATTAAATATTCTTAATTTAATCAAATAGAAAAGTTAATTTTCACTTTCATATAAATATAAAAGATTAAATAAAAATAATCCGTTAAAATTTATTGAAAATACATTTTAATTATTTGATGCAAATAGTTTATCAAATCAGCTTATCAGTTTTTAACATTTAATATTTTAAATATAAGTAATAAAATTCTAAGCATATTAACAACTATTTGATAAGCTTCTAAGTAAAGCAATTATATTTTATAAAAGATAATTTTTAGCTTACAAAGGGTTTTTGGTATTTAATTAATTAAAAATAGACAATTGAAAATAACAAATTTAATCAAATCTTTTATAATATTAAAGTGGATTTTCTTCTACTGTAATTATTACAATGAATTACTCACTTATTATGTTTTTTGAAATATATTTATCTCTATTTAAAACTATTGTTCTTGGTTTGCTAAAAATTTTTATCACATAAATCAATATTAAAAATTTTAGAATATTTTAATACAGTCTTTATAATAAGAAATTATTTTTAAGCAAATATTTTTTAAAACAGAATAATTTATAAAAGAAAAATATTAAATTTATTAGGAAATTTAATTGATCAAATACAGTTTATAGGAATCAGCTATTTTATCAAAGCACTCAAATTAATTAAAAATCGTCTAATCAATTAAATGGTAAATCAAATTTATAATATTTTTATTATTTGATTAAAGACATAAATAATTGCTGACTAATTAACATAAAAGGTTTATTTATAAAAGAGGATTTATCAATGAAAGCCTATTAACTTTTAATTTGGCTTAGTTCATTTATTATGATTTTTAATTGTTTGTGTGAGAAGAAAACTTAATGCTTTGATTAAATAGCAAGTAAATGCTAAGAAATAGATGGATAAAAGTATATTGGAAAAAATAAAAAAAATAGCTCTTGCGTAACAAACTCAAACATAATTGATGAAATCGAATACTGTTTTGATAAAAATTCTGACATTTGCATAACAAAAGAAAAAAATTAATGTGTAAAAATAAGCGAAGATATAAATTACGTAGCAATAGTTTAAGAGAATAACCAATGCATAAGAATTAATGAAAATGTGTCTAAACATGGCATACCAAAAGGTAAATAATAATGTATTAAATTACTTCAAAAATAAATTATATTTTTTTAAATCATAGAAATGTCCTTGATGAAAAAAGGCTATTGCTAGAACTATAATGCCTAAGTAGTGATCGGAAAAGCTGATATGTCACTAAAGAGTTTCTATTTATGCTTGGATTAAGATAAAAATTATGATGAAATGTTTTTAAATCAGTAAATTAATTTATTTAAATTGTTTTATTTATAAATGAAAACAAATAAACAAATGTAGAGGTTATTGCTTAGAGAAATCAACCAAGAAAGCCTAATTGTTACAAATGGTGTCTGTAAATATTATTTACTAAAAAATATTTAATTAGAAAATTTTAACTTTTTGCTTTTGTTAATTAAAAATAGGGAAGAACAATACATGGATTATGCGTAAAAGAAAATGAATATTATGATTAAAAAGTAATTTGTAATTACTAATTCTGTGAGCATATGAATAAAAATAATTAATATGCATGTATTGCTTATGATTCTCATTTAGTTATTGTAAGTTTTAACAAAATTTGAATTAATTACTAGAACTGTAATTTAAATTTAGGGTAAAACTTAACTAAATCAATGTATTTTTGATGACTCAGAACTCTTTGAAATTTATATTTAATGCAAACCATAATTTTGTAGATAAATTTAAACTAATCGCGCTAATTGCATTAAAATTATTAATTCTAAAGTAAAATTATTCAAATAATTTTTTAATTTCATAAAATCTTTTAAAAAGGAAGTTCAACAAAATGGTGACTGCATCTAAGGTAAGAAAGAATCAAGAAAATTGTTTGGCTATGGCTCTTATCCTTGGTAATGTACCAACCCGTAACATTCTCTTAAATTTATAAAATAATTTTCATTCTAAATTTACCTAAAAATAAAATTTATATTTATATTTTTTTAAATGAAATAAATTAAGAAAAAAAACATTTTTATTTATTATTTAAATAATAGTTCTTAATGCTTTGATTATAGTCAATATAACTGTATCAATTTAGGATCTTCTAACAATAGTTTAGCTAAATTAGATAATAATTCTTGTGCAACTTTGAATGTTGGAACTGCGGTTGCTTGCTATTATAGCTATCCAGCTTGCTTATCAAGTTAAAATACATGCTTACAAGTAACATACTCTAATAGTTAATCAGTTGTAAGTTCGTTATTTAATTTCTAAAAACTTACTTAGTAATCTATTATTTTTTAAGGGGTAAAGATAAGGAGGACAATGTGCTAAACTTAATACCATTTATTAAGGTAAATTATTAGATTTTGCTGTGTTATTACAATATAATAAAATGATAGATTTAAGTTTTTGCTCACAAAGTTTATGTATCACACAATATGGACAACTATCAAATTAATTATGTGCTCCTTTTTATGGATCTTCTAGTCTCTTTATGAACTTTGATTGCAATAACATTTCACAGAAATCTCAATAGTAAACATTTTTTATTTATAAATAATCTGTCAAATTTATTTCATCTTAAACTCCATCCACTAAAAAAAATTAATTTATTTTTATTAAGATTTTTTAATTTATTTAACTTAAAGTTGCAAAGATTCTTCTGGATAGTTTTGTTTTGATACATCTTCTAAAGAGTGTTATTAAACATTAAATTTTGGTGGATAGGGAGCTGGTTGTTAATAGAATGGTACATGTTAAATTCTTTCTAATTATTAATTTATAGGAAGAGCTCAACCAAATAATTAATGCCTACAAAACTATTAAGAGCCAAACACTACTTTGGAAACTTGTTTCTATGATCCTTAAAGGGTATGCAAAGTGACTTCACCAACATAATTTTGTGTGATATATCCATCAAGTAGTTAGTATCTAGGATTTGTTTCTGAAAACAATGGTTGTGCAGTTTTAAATTAAGTTACCTTTAGTTTAGGATATATAGCTAGTAAATTATTTTATCTTTTTAATTAATTAATTAATTAAATATATTTTTAAAAATTAATTTTGTTTTTATAGATGTTATCAATTTGAGAAGCAATTACTGCTAAGATTCTAATGGATACATTATATAATTAGATTACACTGATAATATAGGTGTAGATTCAAATAAATACTAATGCTTGAAATTAAATTAAATACCATAAGGAATTGTTATTGAATGTTAAAAAGGGTAATTAATATATTATATAATATGATAAGCTGTTTTATGTTTGAACAATATTTAATTTAAAAGGTATTGTGTAAACTAAGATAGATGCTGCTAAAAATATGATTCTATCCTGATTGGAAAGAATGCTTAATAACAATGTCTGTAGGAAAGGCAACCAATTAGTATAGAGTGTAGTTTTGATGATATTGATGTATGCTTTGATACTGCTGCACAAGCATGCAATCATTTAAATGACTCTTTACCTAACAGCTAAGTAAATACATATTTCAAATTTTAATTTTAAATTAATCTATTAAATTACATTTAGGGTAAAGTATAGGACGGTACATGTGCTTCAAGTGGCAAATACTATTCAAGTACATTTAATTTAAATTAAATTAAATATAAAGTTTACACTTTTTATTATAAGGGATATTGAAATGCTCATTTAACCATTGCATCAAGAAGCAAAGTTCAAATCCAAATTCTTTAGAGGGTTGCTTTCCTTTTGATCTAAGTTAAAACAGAGTAGGAGTTGATGCAAATGGATATTGTGTACAACTAGATTAGATCAATGCAGTTAGGTAATTCATTTAATTCATTTATTGTTATTTTATAATTTTTATTGTAAAATAATATTTATTTAAAGATGTATGTAAGGATAGGTTTGCTTAGACAACTAAAATGGTTATACTTGTACCGCCTTAGTGTTTTCAAAGGCTTTAAATAAATATGCGAGGTAATAAAATACAATGTTCTGTTTACCTTACTTAGATCCTAATGGCTAGGGAGACCATATCGAGACTTGTGTGTTAGGCACTTGTTTATATTATGATATCCCCTCTAATTAAGATTATTGTGTTATTTAAGGAACTATAGCAAAAGGGAATTTTATCGTGGGAGTAGATATTTATTAGCTCTGTATATCTGAAAATCAAATAACTTCAAATTGTAAATAAAAAATTATATCTTTTCTTAATCTAACTTAAATTGTTTTAATTTTAGAAATTGTTTCTTGCTTTGCATTAAGCTATTGTATCCTCTAAATTGGGTAATAATTAATTTTTCATCTACAATTTTAAAATAGAAACTTTCATAATTAATGAATCAAAATACAAAATTTAGTATTGGATAACAACAAAAATGTTAAGAACTTTAAGACTTTGATCCTTATTTTCCTAATTTGGTTTATAGAGCTAAAAACTCTAACCAGAACTGCTAAGATCTAAATATGCGTATTGGTTATTACTACAAACAACATATAAATTATTTAAAAATTTATATATTTAGCAAATAGTATAGGTTGCATGGATGGATTATACTGCATAAATACTTAAAATAATAATCGGTGCTAAATAATGAATGATCCTTCTTAATTAAATACGATAGGAAGAGATTTATCTGCTTAGAAATGTATACCTAAAAACAAGTCTATCGCGAGTAAATGCTAATAAGATTTTTGCATTTTATAAGGAATGTGCATTCCTTTATCTGATAGTTATCCAGGAAAAGAAATCAAGACTCATTTATGCCTCCTGTAATCAGACATAGGATAATATGGAGCTTCTAACTGTTTCAAAGATGGGTATTAAATATAATTTTATAAATATTAAATGCATCTTTATCTCCAAATATTTTTTAAATTAATTCAATCTTGGTTTTTTATTCAAGAGAGAACTAAGTCCGCAAGAAAAATAAAGAAAAAAAGCATAAAATATAAAATTGTTATCTATGAGCAATAATTAACAATTTAATATATAATTAGGTATTGTATTGAAGTAGATTCAGATGGTTTCTAATCATGCAATAAGCTGGATTTCAGTAATCCAAATAGAATAGGTAATATTTTGATATTTAATAAATGAATTACAAACATGGAGATTACTTATTTTATAGGAATAGAAAAAGACACTCAAAGATGTATATAATCAAATCAACCTATTGCCGTAAATTATTTACTTTTTCAAATATAGAAAATAAAATAAAAAAATTTATTTTTTTAGGTGCAGTGTTCTATAGAAAAATATTGTTTAAACTCTGTTACTCAAATGTGTTAAGCAATAGATTTATCATAGAATATGTGTGTAGATATTCATGGAAATTGTGCTTTTAATGGTTCTTGCAAAACATGCGATATAGATCAATGCATTTCACCTAGCTAATAAAATAAATGTGTTAATATATTTTAACCTACTGTTACATTTTGCATAGATTAATTTGGTAAATTTTTTTTTTTTTTTTAAATATTCAATAAATATTAAATTATTAAAATAAATGAGTGCCAAATCAGAATGAAAATTTTAATTTTTAAAAAACTGTTCAAAATAATTAAAATTGCTATTTTATTAATTATTGAAAATAGGTTTTTGTGCAACTTTGGATAGCTAAAAATGTGTTTTTTGTCCAGATGGATACTGTAACATACACAATAATGGAAATTGTATAAATGGTCCAAAATTATTGGAATCGTTAGTAGGAAATTCTTGCTTTACTCAGATAAAGAATTAAAATAATAAATGTGTATAAAAAAGTGTTGATACTCTTGATAGTGATGGAAATTATTTGTGTTTGAATTCTTCTGGAATGTGTTAGCAAATTGTAAAAAAGAACAGTGAATGTTTGTTATGTCCAAAATATTATGTTAATGCTGGAGATGATAAATGCTATAGCTTAGAGGAAATATCAGTAACTTGGCCTAATCTTTAACAAGTTTATTTTAATATGCAGCTAATTTATGTAAAACAAGACTGCTTCGACAATTAATTTTGCTTAAATGACAACACCAAAAAATGCCCTCATGGGTATTTTTAATATTAATTATTTAATACTAAACTTAAGATAATTCATTTAAAAATAGGTGTTTTTCATGCTCTTCACAACAGTTTTGTACATAATGCATTTAAGGTTATTTCCTATATCAAGTATCTCCCAATTAATAAAGCTGTATAAAATGCAATTCGGATATATATTAATACACATAATTATAATCATTTTACTAAAATATTCCTACATATTCTTGTTTGGATTGCTCTGCGGAATATAGGTTATGGTAAAAAACATTTTAAAAACAAAAAGATAATAATAAAATCTATTATTGTAAATTTAGGAATTAAACTCAGAGCAGCTATAAAACTTGCCAGAATTATAAAATATAATATGATTAGAATATTTAAATAGTAGTAAATCTCTTACCAGCTTCTAATTTTTAAATTAAACTAATTTCTGGAGAGTATTAACTAGAATTTTATTAGCCAAATTTATGTAATATTATTTTTTTTTAATTTCTTTAGATAATTTAAATTTTTTAGGTGGAAATAATTGCTATTCGTGTATTTAGAATTCTCCAAATTAAATTTTCTGTACTTAATGCAATATTGGATATGTTTTAAGCGACGGAGTATGCTAAAAGTGTCCTAATAACTGTTAAAATTGCTAATATGCAACGTTTATAACAGGATTTGCATAACTTATCACTGAGATATAATTTGAAAAAAGCAAATCTTCAGACTATAATTTTATATTGATTTGCTTAGAATGTTAAGTTAAATATATGGTTTCTTACGATTTATAATCATGTTTATAGTGTGGTACTAGTTGCATTAATTGTTAATACGGTAAATTTATTTAAAATTTCTAATTTTAACTAAATTATATTAAAAATAAGAAAATGAAGAATCAGTTCTGAATTATAATAAATATAATTTAAGAAAGATAGCCTACAATGATTTAATTTAATTAAAGTTTATTTAAAAATGTACTCAATGTATGAACAGATACTTTTTATCATATGATGGTAGATAAATATTTATTATTTTTTTAATAAAAAACATTTTTTAATAATATGAAGGTAAGTCATGTTTAAAAAACATGTAAAATTGTGACTACAGTAGTCAAATAGTAGTGTATGGATCATAAAAATATGATTTGACTGAGTAGCTATGGACTTACACGAAGATTCCAATGTTTAACAAAAGTATTTAGATTTGCAAATAATGCAGTAAGAATTATATAGCTTCAATAGATTACACTTCCTGCAAGTTAGGGTGTGTTTCTTATAGTTTATAATCAAAATGTGCCAAATGCTCAACTGATTCTTCTTATAATGCTGTTTGCTAATTTTGCAGTAAAGGTTCTGTTTTAGATAATTCTAATGAACAAACAAAATGCTAAGATGCAACTTGCTAAATTAATGTAAAAAAATTTTATTTTATATTTTTATAAATTTTACTTCAAACAATAAGATATTTGGATGTAATGAGTGTTATTCATATTTAGATAGTCTTTCAAATAATATCATGTATTAATGCACCTAATGCAGTAATCAATACACTGTCCCATCCATAAATGGTTGTTTGAAATGTCCTGAAGGATGTTCTGAATGTTACGAAGGTATTTTTATTTATTATATTCAAAAAATATTCATTTATAATTGAAAGAAATTAAAATTCTCCTCAATTTTTGATACAAAAATTTGTTTTATTGAACAAACAATTAATTCTCAATATTATCAATTTAAAAATCAAAATCAAAAATATTCCTTATAAAATTTTGGATTATTGGATTTGAAAATAATATTTTTTTGTTCATATAAAGTAAATAAATAATTTTAACAAAAAATAATAAATAAATTTTTCAAATTTAAACATGCTTGTTTAATAAATAGGAACAAGAAATTTTAACTACACTTCTTTTCTTATTTACAAGAGACCTTCTTTAAATATATAAGAGAGATTAAACTACAACTCAAGTTCTACAAATTACAAGTTATTTTGTACTAAATGTTAATAAGGTTACTAATTTGATTAGTAGTTAAAATTATGCGTGAGGCTAAACTGTGGAAAATACTGTCTTTAGTGTGCTTTAATCAATAATTAACCCTAGTGTATTCAGTGCAACTATGATTTATTAACTTCTTTAATAAAAAATTAACAATATTTTATTGGAACACTGTACTACTATAAATTCTAGAATTTTAATATAAAAAATATGGTTTCTCTTAATAAAGCTGGGAACGATTGCTAACTCTGCCCATTAATGTAATTTTTCTATTTTTTTTAATTGTTCATTCTGAATTAATTATAAAAAGGTGTGAAACCTGTATTAATGATGAGGATTTAAGTCTCAATCCTTTGTATCTGTATGATGCCTAATGCTTTTCTTGCAAAAGCTCACTACCTTCTAGCAAAGTCCTATCAGATTATAAAATAACTTTTGATAAGGAAAGAAAAAAATGTTACCTATGCTAAAAAGAAGAGTAGGGATGTTTTTTTAAGAAATAATAAACTATTTATATTCAGTGCTTAGAAATAAATAGCAGAAAAGGTGATGGATCCTTTTAAAATCCAATTAATTTTAATAGATTAAGCGAAATAGACATAGATAAAATTATTCTCAACGAAATAGATTATGATCAGGCAATAATTTTTTACAATGAACTTTAAGTGAAGTTATTAGAAGTACAATTAATATTCATAGGAGACAAATGTATAGAAAAAAGACCTTAAACTTTTTCCACTAAGCTAAAAATTTAAATAAGATCTATTCAAACAGCAGTGCTCAAAATAAATACTATAACATCTACTCCAAATTAGATGATGAAATTTTAATAAAATAACATTTTCCACATATCAGGGTTTAATTAAGTTTAAATAAATAACATTTAATTTGAATAATAATTAAGTAATAGCTAAATAGGTTTAGTTATAGATGATGTTAACTTAAATCTATTTACATTATCTAATTGTTAATTTTCTTAGCTACTGCCATTGAAAGATTCTCTCACACTTGAATAATATTTGACACTCCAGCTTTCAACTTTAGAAAAAGCAAATTTAGTCTTATAACAAGTCTAGTTTTAAAGTATATATATCTCAAACAACAAACAGCTTATATAAACAAAGAATAACTAAAACTAAGAATCTTTCTAAAATGTAACCTTGACTTCAGTAACTTTCATAGACGTAATATTATTTTTTCAATACTCAAATTAAATAAAATAAATATTTTGTTTATCCCAAAAAAATAAAATTCCAATATTAATTTGATTATTCGTAAGAAAAATATTTATTTTAATTTTTCAAATAACTCTAATAAAGTAAGAAGTTTTAAGAGTAGTAAGACAGTTTTGAAAAATTAAAATAAATATATTGTTTATCCCATAAATTTAACAAGTTGATATTTAAGTTGATTTTTAATAACAAAAATATTTATTTGATTTTTTGAAAACTGACTTAAATACAACTATAAAAATTTCTTACTTTATTAAAATGATTTGGTGTCTTTAATGTTTATTATTGAAATATTATTTTTTTATGTTTTTATAAAATAAATTAATATTTATTTTCTTTAATAATTAATTAATTAAAGGTTTACTTAGATTTTTCATCTGTAATTTAGTTAAATACAAACTAAATTTAATTAAATATTCAGAATTTAATAATTTAGCTTTCAATAATTAACAACAAATCAATACTATTTGATGTGTAGCCAAATCAAATTTCTTCATAGCAAATAAATATCTTATTAGCTAACATGACTATTTAGCAAACATAAATATTGTCTGGGTCTCAAATAATAAATTCAAATTATTTGAATACTTTGGATATTAAAAACGTTACATTTATTTAAAATACTCTTTAATAAACTTAAAATTAAGTTTTTCCACTTTTCATATCGAATACATTCAAGTTAAATGGGCTGAATATAATAAAAAATAAAATAATTAACTATAGTCTTTTTTAATAACAAGATAGTTTATTAAATTAGGACAGCCATCTAAAGTACTCAGTTTTTGAAGAAGTTTCTATTTCAGATAACTAATTTATTTCTATTGATTATGCTTTCTTCCATTATAAAACATCTATAAATAGTAACACTTAAATAAATGGTATGAAGCTTTTAAGAAATTTATTTTCAACTGATTAGACTTAAATATTCGTTTAACTTGAAAATACAAACACAATATAAATATCAGATGTGTTTATGCAAGATAATTAATCGTTTTTATTCTTGAAAGCTAAAAGTGCTGTAAATGTTTTTATTACAAAAATAGTTTAAATATAAACTTAAAATGAACTAATGGCTCCTTAAATATGCTAACTTAATTAGATTTTAAATAATATAAACATCGATACAATTGAATAACAGAACATAAGCCTATCTAAAAACATCATTTATATTGAAACAAGTGAAGTTTGTTTAAATAATAATCCAATTTTTAATAATAACTAAATCCCTTAAGGAATAATTATAAGCAACATAATTAGCAATTAAGTAACACTTTAATATTCATAAAATGATTAAAATACTTCTCCTGTCTCGATTTTTTCTAAAGAAGATTTAAATATTTTAATTTCTAATATGAATTTCTCTGATTACAGCTCTGTTATTCGAACAAACTAGGTAAATTTATTAATTCTAAATAATATTATTAATTTTAAACATTTAAATATTTAAGAAACCTCTTGGATAAATTTCTTTAGGATTTTACTTTAAAGCACCAACTATTAGAGCTATTTTTAACAAGTCTAATTTCACTAATTTAAGTTATGACAGCCCTTTTAATTGGATTTAAGGATAGGTTAAGCAAATAGAATTTCATGATTGTTCGTTTGATAATTAGGTAAATTTTAGCTTTTAAAGCTATCAAAATTTCAAAAGTTAAAAAAATGGAGGCTTCATGATAATTAAAAGTGAGTACTTGACTATAAATAATTCAAGTTTTAAGAATGGTTTTTCATTGAATGGTGGATCATTATATTGGATATCATAAAACTTTGCAAAATTATATATCTAAAACACAACTTTTAGCAATAATATTGCATACAGCTTTGATGATTTAGAAACATAAGGTGGAGCAATATATATTAATGGACAATAATCTTTTAGTCTAAGTGTTTTTATATATTAGTCAATATTTGAATCTAACTTTGCTTCTTTTAAAGGTGGAGCTATATAAATAATTTCGACCATAACTCCTAGAAGTGTGATAATAATTTAAGAGGTATTATTTAGTAATAATTATTCACTCTAAGGAAGTAATCTTAATGTAGAGAGCTCAACAATTGCCAAAACTGCAGTTATTATGAAAAAAGTTATTTGTTAGAGCCAAATAGAAGTTATGGCTTAGCATTATCAAAATTTATCTTCTATCATTTCAAATTCAAATCAAAATTAAGTTTCGAATTCTCTTAGCTCCTTGTTTTTATTTTAAAATTCTTATGAAATATCAATTGAAAACTCGAAATTTTAAATAAATAGTTAAAGTATTTCTTAAATAAATTAAAGAATAATCAATAATTTTATCTTTTAGAAAGTGATTTTTGTAATCAATGCTTATTAGTATTCTGAGTATAATAACACATATTCATAAAGTGTGTTCTTAAATAATTTAATTAATGTCACACAAGCAACCATTATTAGCGTTAGTAGTAACACAATTACTAATAATATAAATATAAACAATACTAATATTTATTAATTTTAAAATAACTAAATATAAAACCTAGCTTTTTATAATAGCTAAATATGCTCATTGACTTTTTTAAATGTAAGTAATAATATATGCAATTCATGTTCTTATGGGATAATTCAAATATTTTCTTAGGACGTGATAGTTTAGAATTCACAATTTGAAAATAATCTGGCTTAGTTAGGAGCAGGATTATACTTTTAACAGGATAAGAGTTATAAGTCATTTCAATAAGGAATTAAACTAGTTCAGGACTGTCTTTTTAAAAATAATAAAGCTTTAATAAGTGGCGGTTCAATATATATAAAGAATTCTCCCTTTCATATAAGCAAAAGTATATTTTAAAATAACAACGCTTAATAATTTGGAGGTGCTATATATATTTAAAATGATAGCATTATGAAAAATTAATTGCAAATTTAAGATAACTATTTTATAGAAAACTAATCTTAGTTTGGAGGAGCGATAGCCTCATCAACAGGATAAAGTGTTAATCAATATTCTAATAACACTTATATTCATAATAAAGCATATAAGTATGGATAGAATATTTAAGCTTCACCAACTTCACTTAATGTCTATATAGATTCGAATATAAAATAAATATATCAAAACTCTCATAGCTAACTAACTGTTCAAAACCATTATGGAGGTTATATTAAGGTAACAATCTTTTTAGTTATTTTTTTAAATTTAAAATAATTTCTCTTCAATATTTTTGTTTTTATTAATTATATCTGATTTTACAAAATAGGAAGATATCGTTTTGAAGTTCTATTCTTAGTACTTAGAGGAAATTAATGTAATTCCTGATGACTCTACCCTTGATATAAAGATATTAAGAGGATAAGGATTTATTAATACAAATAAAATTTATTAGTAAAATGGAGAGTTCAATTTAACAAAACAACTTTAAATATATGGTAATATGGGATAAGAGCTAATTTTATAAATAACAAGCAATCAAATATAAATTCCAAGGTATAATATTTCAAATTATATTCTTAGCTATGATACAGATTATTCATTAATTCTGAAAATTTCATTTGCTAAGACTTGTCCAGTAGGCTAAGTAAAAAAATAAATACATGATAAATTTAATTATTGTCTCTCGTGCATAGATTCATACAGTTTCAAGAATTCAGATGTATGCTTTTAATGTCCGAATACAGAAGTAAAGTGTTCTGGTAATAAGATTTTTTTAACATCAAGCTATTGGAGAGTTAATCAGTAATCATCTGTTCTTTACAAATGTAAAAACTGTATAGGTGATTATAATTTAAATGAAAATGAAAAAGAAATAATGAGTTAAAGGTTGATAGTAAATGACTTAAACTATTATTGCAAAAAAGGTAGTTTGTTTTATAATTATTTATGAGAAGAAACTCATGTTGTTAAAAATATTTATTTTATAGGATATATTGGTGCTCTTTGCGAGGATTGTGATATAACTGGTAAATACTGGGGAACTTCTTATTATATGAGCTTAAATCGTAAATGTCAAAAGTAAATTTTAACTATAAACACCAAAAGTATGTTTAAACTATTTTAATTTTTACAATTTAGGTGTTCAGAAATATAAATACTTGATATTTTATATCCTATTTGCTTTACTTTAATATTAGTGCTTTTTATTCTCTCTATAACTCATAGCTATCACAAATAAGTCTAAAAAAATTTATTACATAAAACGTGCTCAACTATTTTTAAGGAATAAATGTTTTACATTAGGCAAAACTTTGCAAATACTGTAAAGCTTTTTATATCTTAGTCCTTTGTACTGGGAATAGTTTTTTACTATGATTAAACAATTCCTAACGTTTTATCATCTATTCTTATAGATATAGGAAATTTATTTGTCTTTTAAATTCGAATATTAGACTGCTTATTGATGAAAATAACTTAAGCTAATTTCTTAACTTTTAATATATTCTTTTACTTTTCTTATTGGTTCTTTGTTTTAATAAGTTTCATCTTGGTTTGCTTCTTTAAAAAATTTTGCTTTTAATATAAATTATGGTGCTAAGAAATTGTGCTAGGAGTGTGGATTTTCATTTACAGTTCTTAATTTGCTATCCTAAATAAAATATTCAGACAAGTAATAAAATTATAATTAAAAAATATTTATTTTATTTATAAATAAAAATTAGATTAAATGCTAAAAATTTGATAGCCAATCCTTTGTGACTGATTATTTATCTTATTATTGTGATGAATTTCAATTTAAATTCTTTGACTATGTGCTTTCTGCTATGTACTCATTAGTTTTGTTAGTTCCTATAGGTTTTCTGTTTTTGAAACTTTACAAAAAATAATACTTGCTTAATGATTATTAAAATAAATTAGTCTATGGATATTTTACAGAAGGATATAAATTAAAATTTTATTTTTGGGATTTGATAAAATTAATATACAAGATGTTATTAGGAATAATAGTATCATTTTCATATCAAATAAATCAAATTCAACCAGTTTTATCAGTAATTATTTCGATATTATACAGCTTCCTCCTTCACTTGTGTAGAAAATTTTTTAAATTTTTTTATTTGATTTTTACTAATTTAATATATATATCTCGATTAAAATATTTCTAAAATTTATTTTAATTTAATTTAGGTTAGCCATATCTATAGAAGAAACTAAATTAGATAGAGTTTAATATATAAAATAGGACTTTAATATTATTCTGCTTAGTTAATCTAGATCTTGGTGATAATTTTGCTTTTTACTACATCATTTTTAGCGTTAAAATTGTTCTTATTTCCAACATTTTATATCAAATATTAAAAAGTAATTCCAATTTGAAAAACTAATACATGCATATCATCTAAAAACTATAGGAAAGCTCAAGAATTTGCCTATTCATAATTAGCAAGCTAAAGTTGAATTCTACTTTTATTAAATATCAAAAATGCTAAAAAAATTGGAAGAAAATCAATTAAATAATATTTGCTAAAAGAATGGTTGGGTTTTCGAAAACTGAGTAAATTGAGCTTTAAAATATTTTAAAGCATTTTTACTAAATTTAAAAGTTAGCAAATACTAAAGAATTCACAAATCTAAACACTTCAAGAATTTTTACTGGAGCAAAGAATGCAATATGATTTAAAATAAAAATATTTTTTATATTATTAAGCTTATCAAAATATTTAATTAATTCATAAAAAAATTAGTCTAAATTTTCAAATATATTTTAATTAATTTTGTATTGTAAGTACGTTTGTTTCTTTCTTTCTTTGTTTTATTTCTTTAATAAAAAGTTTTATTTTTTAATTTTACTATTAATTATATTTAATATAAGCTAAAAAAATTATAAACACTTTATCAAAAAATAATTTATTTTTTTTCATATCTTTAAATTTTATTTTAAAAAAAGATTTTTCCTAAAAATATCAAAGCTAAAGTAATATCAGCAGTTAGGTTTGTTGTTAATTGCTTTTATTATACTATTTATAATAAATTTTAAAGCAATAATAAAGAAACACATAGTATTTAATAATAGCAAACTTAATAATAGTATTAAAGGAAATAGTGAAAACTGATTTTTTAAACTATTTTAATCAATTTGCTAAGAATTTTAAAATAAATATGATTTAAAAATTAATATGTAAACTTACACTTAAATTTCTAGCATTCAATATTTATTTTTTGGAATTCTTTTTTTAGTAAATATATTGTAGTAAGATTCTTAGCTCTAAGAATTAAGTTTACACTAACATAATCGAGAGGGAGAATTTTATAAGCTAAATAAATCTATTAGATGCCTAGGTTTTTAATTAATAATGCGTATTTATTTTTATAAATGACCATTTTTATTTGTTTTTTGAATAAATGATCTATACTTTCTATCTATCTAGCTACTGCTTTGTTTAAAATAGATGATATTATATTTCATTTGCTTAATAAAATAAATAGTTATTTTCATATAATTACTTTTCTTTTTATTTATTTTGATTAACTCATAATTACAATTAAGGATATCAAAAACTATATATCCTCAAAAATTTAAAAAGTCTGTTCGTTCTGTATATTTATAATAATATTTAAAAACTTTAAGAGGTATTTGTTAATGAAAATTTAAGTAACTAACAGAAGGAGAAAATTTGTTAAAATTTGCAATTTTTGATTAAATTATGCGTATTGATTGATATTAATTACATCACATTATTTTGTGGTTATATCATCATTTAATTTTTTTTATTTTCTTATTGTGCACTTAATTAAATCCTATTTTTATCTAATTATAGTTGATGCAGCATTTTCCTTCTTATTAATTAAAAATATTAATTATTTAATATACTTTATCAAGTACACACTATCCTTCATAATAGATGTAAGTTTGTATTTATTTTTATTTTACCACAATTTACGCACTTAGACTAATTTTATGTAAAATGTTTGTTATTTTAATTAAAATTTCTCATGCTATTTGTTAGATAAATTAAATATGCCAATAGAGTATCCAATATTTTCTCAAAGGAAACAAGTGGAGAAATAGCTAATTTATTTTTCTTCTTATTAATTAATAATATCTTTATCAAGTATATACTATATATCCTTCATAATATAAGAATATATTTATGTTTTCTTTCATAATAATTTACTCGCTTAGAATGTTCTTTGATAAAGTATTTATTGTTTGTTTTAACTAAAAGCTTTTCACTATTATGTAAGATATATAAAATATGATATTAGAGAGGAGAAATAACTAATTTATATTACAATATTTTTTAAATTACATCAATATAAATAGTAAAATTAGCGGTGAGCTAATAAATTTTGGTTGAAGCATCATCCCTTTAAAAATAATGTAAATACTTATAATCAATAATTTTGATTGATTTAATTAATTAATTGTTATTATTTATAACTTTAATAAATCAATATGAAAGTAAAAAGTAAGTTTTTATAACCTTTTATAAAAATGGTTATAGACTCGAAAATGTATTTTTTAGAGTGATTAAAAACAATTTTAAAATATCCTAGATAAAGAAATTACATATTTTTATTTGTTTAAGAAAATAATTTGAAATCAAAATATTATTTAATTGGATACCATTAATTAATTAGAATTGAGTAGCTATAATAAAAAAAATATAAAAGAAATTTTACTATCTTGCTAGTATATAATTTATAAATGGTATATAAAGAAAACAAAATCAAAAAATAAATAAATAAAAGTAACCCAAATCTCATATTAATAATTAAGAGGAATTCAATCAATTTATATCATAAAATTACTTTTAAATTGATTATAAGATATTTTTGGAATTAATGTATTTAATTTTCATTTTATAATTTAAAAATTACAATTTCATTAAAAAATAAAATAAAACAATTTTTAGAAACTATTTTAAATACTAATATACAAAATATATTATTAAGTATTTAGATATTTGCTTTAATATTGATATAAATTGATCATAAAGTGACTCACATAAATGTTACTTTGTTACTTGGTTACAAAGAAATTGATCACCTTTTAAAGAATAATTAAAAAAGAGATCACCACCTATTTTTTTTATTTGTTTTAGTTAAATTTACAAACCTTTGTTGTGATCATAATAATCAAATCTATTTTTTGAAAACAATCTATCTTTCTAAATAATTAAAACATAATTCTGGTTAATTAAACAAAAATAAAAATCTAAAGAAAAGAGTCAAAAATGAAAGAACTTGAAATATTATTATTGTTTTGTTCATTTTTTGGGTTGTTAACTTGTTTATGTAATCATAAGACTTAATGTTTTGATTAGATTTTATAAAAATGCCTAGAGATTGATGGATAATAAAATATTGGGAAATATAAAAAAGAAAATCTCTGTATAAAAAACTCTGAGATTGTTGGTTTTGGTGAAGTTGAATTTTGCTCTAATAAATTTAACAGCATTTGCTTAACTAAAGAAAAAAACAAATGTGTAAAGATCAGCGATAGTGATAATTATGTAGCAATAATTAAATCTACTAATTAATGTGTTAGTCTGAATGAAAACATTTCTAACTCAAGCAATCTTTAAGGTAAATAATATTGTAAATTATTTATAATGAGTATATTTTAAACATAAAAATAGAGATTTCCTTCATTAAGAAGGGTTATTGCTAAAGTTTAAATGCAACAATTATTAAAGGAAATCCTGGTGAGTAATTTAAAAACCATTATTTATGCTTAGATTAACATAAAGATGTAGTTGAAAAACAATTAAACTAGTAGATTTAAAATTTTAATTTTAATTTTTTATTAATTTTAAATAAATTTATTAAGAGATTATTGCTTAGAACGATCTACTTTACAAACTTAAGTATTATAAATGGCGTCTGTAATTATTTTTGTGATAAAATTAAAAGTAAAATATGTCTTTTATTTTAAATATAAAAGGGAAGGACAATAGATGGAATTTGTGTAAAAGAAAATGAATACTACAAATAAAAGGTTATATGTAACATTCAATTTTGTCAGCATTAAAATTAAGATGAATAATTTACTTGCATTGCCTATGATTCTCATTTAGTTATTGTAAGTAAAGTTTAAATCAATTACAAAAATAAACAATATTTAAATTAATTTTTAGGGTAAAACAAATAAAAATAAATGCATATTAGATGAATTTGAGCTTTTAGATTTACAAATTTAATGCAAACCTAAATATTGTAAGCAGGTTTTATTTAATCGAGCTAATTGTGTTAAAATATCGAACACTAATGTAAAATATTTGAGATTTTTATATATAAATAAGTCTTTTTAAAGGAAATTTAAAAAAATGGTGATTGCGTTCAAAATAAAGAAGGGTTAAGGAGCCTATAGACTGCGGCTCAGTGTACATAACCGTAAGATTAATTCATTCATTTATTTATTTCCATATTAAAAAAATTTTTCTTTAATTAAAATGAACTTTTTATCAAATAAATTATTTATTTTATTTAAAATACAATTAAAAAATAAAGATTTGATAATTTTAATTATATAATTAGCAATTTATGCTTTGATAGTCAAGTAATAAGATGCATAAATTTAGGATCTTCTTAAAGCAGCTTGGCTAAGCTATCAAATCTTACATGTGCAGGCTTAAACGTTGGTTCTTCGATTGCTTGTTATTCTAGTTATCCTGCTTGCTTATCAGATTAAGGTATCTGCCAAGTGGTGTCTTCTTCAAATAGCTAATTCGTTGTAATTAAATTATTTTATTTGATCTATTTAGTGATTTACTTACTTACTAAAATTATTCAAGGGCTTGAGGCAGGGAGGACAGTGTGCTCAACTTAATTCTGTTTATTAGGGTATATTCATACTCCGACTTTAATTATTTTTTAAATTATTACTTTTAAATAAAAGATTTAAGTAGTTGCTCATCAAGCGTGTGTCTTACATAATATGGAAATTACCCAAATTAATTTTGTGCTACTTTTTATGGTTCTTCTCAATCTATGATGTTTGATTGCAATGATGTTTCTTAAAAGTCTACATAGTAAAAAATTTATTGTTACTAAATATTCGTTTTAATTAATATTTATTTATTCATTCGGAACCAAATTAAAGCTTAATTAAGTTTAAAACTAATTTAAGTTCTAAAAAAAAAAAAATTTAAATAAAAAAGTTGTAAAGATCCAGCTGGGTCAATATGTTTTGATCAATCTTCTCAATAATGCTATTAAACATTGTCTTTTGGTGGATAAGGAGCTGGTTGTTAATATTAGGGCACATGCTAAATTCTTTCTAATTTTTAATTTATTGGAAGAGCCCAGCCAAATAATCAGTGCCTTTAAAACTATCAATAACCAAATTAAACCTTAGAAACATGCTTTGACGATCCTTAAAATATATGCAAATTCATCTCAACAGCAGCAGCAACAACAACAACTACCTTTTGTGTGATATATCCATAAAGTAGCGATTATCTAGGATTTGTTTCTGAAAACAAAGGCTGTGCAATTTTAAATTAAGTTACTCATTAAATAGGATACGTAGCTGGTAAATTTATTCATATTAGATATTTATTTATCAAATAACTTTTTTTTCAAAAAGACGTAATTAATTTAAGAAAAAACTATTGCTAAGATTCAAGAGGATACATACTAAAATTAGATTACTCTGATAATATTGGAGTAGACTCATACAGATATTCATGTTTAAAGTTAAATGAAAAAGCTAAAGATACAGTTATTGAATGCTAAAAAGGGTATATTTGATATTGTTACAACCATTTCTGCATATTGATTTGTATAAAAGGTTTTGTGCAAATTAAGACAGATGCTAAAAATATGATTCTATTATGATTGGGAAAAACTAAAATTAGGTTTGTCTACAAGAAAGATAACCTACTAGCATAGAATGTAACATTGACGACGATGACGTTTGTTTTGATACAATTGCTTTAGCATGCAATCATTTAAGTGACACTTTACCAAATAGTTAAGTAATTCTTTTAAAATAAATAATTAAATATCCATTTTTATAAAATTTATTTAATTATTTTTAGGGTAAAGTCATTAATGGTTAATGTGCATAAGGTGGATAGTATTATTCAAGTAAATTAATTATTATAAAAATATTATAAAATTTAATTTTATTATTTTTGATAGAAATAAAGAAATGCTCATTTAACTTTTGCATTTAGAAGTAAAGTTCGGATCCAAACTCTTAAGAATGTTGTTTCGCGTTTGATCTAAGTTAAAATAGAGTAGGAGTTGATGCTAACGGATATTGTGTGCAGTTAGATTAATAAAATGCTGTAAGATGTATGAAAGGATAATATTGCTTAGACAATCATGATGGATTTACTTGTACAAAATTAATTTTATCAAAAACTTTAAATAAATATTCAAGACAAAAAAATACTATGTTTTGTCTACCTTACTTAGATCCTTAAATATAAGGAGATCAAATAGAAACTTGTGTACTTGGTACTTGCTTATATAGAGATAATATTTCTAATAGGGATTATTGTGTTATTGAAGGAACGATTGCAAAAGGCAATTTTATTGTTGGGATTGATGTATATTAATTTTGTATATCTAAAGATCAAATCACCATTAATTGTAAATTAAAGTTAAAATAATTGCTGAATCTCATTTCATATATTTATTTTTATTATAGAAATCATTTCTTGTGTAGGATAAAACTACTGCATTCTACAAGTTGGGTAAAGAAATAAACAAACATTATTTCAAACAAAAATTATTTAAACTAAATTAAAAAGATATATAATGAAAAAATTAAATTATTTAAAAACAAAAATAGACCTGGATAACAAAAATGTGAGGAGCTTTAAAATTTCGATCCAAATTTTCCAAACTTGATTTATAGAGCCAAAAACTTGGACAATAGCTGCTAGGATTTAAATATGCGTAAAACCTTTTACAAAAAATTTAATTACATTATAAAATAAATATTTAGCAAATAGTATCGGTTGTTTGGATGGTTTATACTGTATAAATACTTAAAATAATAATTAATGCTAAGAAATAAATGATCCTACATAATTGGATTAAATTGGAAGAGATCTAACTACTTAGAAATGTTTACCATAAAGATAGCTTCTAGCCAGCAAATGCTAAACCGATTACTGCATCAATTAAGGGATGTGTATTCCTTTATCTGATAAATATCCTGGCAAGGAAAGTAAAACTCATTATTGCCTTTAATAATCTGATCATGGATAATACGGAGTTTCTAACTGCTACAAAAATGGGTATATTTACTTATATTCATCACTTTTATTTTTTCCAAAATTAATTAAATTCAGTATGCAAGCAAGCAAAACATAACTTAAAAAATGAATGAGAAATTAATCTTTCATTTAATAATTTACAAGGTATTGTATTGAAATAAATTAAGATGGTTTCTCAGTATGTAATAAATTGGATTTTAGTAATCCAAATAGAATTGGTAATAATTGTATATTTTTTTAGATACTTGTTAAAGTATTTTACTTATTTTATTTATAGGTGTTCAAAAAGATACTTAAGTCTGCTTAAAATAAAATTAGGCTATAGCAGTAAAATTATTTTTGAAATTATAAATAAAAAAGTTTTTAAATAATTTTTTTAGGTGATGTGTGATATCTAAAAATTTTGTATAAACCCTACAACACAAGCATGTTAAATAATAGACATAACATAAAATATGTGCGTTGATGCTAGTGGAGTATGTGTTTAAAATGGATCTTGCTAAACTTGTAATATAGATTAATGCAAATCTCCATATTTACAAAATTTATGCATTAATCTTATTTAGCCATAAGCTACCTATTGTATAGATTAATTTGGTAAATTATTCGTAATTTTCTTTAACTAAAATGAACAGTTTTATCTGCTCACTCTCTCAAATTTTTAGAAGTTATTTCAAATAAAAAATTTTTTTAATTTATATTTATTTAATATAATAAATGGAAGTTTACAAACATGTAAATAAAATATTTATTTTATAAATTAGGTATTTGTGCTCCTTTAAATAGCTATAGATGTGTTTTTTGTCCAGATGGTTACTGTGATATATACAAATAAGGAATATGTGTAAATGGTGCTAATTTACTAAATTTAATATCTGGAAATTTTTGTTATACATAATTGAAGAATTAAAATAATAAGTGCGTGTAATAAAAAGTTGATACTATTAGTAGCGATGGAAATTTTTAGTGTTTAAATTCATCAGGAATGTGCTAGGAAATATCAAAAAATAATAATTCCTGTTTATTATGCCCATAGTACTATGTTAATCCAGGTAACGACAAATGTTTGAGTTTAGATGAAAAGGCTGCTTTACTTAACACTTAATAACTCTATTTTAGCATGCAATTAATTTACCTAAAGCAAGATTGCTACGATAATTAGTTCTGCTAAAATGATAACACAAAAAAGTGCCCTAAAGGGTATTTATTTATTTAATTACAAAAAATTTGGTTTTAATTTAAAGTAATTTTATATAAAATAGATGTTTTTCATGCACTTCACAATAATTTTGTACATAGTGCATACAAGGCTATTTCCTTTATTAAATTTCCCCTAACTAATAAAATTGTATTAAATGTTATTTGGGAGTAAATTATTATACATAAGTACAATCATTTTATTAAAACACTCCTACATATTCTTGCTTAGATTGCTCTGCGGAATACGGATTGTGGTAAAATATATATTATTTATTTTTTTGAAAAATTCAATTAAAAAGATTATTCTAAACTTACTTAGGAATTCTACTCAAAGTATTTATAAAACTTGTTAGAATTATAGAGTATAATATGACTAGGATATTTAAATATTGGCAAATCTTTTACCAGCTTCTAATTTTTAAGTCTAACAAATCTCTGGAGAATATTAATTAGTATTATACTAGCCTAGCTTATGTAATAAATATTTATCAAATTTTATGTAAATAATATCATTTTTTTTAGGTCCAAATGAATGTTTTTCTTGTATTTAGAGCTCTCCAAGTTCAGTTATTTGTACTCAGTGTAATATTGGCTATGTTTTAAGTAATGGGATATGCTAAAAGTGTCCTAATAACTGTTAAAATTGCTAATATGCAACATTTATATCGGGATTTGCATAACTTATTACAGAAGTGAGTTTTGACCAAAATAAATATTCATACTATAATTTTATTTTAATATGTTTGTAATGCGAATAAAATTATTTGGTTTATTATGATTTGTAATCATGCTAAAAGTGTGGAAATTCCTGTTTAAGTTGCTAATATGGTAAATAAATCTAATAAATTTCCTTATTTTATTTATTTTAAATTAATTAAGAAAATGAAGAGTCAGCCCTTAATTTAAAAAAATCAACTTTAAGGATAATAAGTTTAAATGAGTTTATTTTAAAAAAATATATTTAAAAATGCACTTAATGTTTTGATGGATACTTTTTATCTTATGATGGTATTTATATTAGATATTTTTATTAGAATTTAAAAGTAAATTTATTTTTAAAAATTAATTAGGTTCATCATGTTTATAAAATATTTAAAATTGTGAATACAGTAGTCAAATAGTGACATATGGATCGTAAACGTACGATTTAACAGAATAATTATGGACGTATACAATGATTCCTATCTTAAATTAAGTTAACTCGATTTGCAAGTAATGCAGTTAAAATTATATAATATCAGCAGATTAAACTTCTTGTATAATTGGATGCGCTTCTTATACCTCGTAAACGAAATGTGCATTATGTACAACGGATTCTGCTAATAAGGCTCTTTGTTAATTTTGTAAAAATGGTTATGCTTTAGATAATTCTTCTATTCCGCATTCATGCTAAGAAACAAAGTGCTAAGATAATGTAAATTTAATTTTAGTTTAATATATATTTTACTTTAAAAATAAATAAGATTTATAGATGCAATGAATGTTATTCATATTTAGATCTTTAATCAAATAATCTTATTTACTAATGCACATAATGCAAAGACCAATACTCTATCCCTTCTATTAATGGTTGTCTTAGATGCCCTGATGGATGTTCAGAATGTTATGAAGGTATTAAGATTTATTTGATTTTTATTTTAGTTTAAAAAATACTAAATAAATACTGTAAAATTTTTATTTACCAAATTTTAATGTTTGAAATTAACTATTTATAAAACATTTCAAAAATTCAAAAAGATTTTTATTTTTTAGATAGAATTTATTGTTAATTATTTATTAAATACAATAAATAAATATAAATTTACTTAAAAATAGGAACAAGACATTTTAATTATACTTCAATAATTGTTTACAAAAGACCATTCTTAAATCTTTAAGAGAGATTAAATTACAATTCAAGTTCTACAAATTATTAATTGATATGCACAAAATGCTTGTAAGGTTATGAATTTAATTAGTAATTGAAATAATGTGTAAAACTCAACTGTGGATAATACTGCCAATAATGTACTTTAATAAACGGTTAGCCTTAATGTATCTAGTGCAATTACAATTTATTAGCTTCATTAATTCAAAATCAATAGTATTTTATTGGAACCCTTTACTATTAAAATGCCTAAGATTTTAACATTAAGAATATGGTTTCTCTTAACAAAGCTGGGAATGATTGCTAAATTTGTCCATTAATGTAACTTTTCAAAAATTATTAATTATTTAAAAGAATTTATTTTAATAAGGTGTGATACATGTATAAGCAATAAAGATATAAGCATCAATCCTCTTTATTTGTATGATGCCTAATGCTATTCTTGCAAGAAGTCTTTACCTTCAAGTAAAATATCACAATCTACTAGCATTACTTATGATAAACAAAGAAGAAAATGCTACTTATGCCTTACCAACGATCAAGGTTGTTTTTATAAGAAAAAGCAAACTATATATATCTAGTGCTTAGATACTAATAGTAGAAAAGGTGATGGGTCTCTTTAAAACCCAATTAACTATAATAGACTAAATGAAATTTAAATAGATAAATTTATTTTAAATGAAATAGATTATGATCAAGCTTTAATTTTTTATAATGAACTTTAAGTAAAATATTTAGAAGTTTAATTAATATTCTTAGGAGATTTTTGTTTTGACCAAAGGCCATAGACTTTTGCAACTAATTTAAAAGATTCAATAAGATCTATTGAAAAAGCTGTATTAAATATAGATTGTTAAACCACTGTTGCAGGTTAGCAAATGAGGTTTTAATAAAATAGCATTTTTAAAATTGAAGGGTTCAACCAAATTTAAATAAATAACATTTAATTTGAGTAACAGTTAAGTAACAGCTAATTTGGTTTGGTTTTAAACTATAGTGACTTAAACTTATTTTAGATGTTTAATTGTAAATTTTACTAGCTTCTTCCTTTGTAAAACTCTTTTAGTAATAAGTAATTTTTAAATTTAGAACTCTCAACTTTATAAAAGGCTGATATCTTCTTTTAACAAGTCGAATTTTAAAACATATTTATCTAAAACAAGTAATATCTTATTAATAATGTGTGCAATAATAACTAAGATTCATCCTTGAATGTAACCTTAAGCTCAGTAATTTTCACTAATGTAATTTTAATTTTATTAGATAATTGAAAATAATTTAATAAAAGTAGTTTCTCCTAAATTAAGTCCTAATTCAATCTCAAAAATAAAAAATTAAACCCATTTTTTTTTAAAAATTTTATCATTGAAGGGGAGAATTGTGTTAATTAATTAAGGAAAAACTACTATAAAATTTATTTTATAAATATTTATTAATAACTCTTTCTGTATGTTGGAGTAAAAAATTATAAGTTAGGATTATAAATAAAAATCATTTTATTTTTAATTAAAGGTAACGTTAGATCAATCATCAATACTTCAGTTGAAAGCAATAAATATTAAATTAAATATTTCAAATTTAACCTTCATTTAATCAAAATTTGAAAATAAAGCTATTGTTTTTGATGTTTAGCCTAATTACATTTCATCCTAGCAAATAGATATCTTAGTAAACAATATGACTATTTAATAGACTTAAATATTACTTGGATCTCAAATTATAAATTCAAATGCTTTAAATAGTATGGATATAAATAACATTACTTTCATATAAAATGCGTTTTCTTAACCAAAAAATTAAGTTATTCCTCTTTTCATTTCAAACACATATAAATTAAATGGATTAAATGTAATATAGAATTCAATAATTAATTATAGTCTTTTTTAATAGCAAGATAGTTTATCAATTTCATTGAATTTCATTTAGTACTCAGTTTTTCAAGGAGTGGTGTTTATAGATAACTAATTTAATTCTAATGAGTATTTATTTTTCTATTTCAAAAGTTTAAAAAATAGCAACACATAAATTAACGGGATAAAGTTTTTAAGAAACAAATTCTAAAATGATTAGACTGCTATGTCTGTATAGCTTGAAAATATAAATACAGTACAAATATTTGATGTATTTATGTAGGATAATTCTTCATTTTTGTTTCTCTAAGTAAAAAGTGCAGTTAATGTTCTTATTACAAAGGTAGTATAAACATAAACTTAAAATGAACTTATGTCTCCTTAAATATGCTCAATGACTTAAATTCTAAATTATGTAAATATTGATAACATTTAATAACAAAATATAAACATAGCAAAAAATATAATTTAAATTGAGACAAGCTAAGTTTGTTTAAATAGTAATTAGTTTTATAATAACAATTAATATCCTTAAGGAATATTTATAAGCAACATAGTAAGCAATTAAGTTTAGCTTTTCTATTCATAAAATACTTAAAACACTTCCCCTTTTTCTATTTTTTCAAAATAAGAAATTAATATTTAAATTTCTAATTTAAACTTCTCAGATTATAGAGCTATTATTCAAACAAATTAGGTAATTAATTAATTAAATAAATTAATTATGTTTAATATATTAAAATATTTCTTTTTAATATTTAAGAATTCTCTTGGACAAATATCTTCAGGTTTTTATTTCAAAGCACCAACTGTTAGGGCTATCTTTAAAAAATCTTATTTCACTAACTTAGACTATAGTAATAACCCTTTTAATTGGATTTAGGGATAAGTTAAATAAATTGAATTTAACGATTGTTAATTCTACAATTAAATTGGTTTAAGTTCATAAAATTATTCAAGTATTAAGAGTTAAAAAAATGGAGGCTTTATCACAATTAATAGTGAATTACTAACTTTAAAAAATTCTTATTTCAGTAATGGTTTTGCATTTAATGGTGGTGCATTATATTGGATACCGTTAAATATAGGAAGGTTATATATCTAAAATACTACTTTTAGTAATAATATAGCATACAGTAGTGATGATTTAGAGGCCTAAGGTGGAGCACTGTTTATAAATGGTTTGCAATCGTTTGGCTTTAGTGTTTTCATTTATCAGTCAATTTTTAAATATAATTTTGCTTCTTTTAAAGGTGGAGCTATTTAAATAAGACCAGCTATATTGCCAAGAAGCATCATAGTTATTTAGGAAGTATAATTTAATAATAATTATTCACTCCAAGGTAGCAATCTTAATTTAGAGAGCTCAGTAATTGTCAAAACTGCAATTATTTTGAAAAAAATAATTGCCTTTAACTAAATTTAAGTGATGGCTTAATAATTTCAAAACTTATATTAAATCTTTTCAAATTTAAACTCAGGTTAACTTAAAAGTTTTCATAGCTCTTTATTTGTAGTTTAAAACTCTTATGAATTTTAAATTGAAAACTCTACATTTTAAATAATCCACTAGAATATTGCCACAATAAATTAAAATATAGTTAATGATTTTATCTTTTAGAAAATGATATTTGTATTGAATACTTATTAGTATTCTGAGTATAACAATACATATTCACAAAGTGTATTCTTGAACAATCTAGTTAATATCACACAAGCAACTATTCTTAGCCTTAGCAACAACACAATTATTGATAACATAAATATAAACAATGATATGAGATATTAATTATAAAATAACATATAAAACCTATTTTTTTATAGTAGCTAAACATGTTCTTTGACTTATTTAAATGTAAGTAATAACATTTGTAACTCTTGTTCTTAAGGGATTATTTATATATTTTCTTAAGGTTTGGTAGTTTAGAATTCAAAATTTGAAAACAATTTGGCTTAGCTAGGTGCAGGATTATACTTTGAGCAGAATAAGAATTCTTAACAAGTTTAAAAAGTAATTACATTAGTTTAGAACTGTATCTTTAAAAATAATAAAGCTATGATAAGTGGTGGCTCAATATATATTAAGAATTCTCCCTTTCTTATAAATCAAAGTTTATTTTAAAATAATAATGCTTTATAATTAGGAGGTGCTATATTTATTTAAAATGATAATATCATGATTAATTAATTACAGATTTAAGATAATTATTTTATCGAGAATCAATCTTAGTTTGGAGGAGCAATAGCATCATCAACAGGATAAAGTGTTAACTAATATTCTAATAACACTTTTATTTTAAACAAGGCTTAATAATATGGATAAAATATATAAACTTCACCAACTAAATTGAACGTCTACATTAACAATACTTTAAATTCTGATAATCAAAATTCTTTAAGATAAATAACTCTTCAAAACCACTACGGAGGATATATTAAGGTAAAGTAAAATTAAATTATTTAAATGATAAACTATTTTTATTTTAAATATAGGAAAATATAGCCTTTAAATTCTATTCTTAATATTTTGAAGAACTGAATATCTTACCAGAAGATGTTACTTTAGATATAAAGATATTAAGTGGATAAGGATTTATTAATACTAATAAATTATATTAGTAAAATGGAGTTTTCAATTTAACGAAATAGCTATAAGTATATGGTATTATGGGATAAGAACTATTTTTATAAATAACAAGCGATTAAATACAAATTCCAAATTACAATAGCTTAGGTTTGATTGTCAATTATTACAGAAATTATTCGTTAATTCTGAATATTAAGTTTGCTAAGATTTGTCCAGTTGGCTAAGTAATAAAATAAATATACGATAAATTTAACTATTGTATTGAATGCATAGACTCATACAGCTTCACTAATTCAGATACATGTTAAGTATGCCCTAATAAAGACATAAAGTGTTAAGGAAATAAGATTTTTTTAACTTATTAATATTGGAGAGTTAATCAGTAATCATCAGTGATTTATAATTGTAAAAATTGCATAGGTGATTATAATTTGAACGAAAATTAAAATTAAATAATTAAGAAAAAAATAATAGTAAATGATCTAAACTATTATTGCTAGATAGGTAATTTAAAGCTATTTTATTTAGAATTTTGTTTTTATAACCATTTTATTAAAAGGATATATTGGTGCTCTTTGTGAAGACTGTGACATAACTGGATAAAACTGGGGTAATTCTTATTATATGAGCTTATATAGTAAGTGTCAAAAGTAAATTTTAATTATTAACACAAAAATATATTTAAATTATTTTAATTTTTACATTTTAGGTGTTCAGAAAAATAAATGCTTGATATTTTATATCCTATTTGTTTTGCTTTAATATCTGTGCTAATTATTCACATTATAACTCATAGCTATCACATATAAATCAAGAAAGGCTTGTTTTTAAAAATATTCTCAATTTTATTTAAAAAATAAGTTCTTATCCAGAATTAAAGCTCTCTTAGTGCTGTTAAACTGTTGATATTTTAGTCATTTATACTTGGAATAGTTTTTTATTATGATTAAAATATTCCAAATTTTTTATCATTTATTTTCATAGATATAGGAAATTTATTTGTCTCTTAAATTAAAGTATTTGACTGTTTATTGGTATAGTTAGCTTAAGAAAATTTTCTTATTTAGAATCTATTAATTTATTTCTCTTTTTGGCTTTTTATTTTCTCATGCTTCTTATTGGTTTGCTTAATCCAAAGAACTTGCTCCAAATATAGATTTTGGATTTAAAAACTGGTGCTTGGAGTATGGATTTTCATGTATAGCTTTTAATTTGCAATCCTAAATAAAATTTTTAAGCAAGTAATAAAATTTATTTTTAAATTTAAATAATTTATTTAACATATTAATTAAAAATAAATAGATTAAATGCCAAACTTTCGATGATCAATCTTTTGTGACTGATTATTTATCTATTTATTGTGATCGATTACAATCAAAGAATTCTGACTATGTTCTTACTACTGCATACTTTTTAATCTTTACAGTTCCTAATGGATTTCTACTTTATTAATTTCACAAAAAGCAATATTTTTTAAACGAATTTTAAAATTAATTAGTCTATGGATATTTTACATAAGAATATAAATTTAAATTTTATTACTGGGATTTAGTAAAACTAATATATAAGCTAATATTAGGAATAACAGCAGCTTTCTCGTTTGAAAAAACTTCTCTTTAGCCAATTTTATCAGGTATTGCTTCTCTTTCATACAGCTATATAGTCTTTTTATGTAAATAATTCTTTTAAAGTTAAAATTATTTTTAAACTTATTAATAAAATTTTTAAATTTAGGTTAGCCCTATAAATATGAAAGACTAAATCAAATTGAATTTAAATTATAATATCAGTCTTCGATATTATTCTGTTTGGTTAACCTTAATTTTGACAATATAATTATTTAAAGTGTGATTTTTAGTATTAAAATCATAGTGATCTCTAAAATTTTTTATCTGATTTTAATAAAAAGCAATTTTAATCTTAAAAATTAATATATATTTATCATCTAAAAAATTTAGGAGAATTCTAATATATTCTCTTAAATAATATGTAAGTTTAAGCTGAATTATCCTTTAATTAAGCTTGAAAAATGCTAGAAAAATTGGAAAAAAGTCAATTAAATAATATTTGCTAAAAGTATGATTGGATATTTTCAGATTGAATCAAGTATAAAATAATAATTTTTAAAAAATTTCTATTTAAATATAAAATTGGTAGATAAAAAATCAATTTTAAATCTTAGTACTAAAAAAAATATTACTGAAAATAGAAATTTCACATGAAAATAATAAAATTAGTTCAATATTTTTATATATATATTTATATAGTGTATAAATAAATTTGACTTTCTTAACAAAACTTTACAAAATTAATTCAATTTATTTTAATTTTTTAAATATTATTTTTATATATGCATATCAAAGAGAAATATTTTCTTATCGGTCTTATCATATATAAAAATTTGTTTTGTATAAATTTTTATTTTATTAATATTTTAAATGAGTTATTTAAGTTTAAAATTATCATAAAATAAAAATAATAAATAACTGAGCTCAGACAAAAAGAGCTTCTGGATTGGTAAAATTTATATCTTAAAAAAATAGTGAATTTATTATTTGCTACATTTAAAATACATTAAAATATTTTAAATAAATTGTCAGAAAAATCATAGCTTAAAATTTTTAATTAAATAAATATCATGTCACTAATTAAAAATAATATTTATGTGTCTGTTTTACTCTTTCATGCAAACTCATATTATGAAAATTAATTTTGTAAAATAAAAATGTCTAAATAAACTAACTTTATGTTTAAGAATTTATTAATTAATTAACTAATCTCTATTTTTTATGTAATGTTTTTTATAAATAAATAAAATTATTATTTAACTATATTTAAAATAATATGAAATTCTTATATATATATGATTAAAAGTTTTTATATTATTTTAGCAGGAAGAGACTAAAAGGATTGTAAATCAGCAATCTTAAGATATGCCATAAAAGAAATCCTCTTAATTATACTTGAGCAAATGGCTCCTTTGGCCTGAAGGGATACAAGGAGATTAGTATTAATATTCATATCCTGATAGATCTTTCATAGAAAACATGAATCTTTTACTGCTTAAACAATAGTTAAATGCATGGTATTGTGTTCTTTCTTTTTTTATTTTTTCCTCAATATGTAGACATGGAATCTAAGTAAATTAGCCTTTGAGCTAGTTTTAGTAAAAGCCCATAGCAGTTGTTTCTCCTATGAAGTAAGATAAAATTACAAGTGCCAAAATCAGAATATTTGTTTTCATTTTATTTTTATATTTTTATAAATTATAAAAAATGAAAGCTTGCTTTTTAGGTTTTATAAAATGAAATTAGATGGTAGTTTTTTTGTTTGTTTGTTTTTCATTTATTTAATGTAAATATAAAAATCTGTTCTAGAATATATATGTTACAAAAATATAAAGGGATATATTTACCTTATTAAAAGTAATATCAAAAATATTAAAAATATGGCTTTTATATAAATGGTGTAAACTAAAACAGATCTTATTAGCATGAAATATTAGCAGTTTTTGGGATAAAATTTTTACTATATTAAATTCTCAAAATAATATTTTGTGTTTATGTTAATAAAAGAAATAAAGATACTTATTTTAGTATATTTTTAAAGGCTATAATTCTTAAGAAACAGGAAAATTTTTTGCATAAATAAAACTTGTCTATTCTAATTTTTAAAATTTAAATTTTAAATGCAAAAAAATGTAATATAAAATAATATGAGATAAAATACTTTTGATGGAACCAAATTTATCGAATTTAATGGTATTAACAATATATCTACTTAAAAAAAATTTTTTTTTTAAAGTCTAAAATGAATACCAATTTTATATTAGAATGTAAAATCAATTACTTAAAATTTTAAATCGTTTTAATTTTATTTAAGTATTTTCATCTTATTTAAAATTAATTAATTCTTAAAATCAAATGCATTTATTTATATATTTGTCTTTTTTTTTATTTATGGAAAATAAATAAATGAAAATACCTAAATTTTTAAAACTCAAAACATTCATTCATATAGATTCAAAATGGAAATAAAACACAAAATATTATCAAAATCTTAAAATATTTTTGTGTGAAAGAAATAAAGTTATTAATTTCATTTACATCAACTGATCACAAAAAATAATCCATGAATGAAACTAAATTACTAAACCAATTAATTTCTTGTAGGAAAGTCCATTAGAATTTTTTTTAGGTAGCTAATAAGATTATTTCCTAATTAAATTAATTTATATTCATTAAAATCATACATAAGACACTAATTAGGTACTGTCTGATAATAGATAAGGTTTTTAAAGTAATATAATCAGCTAACTAATGTTTGTATTAATGCGTAATTAATCTAAATCAAGAGAAAAATGTTTCAAACTCTTAAAAAATTGTACTAACCATTATATATTTTGTAAAAATATAAAACAAAATTCTATTTTAAATATTAAAAATACATTCAAAGTATTATATTTGCTATATTTATTGAATACAAATAGTAAATAATTTACTTTTTATTTAATAATAAGCTATGATTATTAGTAAATGATATGAGTAATTTATTGAATTTTTATAACGTATTTATATATTAGTGATTATGATGACAGATATAAATAGAATGGTTGTACATATTTATTTAATATCAGGTGAGACCCTAATGATTTATCTAATGTAACAAAAAATAAATTAATTCTTTAGGGGGATATCACAGATTACATTCAAATGATATTCTATTTTTCTTTAAGAATAAATTAAAAAAATTTAAGATATAAATTAAAAAATCTATTTTTTATTGATATTAATTACTTGTTACCATAATTGTAGCCAAGAAAATAAAAAATTATAATTTTTATAAAAAATAAGAATGCAGATAATTAATTTTATTGTATAAATAATTGACTATCTTAATTCATTTGATTAACTTAATTAATTTATGTAAGTGAATAAATATAATGAAAATGAGTCTAATTGAATATTATTAATTAATTTTTTCAATGCTTTTAGCTTGCAAAAAATAACATCTTAAGCATATTTTTTATATTAAATATAGTTTTAAGTATTTGATTTCTTTTGCTGATTTAAAAAACTATAATTCTCTTTTTAATTTAAATCTTTTATTTAAAAAAGATTGATATCAATTATAATAAAAAATAGTATTTATTTCCTATGATATTTGATCTCCTTTTTGAGACACAAATATTTAAATTTAGCTAAAAATTTTTTGTTTTTCAATTACTTCATAGCGAATACTTACTTACAAACTATATTTTATTTATCTTTTAAAAAGTTTTATTTTATTCCCATCTATATTTTTTCGATCATAAAACAGTAAAATTAAATTTATAAATTTGTTCAATTTTTATATCACTCAAACAAATTTTTCCAGTAAAATTTAAGCAAAATTTTAAAAAAATCATAGTAAAATTTTAAATGCGCTCAAATCAAATTAACTAATTTGATCTAAAAAGGATTATTAAAAAAATCCTTTCCTTATATTATAATTAGATTAGATTAGGTTTCTTTTTACTTTTAAGAATTACCTGTAAAAATTGATTAAAGATGGATTTTTGATAGTAGTAGAATGAAATTATCAGATTACAGTGTATATATAATATAAAAATTTAATACTTTATACAAATAAGTTATTTTAGAAAGTTAATGTAAGTGATATAAATTCAAGTTTAGGATATTAAGAGTAATTAATTAGTTGCAATCAGCAATCCTCAGATATGCCATAAAAAAAGTCTTCTTGATTATACTTATCTAGGTGATTTCTTTATCCAGAAGAGATACATTGAGATGAGTATTAATATTCATTTCCGGAGATGTCTTTCATAGAAAACTTAAATCTTCTGCTGCTCAAACAATAATTGAATGCATGGTATTATGTTTTTTCGTTTTTAATTATTTCCTCTATATGTAAACAAGGAATCTAAGTGAACTATCCTTTCAGCTAGTTTTGGTAGAATCCCATACTGGTAGTTGTTGCTATCAAAATCTGAAAGATAACTAAGAGAAAAACAAGGTTATTTATTTTCATTTGTTTTTATTATTTGTTATTATTTAATCTATTAATTAATTATTGATTTAATGCGGGTTTTAAAGATTGGTTTTATAGATAATTAATGAACGAACGAATATCAATAATTCAAAAGTATTAAATTTTAGGGGAAATAATTTACTAACAAAATCTTACAGTGTTAGAAAAGAATATATAGCAATTTATCTTTTATTAAAAGGCAAAATAATAAATTTTTTGATTAATTATTTTAATTAATTAATTAATTAGTTTATATAGAACCAAGGATGGTAAAAATTAATGTCTATTTTACTATGTAAACATAGACTATTCGTATCTTGAATGGTAATTTATTTATCTCTTTTTAATTACAAACAGTTTATTCTAATTAAATTAGCGAATATATAATATCATTTTGTATGTATTTACTTTTAGAGGACTACTATTTTATTAATGATACTGCTCCCTTATTATTTTGAACTTAAATATTTTTAAATATTTTAAGTAATTCTGAAATTGTTAAAACAAACTAATGATCTGAAGTGATTTTCCAAAAAATAGCGAAATATTTTTTTTTCATCAAATCTATACCTCGCAAATTTGTAAATTAACAATGTATCGCTTATAGATACTTTATCTTTTTTGGAGTTTGTTTTCTATTTTAATTTTCATGTGTTATTAATTTTGAAGTCTTTTTTTAATTAATTAATGGATTGATCTACTTCTTTAGAGTTATTTACTAAATAGAATATACCACCTTAATAACTAAATTATAATTTATAAATCGCGATTTTATAAACTAAATTAATATTTAAGCATTTATGGATTAAATTAGTCACAAGAACTAAATATTAAAATGATTTTTTAGCTCTAAAAAGTTAATGTGTGGAATAAAACTTATAAAATAGACAGCATATAGACAAACAATCTTTCACATTAAAAAAATTTTGTAAGCTGAGTGTTTAATTTAATTTATAATTTAGATTTCTCTCTTGCTTATAAGTCTATTTTACACTGTGAGAATCAATTAAAAGTACATTTTCTCTTTGAAATGTCTTTCAGAATTCTTAGATTTTCAAATAGTATAAATCGAGAACTTAAACATAAAATAAAAATTTGAAGAGCTTTGAATATTTAAAATTTAGCTCGTAATTCAATCTAAAGAGAACATTTAGCACTTTCGAGATACAAACATTACATTTTTTAATTATTTTAAGATAGAAAAAAGGGAAAGACAGATACTTTTTAATTAATAGAAACTTCCTAATCTTAGATCATTATAATTACTTTATTAATTTAATCTATTAAGTCTATTTATTTATTTGTTTATCTATCTATTTCCTTCATTACAATTAATTAAAATAAATATGTTTTTTATTCACTTCGAAATTATTCGGTATCATTACTTTTAATTAGCCATAAAAATTTTTGTTTGCAAAAAAAATATTAAAAGTTTTTCTAAGCTGCTGAAAATTTTCTAATTTAAATGAAATGTGAATTACGAATATTTTTTATAGCTGTAAAATAAAAATATTTTAGATTATTTGAGTTTGTTTGATTCATTTGTAAAAGAGAATTAAAATACTAGCAATAATTTAAAATGAAATAGTTCAAAATAATGACTCTTTACTGATGATATTATATGGATAATATTTTCAAAAAAAAAATAATAAAATAATATTTAATACCTAACAAAATATTTAATTAATGCTTGTTAAATTTATAAAATTAAAGAAAATCTTATTTATTCCAATTTAAATAAAAATATTTTACTATTAATTAATCTTTATTTTTTAATGTTTATACATATATATCTATGATTTTATTATTAAATGGATATGCTGTGGGTTCTCTTCAAAAAGACAAGTGATAAAAAATAGCTTTTTTGAAAAGTTTTATATTAAAACTTTGTATTTTTAAGTTATCGTTTTCAAATATTATTTTTTTGAATTCAGAAAAATATTAATATAAAAAAATTAAATTATTTTTTTAAGTAATTAAATACATAATTTAATATCTAAATTCTACAAATAGAAATAAATTATATTTTTTATTATAAAATTTTCATCAAAATATTGATTTTGATTTTGAACCTGATATGAAGTAATCAATTCTCTTCAATGGAGTATTAATATCGATAGTATCACCAAACTTGTATCTAGAAAGGTCAACCACGCAACTTAATTCTCTTTGTACTCTTGTATGTTTTTAGATCTTCCATTTCGAAAGAAGATCAGAAAGAATTCTAAATTCTTCCTAACCACTTTTGTAAACAATTTTTTAGGTATTTGAGTAATCTAAGACTATGTTAGTTTCTATATTGTTAAGAATGGGATTTGGTTATCTTTTTGCACCTAAAGTTTCTACTGTTTCAACTGCAATCGTGAAAGATTTATTGATTGGATCTATGTAATTTCTCCAAATAATATCTTTTCTCAATATAATATGATAAAATCCGTCTCTCTTTTTGTTATTATTTTCAACTTGCATTAATAACACTGCTTCATCACTAGCTGGACTATTGCTTAATATTTCACTCTCAATATCTTTAATTGGTAAAGGACCTACACATCTTTTGTCATCTAAATCTATAATCTTCATCACTGAATCTCTTCCTTAACTAATTTCAAAATCTTACAATTCTTGATAATTGAATAGTCTTTTATTGTATAAATTATCAAAAGCCTCTTCTTTAATTTTCTCATTTTTATATTAAATATAATCATGATAAAAATGAAGACCAGCTACATAAGAATTGAAAATAAAGTTAACTAAGTTGTAGACCAATATGAGAATCAATAACAGCGTTCCTTGATTATAGTAAGATTCTGCATCAGATGGATCTATAATTACTTAATCCTTAGTTATGCTAACCCATTTTCTTCCCAAAATTAGAACTAATCTAAATAATTAAGTTAAATTAATAATTAAAAATCTTCATTTTTTATTAATGCAAAAACTTAAAAAAGTTAAAATTAAATTTATGAAAAATAAGTGGAAAATTTACACTAAAATTCCTATATATAAAGTATTAATCAATGCTCTTATTATATTATACAGAGGTCTGCTTAGAGGTCTAACTACTATAAAGAAAATTAAGAAGATTGCTTCAATTATAATAAGTGGTATAGTATGATTTTCTTTGAGATTTATTGCAAATATTATAATTATTGAATAAAATAATTTTTTAATATAAGTTATCATGTGGTAATATTTGCTAAGTACACCATTTGATAGTTCAATATCAATAAGCAAATTCCCTAAAGAATGACAAGCAATATACTTTGATTCGATTTCTGAAATATCATGGTTTCGAACTTAGTCAAAAAAGAAATAAAATACTCCTCCAATAGCTCCTATGTAAATAAAGTTAAGCAAATAAGATATTCCATTGAATGCATTTGAGAAACTAGGATCTTATATTTGCATAAATATCACAATAGTTAATGTGATAAAGAATGCTTCTGTTAACTTAGACATAAAGTATAAAAATAAATTGTAGAATGTTTCCAACCAAGGTATTTTTTTATTTTGAAGTTAGGTATATTTTTCGTTTAAGAATCTTAGTTTTACTAAATAGAATACAAACCATAAAAACCCATATAAAAAGATTTATCTAAGCAAATTTACAAAAAAGCTTGAAGAATATCCAAATCTCCTCATATTCACATCAGGAATCTTATTATTAAAATTAAAATATGAATTAATAATTTTTTGTTTTATCAAAAATATTTCTAAATAAAACTTAAAAGAAATTGAATATTAATTTATTTCTTAGAATTTCTTTGCTTATTAGAAATAAAAATTTATTTTATTTGTTGTATCAACAAAGAAATATAAAATAGAAATCTTTATCAATTTTCTTAAAAAATTTTTATTTTTTGCTTTGTCATCAAAATTGAAATCTTTAGTTTAAAAATAAAATGTTGTAATTAATTCTTTGAAATATTTTATAATTTGTTGTAAATTAGAGAAATAAATTAAAAATGATTTTTTTAAATTTAAATTGTTATTATTATTTTTAAATTTAAGTAGTAAGTGATTTGAATAATTATCAAAATTGATTATGATTGAAAAAATAAATTATAAGTAAATAAGATTAATAGTAAGTACTTGAGTGTGTGTAATTGATTCTGATGATTTTCTGAAAATCATAGTATCTTCATATCCAAACTCACCCCACACAGGACATTATTGATATTGCAAGATACTAAAAGCTCTAAGAGTTTCATAAACATTGATTGGGAGATATTAGTTGTACATGAGAATCATAGATGTTGGCTACATAGCAGTGAAGATGAAATTCTATGCCGCTAAAAGTTAAAGCAACCACACAAAATCTATGCCAAAACCTTCTCTATCATATACAGAATGAGAAAACTTCCTCATATTCATTAAGTAATTTAATCTATCTTTGCCTACATCATGATGAGGATATAAATTAAACAACATAGTATATCCAAAATACTTCCTATTAAGAGGAGTATGATTTAAATCTTATATAATGTCTGCATTCTAAACAGTAACTTTTAGTGTTGTTGGTCTGAAGCTGACAAACAAGTTAAACTTTATATCGATCCTTCCTTAGTCTTAATAAAATATGCTTGTAGAAAAGTCTTTATTGTAAGTCAGGCCATCTATATCATAAACCATGTTATCCATTACATTTTATGCAGTTGAATTAAGACTATTTGTGAAATTTAGAGACAAAACAGGCTATTTATTTTATAATTTTTGAAAATAAATAAATTCTTAATTCATTAACTAAAAATTAATTTACCATGATATCCACATCATAATACAAGTAATCAGTAAATGTTGTGTATAAAACACATTATTTTAAGCTAAAATTAAAGTAGAAATTTCCATTTGCACATATACATCTCCCTTTTCTTAATCTTACATAAGGATCTTGATAGCATTGGATACATTAATCGTCTCCTTTTCCAAAGCACTTTAATAAAATAACAAAAATATTAAATATAAATAAAATAATTATTTATTTATTACAGTTCTACAAGTTTAGTAACAAGCTTCACAACTTTCTTAATAGACTTTACCAAAGAATCCATCGGGACAAATACATTACCCATTGTTATCAAGAACTCTTTTACCTTTACAACTTGTACACTACCCAGATCTTTCACAAGTTTTGCAAAGCATGTCACATTCTACATAAAATATAACATAAATATATTTGCTTGTTTGTTTTTTTTTTTAATTTTTTAATTACCAGTGCAATTATCAACTTATTGGTTGTCATAAAAACCTTGATTACAAACACAAGCCTATCCATTCCAGCTGCTATTAAATCTACATTAGATGCATTTTAAAGAAATTGAATTAGGCTATTTAACACATTAAACACAGTCTGTCGGACAATTTTTACATATAGAAGTTCCATCATCATATGTATAATCAGGGCATTAGCAATTAGGTGGATTAATTCTATTTCCTTAGCATTAGATACAATTAGAGGAAGTATTTTAACATCTTGTACATTTAGGATCACATTCTATAATAATAAAAAAATAAATTATAAGAAAATTTCGATAAGATCTAAAAATATTAATTTATTTAATAATATTTTAATATTTTGATATCAAAAATATTTTAAATTTATATTTTATTTTTGATATTTTTTAAAAACTAAAATTTTTAAATTTTCACTTTTTATTAATCTCTAATTTAAGAATCTTATATGATATTAAGTTTTTTAAGATAATTATTTATAAAATAAAATTAATACTTTCACAGATTGCGTTTCCTGAATCAAAATAACCAAATTAACATTAACAGAGAGGAATAAATGATCTGTATGAATTAGTAGCACAGCTATTACACATATCAACTTAGTTATTGCATCCACATGAACCGGTAGCTCCAGATGAGCAAACACTGCAAGAATTTGAGCATTAGCAGTTTTCAGAAACATAATCATCTGCTGTATTTGCAGGGCAAGTCGAACAAGATGGTTCTGTTGTCCTGTTTCCTCTACATTTATTACAAGTCCAGGGTTAGCCTAAAACACACTTTTAGCATTAATTATTACACTCTTTTATTTATAAAAATAAATTTAAATTGATGAATCATATTTTAAAATTACATTAAACACAGTTGTCAATTGTTGTTTGACATTGAGAGCATCTTGGGGTTACACATCTTTCACAAACATCATAGCTTTAATAATACATATAAGGATCTCTACCTTAGTAAGTGTATGTTGGAGTAGTAGAAAAAGTTTAAGTTATTTGCAGTAGGTTTTCAGGAGTTGTACAAGAAGCATCAGTAGGAAGCTATGAACATAAATGGTCAGTTCTTGGATTTTAGTATGAGCATTTTAGACAGTAATTATGATATTTACCTGCATTTAAAGAACAGTATTTTACATCAACTGCGTCGTCTGCATTTTTGTACTTATAAAAATTGCCATTTAATACTGTAAAGAAGTTGTACCAAAAGCCTTAATTTTATTTTGTATTAAGAGAGCTTCCTAAACCTAGATTTTATATTGGTGTTGAGGGAATAGAATCAAAATAGAGCTTATCTTGTAAGGTTTTGTAAAAAGCTCTAACAAGAGTACCAACTCTATTTAAGTACAAATTTGTATTTTCAACAACAAATGAAAGTTAGTTCCAAGAATTATTGTCCAGATGCCACTTTTTAACTGTTTAGCACTCTCTATCAATGCAAACAGTGACCTAGAAAACTAAACCATTACTCAAATAATGTCCAAGGATGATAACATTTCCAACCTAAGCTAATACAACATCTTCATCTTATTTCACTACTGCTAATCCTCTTATCCAAAAGCTGATAATAAAGTTTGAAGCAACTGGTTATGGAATGCTGCTAGGGTAAAGCTGCTGATCTGCTTTAATACCATATCCAAGTATTTCATAGTTGATACTTAGGATCTAATCTTTCATCTAGATAATATTATTATTTTTATTTATAATATTTTAATAAGTAATAAGTTGTTTTAGAATAAATAGAAAATCATTAAAAAATCAAATTTCGAAAATTTTAAATTTATTTATTTATATAAAAAAGTCTTACTGAATCAGGGAATTAAAGAGAGGGATTTTAAGGTGAAAGAAGATACTAATATTAACCTGGATAGTAAAATATAATATTTTAATTTTATTTGACTGAGTATCTTTAGTTGTTTAGATCAAATCCAGCATCAGCAACACTATAGAAATATAAAGGAGTATTTTATGGTCTTACATGATATAAAAATGATTGTTTCTAAGCTTAAATAGTTGTACCTAATACAAAAGTACCTTCACTAATATTACCACCATTAAAAAGTATAGAGGAATCTAAGAAAGTAGTAATTAATACTGGCAAAATCTAATTATAATCTATCCAATAATCGTAGTAAGGTATATAAATAGACATATAAGCAGCGCTTTTAGCTTAATCTAGTGAAATTCCAATATAAACGTACTGCTTATTCTAAATTTTAAAAATATATCTGTTATTTACATAAATTATTAAATATAATTATTCTTACAATTATAGCATTATTTAAGTATGTTTTTTATGTAACATCAATAGAATATTATTGAGGTGGGTTTACTCCTGTAAGACTTGACTGAACAATAATTTAATTAGCTTAATAGGATACTGAAATTATATTTGTTCCATCACTAGTTACAAATTAAAAAAGTTTAACTTTTTTTCTTTTGATAAAAATAAATAAAGCTTTACGTTGATTTTGTGAAACTAATAAATTATGAGTAGGAAGAAGATGAAGATAATTAAATCCAACAACCTAGAGTCATCTAAGTTTATGTAGAGATCATATTCTATTTATTTATTATGCAAAAATATTATTTTTTAATTTTATAAATCTATTTTCTTATGTAAAATATTCATTCTCTTTTATATATTTTTAAATTATCCATAAAAGATTTATTTTTAAAAAACTTTCTTTAAAAAATGATAAAATTTTTTTAAAAATTGGTATAATTTATCTAAATGAATTGAATAAGTGATTGTTTTAATTTAGTTTAAATGTAGAATTTACAGTATTTAAAGTAGCTATCTAAGTAACTTTTTGAATTTATCCAACAGGAATATTGATTACAGCTAAGGATAGAGGATTCCCATTATCTATAGTAGGAATGCAGAAGTTTGAATCTTAATCATCTTAATAAATATTAGCATTACACATACAACTATTCTAACTGAAGGTAAAATTAGAATCAGAATCACATTATTAGCATTCATTGATTGTTGATTAATCTTCGAAAACACAGTATAAACAACCAACTTAGCATCTAACACATTTTGTAGAATCAAACCCAAAACCAGGAGGACATGTACATAATTTATTTTTGTAATTTCCATATAATAACTAATTTTAACACTATTCACACTTAAAATCATCATTTCTTAAAATATTGCAGGAATCTTATCTAACTGTGTCCATATTTACATCATTTAAAACCCATAAACTAACTCCAAGAGGTATTTAGATTTAGTTATTAACTATTTACAATTTAAAATTGTTATTAATTGATGTTACTCCAAACAAAGTTCCTTCATTAAAGGTAATGGAACTTGTAGGGTAAGTTATTTTGGTGGCAACTGATTTTTATCGAAATGAAAAAGAGTCAGTAATAATCATAAATTAGATTTATAAAGATTTTCCATTATCGGTAGCATCAAATGTAATTGTGTATTAAAAGGAATTTTATTAAATATTAGAAGCTGCTCCTAGCTTAAGTAATTTCTAACCAGTCCAATTAATTATGCTACCAAGTATTTAAACATTAGAATTAGGTAAGCTATTTGACATTTAGAATGTATATAATTGAATATTAGATGATAATTGTATTGTGTAGATTTATGTAACTATGATAGATGGAAGTCTTATAGTAAAATAATAATAGTCTGAATAATTTATTAGTGTGGCGTCTCTATTTAATTCATAAAAAATTAATTAAAAAAAAAGATAAAAGTTTAAATTATTACGGATTTCCTGGCAGTTAGTTAGAATAGGAGTATGAAATGTACCTTGGATTGAGTTGATAAGAAAAGTACTATGATAGTTATTTATAGTTCATCAATGAAAATAAAATCTGATAATCTGAAGTTGGTTTAGGAGTCCTAAAACGTATAACATTCTAAATAAGATTATTTTAATAGAAAAGAGCATTTATTTGACTGAAGGGAATAGAAGTAGGATTTTATTTGCATTATTAATTTTAGTTTTGAACCTAAAAAAATATTCCAATATCATAGCCAGCATAATTAGTATATGAATTGAGGTTTGTTGGAGTTTAGATAAATTTGTTTGAATCATAAATTGAAAGGGAAGAAGGAATAGATACGCTAATAGTTGACTTTATTTAATTTATGGCGTATATTTACAAGTCAATGTTTTATTATATCTACCCAAAACTATTTTAGAATATTTGCTATGAGTTTTACAAGTCTTAGAGACTAGAAAGAACTTCTAAACAATTTGAAATAGCTAACCAACTTATTTTGACTGATGAACTGTATTAAATGTAGAATCCCTCAGTCGATACTTTTTTTAGTAATATTTATATTGTATCAGTAAGCTTAAACTCTATTAAAGAAACAATAACTTTAGGGGGCACACTAAACAGTACAGTGAATGGTATATACTAAATTGTATCTATATTTAATTTAATTAAAATAAGTTATTAAGTTAAACTATCAAAATAAAAATAATACTAGCAGGTATTTACATAACGCCTGAAGAAATTTTCCCATTCCTATTAAAAGTATATACATTAAAATCGACGCTGCTTATAGGGTTTATTAGACTTATTATTATCTTATTATTTGTTTATATATCTGCTAAAACTTATCCTGATGATTGATTTAGTGAAGATATCACAACTAAATATTCTAAATTTAGCAAGGTAATTGAATACAGAATATCTATTCCATTAGTGCTAACAGGAACAGTTTTTTTTTAATTAAATATTTTTAAAATCTCTCTACACTCTATAATTTTAGTAAAATTTATTAATCAAGTTTTATAATTTGAATAAATTAATGATATTATCAAGTTATCTCTGCTATTATAAAAATTTGATTCAAAATAATTAAAATAAAAAATTTTTTATTTTGAATATTAAATATTATTTTATTTTTTAGATATTATAAAATAAAATTTTAAATTAAAAAAAAAAATTAGTGTTACATTAAATTTTTTTTAGATAATTTAAATAAACTTTAATAAAAATAAAGCTTTTTAAATAATAAAATTTACGATTATCATATGGACTTATAATTTAAGATTATCCTGAAGAGCAAGGAAGGCACTTTGAAAAATTAGAAGCAGAAGTAATATAATCTTATTTGAGTTCTGAGTTTTAACTCAAAACACACTACTTAGTGCAAATACCTTCATTAGTCATCCTATAACCCTAAGTGCATAGTAGACATTGTTTAGTTTCTAATCCATACACTAACTAGCAATTGGATTAAAATCCTTCGAAACCATACTAAAATAATGATACGCCTTTGAAAATTTTAAAGTCTCTTATCTTCACATTTGACTGGTTTGTACTACTACTTATTGTGATTTTTATATTATCATATCCATTTTTTATTAAATCTTTTAACTCAGTAACACTTGTTTAAAGTTATTTATCAATTGTATATGAAGCATTTAAAGTGTACATAGTGATTGTCTGGCTTGATAAAAATTAAGACCCATCAAACACAAATGAAAAGAAATGCCAATAGCTACCTAAATAAGCATGTCTTAAAACATATGAATTAATATTAACTTACCAGATTCCACCTAATTAGATATGAGTAATTTGAAGCTATGTTTAATTGTCTCCTAGCATTATAGTAGCAACAACTAATCCAGATTAAATTTAACTTAAATTTATCCAATAGCTGATTATAAATCCATCATTCACAGGAATACTTGGTAGGACTTTTGGCTTTTAAAATTCAACAAAACTTTGAACAAGAACTGCTTAGGAATCATCTATGATTAAATGATTCCCTTCTTGGTTGCTTCTATTTCTCAGATAGATTTAATTATTCTAATTAAACAAATCTTATCCTTCCATTGTGAAATGATATACAAGTTTTGCAGGGAATTTGCTTACTAGTGGCTCTGAAAAAGGATAATCAGTATTATCAAAATCGTTAAAAATATAATTCCAGTGAACTTGCACGTTTTTCATTTAAACACAGGAGGGATTATATTGTGTTTAAAACATAGGTTAAGAACTCATAATTAATCCGCCTTAGGTTAAAAATGTTTGATCACTAAATATAAAGTTATTACTTTGTTGAAAAGGAAAATTTTTTAGCATTGTTGATATATTTGTGTTACCATTTTTCTACTATTTAATCATCACATTTAAATTTACATTTAAATTTGTATTTAATGATATTACAACTTAAAAAGAAACACTTAAAAAATACCATTAAGTCCTGTCGATATTAGAATAATGATTAATCGCTCCTGATTTTTCACTATTTCCATCATAATATATCAATGGTGTATTTATATTTTATTCATCTATTCCCAAATAAAAAATTAAATCAGTGTTAGTATTGCTTTATGTGCTTTTTGCAATATAAAAAAGTATGTTTTTGCCATCTAATTGGTGCCCAATAGATCTGAACCATCCTGTAAGAGTAAAACTGCTTGAATTTTCAGCATCATTTGTTATAGATGCTATAGGATAAATAAATTTATTTGCCTCAAATGCACTATTAAAAAAGCATGGCGTTTCAACTGTAGAGGATATAATTTGCTTCGATTATTCCGGATACATATTTGATATACCCAAACACACTTAGGTTAATGTTACATAAATAAGAGCAGAAACAAATATCATTTTAATCTACCAAACAAATAATTTTGCTTCTTATTATTATTAATATTATCAACTCTTCTAATAAATACAAACTATCTTTACTTACTAATACTTTTTTTGATATTTATTTATTTTATTCACTGTTATTATTGATTAATAATTAATTGAGAACTTTTAGATTACATGCAAAAATTAATAATAAAAAGTTTAATAATATCAAACACAATTTCTTTTACTAATTGTTGGTTTTTCCTTTTTATTTAATAGTTATTTATCCACCTAAAAATAAATCAAATATTAATTATTCGTAATTCAATTTAATCTACCTTTTTTCTTCAATCATTTAAAACCCTATATTTTATTCATAATTCACAAAAACTAATTTTTTGTTTGATTTAAAGAGGTATGTATTAAAAGATGATGATTATGTTGATGAATAAATGGTATGGTATATATTAATTATATACATACAAAATTATTTAACAAATAATTTTATAAACAAAAACAAATAAAAAAATAATTTTTTAGGACTTAATTTACATATTTTAGATTTAATAATGTTTTATTATATTGCTTTTAGAAATTTTGATTGAAAAAGAAGATTACTTACTTACTTATAAAATGAACTATTTATTAATAATTAGATCTATTTATCTCAATCACCAATTTAGACTACTTTAAGTATTTAGTTTTTCAATGTGCTTAAATATAGTTTCGAAATAAATATTAGTACTATCTCTAATTATCTATTAGAATGCTAAATTATTGTAGTTTTAATCATTAGAAATTACACTCTTTTTTCTAAGTATTTCTTAAAGTTTTTCAATTAAATCTTTAGTTTTCATGTTTTCATCTAAAGATTTAAGCTGACCACCTCCATTTAGACAACCACTAGGACATGCCATGATTTCAATGTAGTCGTATTTACACTTATTTTATCTCAAGTTTCTTATTATATTTTAAATATTTCTTAAACCATAAACTCTAGCAAAACTTAAAATATTAGCTCCATCTTTAACTAGAAAGATTTCCTGTTTTTTATAATTAGAATAAATAAGAAAATAAATTATTTATATAATAATTTGATTACATTAAAATCAGAATTTTTTCCTTATTTAGTAATTATTTCATATTAATCTGGATTAAGGTGATGAATATCTGATGCAGCTCTTCTAATGATATAATCAAGATAATCGTTTGATCCAATAGTTGAATCAAAAATATTTGATAATATAGGCAATAGAAGCTAATCAAATGTTTAACTATCTCCAAAAAGATATTCTTCTATATTACTTACAACAATACGAGATATATCTAAATTTTCATAGGGAAAAATATTGTTTTCAATATATTCTCTCTCTTTTGAAATCAACTCATTCTTGCTTTCTTCATCGTTACTATTATTTACATTTGTCTATGCCTATTTTATTTATTCTTGGACATCAACCAACTTTTATCCTTCTACTTTTTTTAACAAATCCATTATTTCCTAAGCAGTGAGAACAACATCAACATCCTTGATACCATTTCCTATTTCAAAATTATAAAAATTATTTTTATTAAATTTATATAAAATATTTCAATAATAATTGTTAGTTTTAATTCTATTTTGTCTTATTTAATTTTGCTTTTAATTTTTAAACAAATGAATAAATAATTACTCTCGAATTCCTTTCTCGCTGATTCTACTTTTTTATCATAGCAAGGCATAACACTAACAAAAAGAATATCCTTTGATTCCTTATTTATTACAAATTTATAATTTTTTACTTAAATAAAGCGCAAATTAAAATAGAAAGAATAATATAAATACAGCATAAAACAAAGTAATAGCAACTTAAATTAATTTATAGAAGTATTTGTTTATTTTTTTTCTTTCTTTCTTTGTTAATTGCTTTACTAGGACAATATAATAATTTTAAAATATTTTTTACAATTCCCATTTTGCTGGCTAGAGAGTTTTTAACTAATGAGCCCATAACTTATTATGGAGATTTAACTTAGGACATATAAGGAATAACAAATTCTCCAACAGCTTTTTCTGCATAGCAAGCCCATCCTGGACATTCAGAAGAAAGCACAGGTACACTTTATCTAATTAACCAGATAAATTATAATTAAATAGGCAAATATTTTATAAAATAAATTACTTGTTTTCATATCTTTTCTTGAATTCTCTATATGCTTATTCTAATACTAACTAATTTGCAAATCTCATGTCAAAGACATATCTATTTTTTATTCAAAATGTTTTAAAAACACTTAAAGCTATTTATATTGAATTATTTTATTGTTAATTTAACTATTTTTAAATTAAAATCATTTAAATTTTATATTTTTGCTGCAATGGTTCTTCATTAATTTTTCAAATTTAACTTTTTAAGATTTAGCTTTTTATGCTTGAGGTAATGCTTATTTTGTTCAAAAAAAACTAGTATGCATGAATAGGAATCTTATATTATAAATAATGTATTTTATTACTAAACATTCAATTAGTCTTGAAAGAAATAAGTCAATGCTCTTTAAATATGTTCTTCTGATAGGCCAAAATGGTAAGCCATAGAGGCCCTAGCTTGTTAGGAAATGCCTACTACTGCATGCTTGTAAGATTGTAATTTTAAAAGAAACTCTTCAACACTTTGCTATTATTACAAGATAGTTTCAGCAGTAGTAACGCAGCCACTACATGCAAGACAATCACTCAAAGTGACTTTTGCTGTTTACTTTGCTGTCTTTTTAATCAAATCTGGTTTTTGAGGAATCATTCCATATGCTTTCTGTAAAGAAAATTAGTTAAATTATTTGATAGAATAAACAATTATTTTTTCATACAACTGTAGGATCTTCAGTAGTTTTCAATTTTGAATTTTTATCAAAAATTGGTAGAATACACTCCTAAGAAGGAGATATGTAATCATCTAAACTTGCTATCTTAATTGTACCAGAAAACATTGCTATGTATGAATGCTAACTTTTTTATAAATATGTTGCTCTTAAACTATATATTTATCAATCTAATTTTGATAATTGATTAATTAATTAATTTATTAATTTTTACAGTATTTTACTTTTACTAAAAAATTTAAGAAGATTCCTGATTCTTTGAAAATTATAGTGGAGATTAAAATTAATCTAAAATATAAATTTCTAATAATACAAACAATTATTTATGGTCACTAATTTGTTAGCATAACTCTTTAAAGGGACAATTGCTTAATATTAATATATAGCTCACTCAAAAACACTACATGCAATAATAATTAATATCATGTTAGTTTCATAAGCAAGGCAGTATAGACAGGTTTCGTTTCTAGTTTTAATTACTATAAAATATTTTTTTAATTTAACAAGGTAAAAGAAATAAACAAAATTAGTTTCTATTTATCTTTTATTAGATATTAAAAACTATTGATATTAATAAAGATTTAGTTAAGATGGGATAACTATGTGATAAAATTACTTGCGTAGAGTAATGCGATTATTTTAATTCTTTAAGTAAAGTAAATAAAAACTTGCTTAAAAATAATAAGAAATACCTTTAAATTATATCAAAAGTTTCTTAGATATAAGTGGTTTGATAATACATATTTGTATCTTGATTTCAAGTAAATTTAATTTATTTATTTAGCTTATATCTATTTCTGTAATTATATTTTAAATGTTTTAAAACATATTGAAAAGACTGTTAATCAATCATACATACCACAAATTCTTTTAAAATTATTTTTTAAAGTGAAGAAAAGTTGAAAATATAGGTTAAAATAAACCTCCCCTCCCCTCTCCATTTAACTTTTTTCGAAGATATTAATTTAAGATAAATTACATTAAATTAAAAATTAATTTAAATAAAAATAGAATTTTATTAAATTTTAAATCTCTTAAATAGAAAACTTTTGATATAAATAATGTTCTAATTTTTTTAATACTAGATATGGCAGTATTAACAATTTAGATACGATTTTAATAAAAGATTAGTTGGTTTAATTTGTAAGGCTAAAAATTATCATAATGAATTTAATGTATTTTTTTTTGGTTAAGATAACATTAATTGATTGATTAACATATAAAATTAAAAGATGTAATTAATTATCTGAAATAGCTGCTTTTAATTTAGGTGAAGCATTATCTAACTGCAAAAATTTATAAATTATTAAATTATATTTAAGGTAAAAACAATTTTTTTGATTTTTTAGCAAAATAAATAGTATAAAGATACAAATTCAAATTAATTTATTTAAAAAAATAGTTAAAATAAAATAAGCGATTCAGGTGCTTCTAAATTAGGACAATTTTTAGGCAAATGCTTAAATATCTCTCATTTATATCTTGAAATGAAGTATTCAAAGTTTTTAAATGTTAAATATAATTTTTATCCTAATATTTAAAGTGATAATTTAATTGGAGACGATGGTTCCAGTGAGCTAGGATTAGGATTATCTAAATGCAAGAATCTCATAGTTTTATCTATTAACTTATCAGGGTAAACGATTATTCTAATTTTTATTTATAATAAATAGGAATGTATAGCTTAAATATTATAAAATAATTATTTATTTATTAAATTAGAAATAATAAAATATCTTAATCTTAATACATATTAAATTTAAATATAGAGAAAATCATATAAAAGAGAGGGGTGCTTCTAATCTGGGTATAGGTGTTGGTTAATGCTAAAAATTAATAAATTTCAAACTCAATTTATTGTAAAATATTTTAATTAAATCTTAATTTTATTATAATTTTTATAAATTATTAATAGTTGCAATTTAATAGGAGCTCAAGGAGTTACAAATTTAGCTCTAGGTATTAGTAAATCATAAACACTATAAAATTTTTCCCTCTTTTTAAGGTAAAACTCTAAAAAATATGAAAATGCTAAATAATTCATTATATTTTGTTTTTATAGAGATGATACTATTGGTGATAATGGGTTTTGTGGTTTAATTGATAACTTAAGCTATTGCAGTAATCTTTTTTCTCTTGAGCTAATAATTTAGTATTATAATAAGATATTTATTTGTTTTAATAAATACAATTTAATATTTTTTATTAAAAAGAGATAGATCAATTAGTAGCTAAGTTAAAATATGCTAAACTCAAAAGATTAAAAAAATGAAAAAATTAATTTAATTTTCAGTTATGTATTTATATTTATGAAACTATTTATTTAATATTTTATTTAAAAATATTGATTTGAAATGTGTAGAATAATTTTAATTAAAAAATTAAAGAGTCTAATTATAATTTATGATTGAATTTAAGCATACTTTTATTTTTAAATTAAAATAAAAATAGTTATATTAATTGTATGAATGTAATTTAGTAGTAATTCATCATAATAGAATAGATCTCATTAAAAATTAGATGTTTAGAGATGTTAAATAGTGAAATAAAGAGTAAAAATAAAGGAATATGTAAATATAGATAGATGTATATAATATACTCATAATTGTAACCGAATAATAAATTTATATTAGTTTATTGAATGTAGTTAGTTATTTAGTTATGTATTATTTATGTATTTAGTTACTTATTCACTGTAATGATTAATATTTGTTAAGATATCTTCTCAATACAATATGAAATATTTATTTATTTTCTTACTAATTTATTTACAACTTTTTTTAAAATTCTCTAATATTCAAGAATACAAGAGTAAAATTATTATTATTATTATCATCATCATTTTAATAATATATTTATGTATGTATTTATTTATTGATTTGATTTGATTGTTTCTCCTTTAATACCTAACTTTTACAAATTCTTCGTTCTTTTTTGTTTTCCCTTTCCTTCAATAATCAATTATGTTTTCTTCGCTTATTGGTTATTTAGTTAGTTGTTTATTTAATTTATTGTTTATTAATTTTTTAATGCTACCTTTAATAAGCACGTTTATTTGCTAATTTCTTATTTAATTACTTATTTGCTGCTTAGATGGTTTTTTGTTTTGGATTTATTGCTTAAGATTTATTAGAAATTATGAGTGTTTTTTTAGTTTTGATTGAATAAATTTATTTATGAATGAATTTTTAATAGAGTATAGTGTCAATCATTGTTTGTGCTAGTTTGTGTTTTCATTGTAATATAGCTAAATAGATACATGAGACTCTTTACTGGATTATTACAAAGGCAGTAATAGACACGAGCAGAGAGAAAGAGGTGGAAGATTAATAGCTAAGTTTAAAGAGAAATAAAATTTAATTATTTAAGTGAATTGCGTCTAAAAGCAAATCCTTATTTACTTATATATTCTTGAAAAATTTAAAGATTTTATCAGGGTTTATTTATATTTTTAAATCACAGACAAGCATATAGTTGTAATTATAAAATGATTCATACTTATTATTATGACTTTATTTTACTTACTTACTTAGTTGGTTTTGTTTAGTATAGCTATTATTATTATTATTGGTTTATAATTATTGTTTATTATTATCTTAGGTTCATTGATTGATTGATTGATTTATTGTGTATCTTCATTATTATATGAGATTGTAAAAAGAATTAAAAGACTTGTAGAAAGAAAAGGAAGATTATAGCACTATCCTTAATGATGATATAGTTTAGGATAAATCATTTTTGCATTTGCTTTATTGAATGAGGGAGGGAGGGAGGAGAGGAGGAACAAAGAAATAGAGATGGATTAGTTGATAAAATTTATAAAAGTAATAAATTATTTATATAAGTATTATATTTATAAGAATGGTTGAAGATTCATCTAATTTGTAATTTAACTAATAAATTGATTGAAAGATTGTTAAACTGATTAATCAAAATGATATTTAGTTATTCAGCTATTAATTCATTCAGTCAGTCATTTTGTTAGTTATTTAGGATATTTACAAATAGTTTAATCAATTAATTCAAACTGGTATTTTTCTCTTATTGAATTGGCTATAGTTTGTTATAAAATAGAATAAATAAATAAGTTTTATTTTTAATTATTTAAATAAAATGAAAAAAAAATAATATAAAATAGTTAGTTAGTGAGTGAGTTAATTTGTTAGTTTTTTATTGAATTAAGAAAAGAAGCAATAAAATAACTTATTATTACATCTAATCGATGCTTTCTTAATGCTTTCAATAAATTGTCTTTTTCTTCAAAAGTCTCCTTTATATTTATAACACAAAAATTTTGAAATATAGGGATTTATATTTCATTTTTATTTCTTTCTTTCTTAATTTGATTTGATAAAATTAATTTATCAATTGACAATTTATTGAATATCTTATTAAAATTATTCATTCACCACTTTATCATTTAATTATATAACTTAATTCCTCACTTTTTACTGATATAAAATTATTATTATTTTTATTGAGAGATCAATAAATTCAATTTTGTGAGGTGAGATAGTTAGAAAGTAAATGTGTGATTATTGGAAAATAATTTACAAATTTAAATATTAAGAATAAGCTTATTAGCAAATCGCTTAAAAAAAAATGAAGTGGAAATGAGCTTACGCTTTCACTTGAGTATTAAGGAGCTTTTATAATTTTTTATCAAGAGTTTGGGCATTTCCTGCATATTCATCCATTTCTTATTCTACAAATCCTGTCTGTGTTGTTTCATCTAACTCTTTATTTTCTTCTTCTATCGGTTTCACATTACTTTTTTCATCATCCACATCAAATTTACTTCCCATAATTTAACTTCCTCCTTATTTATGTATATTTGTAGGAACGTACTTTATATTAATTGAGCTATAGGTACCCATAAAAGATCCTCCTGTACTTTTACGTATAGTTGAACGTACAGATGGGGTAAGACTCAAGTTTCTTTTTTAATTTCTTTGGCCATTACCTGCTTCAGGTGGAGCTAAATATCCCGAATCAATCTAACCTATTGACCAGATTGGAGTAAAAGAGAGCTTTTTTACTCCGCTTCTCTGTACATCTTGTCCATCTGCATTTAAGTTATTCTTACTATCAGAGCTTTTACCTTCTTTACTTTGATTATGTTCGCTCCAATCCCAATCATTTTCGTTATATCTAACATTATTTTATTATCCTAGCTTCTAAAACATGTTCTTTAAATACTTATAGTCTGGCTAAGACTTAAAGTGGAGTTTTTTAACATAATCGAGATACTTTACAAATTCATTTGGCAAATCTTTGCATAAATCTGTTGATTTAGTCTTTGCTTTTATATCACCAACAACCTATTTATATTCAAAAACAAAATTAATTTAATAACCTAGCCAACACAATGCTATTTTTATTTTTCTTTCTCTTATGATGCTACATTTATTTAAATTTTCATAATAATTTTGCCTAATATTGTTTCGCACTAAGCTAAAAATACTGCTTTATCTATTTCTAAATTTTTATTGCTTGCTAATTATTTTTATTGACTTAACAAAACCTTTTTATAAATGTTTTTGAAATTTAATAGCGAGAAACTATTTGCTCAAAAGTAAAGTTAGTTTGAAAAAAATATTGAGATAAAAATAACATTTAGCTAATTATATTTAAATTTTTTCAAAATTGAGAGCAATTTTTTTGCTAAAACATAGTTTCCTACATGAATCGCTTTGTAGGTGCTTATCTAATCTAGTAATCGCAATTTATAACTTACTAACAAAAATAAATGCTACTTAAGGCAAATCAGTAAAAATTGGCTAAAATAATTAGAATTGATAAATAATTATTAATTCATCAGTCTTTTTTTAGATAATTAATGCCTTTTATATCGATTTCATGAAAATTTGGCGCATTTTGATTGATTTCAGAGGAGTTTTGTAAACTTAAAATCTTATGACTATTATTTTATAGAACTTTGTTTGTCTTATTAATTAAATTGATTGATAGAGTGAGTTATAGATAAAATAGAGATGCAGATAGATAAAGGGGTTTGTTTGTTAGTTTGTTCTAATAAAAGTAAAATAATTAAAAAGCAAAGATCATGAATAAAAATTAATTAACTATAATTTGTTTTTTATCACAAAAATATGCGTGTTTTGTTTTGTTTTTTATTTAATTTTAAGCATATTTTTCAAATGCATAGTCTCAATCATTTATTTTTACTTACTCTCTCTCTCTTTCTCACATTCTATCTCTCAAACAAAATTAATTATTTCCATATATAAATTGCATGAATTTTTTATTCATCGATTCATTTATTCACTCAATCAATCAATTAATCATTCTGTGTTCTCTCCTTTTTATTTCTCAAATTTATCTTACGATTTGTTTATTGAATATCTGATGGTTGTTTTCAACTTATAACATTGCGCTAAATTCAAATATTTGGCTTTGGTCAAAATGCGATGAGGCATATGCTAAAATATTTTAAAGCATGAATACTTCTTAGGAGATTTGTTATTTGTACATTGGAGAAAACTGAATTATTTGTTTGGATTTTTACCTGAGTTTTATCTTTATCAGTGACGTTTTATAGATTCTACCATGGAAGATGGCCTTTGAGCAAAAAAATCATTACATAGCCAAGTGATTCTAAATCGTCTTTACGACCCAACTCGTGTCCCTAGTGCGCTGCTATGGATGCATAACGAGTTGTACCGATAAAGGGCTTATTATCCTTGAATGTTATATGACGACCACTATTGTCCCTATATATTTTAGAAATACCGTAATCAATAATATAAACCATGTGAGATTCATTTTCTCTGCCCATGAGAATATTTTCTGGTTTCAAATCTCTATGGATAATTGATCTATTGTGGACATTTTCTAATACAGTGATGAGCTGGTCCATAAGCATCAGCACTGTTTTCAATGAGAATTTCTTAAGCGCCTTCATGTAGTAGGCTAAATCTCTACCTAATAAATTCAATACCATAATGTTGTAGTTATTTTCTTAACCACTCCAATAAAGTTTTGGGACATTTGAAAGACCTTAAAGTCTTGTTAGAATCTACACTTCTCGATCCAGACTTCTTATGTCTTCATTATCTTCCTTTTCTAATTTTATGGCAACGAATTCTTTAGTGTTCTTATCCATACCTAATCATTTATATAAAAAAAATTATTGACGATTTATATTTTATAACCATTTCTCTCTTCTAATTTTAACTAATAAATTAATTATGCTTTTGCACTTAGTAGCTCTAAATTTCTTTTAAAAAAAACACCTAGTTTATCTCCATCTGCAAATATATTCATTAAAAACTGTAAAATTATGCTAAACTATCATAAACATGGTACTTTAGCCCCTAAATTAAAAAAAATTCTTTTGTTTTATAGCTTCGGTTACTCTTTTATGCTTAGGAATGAATTTATGAATGGTAAAATCCCATTGCAAAATAGATTTAAATAAAATTTATTTATAGTTAATTAATGGATGATCAAACGAAAACAAAACGTGAAGATATTTCAAAAGTGCTGATATGAATTGTATGAGTGTGGTAATTGCTATGAAACTAATACGTATGAGAGGCATTTCATATAATTTTATTTTCATAAATTTGGCGCAACCTTGCTTTGAAAATCATTAAATAAAGAAAAAATAGATAGTGATCAAAGAATCAATCAATCAAAAGCATTTATTTTAACGAAATTTATAAGTAAGTGCAAAAGGAGTGGTAATTAATAAAAGGAATTAATTGATTTGGAATATTTTTACCTATGAACACAACACCAAAACTACCGGAGCTGACTTTCTTTTTAAGAATCCATTGATTATTGAATATTTTGCTCTCTTTATTTGTTTATAAGCTCGACATTTTAAATTTGACCTCTCACTGAGGGTTAGTAATCAATTTGATTTGCTTTACTTAAATGGATTTGATGCAATACTTTTTATCAATTAATTAATTAATTAGTTAATTAATCTGCACGCTTTGATTGGTAGTTTCTCTCTATACTTATTCAACAATAACTCTAACAATCAGTAAATCTCTAAGATTTTTTTGGCTTCTTCTTTTGTTAACTGTATTGCTGTCTCAATTATTCGCTTTTCGATGCTTGCTTGTTAATGGAAGCTAAAGTTGGTTACCTAATTTTAGTTTTTCTTTAGTTTAGTTACCGTACTCTTAATCTATTATTATTATTATATTAAAGACAATCTATATTTATTAATTTTCTTTTAATCTTTATTTGTTTCTTTAATTGATTGATTCTTTTTTTTGCTCACTCTCAGTCAATTGCAAGTTTATTTATTTATTTCTTTCTTTCTTTCACCTTTATTTTTTTAGTTATATGTTTCTTCCTTTATTTTTTGCTTTGTCTTTGTTATTTATTGCTTTTATTAGATTATTTTATTAGTTAGTTTGTTTCTTTATTTATTTCTCTCTCCTTTACTATATTAATTCAATTTATATTGATTATACTCCAGTACTTTCTCTCTTCAATTGAATGATTGTTTACTTTTTTATTTTTATTATTTTTATCAAAAAACAAATGTGTTTGGTGTGCTTTATTGGACTATTGATTGATTGATTAATTTATTTATTTTTTGATTTGATTTGATTTTTTTTCGTTTACTTTCACTAGTCTTCTTGCTAAATGCTTTTAAGATTAGTTTCACCTTTTATTATAATGATTAATATTAATATAATAATTATTATGTTCTTCTTTTAAGTTTAATTATTTCCTTTATTGTCAATAATCTTCGTTCTTTCCACTATTAAAATTAATTAATCATCGTTCTTTCTTTTTTATTTATATTTGTATGATCGTTTTCTTTCCTTTACTTAACTATTCATTTTCTTTTTCATTTATTATGATAATTGACTGACTGAATGACTAGCTAATTAATACTTTTATTCTTTCACTCTCTAATTATTTATGATAACCTTGATTTACTTTGATTTTACAATTATCACAAAACTTTTAAATCCCTCTAATATTTTCAATTTTATACTTAAATTTAAGGATATAATCTTCTGTTTTTTTTTACTAGATTATATGGGCAACTCTTCTTTACTTTTTTAAAATTAAATGATCTTTATTTCGTAAATTATCAAAATAAGCTAGGTCAACCAAATAATTTTTAATTCTTCTATACAATCAAAACTAAATACCAAAAAATTAAAATCTAAATTAAATATATAAAATCATATCAAATTCAAAAACAAACTAGAGTGTTATTTTGACTGATTTAATTAAATTAAAATATATAAACTGAATTAATTACTATTGATCATAACAAAAATTAAATATTCTCTATTATTTTGATTAGGAATTAATCCCTTAATATATATATGTATCAATATAATTCTACTAAAAATGTTTTTTGAATATATTTATTTGATTATTTAAAAATTTATTTTATACTAGTTCAATTTTTTAATTTAAACATAATTTTTATTTTATGCATAGAATTTTTAGTTTATTAATTTTAGGAAATTGTAAAAGTAGTAGATAGTCAAATCTGAAATAAATTTACTACTGGGTTATAAAAAATGTTAATTAAATGAACATATGATATAGAATTTTTTTAAAATAATAGCAAACCGATTAGATAAATGGTAATTTATAGCCTAACATTAAAATAAAAATATTATCATTAATAATAGTTAAATAATTTATTATTTGTGAATAAGTTAACTTAATTCGAAAATTCATCATAAAATTCTTGTATTAAACATTAAAGTTATAGATTAAAAAATACTTTTAAAATCAAAATAAAATAAATCATTATTAAGTTAAAGTCAATTCATTTTGATTATTTTTGTTTTTAAATCTGTAATTTAAATAATTTTCTAAAATTATTCTTTTAACTAGATATTTAAATTTATTAAATTATATTTTAAAAACTTAAATTAATTATTTTTTTGATTAATTTTATTCTATTTAGCTAAACAAAATTCTATACATTTTCTAAAAAATTTAAATATGATAGAAAGAGTAAATTAAAAATAAAAATTAACTTTAAATTTAGAAATTATTTAATAATCCTAAAATATAAGAATATTGCATTTTTAAAATTAAAATTAAATAAACCCAATATGAAGGGGTTTTTGATGATAATATCCAAAAGAAAAAAAAATATAAATAACCTTATTTCATAAGTACTAATCATTAATATGGAGGCACATAGAACTAAATAATAATTAAAAATATTGGAATATCAAACTGGATAAATAATTGATATATTGCATATATTTTGATTGTTTCACACCCTTTTTAATTTTTGATAAAAGAATATTTCAAATATAACTTAAAGAGTACAAGAACAGGGGGGATACAAAAAAGATAATAGTAGAAAATAATAAACAATATTTATCTAAAATATATATATATATAAATTAGTTTATTGTATCTCTTAAATGTTTTAAAAAAATGTAAGTAATTTTGTGTATAATTTTTTTGCAACATAATTTTTTTTTTTTTTCAATAAAATTGAATCAGAAAACTATCAAATAAACAGGAGCAAATTAAAAAGCTATAATTAAAATAAATTCATAATCTTTATAATCAAATATGTTAATAGATTTTATTAAACTCTATCTAATTATATTAATTCATATATTTAGGTTGATGGAATGTTGCCATATGCAATTAAAATTAATTTAATGAATATAAAATACATATTTTTTATAACTAAAATTAATATACATGTATATTAATTTGCTTCGAATGAAATTTTTCACTACTATTTAAGAAATAAACATGTAAACTATCTAATTAGCTTGAAATTAACATTTTGTGAGATTATATATAAATTATATTTTATTTAATTGAAATGATTATTTTTCTAATGAAATTTAATAAATTGGTTACTTAATTAGAAAGTTGGTAGACAAAATTAGAACTTTAAAAATATTTATTCTAAATATTTGAAATATACATACATGTAAACTACCTGGCTAGCTTGAAATTAGCATTTTGTGACATTAAATATAAATTATATTTTATTTAATTGAAATGATTATTTTTCTTATAAAATTTAATGAATTGGTTACTTAATTAGAAATTTGGCAGATCAAATTAGAACTATAAACATGTTTATTCTAAATATTTGAAATATAAATTAAATTTACTGTTTCTATATAGGTAATTTAGGATTTCTTATGTATATATACACTTTAAAAGATTACATTTTACTAAATGGTTATTATTTCTTTAATAGAATCATTAAAGATTTAAAGGTGAGGTAAATTAATACTATAAATTGCTTGTTAAAATCTAAATAGAAAGATTGAATCTTCAAATCTTATTAAACAAATTTGGTATTAAAGTATTAAGGTTTCTGTAGTACAAAGAGTTAATAGGCTTTATTAATCTATACTATTTATTTATTTAGTTAAGAGATGTTGCTGCCAAACAATAACCATATCATCAACTAATTAAACTAAAATAGGAATTAAGGGAATAACAATAACAATAGGAACAATGGCATAATTTCAAGGAATAGGTATCTTCGATGGCTTCGTGAGTGGTCATAGCCAGTAAGAGGAGATAATATGCCTTCAATTTATCATTATTTGAGCAGAAGAGAATATTTATGGAGACTTGTGTTCTTCGCATCAACTTGCTTCGGAATCTTTTTAATAGAAAAGATATACATTTTTCATACTGATTCTTAGTATTCCTCAATAGAAAAAACTGAATTGGTTGACTTTCTGCTGAGTTTTTTAGTTGTCATTCTTATAATAATTACTAGAATATTGGTCAAGCATTTCTTTTTTGATAAGATCAAATAATACTTAAAATGTGATTAAAAGAAGATTTAGAAATACCAGTAAATGATTTGTGAGAGAATAGTTTAAATATCTTTTTATGTTGTTATGACCATATGGGGATTTTTGCTTATTTCAGATGTTGAGAATAGGCTTGAGGTGAAAACATATCATGATATTTTTAAAAATGGAAGATATTTAAATTAACTCTTCAGTGAATCACCTTTCCTTATTCGATACTACTACCTAGTGCAGATTGGTTACCACATATTCTTCTTCGTTGAGGCTTATATTTGGAATTTACAAAATTAAAAGTATTATGAGTGGCTGCTCCATCATGGAATAGCTCTTATTTTGCTCTTCTACTCGTACATGTTTAACTTTTTGATTGTAGGACTTTATGTTCTCTTTTTGCACAATATAAGCGATTTAGGACTAGTTATTGCAAGAACTTACACAATTCTTAAGTGGAAAAAAGCGATTGTTACTTATATCTTGTACATAATTGAATACTTTGTGTGGGTTTATGCTAGAAATTACATTTTTCCTTTTTAGATTATATATTATGCAATTTATGAATATAATTAAGTAGCAAATAGCTTTATATTTTCGTGGTCAGTCTTCTACCTAATTTGCTTAATGGTATCATTAGCTGCTATGCACTTATACTGGACTTATTTCATCACACAAGCATTACTCTATATGATTTTAAGTGGTATAGAATACAATACTTATGATTAATGATTTCAAAATTCAGTATTAAAATGAATGCATTATAGACCGTCTCAACTAACATTTCAAACCTCAAGAATAATATTTCAAATATATTTAGAGAGTGTTAAAATAATAATTATATTTATATTTTATTTCGAACAGTAAAAATAAACAAGGTGAGCTCTGATCAAGTAAGGTATGTGGCTGTGCTTAATTAATTTTTTAATTTACGCATATTGTACCAAATAATAATAGATTTCAAACAATTACTAACTAGCTAGCTAACTAAATAAATAAATATATAATTTACTAACTTAGTTTGCTAGTTTCTTAAAAAAATAGTGTAAATTCAAATAAAATAATTTAAGTAATAAATGTGTTTATATTCTATTTTTAGTTTAAATTAATTTATTATAAAGATTTGATTGCAAAATTTTCAAACCAATAAATAAGCATTTATTAATAAAAACATTTCTATTTATTTTTAGTGTATAAATATTATTAGTTAATAGATAAAAATTAAATTATTCAGTTTTTAAATATTTTTATTTTATTTGAAATTTTAATATTTTCAAGCAAATAAAATGGGCTTTAATTATTTTTGTAGTAATTCAAGAATAACTGAAAGTTCTTATGATTAAAATTTATTTAAAATTATTTGTTTGCTAATTTATTCATCTTAAATAAATCATTTATTTTTTATGAATAAATTTTATTTTTTCAAATTGAATTATTAGTAAATTATATGACTTATTTTAGTATTTGAAAAATTTAACTTAAAGAATAAATAATATTTAGCTCAATAAAAAGCAAATTTTAATAATTAGAAAGATTTTAGCTTACATTAATTCCTATTGAAAATATTCATCTTAGATTTATTAAATATTTATAAGTAATTTACACTTAATAAAATGAATGAATAATTTACTTGATTGAACTTTTATTTTTTTTAATGAAATTGAATAGTTTTTTGAAAGTTAATAAGAAATAAATCAATTAAAAATAGAGAGTAATTTTAAATTCAAAGATGAACTATTAAAAAGATCTGTTAATGATGTAAACAAATATTTGTTTTACAAGGATTTATTTATTTGCATGATTAATAAAAGTTTTGCAACATATCATTTAAAATAAATATTATGTGGCACTTAAATCAATGTCAGAGATTTAATTGTTAAAATCTTTATTATAATCAACGAATAAATCGAAGAAAGATTTCAAATATAGTAAATTTGCTTAAGCTTTTAGGAATATTTTAAAAAGTAGATATTAAAATTTGATAAGTGTATTTATTATTATTAATTTTCAAGCACCTTTACAAGATAATTCATATTTCAAAGCTTAATGAACTAACATTAAAGAATTTAGCTTTTAAATTCTCAATAATAGCCAGCTTAAATTTAATAGAATGGTTTGCATACCCATTCTTAGCAAGGAATGCATAGTCATAGCAGTAAAACTAATATTGCTTCCTTTTAAAACTAATAATAGTATAATAACTAACTTTCTAATGTTTAGCAGTAAGTAAGCGGGAATCCAAATATGAATTCGAGCAGAAATTCTTAGTAGTAAATATATTCTTCTGCTCAATCTGCAATTGTACCTAATCCATTTTAAAATCTTTCAATCCCATAATAAACTAAGTAAAGATCGAATAACCAAAGATCTGTTTCTTAGTCTCACGGGGTTTCTGCTATTATTTAAAATTACCATAATTCAAATTAAAATTATACAAGTGAAATTTTGAACAATTCAGTTGATCATTCTCCAACGAACAAGCCATAGTCTTTGTCAAATCTAAAGCAAAAGCAATAGTAAAATATCACTTTTATATAACTTCATTTATCGTTTATTTTAAATTTAAAAGTATGTTTAATTCACCATCTTAAGTGAATTCAGGATCTCAAAAACTGAACGACTCTCCGTAGATAATAAAATAAAATATTTCTACAAGCAATTAGAATGTTATTATTGGTTCATAGTAAATATTAACAGGAAATCCTATTTCTAACTAGATTTACAACTCTAATCAGTTAAACAACACTCCTCCAAGATAAAATAATATCCCAAAAGGCTCTCATTATAACAACTCTGCAGGTCAATCTTCAAATAGCTCCTTAAATGTTTTATAGCCATCGAAAGCTTTTATCATTAACCAGCAGATGCAAAACTAGTAATAAATACAATAAATTTAATAAATGAAGCAACTAGATTCTTAAACCCAACAATAATTATTACCCTTACAATTACAATCTCAATCTCAACAACCAAATAGTTAGTCGCAAAAGCAATTGTAATAACAAATAATATAATAACAATAATAAACACTATAACAATAACAACAATAACAATAATAATACTAAAATAATTAGCCAAATATTTTTTAACAAAGACAGTAGCCTCACTAACAGAATGTTTAAAGCTAGTAATAATTAATATTAAATTAGTAATAAATTTTAGCTTAGCAATAGTACATGTAATAAGAACACTAAAACAGATACCAAAGTAATTTAAATAATATGAGCAGTAACAGTAATATAAATAACAATAGCACTAATGAAATAACTCTTAATATGTATTTGTCCCATAAAAAGAATAATTTAAATAGCAATTCTAGTGCTGGAAATGCTTTATAAAGTTTGCTTAATAGTTAACCATAAGTAAATTCATAATAAAAATCAAATTAAACTTACAGTGGTCAATAGAAATAACTTTAATAAAGTCTTTCTAAGAATAACAACACATCCAATTTCTTTAATAATGTTTAGAAAAATTCAATCAATAACAACAATCATAATAATGATAATTCAAGTATGTGGCTTAACCAATATGAGAATATGGATAGAGAAATTCACTAAAATGAGCACCAGCTATAATAAGAAAGGGATTAATTTTTAGATAAGATTCGTGATTTAGAAGAAAAGAATAAAGAGCTGAGGCAGTTTGAAAAAGAAAATATTTAATTAAAGTAGCAACTGTATGAAATTCAAATTAAATCAGAAGAAGATAAAAACCATGAAGTCACTATGTTCAAGGTTTTTATTTATTTAATTTATTCATCTGTTTTCATTCAATTTTATTAAATATTAAATTTATTTTGATAATAAAAACACATTTATTTCTAAAGAATAAAAAGTTTTTTTTAATTGTAAATTTTAGCAACTTTTTAATATTTTAATTTCTTAAAAAAGGATGACACCACTATATTTTCTTAAAAAGATTACAATATTCAGAGATTATAGTCACTTATTTAGGAAGATGTTGAGAGTAAAATAAAAACATTTTCAAATATAGAGGATATTAAAATACTCTGTATCGAGAAAGAAATAGAAATTGAGTAGCTGAAGAAAAGAATTGATGACTTGGTTAATTAATAGAGCAGTTAAATTCTTTCAGGTACTTAGCCAGATATTGTTACTTAGAATGCAGACTTGCAGAACGAACTCATGCAGATGAAATAAAATAATTAAAAATCTAAAGAAATTATTTAGCAGAAATAATTGGAGATTGAACAACTAAAGAGTGTTATTTAGAAGTAGCAGTTGGAAAGCTAAAAGGCTCTTTAGACTGGCATTTCTGGCATGCCTTCAACTGAAAGAAGAAGCATTTCTTACAGAATGTAGGAATCTTCAAGGGAAAACAACTAAGCTAACACTTAAATTTATGAGCAGAGAATTCAAGAGAAAGATAATTAAATTGGATAATTACATACTAAAAGAGAAGAATTAAAAACAATGGTGCAAGAGAGAGATAATTAAATTAATCACTTAAGGAAGGAATACATTACTGTTTAAGGACGTCTATCTAAACTTGAATCAGAAAACTTTGATATCAATCGCAAATACAAAGAGTTGTAGTCATTAATTCAAAGCAAGACTCTTGAATGTGAAGACTGGAAAAATAAATTTATAGAGGTATTCTATTAATTTGTTTATTAAAAGCAAAATAATTGCAATTTATTTATTCAATTTTATTTATAGACTGATAGAAAAATAGAGAATATCCCACAATTACAAATAGAACTAAATAGAAACTAAGAAACTATAAAAGATTTAAATCAGAGAATAGAGTAGCTTATTAATGAAAATAGCGGTTTTAAATTAAGGATAGGGGAGAAATTCGGAGTGGAAAACAGAATAAATGAAAAAGAAAGGGAAATAGAAAACATGATTACCAAAATCAATGAACAAAAAAAATAAATTCAAGAATTTCAAGCCAAAGTTGTGGAATTGCAAAATATAGAAAAAAGTAAAGAGATACTATTCAAGCAATATAAGCTTTTTTGTGAAGAAAACAATTCTCTTAAATAAGATATTTAAAGTCAATTAGATAAAATTTAATCATTAGAAAATTAAGTTCAAGAAAATATTTAAGATATTTCTTTATATTAAAACGAAAATATGCAAATCAAGTAAATTTAAAGTTCTATTTTACAATTTTTTTATTTTTTTGTTTGTGTAGAAAAGAAATCTTACAATTGAAGCTAGAAAACTCGTAGTTATAAGCTAGCCTATAAGATGCAGTTTAAGAAAAGAAAGATTTGTAATCTGAAAATGAGAAATTAAATGAAACTGTAAATCAATTAAAGCAAAATTTGTCAAATACTTTGAGTGATACCAAAGAGAGAGCTTAGAAAGTTAGTTATTTAACTCATGAAAATTAAAATTTAGCTAATGAGCTTAAAAAAAATAAGCAAGAATTAGAGAGAGTAAGGTTAGAAAAAAATAACATTTTATATGAAATTAACTAGCAAAAACTAAGCGTGGAAAATTATAACGAAATAATTAAAAAATTTGAAGATAAGGAAAGCAAATAAATTGAAGATATGAAATAATTAGAAAGAGAGTTTGATAAAAAATAGAAAGATGTTTAATAATTAAATAAATTGTTATCAGAATAAGAATCTAGACTTTAAAATTAAATTATATAAATATAAGAGTAAAATATCTAGCTAGAGTGTTTAAAGCAAAGAGAATAAGACTTATTAAATTAAATTTAGCAGTAAAATGATTAATTTGCAATAGAGGGTATTAATTTGAGAATGGAGATCAATGAAAAAATGTCTTAGATGTTAAATGCTGAGAAAGAGAAATTTAATTAATAAATTAACATAGCCAATAAAAAATATGAATAGAAAGATGATGAAATCAATTAACTAACCTAAAAATATAATTAAGAAATAACAGAAAATGATAAACTAATTAAAAAAGTTGAGGAATATCAACAAAAATTGAATGAATAATTCAGAGAAATGACTGACACAAAACAAAAACTTGAATCTCTTCAAAAAGAATATTAATAATAAATCCATAAAATAATTAAAACAAATGAATAGAATTAAAAAAAAGACTAAAACAAAATAGAAGAGATTTCAGAATAACTCAGAGCTGCAATTTAAGAAAAGGAAACTATTGAATAGAGACTCAAGTCTAAAAGAGAAGATGCATAGATTTGGGAAGAAAAGTACAAAAAACTCCTTCAAGCAAAAGAAATATAACAATATTTTGATTACTAAAATTAATTAACAAATATAAAAGAAGAAAGCGAGCAGTATAATCAAATGATATTGAATGCCTACCAATAATAAATTGAAGAAAAAAACAATGAAATCAAATGCCTTGAGGAAGAAAATTAATCCTTACAATAATAATTATAAAAAATGGTCTTGCTACAAAACGAAACTTATTCTTAATAATCTGAAAAATGTAAAAAACTCCAAGAAGAAATCTCTTAAAGAGAAATTCAAGTAATAATTAATTAATTATTCATAAATATTATTTTTTTTCTAAGAAATTTTCTTTTGTTTCTTAAAATTCAGATTTTTAAATTAACTTAATTTAATAACTGAAAGAAGATTTAATTTGAAAAAAATTTTTTAGAGCAAAACATCCTTCTTTGCTGAAGATTTAATAAATAAATTAAAATAAATAATATTAAATTTAATTTTGTTTAGTTGATTCCAATTTTAAAGAATTATTTTAAATTAATTTTTAATTTTTAATAAACAGATTGAAACTTAAACAATTGAAATAAATTAATTGAAGAAATATAAATTGGATTAAGAATCTGAAAAATATTAGTGGTAAATGTAAAAGAGCAAAATAGAAAACTAACTGGAAGTTCTGTAAAAGTAATACTCAGAATTAGAAAAATTCAATCAAGGCCTTAATTCTCTACTTTAGTAGAGGTAATCTGAGTTCCAACAAATATAAGATGATTACGAAAGAGTCAAAAAAGAAAATAGAGATCATTAAAGAATTATTAAATAAATGGAGATTCAAATTGAATCAGAATAGCTACAAAATAAAAGATTGCAAAGCCAAAAAAAAGATGATGAAAATATAAAACAAAATTTAATTGAGAGATTGAAAAGCTTAGAAGAGGATTCATCACAATAAAATAAAAGATTTGTTGAAAGTCTTTAGCAAATAAATGGATTAAAAGATAGCTTTAAAACAAAAAATAATGAGTTAACTAACTTTTTATCAAAGTTAATAACTTAGTATTAAGTTAATTAAATGCAATCTAATAATTGAAAAAACAAATAAAATCTTAAAATAATAGAATTAATTAATTTTTATATTATAATTATTATTAAATATCATCTTCTTATCTAAATTATCTATCTAAATATTTTTGTATTTTACACTTTTAAGTTATTAAAATCAAATTATGAAAAATCAATTCTAATTATTTCATTTGTAGAAATAGTTTTTTTATAAAATAGAAATAAATGCTTTCTATCAAAAATAATAGAAAAAATAATTAAATTTATAATGAAGAGATAACAAATAAAAATTCATTTGTTAATAATAAAGTTTGATAAATTATACTTTATTAGGATATTTCTATATTTATACCCCACTATAAATTTTTTATTAAACCACATACAGACCCAGCAAATAACCCAAGTAAAGGGGAGTAATTTTTTAAGATCCCATATGAATAAAAGATTAAAAGTAATCTTATTATTATTAAATTAATTTTTAGATTAAATATTTTTTATAAATCTTCTCTTAAAAAAAGTAATGCAATAGAAATAATTCTATAACATATTATAAGAAGTAAGTAAATTATTTTTTTAACTTAGCATATATTAATAATATTTATTTTTAAAAAATAGTTTATAAGCTCTCAGTTATCATCTCATACTGAACTTGATCTAAAATTTTTTTTGTAATAAATTAAAATATTATTATCTTATTTATTTTATATGATATGATATAATATAGTTTTTATTTTATTTTTCATAATTACACATGATTTTTTTTAAATAAATATATATTTTATTATTAATTTCAAATAGTTCAATTATTAATTTTTTTTATTTTAGAACGAATAAACAAATAAAAGGATAAGGTCTTTAGCCTCTTTTTTCTGCATTATCAAAGTGTACTAAGCTCATAACGTTATAGTTGCAGCTTTCGTAAAAAAAAAATTAGCTTGCTTAAATTGTTTAATCTTATAAATTCAAAAAATAATGAAAATATTAATTTCAAATAAGAAATTATATTTAATTTTTACTTAAACTTTTGGAAAGGTTTTGTTTTTATCTTGTTTCTTAATTATATTTATTTTTTAATTTAATCTGACTGTTTTTTTATTTAAACAGAAGTACTACAATAGGAGCTTAGGGGGCATCTAGTTTAGGATTAGCTCTTGGAAGTTGTAGTAATCTCTCAAATTTAACTTTGAACGTTACGTATATTCAACATGTTTATTCATTTTTTGTTAAATATTTCAGCTTAGAAATTTTTATGGTGATTTTAGTCAAATATTTTAAAGATAAAAAATGATATATAATATATTATCTTTAAGCAAATAAAATAAAATACTTTATAAAATGCTTATATTTTTTTTATAAAATAATTAAAATTATTATATTAATTTCTTTTTTTCAAAAATAACAATACAAGGTATTGCTATATAAGTAATGAGGGAATATCGCTTTTATGCAGTGGTATTGCTAAATGTGCAAAAATATCAAATCTAAAACTAATGCTTAAGTAAAAAAAATTTATAAATGGACATCTTATTTATTTATGATTAAAAAACAAAGATTTTTTAAATTTACTGCATTCTCTCAAACATTTAAATTCAATATTATCAAAATAAACTATTTTTAATAAAATAATATCATGATTAATAAAAAACTTTTAGCATAATAAATCGAAATTTGAATAAATAGAAAATGCAGTTTATTATTCAAATTTCTACCTTTTATTTTATTTTAATTAGAAAGTTTAATTGTTTAAAATTTTAATTGTATTTAAAAAGTGGAAATAAAATTGAAGCATAGGGAGCATCAGCCTTAGCATCATCTTTAATCAAATTTACTAATCTATCTAATATTTAAATAGATTTCTCGTAAGAATTACCACTGCTTATATATTAATAAATACTGATTTTAAATATTAAAAATCATTCTTAATAAATTTTTTTGTTTAAGGATTTCGTTTTTATATTTATGTTTTTTTACTCAATAATTTATACACGTTATTTTTTAATAGGTCGAATACTATTGGACAAAAGGGTGCATAAATATTATGCTCTGCTTTGTCAAGTTGTTCTAATATCTAGACTATAAAACTGGATCTGATGTATAAAAAATTTTATATATTAATTATGATTATCAAATATTGTTAACTTAAACCTTTAACATAATTAAAAAAATATTATACAGACAATTTTAAATATAAAACATTTTGTTTGAATAAACTTTATAATTATTATTTAAAAACTATAGCCTTAACAATATTGGAGAATAATATTAATAAAATGTATGCTCAACTTTAGTAAAATGCACGAATCTTTCAGTTTTAGATCTCGATCTAGGGTAAATGAACTTCATTAAAATTAATAAATAAAATTGAATGAAATTAAGAAGAAATATCTTGATTTAGAATTTAATTTTATTAATTTGTTTGACTCTATGTTGTTTAATTTCCCTATTTACAAATTTAAACTAAACATAATGTATTTATTAAATAATAGATCCAACAAAATTGATGATAAATAGGTAGTAGCTTTATGTTCCATTTTAGGTTAATGCACTAATCTTTCAAAATTAACTCTTGGGCTTTCGTAAATTTGTTTATTTATTTATTTAAAAATTAATTATTTTTAAATTTTATTAATTAATTTATATAAAATAAGAAAATAATTTTGCTTTATTGTTTATTTTATCAGTTAAGCTCATTCATTTTTGTGTAAAATAGATATATAAATTAATCTATAAAACTAATATTATATTAATACACTCTAAAATTAAATCTTTTTACATTTAAGACACAATAAAATTACTGATAAAGGTGCTCCTGGATTAGTCTCTGCTTTATCTAATTGCAAGATTCTTTCAATTTTAAATTTATAATTGGGGTAATAAACATATAATTGATTATTTGTAATATTTAATTTTTAAAAAATAAATAATTTTTATGCTTTTAATATCATCTAAAATTTTAATTTTCAAGCCAATAATATATATAAATATTTTTGAACAAAATATTAAAGGGCTAATACGATTGGATCACAAGGAGTATCAGATGTAGGTTAAGCTTTAACAAAATTTGCTGTTCTTTCAACATTAGTTCTTTATTTGGGGTAAAATAGTTATTTATCTTGAAGTATATAATTATTTATTAACTTAAAACGATACTATTAAATAAACAATAATTTTTTTGATATTTTAATTAACATTTTTGTCTAAATATTATTTTTTTTCAACTTTAAACTTTAAATTGTAATTATAAAACAAAAGCTAAAATGAAATTTCCGCGAAGGGTGTTTATGGATTAAGCTCTGCTTTAAAAAATTGCGCAAAGATATCAAGTTTAGAGATTGATTTTTAGTAAGAAATAATTACATTTAAATAATTAATAAATTTTTAGCCATAATCAATCTTACAATTTTAAATTAAATGTTTTTGAGTTATTCATAAAAAATTATAAAAAATTGATTTTATATTTTAAAAATATGCAAGCAATAATAAAATTGGAGTAGAAGGAATATCAGCATTAGGGTCTTAATTAGTGAATTGCTTAAATATAAAAAATTTAAAACTGTGTCTCATGTAAATAATACTTTATTAAAAAAAGTTAATTTAATTTAGCTCATTAAGAAAAAACAATTAAATGCAATTTTATTTTATTAACTTATCAATTAAACTTTATAAGGAATTGTGATATTAGTTTAGCAGGAATAAATAGTTTAGGTTCTGATTTATCAAATTTCAAGAATCTTTCAAGTTTAGAACTTGGATTGAGGTATGAAAATAATTTATCATTATTTTAAAATTTTTTATACACCATATTTATTCTTTCTTAAATTTATTAAAATAAATTAAAAAAATATCTTCTTATTTTTTATGAAGATGTTTGATTTATTTATTTTTAAAATTTTCTTCTGTAATGTGTAATTAATTATGGTATATAATATATTCAAAAATATATTTTACATAATAATTACCTACCTGATTGGTTTTTTATTTTCAAAATTATTTTATATTTAAAATTTAAACTAACAAATAACAACATAATATAGTCATATTGGTACAAAAGAAATATCAAATTTAGGCTTAGCTTTAGCAAATTGTTGTAAGCTCTAAAATTTAACTCTCAATTTTTAGTAATATTATTTAATATTTATTTCTATATTTAATTGATAATTCTAAAAAAAATAAAAACAATTAACTACATTAGGTGTAAATTGTTTGCAAAGTAATTTAGTGTAAAAAAAGTGTATAGCCAGTCTAAATTACTCTACTATCTTACCTTTTATACTTTTTATTAAATTTACATGCTTTAGTATTTTATTCCAAGTTGACAACTTTCAATGTTTCTAATTATTTTATAGAGATTCTAATTTCGGAGAGGGCATTTTATATTTTGGATCATCTTTGATTGGTTTCAAGAGCCTCTAATCATTAACAATTGATTTTAAGTAATTAAATTATTTGTTATTATAATTATTATCTTTTGATTAAATATTTGAAATTAACATTATTTATACAAAATAATTCATTTTAGATTTTGTTTTATAAATTTATTTATTAATTTTTATTCTTAAAATGTTTTATAACTTATTTCAAAAATAGTGATAGAAATATTCAATGGGAATAAGCTAGAATTTTTGTGAAAAGTCTCCAAAAAATTAAAAGATTGGTTTATCAATCTATTTCTTTTTGCTAAGAATAAAGTGAATATTGATTATATTAAATATGATAATTTAAACATATTTAAAAACATAAATTAAAGTGAATAAGCTATAAATATTTTTTATTTATATTTAAATTTATTTTTGTAATAAAAATACACATTTTCTTTTGGGTACAAATTTAAAATTAATACTTTAGTAAAAAAATTATTTTTTATAGAATTAATATTCATTAAATTTATTAAATCTCTGGTCTTTAATCCCTCATAATTCAGAAACCGTGGTACATACTGCTCTTTCATAAGCTATTTATATTAGGTTTTTTCTTTATTTCTACAAACTTTAAAATCAGTAAGTAATATTTCTATTTTCATCAACAAAATCAATAATTTTTTAATCTATTTTATTTTCAAATTTGGTAAATATTTAATGGGAATAATCTCTTTACAATAAATATAGAAAATTTTACTTAGTTATTTATGTAGAAATTAAAAACAAAAATTTTAAAGTTTTAGCATAAAAATGTATTACTATCATGAAATACTATTTTCATAAAAACAATCATTCATTAAACAAATAATAAAATATGAAAATGAAATTAAAATTTGAATATGTAATTATTATTTTAATTTATAAATTAATATTTTGAATTCTGCTTAAAATCTAATATTTATTAATATAGTTTTCATTTTTAAAATTATATTAACAATAGAGATGTAAGTATTTATTAAATAACTAAACATAATTTGCTTGGTGATTAAATAAATGCTGTTTTTTATTTAAAAATTTTGTTTTATGCTTTGAAATCATTATTCAGTTAGCCATGTAATTATTCTTATTTTCCAAATACTGTATTCTTTACTCTTAATTAATTATGTGTTATACAACTGATGGAAATAATCGAATTATATCATTTATATTTTAAACTTATTCTAATTGTTGCCAATTATAATTTTGCTAATAGGCATAGCTGGGCTATTATTAAACTGGCCTATCTATATTGAAGCTATTATCATAATTATGCATCTAATTATTATTTTAATATTCAAAATTAGTTGCTGTTGAAATGGTTTCGGAACTTTTCTAATCTTCTATATGTTCATTACTTTTTTCTCCTGCATTTATATCACTAATTTCCATTGTTTTATGTCTTTTTGGAGCCTATTATTATACTAAATTTATTGTAATCTCATTTTAGATTGATGCTTAATTTTATTTTTGGGAATAAAATGCTAATAATCTGTCTCTTTCCTTCTAAACAGATGCCATTATGAGGTAATTTTAAAATGAATCTATGTATTTATCTATTTATATCTAAATATTTTAATAAAATTACTTATTTTTAATACTTTGTTTATATATTACTTCAATTTAATTAAGCATTAATAAATAATTAAATATAGGAATATCTAATGAATGCTTTATTTATATAAAAATTATTACTATGGAAACACAAAAAAAGAAAAGTAGGCTAAATACATATAATAAAGTAAGGTTTTTAGGTTATACTAAAATATTTATTTTTACAAAAATAAATTTACAATTTATATTTATTTATTTATGTATGTATGTGATTAGAAAATTTTATTGAATAATTAATTCAATCACTCACTCACTCAGTCATTAACTTTTTAATTGAGTTATTGGTTATATATTTACTTTATTAAATGTCTCTATAATTAAATCTTTGATTTTTTTTAATTTGCTAATTTATGTTAATTCTGAAAATAAATCATTTTATTATTAAAGGGTTAACTCATTGAATTACCCATTCATCGCTAATATATTTTCCAGCCATCTATTTTAATAAAATATCATAATTAATTAATTTATTAATTGAGTAATTCTAATTAAAAAAATAAATATTTGTTTTACTTTTAATATAATTATAAATACATTTTTTCTAAAATATCCTGTAAAATTCTTTAAAAAGTTAAGAAATTAACATAAATCAAAATTGCTTATTTTTAAGCTAATTTAAAAGGTTATTTTTAATAGGATCATTTATAGAAAGTGATTATAAAAAAATAAATTAGAAATAAAATATTAAACTGCTTACTCTAATGTTGAGCAGGAATCTTTACTCTGCCTCAATAGAAGGATCTAAATTGATAAAATCCTCAACGATTTAAAGTTCTGTAAAGAGATTATTTATGTTACACATCAGAATGATATAAATGAGGATAGGTAATTCGTCATCCATACTTGCTAGTTCTTCTCTGCCTTTATGGAAATCTATGACACCGGCTCTCATCATTGAACGCATCATCATTGTGCATTTGAGTTTTTCTCTAGGAGAAGAAACATATTAAATTTTTTCTAGCTCTCTAATTGCATCATTGTAAGGACGAATTTCTTTATTATTTTTGAACTCTTCATCAAATGTTTCTTCATTTTAAATAAGCCAATATCTAGGCTTTGATTCCAAGAATTTAAAGATTTAAATAATGGTCATTTTTTCTTAAATTTCTTTTTATTTCTTTTCAAATGCTAGATCAAGATTATTATATTTAAATTTATACATGCTCTAAAGGTTTTGACTCAATTTACCAAAAACATATTTTTCAACTGAAATTTTGCAATAAGGCATGACAGACTTAGTTTCACTTTTTCCATAATTGTAATCACTAAATAAATTATCAACAATCTCATTTACTAAAGCTATAATTCCTTCCATCTATTAATTTATTTATTTTGCAAAAAAAAATTTAAAGCTAATTCATAATTTTTTAAAAATGAAAATAATTTTAAGTAAATTTGAATTGATACTTTTTTATAATAATTAAATTTCAATTCATTTATGTATTAAAATTTTTATATGTTAAGAGTCTTAAATTTACTATTTCAGCTAATAATTAACATGTAATTTTTCATCCAGCAAGTAGTTTTTATAGCTAAAAATAGAAGATTATCTCTTATCAATAAAAACAAATAGCTTTTTAAAATTAATTTCAAGATAATATTCTTTACAGGCTTTGGAAGGAGTTACGCGGATTCTTCTACATTTCTGTAGTTGTTTTAGAAATCCTTAATGAATTCGCTTACTTTTTTACCAACTCCGTATGCTTGTGCACACAGTATTTTCTAAAACATATAATTTGCAGTAGATTCAAGAGTGAAGGGGTTGCTGCTTGCTTCATTATCTTCGTCTCTTTTTTGCATAAAATATTTTTATTTTTTAAATTCTTTCTTTCTAAATTTACTTACTGGTTTTAAATCTCATCTTCCTCACTTTGCTTTGACTAATTGAATGTTTTATCGCCTTAATTTAATTCCTGTTCATCCTAATCGAAAGAACCCTTTCTTTGTAATTTAAGCATATTTTCAAAATCTACTAAAAATTTTTAGTTTTCATCGACGTTCTATTTTATTTAAAAGAAATTGACTAAATTTTATATTTTGTAGACTGTTTCCTATTTTATATTCTGAATAATATTTTATTTTACTCCTCTAAGACCTTTGATGGATATTTTGCGCTTGCACTGGAGTTTATTTGTAATTATTTATAGCTTGATGGCAGATATGCTTTTGTCTAAAGTCTAAGGGAATAAGCACTACAATAAGAGATCTTTAAACTTAACATTATTCCTTTTTATAACTAATACTTATCCTTTATCATTCTCAACAGTTATGTAGTTCCTATTAAAAATATCGATACATTAAATAGCGCATTTTAAACTATTTCTAATCAAATTAGCAAAAATTAAACACTTTTCATTCAATCATGAAATGTGCGAGAAGTTAAATTTTTACTTCTCTTTGGCTACTTTCAAAAATGTTTCAGTAATTTAATTGACTGTCATGGCTAAAGAAACATTTATTGAATAAAATGGCTGAATTTCTCCGTTCTCTGCTAAAGCTTAGCTTTACTCTACAGATATATTTTCATAATACATTTTCATCATCTTAACTTATACAATTTTTTTAATAAATTAAATAAATAAATAATTAATTAATTAATAATACCAAATACAAACAAAGATAAATCAACAACCAATTTTTGAGCAAGTTAAAAGCAACTTTCCTTGAATGATGCTTGTCTAGTCTATTCTAGGAGCTGAGCTCAATCAATAATTAACAATTTACTTATTTATACAATTAGTTTACAAGTCTAGTAATTATACACACAATATTTTTTATCTTTTCTATTAAAACTCTATTTTAACATAGAAGAAGAAGGCATAAAAATTTGATTTAAAATTTTTAAATTATTTAAAGTAAGCCACAATTTAATTCTATCCTTAAAAATAAATAAAATCAATATTTTAATTTCACTAAAAAATAAACTGATTACTTTGAAATGATTTGTAACAAACAAACAAACGATCTTTTTCAAATTTAAAAATAAAAAACCTATCGAAATTTAAACCATAATTTTTATTAAATATAAAAAAATATATATAATTTCAACCATTTTAGAGACTAAATATAAAAAAATAAATCACAATTTTCTTGTTGAATAAAATAAATAAAATTTTTATTTATCTTTTAAATTAAGCAGTAATATAAATTTTATTTTCTTATTTAAATATTGTGAATTTATTTTGAACTTTAAATAACAACTAATAAATAATGAATAATTCATATTCATTTTATTTCTGTTCAGATATAGTAAATTAGATTATTCTATTAAGCTCTAGGTTTTAAAATTCTTAACACATATACTTTTAATTAAGTTATTGATAATCTTGTTATTTAAAAAATATTTTTATTATTTTTGTGTTTATTTTAAATTTTATAAGATTAGTAATTGATTATCATGATTTAATTAATAACACTATTAACATTTTATTTTAGTTATTTATTAGGATAAATTAATTGATATTTGTTAATTTTATAGTGAAATTAAACTATTAAAGGATATATATAAATAATTTGAGTAGAAAATAATATTTATAAAAATGATGTTTATTTCTTCGCATATTAATTAGATATTTTTATGTTAATTTTTGATTATTGAGGTTTCTTTAATAAATTTAAATATGTAAATATATTAAAGTAAAAATAAAACTTGCCTGTGTTTTATATATTAATAATTTATCTAAACAGATATTTATGTGAGAACATTCTATTTTAAATATTTTAATTTATCCAAATAGATACAAAAATTATTTATTTGGAGTAATTGTAATACAATTTTCATAGAATAGTAAATCTCCTTGGTTTAATTTACTTACTTTTTTAAGTTTGTAGAATAAAAGGTATTAAAAAATAATTTGCTAATTTAGGAAATATTTTAATATTTTTATAAAATCATTACATTAACTTAATATATTTTCATAGATGCAACATACTTTATATAATTTTTTTTTACATTTAATTGAATCTATCTGTGGATAGAAGTTTATATGATAGATAATAATTAAATCAAAGATATTTAAATAAAAAGGATTACTGCTTATCAAATCTTTGATTAGGAAATATTATTTTTGAGGAAATTTACTCACATTATAAATAACAATCCAAGAGATTTCATTTATTATCTTTACTCAAATAAAAAATAGAAGAAATTTTATTAGGTTTAACAATAAAATTAATTTTTTTTGTAAATAAATAAAATAAATGCTCAAATGAATGATAAAAAAATGGATATTTAATTCATAAATATTGTGCTTATATCATTTTTTGTTTGTATGATATTTATATGTATATTTTTTAATATTAACATTATGTAATAAAAAATGTGTAGCTTTTAAATTTAATATTTTTTAAGATTTAATAGGATTTTTATAATAAATAAATAAATAAATTACTTTACTTTTAATTCATTCAATAATAATAATAATAATAATTATAATAATAATAGACACCTTATCTAAGAATATTAAATGAAATTAATTATTAGCAGAAAAATGTTTATGACAAATTTAAGAGCGTTTTTATTATTAATATATTTATTTTTTAATTGAAATGGTAGTATTATAAATTTTATTGAATCTAAATCTGCTTTTTTTCAAATTAATTTTTAAGATTAGAAAGCAAAAAACTTTTGTTGGCAAAAGAGTTATTTAAATAATTTTAAAGATTCAAAAAAATCTATTAACTAATATTTATAGCTTATCAAAATAATTATAATTTAGTGAAATAATATAAACTTAATTGATTAAAGATCATTTAATTTTATTCACCAATGGTAAGGATCTCAATATCAAAGTTTATTCTTAATGAAATTAATTATTTTTAATAGAAATAAAGAGAACTTACCAAAAAATATATTGAAATATACAACCTAATCAAATCAATCAAGAATTGACAGGTTAAAGAATGCAAATGCATGAATGAACCAAGGACTTAAGTATGGTAAAAAAGTTATAAACACAATCAGATAAATAAAAGAAAAAAAATGTACAATTTACATAAGTTAAGTATATAAAAAATATGATTTAATATTGAAGAAAGAGGTAAAAAATATACAAGGAAGGATATTTATGAAATAAAAAATATTTAAATTTGTAATGGGGTAAGGTAATTAATTAATTTGTAAGTAATTAAATTATATAGTATTTCAATAGAGATCTTATATTTTTAGTTTTTCTTTTTGGAGTTTGAAAGCTTGAAGGAGTACATTATAAATTGTTTGGTAGTTTTTTGAGAATACTTTTGGCTTTTAACTTCTCTCAATTTCTTAATAGGAGGCTAATGAGTATACGATCATTTAAAAGTTAGCAATTATGAATTTGGAAGCTTGTAAAGTGACAGCAAATATAATTATGATAAATAAGAATGTGAAATACCATTTAGAGTAATTTAATTCAGATATAATAGCCACTCCGACAGCAAAGCCTGATGTAAAGCAAAATAATTAATTAATATTAGTAATCTCATTTATTCCCCATAAGGCATAAAAAAAAATATAACTCTATACTTATACAATTTTATTCGTGAAATTTAAGCTTTAACAATAATCTTTGGCATCATATGCGAGTCTAACTAAGCAAAGTTGGATTTTTACCTAGATTGTATACTTTCTAATATTTTATATGTATGGTGTTATGAAGAATATCACTGTTGTGCAAACTAATATCAAGTAAACTATGAAGTATGCTAAATTAAATAGCTGATTTATTAAGTTTCCATAGCAGATAGATCCAATTTTTGAAAAAGCTACTTTCAGCATTTCTTAAATAGTTTCTGAATCTTGCTACATTTTAATTTGATTGTGTGGAGATTTTTATTGGCTATTTTAAATCATCTTTCTTGACGATTCATTTTTTTCTAAATCTATGAAATCATTTTATTTGGTAGTAATGTTTTCTTATTGGCATGCTTGTATTTCTGTCGCTTTTTTAAAAGTGGAAATTGTGTTTTATTAATTTTGGTTTTTATCATTATTATTAATTTCTGTTTATAGCGGAGATGGAGATGATACCATCTTTTATTGGTAATCAGATTAAACATTTGGCATTGATTATTATTAATACCATTAAGAACATTTTCTTGAAATGGTGAAATCGTAAATACTGGTGGTAGTATCAATGACCCAACTAGAAATATAAGTGAAAATAATAGCAAAAAAAATGTAGGCTCCTTAGTGATCTACACTGTTAGACAGACTAAAAAGGATATTTATAAAACAAAATACTGAATAAATCATTTCAATCAAGATTAACAAGCTAAATAGAGTGAGCAAAACTATATATTTTTTTTCAATTATTTTAAATAAAAAGCATAATTCGCTTATTTTCGCAGATGAGTTTAGATTTTCTGCCACACTGAGTGACAAAAGGCTTATAAAAACAAAAAATATTATTGCAAGAACACCTACTGCTGTATAGCCTTTATAGAATGCAAAAATAGCTAGCCCTATGATAATCAAAACAGAAAAAATTATGCAAAAAAGGAGGGTCCTGTAAGAGTTTTTAAACAGAAGATATTAAATTATGGCGCCTAAAACAAAGACAATAATTGCTGATAGAAATACACAGTACAAGCCTGATGAAATAGAGTCCTTCTTTAAATCATTAATTTATTCTATTTTTTCAAACGAATCTGTAGATAGGAATGAGAATATTCCTAATCCAATCCAAGCTAAAAAGGTCAATACAAAGACTAAACCAACACTTTAGTCATAAACCTAACTGATATTATTTTAATCAGCTGAATCAAGTTATGTTGTATTGATTTATTGCTAACACATTTATTCAGTCTTTTGATTTATTTTTTAATCAGTTTACTAGATATCCAAAAAGCATTACATGTGAACTGTTTTTATTGTTGCACTTGTAGTATTATCTGCTACAGCAATATTCAATTTTAGATTTTTATTATTTCCATCTAACTGAGATACGCCAGCTTAATTTATATTAGTAAAGGATTTTTATTGTTTTGATCTTATAGTTTCGTCATTAGATTTTTTGATTTGTGTTTATCCTCTGCGCTTCGGTGGTGGCACATTCTGAAATTTGTTCATCTTTTTAGAAAATTTTTTTATTTTATTATTATTTTTTGTTATTTATTATTAATCAAATCGTGCATAAGATAGTTTATCAGTAAGTAAATATTATCAATAATATATTATTAAAATAATATGTGTTTGATAGTAGATTAAAATTAACTAATAGGAAATCTTTAAATTTCTTGGAATGTAAATTAAAAAAAATTAGATGTTTGTTTTCTGAAATTAAATTAATAACTTTTAAATAAATTCAGGATATTTTTCAAGTTAATTTAAATCCATAACTTGTGCGTATTAATAATTGCAATAGCCACAACTAATTAAATTAAAATTACAAGATACTTTTTAAATATTCATATTTTTAAACCTCATGAAAGTGTATTTGATTTCTTTTTTTCAGAGACTAATTAGAAAGAGATATTTTGTAAAATTAAACCACCGATTCTAAAAAAAAAATTTATTTCTTTGCTAAGTAATTGAATTTATTGTGTATTCTTTCTTACAAATTTCATTACAGAATAAAAATCTAGGATTATATTTATGAGATACTTTAGAAAATGTCAAAAAATACAGATTTTAAAATAGTTTTTACAAATAATTTAAATCAACAACAACAAAATTGAATTAATTTATTTAATATTTTCAATATAATTCCTCTATTAGCTTGTCTTCTTCATTTTCTTTCATCAATTTTTTGGCGTTCTTGAGCAATAAATAAATGTTTTAGAACTTATCTGATTTTTGCTACAAAATTTTATCAAAAGCCATCAAATCAAAATATGTAGAGACAGAGAAAAGTACAGTCGATATACCTGCTACAGATAATTTAGAGGCATTTTTGACAACACAGAAAAGTAGTAAGATGTAAGTGAAAGTGAAAAACCAATAATCATAGTTTATTGTAACAATTAAAACTATTCCCACTACGAATCCAAGAATAAAACAAAAGAATTCGATTATTTAAGAAATTTAATTTGAAAGATACATTGCTAGAGCATAGTAATAATTTCTTTTTACGATTTAATTTCCAATTAATTTTAAAGAATCACAGTAGCCTACGTCATCATGAGCCATTCTGACAATCGAAATGTAGCTATTTATCTTAATTAGAGCTTCATTGAAGTAGTTAAGAGTGCTCGAATAGAAGAGAACTAAGCCAGTTCCATAAATTAAAACAAATATCACAAAAGCTATGCACTCTACTATTTAGCTTATCAAACTGCAGAGAGCCAAAGTACCAGTTTATTTCAGACCAATTATGATTGATACCTTTAAAGGCTCTCCTAAGCAATCAGCATCAACTTAAGGTTGCATAGGAATTTCATAGTCTTAATGTATGTTAGAATTTATATAGTTTTTTTATTCGTATTATGCATTAGTCAGCTATTCTGCATTTGCATTTTATTGCAAAATTTAAGAAACAATTAAAGTATTTCCTTTTTTATTATTATTTGGATGGACGAGCTAATTAATTTCTTGATTAGAATTAGCGCTATTCAAAGAATTCTGCTTTTCGCCAATTAATTCTTAATTCTTAATTTCAGCTAGAGTTCCTCTGTTTGTTTTGCTTGCGTTCAAAACAGTTTTTTATTAAAGATTCTCTCTCTCCTGAGCTGATTTATTGAAGAACACTTTTGAAACTTAGCGGGAGATAACAAATGTATAAAACGATATAATTGTGTTGTTAATCCAGTATGTGAGAAAGACATATATTGCAGCAAAAAAATTGATTGCATTCTACTTTGAATTGGTATCATCACTTATAAACAAAATGTGAGTGACCACAATCATTGAAAATGTTACTGATAATAAGAGGATAAATATTATTATGAGAACAAAGTAGACGTATTTTGCTTACAAAAGATTGAAATAAGTAGACATTTCTCCAACTTAGGATAGAATCTCAATCCTTGAATAATATATGAAACCGACGATAGCTATTAAAAAAGCAGCAATTGCAGCAGCAATACCTAAACTAGTTAAATGCTTACCAAATGAGTAACCTACCAAAGCAAATAAAATAAGTATTGACAAGATTACAAATATTTTTAGACTTACTTAGAAATTCTTAGAGATTAAGGGTTTTATTAATAAGCCTACTACAAAAGTTATGCAGAATGCAATAATCACAGAAAAAAATCCCTAAACAATAACTTTCTCATTTTCATCATATTTCATTTGAATTTCCTAAAATGGGTTACTCACTTTTATGGCAAACAAACCTAAGCCAATGTAGGCACCTACCGCAATTATAAAAACAGCTATCATGTATTTATCATTATAATAAAGTTAATCTTAGATTGTATTGCTAGCAGTGCTGATCCTACTTTCTGGATAAACAGTTTTTGATTATTAATTCAGATTAGCATTTGTTTCAAGTGCGCCTTTCTAATATTAAGGAGTATTGGTTGAATTAAATTAAGTAGGTCTCTCACTATTCAACATTTATTACTGATCTTTAGTATAATTGTTGGGTTATCTCTTCCTCTAAGTGTCCATCTAAATATTTTATTATTACTAATCAGTTTAGTTTATATGAGTTTAACTGTCTCTAGGCTAATTATTCTACTCTACATCACTCAGTACATTTTAATACTAACTCATATGAGCTGAATTCTAATTTTCAGGCTGAACCTGTGCTCTATTCCTTTTCATTTCTTACTTTTATTTAACAATGCTATTCTATTATTTAAACTTTGACAGAAACTTTCTATAAATTATTATAAAAAAAATAGCTTTTACTAGTCAACCGATTAATTATATTAAGTTAGAAAAAGTGGATAGATTATCTTTCAAATAGTTATCTTTATTCATCTCAAAAATGTAAATTAATTAATTCATATTTTGCTACTCATTATCAAGAAAGCTATATTTGGACCATTCATAGTATTAATAATTAGAAAAGTAAAAAATCTTTTTTCTTTTTGTAATAATTAAGCTTTTTCATTTACCAAAAAGTAATACATGAATGAATCATTTTTTTAGAATATCCAAAAATTTTTTTTACCATTAAACATTTTTCATTTTATATACCAAATATTATTTGCTTTGACAATATAGAATAATTAGTTTTTGAAATGCTAGTACTATATAGTTTAATTTTTATCAATTTAGTCGTAAGTAGTTATAAAATAATAGGAATTACAAATAAATTGGTATTTTTATACTTTAATTTATTTTCTTTGCGTTCATTTAAATCACAATTATTTATTAAATATCAGATATATTTTGTTAAGTCATTTTATTATTATTTTTGGAGATTTTTTTACACTTAATTAAAATTACATCATTTTATTAATAAAAGTGCCTTAAATATTCTTTGAAACGTAAACAATTTTTAGATATTTATAAAAAATACATAAAAAAAAAAAAAATAACATTAATTGCCTACTACTCTGAGTAGGGAGTCATCCTTCAATCTAATAAAAAGTATAAAATTGTTAGCTTGTTCAAAACGAAATCTAACAATTTTTAAAAGTATTAAACTTATATTGTGAGAAAACCCACCTATAATTATTATTTCATTCATGTGCTTAAATTATTTTCAAATTAGTTTTTTTAGTAGTATTAATTTCTAAATAAGAAATATTTGAAGGAAAACAATCAGAATAAATATCAAACAGTAAATAAGAAAGAATATTTAGTTTTATTTTTACAATTAAATAAAATTTAGTTAAAACAAACAATACAACATTAATTAGTTTTAAAAATCTGATATAAATAATAAAATATTTTTGATCATAAAATGAATTATTGTTAATAGTAATATAAATTTTGGTTAGATTCAAAAACTAATTTGTACCATGAATGAATTATTTTGTTATGAATTATTACTAATAATAATTGCAATTATTTAATTACTGGTTTACTATTCATATACTTTTTATCAATCAATCATTCCAATTAATTATGAGTTACTAATATTTACTTTGGAAATGCTATTTATATTAAATTAAGAGTTACAATTAATTAAATATGAACTTTAGCAATCAGTTCATGCTTTAATTTTACAAAGTACTAATTTAAAACTCAGATTTTCCTAAATATTTTATTTTCAGATTCTCTGAATCATGTATCTCCTCCTAAAATTAAATAATTTTTTATAATACAGATTAATTAAAAGAGATAGCTGACAATAAATTCCACACAATTAATATTGCAGGCTTAAATCAATTTAAGATTTATTTTTTAAAGGAAATTAATAGTTTAAAATTTTGTTTGAGAATAAAAATAGCTATTTCTATTGATAAATAAAAGTAAATTTATAAATGAGGAATACCTAGGAAGAAAACTGTTATCGCAAAAAATTATCTAAATTCATGAATAAACCAAAAATATTTTTAATATTTTTTATTTTTATCCCCTTTCCAATGCCAAAAATGAATGAACAATATATCAATTGATAGATCCCTTTTCTTAAGATACAATTGAGTTAATATATTACTAAATAAATGATATATTTTAGATTTTATTAAAACTTTAGTAACTCCTATTTTCTTCCATGAAAGTGCACAAATATATTTAATAATGCTTATAATCATTAATATTTTTTATTCTTTCTATCATTTCTAAAAAAATATTTATTTTTTTTTATATATTTGCTGATGATTGAAATTAAAAGAGTTCTTTATCAATTGTTCAATTGTTTAGTTTTGATAATTAATGTATAAAATAGTACTTTGAAAGTGTTAGTGAACACTGATGTTAATTTGACTAATTAACAAACTATTTCATTTTTAGTATTTATTAAATTGTATTTATAAGAAAATCTGATTAACCCTAACAAGTGCTAGGTAGGTGAATTTGTAACTTTTTTAATTAAATTTACTTGATAAAATCTGAAATGTTTGACATACAAATATTAATAAACAAAAATTTTGTTTTTTTTGATTCTGATTAAAAATTCATGTAGAATAGACATAAAATTGCTTTTAAAAACTAGCTTCAGCCATTTTATAAAATGAATTAAATAATTCAAAATAAAAAAATAAATAAAAATAAATTTTAAAAATGGACTAAAATAAATACTCCCAAATTTCAGCATAAGCAATCTAAAACGTTTAACATTTAATATTAGACTAATCAGAATGGAATATCTTAAAATAAGGAAACTATTTGAAAATATTTTGCTAAAAGTATAAGAACACAGAAGCTTATTCATTCAAAATAACAGGAGAAATTTCTGCTGATTTCATGCTGGCTTAGAAATTCTATTTTGAAAATAATGAAGATATGGCCAAAAACAGAGATAATTGCATTGGAATAGATCTAATTGAAGCTGTAGACAAAGATAATGTAGTCTGCTTAATCAAAATGAGTTTTTCTACAAATAATATGACTTAAAGGGAGTTTTTAGTTGTAAGAAATAGAAGTTTTTTATCAAATAATGAAATTTTGATTGTTAATGGAATACTAAATGAGCATTCAAAAGCTCCTATAAATAATAATTCCTAAAGAGAATAAATGGCAATAAATGCTTAAATTATCAAAAAAATTAGCTTGGATAGTTGTAATTTAGAGATTTATTTCTTAAGAGACTTTTCTAAAGCTGTACCAATGGAATAGCTTCCATTAATAGCTGAAGCATTTTTATAAATTTTTGAAAAAGATGTAGAAAAAATCCTTTCTTAAAAATGAAAAAAAAAAACTAAGAAAATATTTTAAAGATATAAAATCAAAATAAAATAAATAAATTAAATATATTCTATCTGTTATGTATTTAGTTGATTTCTTAATATCTTTTTCTTTTTTTGAAATGAATATATTTATTTTTTAATAGAATTTATATAAAATTAAAAACTGTTTAAAGCCATTTTTATAAATAAAATAAAATAAGAACTTTGATTTTTGCTTGACTAAATCATTTAAAAAAATAAATATATTAAAATTTATTTCTAATGTAAAATATTATAATTAATATGTAAATGACTTTTTAAAAATATAAAAAATTCTATTAAAAACTTTATATTTAATGAAGAATTTATTTGTATTTATTTAAATTTATTCTTTAAACATACATAGCAATAAAATAATATAAAACTTTCTCAGAAAAAACGAAATAGCTTTTAAAAAAATTCTGATTTATTTTAATTATTTTAGTTTTTTAATCAATAACTTTAGTATTTTGTTATTTAATCAAAAAATATATTATTGTTGAAAGATAATTAGTAAATTAAATAGAACTTATTTCTTTAAACAATATAAATCTGCAAAATTTTTGATAAAAATGATAGTTAAAAAAAGAAAATATTTCCATACTTTTATAAAATTGATTATTTTTTCATATGACCATCTTTTAATATGTTTGTAGGGGAGAAAAGAATTAATTTTCTTTGTGAAAAAATAAATCATTTTTTCCAGTTATTACAAACTCCGCTGATTACATATATCTAATCAGTAGAATTTAATACCTAGGATAGCTATATATTAAAATTGTGGAAGGAATGGTGATTTGAAAAATATATTAAATTTTTATTTATTTATATTATATTTTAAAAATATACTTCATATTTCATTTATATTTTGTTTGAATTCTGATGAAAATGACAAAATAAATTTTGTAATTAAAAATATTTGATTGATAAATTCTGTATAATTCTTGATAAAAAAATAAGTAAATTAAATAAGTATTAATTATTTCTGGTTAACACTTACTCATTTTATTTTTCTATTTCTAGTTTTTGTCAAATTCAATAATGATACGTAAAAAAAATATAAATAATTATTAATAAAAATAAACATATTATTATTAATCAATAAAAAAATGAATTGCTAAGAAAGTTATACTGAAATTATCAATCAAACTATTTAAACCAGTTAAAAAATTATTGGTGATAAAAATGATTGGGATTTACTTAAAAAAGGAGCATTTTTAAGTATTTTTGCTAAAAAGTATGATGACACTTAAGCCTACATTTTCAAAATACAGGGAGAAATTCCTTCTAATATAGATTAAATTACTAAATTCTATTTTGAAAATAATCAGGATATGGCTAAAAATCGTTAGTCATGCATAGGTGTAGAAGTTTTAGAGAATTTAGACTAAAATACTCAGATCTCTGTGATAAAGGCTATATCAGTGAGTACTAATAAACCTGTAGAATTTTTAACTATTAGAAATAGAGTGTTTAATTCAAACTAAATTTTGATAGTGAATAGTAAATTAGATAATCATCCCAAGCTTTAAAAAAATGATCAAGTTTTGAGAAGCGAAATGGCTGTTAATTTTTAACTGCTTAAATAAAAAAATTAAGATAACACTTATTTAGAAATGTATTGCCTTCGTGATCCAAAAGTTAAAGTTGAAGAAGAGCATTTACCCAAAATAGCGGAAATATTACTTAAAATATATGAAAAGGATGTTTAGGTTATTTTATAAAATAAATGAAATGATATTAAGCTGTATTAAAAATAAAATAATCTATATTTATTTTATTTTTCAAATTATTTTTATATCAAAGCTGACTTTTGATAAGCCTTTTAAATAAATTTAGTGTCATATATATTTATTTAATCAAATTTTTTCTGTGATCCAACAATTAATAATCATAATAAGAAACATTTTCTATAAAAAATTTTTGATTACCAACAGAAATACTAAACAAAAGAATATTAAAAGGTTAACCAAAAAAGCAGAGCCTTTAATTAAAATTTTTAACACACATTTTTATATAAATTGAGATATTCTTAAGATTAATTGAATATTATTTAAAAATATTAATCTTAAAACTCTTTTTCTCAACTAATTTTTTTTAATTTTAAGCATTCTCACTAATTATAAATAACGCATATTTTCTTTAATTAGGGCTGATAATTATTTTTAAAAATTTAAGTAATTAATGAACCTAACCTACTCTATTTCAAGGTCTGATTATAAATAATAGCATATAAAAAATTATAAAATACATTGATAATAAAAATAATTTTGTTTATCTGTTTATTTTTTAGATTAAAGTTTTTTAAGAAATTCAATTTATATTATTTTAGATTATAATAAATTAATAAATTTAGTAGGACTTAATTAACAATTTCTTGTTTAAATTAATTAGCAAACAAACTTTAGTAACTTATTCAAGTTTTAATCCTCATATAACATAAGACTTTGAGTATTTATAACACTTTAGATTATCATTTATATTTCAAAGTAATCTGTCTTCAAAAAATAATTTTATTTTACATAAAATATCAAAGTAACACTCATGATGACTTAAATAAATGATCTAAATATTTCAAGCTTAGCAAAAAAAATGACTTTCTTTACAAATAATTTGCGACTTTAAATTTAAGAGACAAAAATACGTTAATTTATAATTTACTAACTTAATTTTTATGGTGTAAATTAAGTTTTTGTAAATTTATTTTAATTTTAGTAATAATCTAAAAAAATAAATATCCATCTAATAATTGCATAAATTACTTTAGACAGTAATAAATAAATAAATATAAACTAATTGATTGTTTTTTTTGTTGAAATTATTTTATTTAATAGAAGTAAAAAGAACTTTATTTAAATATTTGATTTTATGAATAAAACGAATTAAAAGATTAATAGATAAATGTAATCTTACTGATATCATTTTTTTTACAATACCAAATTGATATCAAAAAGAATCAAAAAAAATTTTTGAATAAGATTACTCATCCAATTTAATTAGATTCAAGCGTTTATTAAATTTATTAAAAGATTTAAAGATATCAATCTTAATGTTTAAAGATAAATATTAATACATGAGAGATATATTGTAGTAAACTTTAGTTTTTTAATAACATAGGAAAGTATTACAGTTTTAAGTGAATAATGCTAAATTAACCTTTTAAATAAATAATTTAATTTTTAAATGGATTTTAGAATTCTAATATTTCTGAAAAATTTAATCAAATCTTTAAAAAATAAATTAGCTTTTCTATGAGGGAAAAGAGTTTTTAAGTCTAAATTATTTATTATTGTCTTTAAGCTAATCAATAAAAAATAATTTAATTAATTTTAGGATAATGGGTAAATAAATGAATATAATTTATTAATTAGATTAGACTTCTAATTATAGACATTTATTTGATAGGGTGATTTTATCATGTATTAAATATGTTTTTCTTTGAAATACACTATAAAACCTTGAATATACACTGAAACTTTGAATTTTGTATTTGAGTAACTTATCAAATATATTTTGCTTATTAACAAATAAAGATGACAAAAATGCTTGCACAAAATACTCAGGGTTTATATTATATATTTTATGGATTTAAGATATATCTTTAGCTTAGTTGAATTTGTTTGAATGATTATTGAATTATTTTTTGAGTTAAAAATTTACATATTTACGAATTTTAGTAAGCTTATCTCTAATTATCAGAAACAATTAAATATCATAAATTTCTTTTTCTTTATCTAATAAAATATTAATTAAATTATTGCATTTGAGAGAGAATCTTGTAAAATTGATAGTAGTCTCAAAAGAGATAAATTCTAATAAATAAATAAGATAATGATGGAAAAACACGCATAAATTATGAATATAAATGAGAAAAGCAGTTAACAAAAAAACAAAAAAAGAATCTAAAAAGTAAATAAAAATCAGAAAAAAGTTTTAACAAAGAAAGTGCCAAACTATTCATATATTATCATTTAAGAGATTCCTGATTTGTTATAATTCCACTTATTTGGAGATTTCTACATTGACTTGAATCAGCTCAGAAATTTAGATAGAATCTAAGTGATTCAACCAGTAAGCTTTTTCAAAAAGACAATATCAGTTGTAGATAATAAAAAGATGAATATGGTTGAGGTGACGATGAGTTCTGGAGTTTCGGGAATGAAGGAATTTAGGTTTGTAATAGATATGATAAAAACTATGCAGAATAAAGATCTTGTATTCTTAATAGATCAGCTTGAGTATTATCAGGATTTAATTATATCAAATGGCCTTTTATAGTTAGACTCCTCAAATGAAAATAGCTTGATTGGTTCTAGTCAAAATTAGAGTTAATAGCAATAAATTCCTTTGTATAACAATATTAGAGAAGATTTAAGAAGTTAGTCAAGTTGGTCTTTTGCAAAGAGTTTAAATTTAGCTTACAAGTCAATAAATGAACTGAACGAGAAATGCAATAACTAAAATTCATTTTTTATGTATTGCATCTACAGAGGCTCGAAGTATGAGCAAAATCTTGAAATCTTAGGATATCCTAAAACTGTTTTGCATAATTTTCTGTGTCTCAATGATAATTAAATTAACTACATACTTATGAGAAGACCATTTATGACACCAAAAGTTTTACAAAATAAATATCTTGAAATGTTCTATTCTAAAACATAAGCCTTTAAGTATCAATTTTCAGACCATAAAAATCTTATATTTGCATAGAACTAGCACCCATTTAAATTTAAAGAAAACGACTTTTACGACTTATTAACTGTAGACAATATTTTAGTTTCTTTTGAGGTCGAATACCTTATGTAAAACTTAAGTGACTATAAAGATATGTGCAGCGATATGCTGTTTATTATTAAATATAAACCTGTAGGTAATTTTAAAGCTGAAGATATTATAAAAAGTCAAAGATTCTTTAGAAATAACATTGTTTAGAAAAGTGGAAACTCTTCAGAAGGTTAAGAAGAAGAATGTAATTTGAGCTCAGAATTTAATTTTTATGATATTATCTATAGAGCAAAATCTGAGCTATTTATAGAAAAATACTACAATTTAATAGACAGTGATTCATTCCATGATATAAATGATTTCCTCAACTGAACAAATGTCTATATAAAATACTTTCTAAACCTTTCAAAATAACTTATAAATAATTGCTAATTAGTTAATTAATCAATAAATCAATCTATCATTAAATCCTTCCTTAATTATTTATCAAACAAAATAAAATCAGTCAATTTATCAAAATCTAATTTTTTTGTTTGTTTATTTACAAAAGTAAATGTAAAGAATTTCATTCTAATGTTTAACTTTCGAAATTTATTAATTTAAGATTTATTATTTGCTTTAATACGCTTGCGGTAATACTGTCTTATTTACAACAAATTTTATAAACCTAACATTTTGATACTCACATATTTGCTTACATATTTTTTAATCAATAAATATAAATAAATTCATAAAGCAACATACAACATTTTTAGTTATTTTTTATTTGAATTTATAAATTAAAATGAAATAAAATATTTTTCTTATTTATTTTAAAAAATAAAAATAAAAGTCATTTAGAATTTCTTAAGTTGTTTATAATAAAAAAAATATGTGTTTAATGTTAAGAAGGCTAACAAATTCTAATTTATAATGAAATAGCCAGAAATATATTAAAAATATTTAATTTAAAAACATAATAAAATATTAAGTTTAATTTTAAAAAAAACTGTTTCATGAGCTGGTATTTTTTAAACCTGTATTATAAATGAAAAGATGCTTTTAAAAATGTATAAAAGATATTTAAAAGTGTTTACTATAGCTTAGATTATCTCTTAACTTTTATCTTTTTATATTCTTTTCAAGTTATTGCTGATAGTTATGCATTTATAAGTTAATATCTTTATATATAATAACAGATAACCAAAAAATATTAAGTAACACACTTTCTTATTGTTATCATCTACAATTATAGGTTATAAAAAAATAATTTATGAAATTATACCACGATTATAAATTAATAAAATATGAGTAGGTGTTGTTGTTAATTTTTGAAGATTTAAGGTATTATAATAATCAAAATCAAAATATATCAAATAAAAAAAACATTTCATTCTGATTTTTATAGAAATATAAAAAAATAGAGATAATCTAGTTACAACTTTAACGTTGATATAAATTATATTAAAATTTTTTATATTTTAGTCTTCCTTAAAAAAATCTATTAATAAATTTTTAAAAAGTGTACAAATTAATTCTAAGCAATCTTTGATATTTAAAACTGAACTTTTTTAAATACATGAAGAATAAAAAAACTATTATTCAAATATTATTTATTATTAAAATATAATTTTAATATGGAATAATCTCATTTCTAACTAAATTTCTTACTCTTAGTAAATTTAATTATACTCTATTATTATATTATGGCTCATTCTCCTCCTTTTTATAACCCAAATATTCTGCAATTTTATAGTATAATTATTTGCAGAATATTTTTAATTGTTATGTGAATTTAATAAGTATCATTAAAATCATGGTGAAATAGAAGATATATTGAATTGCTTCAGCAAAATAATAAAAGAAAAGTGATAATATTTTGCAAAATTATTAAGAATCGTATGAATATTCAGATGTGAAAGTTAATTCAAGTGACATACAAGAGATCTAATAGATGATAGAGATACTAATAGATAACTACTCTGTTTAGTTTAGATGACGCTACTAAAATGGTTTGTAAATTGATACAAGTAAAGCATAGATTGACAAAGTTGCACAGTAAATCAAACTACAAAACATAGGTTAAGTCTTTCCCAATGTAATTAAAACTGATAAAAAGGTATTCAATAAAATTTTAATGAATTCCCAATAGTAAAATTATCTTCTGTACTCATCATACATAAATCCAAAATATAAAGTGACTTTGCTTTACTCTAAATGATTTCTTTTTCTATATATATGAATAAAAATCAGCAAAGGTGGTAAAATAATGTACAGAATTATATTTAAGGCGCACATAATTTTCAAACTTATATTCAAATTATTTCCATTGCATTGAATGGTTCTATCAATCATTAGATATTAATTAGTTTTTAGCTAAATGCATTAAACGGAATCTATTGAGTATTTGATAATAGTAGACTAAAACATAAAAACTGTAGTGTATGTCATGCTTTATATAAGAATAAAAAACTTATTTTTATTCGTTTTGCAACTGATAAGAACTAAAATAAAAAGTAATGCAGCATTTAAGGCAATCGGACCTAAAAAGCATATTAAGATCTTTTCTAGTGCAAGACTCTAATGATTAAAATTGTAACCTTATAAAAAACAATCAATGGAAATAGCACCTCCTTCTTCACTTTTTAAAGGATTTAAGTATTTATAAATTATACTATTGTAAGAGTGATCATTTTCATCAAAATGAACAAAAGAGTAAGTTAAAAACTACATTTAAACATTAAAAAACAGGATTTTTACAAAGAAGGAAGCTTGCTCCTTCTAGAGAAAACTATTTCCAATGTATATTTTTTTGAAATAATAAGAAAGATATCTTCTATAAACATGATTTTTCATTCTTTCATAGTTGCTCAAAATTGTTATGAAAAAAAAAATAATGAAGAATGCCATTAATGTGAATATGATACGACTATTATTTTACATTGAGCTACACTTGATACATTAGAATTATCCTATTTAACCATATGGTTCATTCCAGTAAGATCCTTCAACGTCACAAGCAAGGCATTAATCACCAATATATCCTTCAGAGCACAATTAATTTCCATACCCTTTTCTATTTACCCCATTACAACTTTTTTTGTTTAGTGAGCATTGTTAAACGTTGTTTAGTTACTAATTATCAGCTCTCCAATAATTACTTTTCAGTTAAGTTATATTAGCGTAGCATTTATCATAAAAATTTTTGTCGCAAAGTTAGCAAGATTAACCAGCATCACTACTAAATTCATAAAATGGACAGTATTTGCACTATGTTTCTAAAGTTTTTTAGTTTATGGTCTTTTCCATACCAGCAAAACAAGAATTAATAAATTAAAAACAGGCTTTCCTCTCATTAGCTATCCCAGTAAAATATTAGAATTAAAAGAGAAACTTATTATTAATGGGAATTCCTATGCTTGAACAATTAAAATACTCTTAATACTGAGTGATTAAGTATGGATAGTTCAAGCCATCAACTTCATATGTAAGAAAATATTAATTGACTTCAGGTGATAGAAGATCAAAAAGGTTACCCAAATACTAGTCATTATCAAATTCATTAACATTAAACTATTAATTATCTTATTTATATTCTACTTTCAGTCTTATTAAATATAAAAAATCTTTTCTTAATTCACTTTTATAAGTAGTTTAATCTTTTTAGATGTATATTGGATTATTTATCATAAAAAGCTCTGTACCGACTAAATCTAAATGCAATTCATACATAGAATGCAACTCAAAAATATTGATGTTTTTAATAGGACTCTAGTCACTTGTCTATTAATTTGATTAAATATAGTCATCAGAAGAAATAGCTGCTTTGTTATTAATAAAATTAATTTTTGGGATATCTTAGTCATCTCTGAAAATTTTAAAAACGCCTCCAGCTATTTTGGCTTTGCAATTTTTAATGGTCGATACTTCGTTTATTATGATTTTTCTGACATATACAGCACCACCAAACATCTCACTTTTGCAAGAATCAAAAATAACATTACTTAATATGAGTGTATAATCTAAAAGATTAATGCAACCACCAGAAGTAATACTCCTCATATTTCTAAATGTGCTATCTTCAATTTTAACAATATCATATTGTTAATATTATTTCTGTTGAATAAATTTTATATTTTAGCCGCTAAAATCAGCATAGACTTTTTGGATAGTAAAATTTCCATTTTAAACTATTTGTATAAAATTAACTTATGCCTTTTAGCTAATTTGCTACTCGCCGCTACTTGGTTCTTAATCTGAATCTGAATTTTAATCAAACTACTAAAAATTATTAGAAGAATTTGATTAATTATTAAAGCGATAAAAATATTCTAATATCTAATTAGAATTAGTTGTTTTAGAGAAAGATTACACATTTCTTTCAAATTTAGAATTTGAAATGGTTGTCTAAGTGTTGTTCTAAAACAAATAAAAATATTCTTAACAGTTTAGAATTGTAAAAGTATCAACTTATTGATTATCTACATAAAATGATTAAAAATCTTTTGCGAAAGAAAAACCAGAATACAGTTTAGAATTTATTATTAACGATAAAAAAATCTCAAAATTTTATCCATCTGATAATTCGAAAATTAAATTTTAACTTTCTACATCAAAGAGATAGAGATTTTGTATAGTTATTTTTGTTAAGTCCATTAGATATAAAAAGCTTTAATTCGCTCTCAAATCAATGATGACATTTGAGAGAATAAATTATTTAAAAATAACAGTCTATTTATTAGTAATTACTAATTGTTAACTTATTTTTTCATTTAAAACAATGAAATCTATACCTTAGGATGGTATATCAGTTAATTAAAAGCAATTATTAGAGAATCTGTATCCCACATTCTGATCATCTAATATTTTTTTGATAACTTAGCCGCTGTCGCAAAAGCAAGAATCAATTAAAATAATTGCCAATAGAAAGCACAATTTTAGCACCATTATTACTTTTTAATTGTTTTGAGTTTTATTTGATTATATTTTTATATTAATACTTAAACCCAGGCAATTTATACTTAAAGAGGTATTGTAAAATTTAAATAAAATACCCTCTATTATTATTTTAAATTTTGATAAAAGAAAGATTATACAGAAAATAATAATATTTGTATAATTCTGTAAATAATGACGATCATTATAGACTGTTTTATTAATTCAATAGATTGTTTTGATTATAATATTTAAATTAATTCTCCTATAATTTTTAATGGATTAAATTAGTTACGTTAATTTTTTTTGAATTTTTTTAAAAACTAAATATCTTTAATCTAAATTTTTAATATCTATGAATGAATATATAGGAGAAAATAACCAATCAACTAACTAATGATTATTTAAATCTTTTTATCATTTTCTTTAAAAGAAAAATAAGTAAAATTATCAAACAAAAGCAAAGGTTATTAACATAATTTGAAGATTTAATTCATTTAAGTTTAGAAATAATGCATTATGATGACGATACTAGCTAACTTTAACTTCAAAAAAAAACTTGTAAGACATCAGATTAGGTATTAATTAATTTTTAAAAATTTGATTAATGTATGAAATACGAAAAAAAATTGATAGATATTCTAATTTTCTGTTTAAATAATCAATTAATTAAAGAATCGTTAACTAATTGGATAATTTGTTAAATATACTAATTGCTATTTAAATAAATATATATTTTTTATCTATCATATAGGAATTAATTTCATTTGAACTATATTTTTAAAACTGAATATTTTAGTTTTAAATTTTGAATATTTATTAAGAGAAATTATGTGATTAACTAATTAATAATTATTTTAAAAAACATTTAAGTTTAGAAATAATGCATTATGATGACGATACTAGCAAACTTTTACTTCAAAAATAAGCGTAAAAAAAACTTGTAAGATATCAGATTTGGTATTAATTTTTTAAAATTTGATTAATGTATGAAATACGAAAAACAATTGATAGATAGATATTCTAATTTTGTGTTTAAATAATCAATTAATTAAAGAATCGTTAACTAATTGAATAATTTGTTAATTATTCTAATTGCTATTTAAATAAATATATATTTTTAATCTATCAAAATACGAATTAATTTCATTTGAACTATCTATTTAAAACTGAATATTTTAGTTTTAAATTTTGAATATTTATTAAGAGAAATTATGCAATTAACTAATTTATAATTATTTTAAAAACTATTACAAATTTCCTTTAAAGAAAAAAAATAAAAGCAAAGACAGCTAACATAAAATAAAGAGAATATTTAAAAAAGTTTAACATCAAAAATCTGATTTAAATAAATTTTAAAACCTTTAAAAAATTTTAATAAAAAAAAGCATTTTATTAATTTTTACTGCAATAATTTTGAAAAATAAAATTATTTAACATAGTAAAAATAATTATTTAAACATATTTTAATTTTCTCATATAAAAAACTTGAAACCACTTTAAGTTTATTCTTTCTTTGCTTGATTTGCATCAGAATAATTAATCATTCTAAATAATTCTAAATTTTTAAATTTTTTTATATAAAATTTAAATGAAATCAATATCCAAACAAAATAAATAGAGTATTATATGGTTGAGTCATAAATAATACGATAAATTGGTAAAAGTATAATCATTTCAAAATTATTCATATTTATTCAATATTTAAAAACTTAATAATTTAAAATTAAAAGTAAAAATAAATAAACTATTTCAGATTTTTAATATTTATTTTTTTTTAATAATATTTCAAAAATTTACTCGCTATTTAATGTAGCACTTTGCAATAAATAACCATCATTAGTAATTTATTAGTGATGATTTAAATGGGGAGGGGGGGGGGTCACAGCAGGGACACATTAATTTTTTAATGGGAATTTTTTATTCTTAGATTTTTTAAGTCCTTCCTAATCCTTTGGAAAAAATTTTTCATAGTCCTTCGTCCTTAATTTAAATTTATTAAAATTTAAAAAGACGGACTCGGTTAACCATTTAACATCTCTAATTTTGATTTACTATGTTACATTTTAACGATGACAAAGATAAAAGTGATGGTGTTTTAATTTGATATTTTAATTATAACTATTAGTGATATACAAAAACTTAGGCTGAATTATTTAAAAAATTAATTTTTTAAGATTTTAGTATAATAAGCTAAAATTTTAAATTTTCTAAATAAGATTATTTGTTTTAACCCAACATAATGAAATTGATTAATTCATTAAAGATAAATTAAATATTTTAACTAATCTTTTCATACTCTAACTGTAAATTTTTTTTTAATTATTAAATTAAAGTAAATCCTTATTAATTATTACCTTTCTAACTCTTTAAACTCCTACAAACCTTAATGGCAAAAAATTAAAATAATTTTTGGTGAAAATGATTATCAAAATATTAAAATTAATATAAAATTCGATTTAAAAAAACTAAAATCTCAAAAGTTTCCAATCAAATTTTTTTTGTAAATATTAATCGACAATTAAATAAATAATACTTTTTATGAATATTCAATTTAAAATACAATCACTTTTTCTCACTTCGATTGTCAAAGTAAGTACTTTACTTTATTTATATTCATTAAAATGCTCAAGGGCTTATTCAAATTTAACTAATCAAAATTAACTTTTACTAATCTCTAAATAAATTTATGTGTTTCTAATTATTACTACTGCTTATTTATCTATTTGTTCTTTTTAACTTGATACTTATTTTATTAAATTTATATAAAACTCTTCTTTTATTAAAATTTATTTAATTTTAACAAAATATTTTAACTCTAAAAATATTTATGTTTGTTTATGAGATCATTTATAAATAATAATTTAAATAATTAGAGAATCGAAAAATAGAGAAAATTAAAATATTTTAAATATTTTTAACATTTAGTATATAAAACCAAATTCAAATAAATCGAAAAAAAAAAATTTAGATTTAAAAAAAGGCACAGCAAGAATTCATATTTCAAAATTAAGAAAAAATTAGCTTTAATTTAGTTATTTTTAATTAATCAATCGATTTATTTTTTTCATATAAATTTAACAAATAGGATGTTAATTATTTATCCAAAAAATATATCTTATAATGATAATTTTTTGAATATATTCTTTTGAAGGATAAATGAAATTTATTTTTAGGAATAAACATGAAAAATGAATACTTTAATTTATAAATCGATGAAATTTTTATTTAAGCTCATTCTAACAAGAAGTTTTAATAGTAAAATAATTATTTAGCAGAATATAAATATGAAAGGTTATAATTTTCTCTCTTTCTAAATTAATTTGTTCTTTATTTCTAATAATCAAAATATAATTATGATATTTATTAATAATATTAATTTTTACTTAAAAATGGATTATTTTACTATTATTTTTTCTAAAAAAGTAAGAAAAAATGAAAAACTAACTAACCAACTAACATTTTCATGGAGAATAATGCAAATTTCAATCAAACTTTATTTATTTTTAATCAATTAAATTATGACCTGTTTTAAAAGTTTATTTATTTTTAAAAATGCAAACATAGAGAAATCCTAATTTATTTAGGTATGTTATGAATCATAATCATTAATTAATTTGCTATTTGCTATAAAAATTTTTAAAGGATTAGTGTGTAATAAATTAAAAATTAAAGCTGGTATCCATACGCTAGTTATTATTTGATATTTTTATTTTTGCTGATAAGGTTATGAATTGCCTGGTCAAAATTAATTTTGTTTTATCAAAAATCAAAATAATTAATTTTTGATTTACAAAATAAAAATTGAGGATGTTCAATTATTATAAAAGTAAGCAAATATATTTTAAAAACTTCTAAGCCAAAAACTTTGATTAAGCACTAAATTTTCATCATCCAATTATTTTATGAGTTACAATAATTATCTTTTGCCAATTTTCTAATTTTATACCGGACAGAATAAATTATATCTATTTTAAAATATTAAATTAATTTATTTATCAATTCTAAAAATGTTCATTAATTTATTTATTTTTTAAATTAGATTTGAAATTTAAAATAATTTTTATGTATTTAAAGATAAAATATAGATAATAAACTTTTTATTTAAATCAAAAATTGATTAATGAAAAATAATTAAATGTGCTCTATAAATATCAATTTTCTTTAATTGGAAATTAGTCATTTATGAAATGATTTATTTAACTTAAAATTGATTTGATTGATCTATTTTTATCTATTACTGATATGATGAATAAACTGCTTTAGTGTCATATTAAAAATTCAGTTAATAGTAAAGCCTCAAAAATAACGCATAAAATATTGCGTACCTTATAATAATAATATGCAATATAATATATTGAATAATATGTTATTAATAAAAAAATATCTCAATTTCTATTAACATTTTTTTAATTGAATTTAATATACAAACCTAAAACGTAAAAAGTAATCTTGACTTTTAGATTATTTAGAATTATTATTGTATTTCCTCTTTCATTTATTTTTCTCTCATTTTACCAAAAAAAATTTTTTTTTTTCATCTTGATTTCATATCTGTTAATGTTTAAATGAATTAAGAGATTCTTTAATTATGATAATTTAAAGTATATTAAATGGTGAATTAGATTTTATTTCATAATAGATAGACTTTTAAACAATCACCTTTGGGATTAGAAAATTTTATTAAATGATGTTTGATTGATATTCCATATCAAAATGAAGAATATTTAAATATATTGAATAAAAATTTAAAAAAACTAGACATTGATAAGAAATTTGATTTTAAATCAGCAGTAATTTGATCAAACAATAAGCTTTTCTACAGAGAGTAAATTGAATAATAAAATAAAAATAAGTTTTTTGCCTATTTTAATTAAATACGTATTATCATATTAAGTGAATGTTTTTAAGGTAAAAAGATAAAGTGAAAAGTAAGTGATTAGTTTTATAAGAGAAATGTTTTTTTTTAATAATTAACATTTTATTAATAAAAACTTTATTTTTTACATAAAATAGAAGAAAAGATAGATTAAATTTTGATCAAATTTTATCAAAAACTGGTATATTCATTTCTTATTGGAAATAATTTATTTTTCTTCATTTTTTTTTACTTATAAGAATACATTGCAATTAAGAAGAGTCTATGCATATTTCTTTGAGAAAATCTTTACAAAAAAAACCTGATTAGAATTCATCAAGTAAATAACTTTTTTAATAGCTTTTCTAATAGATATTAAATTATGCAAATTATGGAAAAAAAATTAATTGCATATTATTATTAATGGTGAGTGTTAAAATTTTATGTAATTTGAAAATTATATTTAATTTATTCATTTATGGAATTAAATCATACATACATAATATTTAATAATAATTTAAAATAGATTCTTTCTTTCTATTTTTGATTTGGCCTATCAAGTTTTAAATGCGAGTATGAATGACTACTTTATTATTAATTAATTGAAACAAAAATTAGAAAAATTAAAGAAAGATAATTTAATTAAATAAATAATTATTTATTCTTATTTGTAATACACACAATATTTACAATGCCTACCACTTACAAGACTTGTCCTATACACACTAAATACTCTTGTGAAGCTATATTGTGCGAATAAAGTCCTTCTAGTGCTTAAATCTATAAATGTTGGAAATGTATCACAAGCGAAAACATCAATACTCACTCTCTGATTACAATTAAAGAAATTGTTGAGGCTGCAGATGATAAAACTGTTTTGGAAAAGTGGCCTCCATTGAGAGACTAAGAAAATATTTTGCAGAAAGTCGCAAAGGTATACAACGAAACTGAATCTAAATACCCAAAGAAAGAAATAGAAAGAAAAATAGAGATTTTCTTCGATGAAATGGAGAGAAAAATAAAGGAATAAATTTAACAGCACAAAGAGCAAATGCTTTATTTATCTGGAGTCTACTGCGATACAAGCAGAACTGTAAAATCTATTTACGAAGAAATAGCTAATTTGGATACATTTAAAAAGTTGGTTATTAATTCTACAGATGAATATTCTTAATAGAGATTAGTAGAATTCATATAATAAAAATACGAGGCTATTTAATACAACTCTGACAAACTTTCTGTTGCCATTAAATAACACGAAGAGATGAATTGCTTATTCGACTTTGAAAGACCAAATGAAATTCAATTAAGAATCCTTGATTCTATTAAATAAATAAATTTCTTTGTTCTTGATAATGATGAAGAAGTTCATGATTATTAATCTCATTTTACTCCACCCTCATCATAATGCAGCAGCAACTTTGAAGAAAAGTTGTTTGAAGAATCCCAAAATCCCCAAATAGATCTCATAATGAGACTGCTTTCAAACAAATTTAATTTCTGTAATGATTAATTCTTGAGAGAAGTCAGATAAAAGCTTTATAAATTGAAAAATTACTTCTCTAAGATATCTATTGAAAACGCCTTCATTTAAGATAAATAGCCTTTAACATTTGAAAATTTGAATGCTTAGTAACTAGAAGAGTATGCTTAAATAGGCTTTTTAATTAGCAATTAGTCAAATACAAATAATATTTTAGAGTCTTCCTATCAGACAGAGTCTCCATAGAACAATCAACTTGTTAAATCAAATACGTAATCATCTCCTTCCTTAGTACAAAGTACATAAAAATTCAATTTATTATATTATTAGTACTAATATAATGATTAATTATTAAATTCCCTTACATTATTTCAAGCTAGTTTGTTTCCCCACCATAATTAAACAAATCAATAAAAGTAAAAGCAAATAAATAAATAAATCATTAATTTAATTAAATTAAATTAAAGCAAATCTTTCTTTTAATAAGATTCCAGACAACAACATCCTTTTAAGATTTCAAATAATATTTATTACTTTTACAATCAAATAATCTTTTGAAGCTTGTTTGTTTTCAAGCATAAAATTCTATTTAATCATCAAAGTAAAGTAAATGAAAGACATAAATTTACGTTTAATTTATAAATAGTAAATAAATCAGCAAGCATTTCCTCTTAAGCCTTTTAATTAAATTTTTTTCCACAATTAAATAAGCTTTTCATGGAAGAAATTCGAAAAGTCTTTAATTTACATCGATTACACTTTATTTGATTACTCTATATTCTCTTTTATTAATAATATCTAAATTTATTTATTTATTATCAAATAGACTTACAGAAACTCCTAAGAGTCAGTCAAATAAATGAACTGCTTAAGACTTAAGAGCAAAGAAGTATGAAATTAACTTTCTAAAAGACAGAATTCAAAGACAGTCATTTTGCTTGTCTTGTCGGAGTCGACTCTCAAAAGAATGCTGTCTTTAAATAAACAAAGGAAGGTTACTGCTCTGCCTATTTAAATGTTCCAATTATGAATGAACTAATGTATGTAATGCGTATTAGACTAGATAGCAAAAACAATAATTACCACTAATTCTGTGGTTTGGTAGCAACACAAATTAAAGATATTTAATATATGCATCAACAAGATGTTATATTTACTCTAAAAGACGATAGAGTTGGAGCCTCTAAAAAGAAAGGAAATTATTTGCATTAAAATGGAGTCAGACAAAAATACAAAGAATTTGAAATCCATTTCTGTGTAGCATAATAAGTTTTCATCTTTGCCGATTACCCTAACTACGATAACATTAATGTTATACCAAAAGATAGATTTAAAAATATTAATGCTAACGAAAACTACGTATTTGCATTTGAACTTTATTACCCCGAAGATAAAATTACTGTAACTCATCTTCAAATTACTGAATAATTCCCAGAAATGTAACCTAAAAACAATTGATCTTATTACTATCATAGAATATATTGATTAATTATAACATGGATAAATCTTTTAGCTTTCAATTTATCTTAACACTAGCAAATCTAATGATAAAATGAATAATAAACTAACTAATAAATATAGATAAATAAATAATAATCTCATAACATTTTAATATTTTAATTATTTTAAATTAACAAAATCACATAACTTCTATTTATTTTGTATTAAATTAATAATTGTATTATATTTTTATATTATAACAAAGTATTTAACTTTTTTCAAAGTACCTATTCTGAATATATAAATACTTATAATTACATTTTTTGATATTAGATTAAGCATTAGAAATAATAAAAATTGTTTCAGAATTTATTTGAATAATTTAGATCTGACTGAAGATTTGATGATAATGCTTAATTAATGTGTTTATGATTACTTGTTTAGATATTTACCTTTTGTATCGATGAGATTTGTAATTATTTTAGTATGTAAATGCAATAAGCTGTAGTGTGATATCACATAATTTCACGTTTAGATTTTAAATAAAAAGAATGATGAAAAAAAATAGAAAGTTTTTCATTTGAATTTTTTGTTTTTGTTAATAATATTTAAAATTTTTTGATAGGTAGAATTTCAAGTAAATAAATTCTTATTTAAATAAACTTTTTTCATAAACATTTGTCTTTTATACAAAAATTTGAAATTGTACTTTCTCATTTGATTTTTTGTATTTTGAGTTTAATGATGATAAATACGTAAAAGTTTATTTGTCTGTATGTCTGTCTGACTCTCTATTCTTTTCGTTCGTATACTAGATAAAATCAGTAATTAATATGTCATAGTTTTTAAAAAATTTATTATTGGTTAGTAAAAATGATTGATGCGTACAAAAATATTATTTAATAAAAGAAAATTTATTAAATTATAAAGTAAATAAAATTCATTGTTAACCTTAATCAGGGAAGGAATACCTTTTAAATCAAATTTAATAAATGAAAAGTCTCTAGAAATATTAAAATAAATACAATGATGCTTTAAAAAAAATCATGATAAAAAGCAAATAGTTAGTTAATAATAATTTTTCATGATTCAATAATATAAAAGTCATTCCTTTTTAAAACATATTTGATTCCCTTTTTTGTTACCTATTTTGTATAATTTTTTATTATTAGGGATTAATTAAATTTCTTCAGTAAAAAATTACTTTTCAATTTTTTTCTGATAGCTATTAATTACATTTGAAATAAAATGTAAAATTGATATGTACTTACTATAATAAGATGAGCAGTAAAAAAACTGTTTTATTTAAATCTTGACCAAAAATTTTTTAAATAAGATGCGTCTTTTAAATAAAATCTAATCCTTTTAGTACTTAATTTTCCTAGCTGAGCTAATTAAAAAATTAAATTAATTTAGATACAAACTTTTGTCAATTTTCTTATACATTATACAGAAAGATATTTTTTTTTTTAATTTTTAACTTTAAAAGACAGTGTCTTTCTATTGCTTTTTATCTTAATATATTTAAATGATTTAAATTATTTTATAGGGTTTGGCAAATAAATTTATATAGATAATTCATCATTATTTTTTTCAATGCAAAAGTAAAATATAAGTTAAATAAGGAATAGAAAATTTATTTAAAGTAGAAGAAAATAACAATCATTTATAGGAACTCTAGAGTTTCTTTAATATAATTTTCTTAATATTAATTAATGTGTCTACAAATCTTTTTAATCATAGTAATTATAAAGATATTTATCAATTTTCTTTTAAGAAGAAAATGAAATTTAGTTTTTGTGTATTTTTATAAAATTTCGCTTAGCATTTTTAAATGCTGTAGAAAAAAATGAATAGAATTAAGCTAAAAAATAGATTATTTTAATATTTTACTATAAAAAAAATTTAAACTATTTTATCCTTATGATTGTTGACCAAAAATTTAAAGAGCAGAAAATTTTATCTTTTAAATAAAACTTATCAGAAAAAAAAATTTTTTTCTGCTAAAGAAGATTTTAGAACAAATAAATTAAATTTGATTTAATCAAGTTTGTTTTAATTTAAAAGTGTAAATTAATCAAAAATGAAAAACTATGCAAATTAAAATAAATTTTGATTTTAAATTTTAAAATATCGAACTTGAATGACTAAAAAATGCTAAAATTATTTGGCTTGAAATAAATCAAATGGATTTAATTTTTTTAAATAAAAAAATACATTCAATATATTAATAAATAAATTTAGAATTCTCTGACTTTTATTTTAAAAAACACAGCCTAGACTTGTTTTTTAAAAATTATCATTAAAGAATTCGTTAATACTAAAAATGACATTTAGTTTACTATTTGAACCAAATAATAAGAAAATAAATCAATTCTCGGAATGTGAATGCTAGAATGAATCTTATTATGTTTACATTATTTAATTAGATTTATAACTGTATTATTAATTTCTTTTATAAACAGTTTCGCAAATAGCTTCTTTCTCTTCTGTTTCTTACTCTATTGCAACTCCATTAGCTTTTGAATTTATGAAATCTATTAATGGGTCGATATACTACTCAACTTGTGTATTAGAGTGGGTACCAGTGTCGTATACAAGTCCACTCCTGCAGTTTTTCAGGATGTTTTGCTCTCCTCTACCAATTTATGATATGCCTTTTAATTAATTTTAGAAACCTTTTATTAGCTATCGTATTGTCTGGTTTTATGATTTTTAATGTAAACTCTCAAGATTTTTCATCACTTCTTTTTTCTTCTAGCTTTTTTCGTCTTCTTATGTATTTAAATTCTGTTCGAATTTTTCTAAAGGACTATTTGTCTCTTAATTATCTATCAAACTCCTGGCGCTTTAATTCAATTCAGTTATACAATATACCATTTTTACTATACTCTTCTTTATAAAATAAGAAAATATTATTGCCAAGATAATGAAGAAACCAAAAGAAACAAAGCTGGAAATCATCAAATTTTTAAAATTTTAGTCATTTTAGATTGTTATTTAACTTTGGATTTCACTTTTTGGCACTATAATCAGATTAATCATCCCATGAGAATCGTAATAACTATTAGTATTTACATTACTTGCTATAATAATTTCTTAATTTTAAAGAGTAGTTGCTTCTAAAATACTATACTAATTTTATCCTTGATAACTCTTAGCTGATTACTAAATTCTTTGCCAATCAGAAGAACTTAGAAGTAGATTAATATTAACATCACCTTGAATTTACTAATTTCCATTGTTTGTAATTTAATTCATAAATTATTGTGGCTAATTTATTGGATTACCTTAGTAGTCAACCATCATAAAATATCCTATCAATTTTTTGATTTAATAAAAATTAACATTAATATATAATGTGAATTTCTAAAAGTCATTTTAACTTTAAGAACAAAAATATTTATTATATAGAACTCTCATTTTAGTTTAAATTAATAAAAAGCAAGGTATTAATTAATATTGTTAGCAGTTTTTTGAAACGAAAATAAAATCTGCTCTATAAACATATTAATATTATGAAGAATTAAAGGTTGTATGCAAGCATATGATAAAAATTATTTTAAAAAAGATTGAAATAAAAATTAGTCAAATATGCTGATCAATGTAAGAGTGACAAAATGCAACAGATAAAAATCATTCAATACAAAGTATTTTCAGCAGGCACGATTTAAAAATTTACTCTTTGTATAAATCATACATTTTGGTAAGAAAAACGGAGTAAACTTTTATAATTTAAATACAGATTAGATCTAAACCAAAAAATTTATTAAATATATTATTATATTTTTTTGAAAAGGAAAGTTAATTAAAAAATACTTTTTGAGAAAGAAATTCAATTAATTAAAATATTTATTTACCTGTTTAATAAAAATTCAAATTTTCAAACAAATGCTAGAAGTTACTCAAAACAATATCAATGCTAGCAACTCCCAAAAATTGTCCTTTTCCAACCTCGTATCTTTTTTGAACATCTTATTCGTTTGGTATTAAAATTGGCTTTGAAACTGTTATGACCGTATTACCTGTGACAGCGTCTTTATAAGGAGTTGTTAATACTCTGTACACTTTATTATTGCTAGCTTATAAGTGCAAATTTTTTGTATTTTCATACCATGGGCGCTCATACATATTATATTTGTCTAAGCCAGCTAAATAAAGTCCAGGATACATAACAATAGTCATTTACTATTCAATTCCAAAATAAATATTTTATACTTAAGTCGTTATGTAATCAAAAAATTGTTCCTCTAAAATGTAATTCAAAACATCAAAGCTATCGATTATCTTCTAAGTAGGGAATACTCCCTAGTAGATATCTTTCAAATTTTATGGGACTGCATTTATATCGTATTAATACCAATCCATGCACTCCAAGCTTATTTTCCCAAATTACAAAGTAGTCTATAAAATATATTTAAAAAATATTTTAAGTAGAATTGTTATAATATATTAATGATAATTATTTTTCCTTCTAAATAAATTCTGAAATATCTATAAAATATAAAAAATATTTTAGCTTTTAATTGTAATAATTATAAATTTATATTTTAGGGGTTTGATAATTGCTAGTAAATATTAAAACTGTTTGAGATTTTAATATTTAAAAACATTTATTTGAAAGTTTATTATTACTCCTTAATAAATAGAGCATTGAGATGATGGATCTGTCCTGTAATGCATCTTACCAGGTCCATTCAAAGGAAAAGCACTTATCGTATTGTAGTCTATAAGTTTATTAGTAACTTACATTTTTGTTAAAAAGATATCACTTAAGTAAGAAACTATGTATTCATAACCTGCAAATATTTCTTCAGTTTAATTAGAGTATTGCATAATTGAATTTCCAAGTATCTCATTTGCTTGAATAGATTAAGTAAGAGTAAATAAATTAATTATATAGATAGATAGATAAATAGATATTCAAATTTTAAGTAGAAAAATGTTGGTTGAAAAGGCTCAAAAAATCCAAATCCAAAAGTAAAATATTTTAATATGTTAAATTAATTAATTACCTTGGTCAAGAATAATATTTTAAATAACGCTCTTATTGCTAAGATTAAAATATGCTGATGTTATAGAGCCGGATATAAAAAGAATCAGCGAAAAAATAATGATTAGATACGTTACCATCAACTTAAGTTGATCTTCAATTTTACCATCATCGCCTACTTTCCAAATAATCAACCTCCGAAAAATATTTTTGTTATTTTTGTTCCATTTCTCTTGATATTCTTCAAATATTCCTTTTTTCTTTTCTTACTTTTCTCCAAATTAACTTTCTTTGCGTGTATCAGATTTAGATTCACTTTCATTAAAATCAACATTACATTTTATTGGTGAGTTTTTTGTAAGAACATTTTTCAACATATTTTTTTGTTCATCAAATTTTTCTAGTTAGAAATTAAATTTTTTATCATCGCCTTTGAAAAAATTTTCTGTATTTTAGGTTTATGTTTATTGGTAGCTTTATCTGTCTGTATACTTTGTATAATCTTCCATTTATATTGATCTTTTTTTACTAAAAAGTAGATTTATTAAATATATGCCAAAAAGATCTATCTAATTTATTAAAAAACATATACAAATTATTAAAAATTAATGATTCTAATTTAAGATTCCTCAAGCTACTAACTAAATAGATTAATGCTATTAAAGATTATCATATTTTACTCGTTCACTGCTCTAAAACAATTTTATACAAGAAGACTTTCATTTTTTGATAATAAAATCATGAAGAAAGGTAAAATATAAATTATGCATTGATTTAAATTTTATATTAATATATATATATAATTAAAATTAGTACTATCATTAATATAAGTCAAGAGAATTAAAAGTAGAGCTAAAATCAAATTCTAAAAGTAGAATTAACAGTTAAAAATAAAATAAAATAAATTAAATTAAGAGCAGAGAATAAATTTCTGTTACAAAAATGTTGCTTTAAACTTAATTGACTCAAATAAAGAAAGAATAAATAATAAAATATTTGTAATATGAATACTTCAATTTATTAAAAGCATTAAAAATTAAGCAAAAGAAATAATATAATTGTTGTATTCATAATTAATAACTATAAACAAAATTATTTTTAATATATTTATTTCTTTCTTACATATTTAATTTGTCGAAAAAAACCTTGTTATTGAAACGAAGATAAAATAAACAAAAATATATGCTAGATATTAAAAAATATTATGAAATAAAAAAACTGTTAAATAATTAAACGTTAGAAATGTGAACATTTTTATATTTAAAAGTTAAAAAAAGAAATGTAAAAATTGTTGTTTAATTAATTTATTACTATATGCAAATTATTTTGAATATTTATCTTAGTTCTTTATAAATTTAAATTGCAATGTTTATCATTTGTTGCTTCAAATCTAATTTGTGGAAATCTACTTTATTATTAAAATTTAAAAATACAAAAATAAATTTATTTCATAAATTAAAAAAACATTATCTTATTTTATTTAAAATTTAAATATAATTTTAGTAATCTAATTTTTTTTAATTTGAAAAGATTTTTTTTAAAGAATGATTCATGACTTTTTAATCATTTTAAATATTCCTATTAGTAATAAATTGGTTAAAATAAGTAATTAATAAATGAATATAAGACGATTTTAGAATTTATCAAAGAAAATATCTAAATGATTAAAAATGCTGAATTTTATTTAAGAATAGAAACTGTTAATAAATATTTAAAAATGTTTTGAATTTTCAATACATACAAAAAATATGATGAAAATAAATATTTAGTTAGTTAGTTAGTAATTAATAAAGTTTTAAATTGTTTGATTACCATTTTATTTTTCATTTTTATAATAAATACTTGTTATATTCTTTCATTTTATTCATTAAAGATAAATAATTAGTTACTCAATTGATTAATTATTTAGAAAGTTCATTCATTAGTTTGTTATTTAGTTACTTAGTTTGTTTGTTTGTTAACTAGCAAGAAAGATAGCTAGTTTGTTTAGATTATTAGTAATATTTTTTGAGTAGAAAATAGAAACATTAATCATTAATGAACATCATCTCTTGAATTTTCATCAATATTTATATCGCTGCAGTTAAGAATTTCATTACCATGTTAGCTTTCGCCTGCCAATTTTTCATTTTAGCGTAGACTTAGGGGTTTTCCTATGTTATTAGACTTGTATAGTTTGCTTTTAAAAAGATTTGATTTACTGACGCCACTTATATCTGATAGGGGAGAGCCTATAGTTTGATTTGCTGCACTCATAAAATTAAGAAGCTCTCCATTTGTATCATTAGGATTATCAGAAAAAATTGGTGCCATTTCACTCTCTTTTTTTTTAAGCTAAGTTTAATTAATGTGGCTTTGGAGAGTTTTTACAGGAATTTAGTTTACACAAAGAGGATTGGTATGCTAGTAATTAATTGAGTCTGTTTCCATTTTTTCCTTTTTACTGTCAAGGTAGTTTAATAATGGATCTATGTATTAGGCCAAATTAGTTCCGCAGTATTCTGCTGATTCATATTTTAGCACATTCTTGCCATTTTTAAGGATGTTTTAACCTCCTTTTCCTAGTTTTGAAATACCTTTAAGCTGGTTTTCAAATCCTTTGACTAACTCTTTAATTGTTTCACTTTCTGCTTTCTGCTGAATTTCATTCAGCTTTTGCATAACTTCCTTCTTGGAATTTGTACTTGAGTCGCTATTTTAACCTGAAAGCTTAAGGGCACTCTAATTTAACTCTGTGATAGCAGAAACCATTTGGATAATTTTCTTTTTGACATAAATTGTACAAATTATTGTCGCAATTAAAAAACCACCAAAAGATATTAAGCTAGAAAGTAAGATTCTTTTTAAATTTTCTGAGTTTTACGAGTCGATTGCCCCATAAACTTCACTGCTAGGAATTATAAACATAATAACTATGCTTTAGCCCTAATAAAAATTGTCACTATTAACGCTGCTAGCTATAACAATGTCTAATCCTTAAATGCTGGTAGTTTATTGTAAAACTTACTCTTTACTTGTTTTAATACTATTCCATACATCTTGTTTAATCAGTTGAGTAATTGAAAGAGACTCATAAACTTTTCCTTACATTTATATTTAGATAATAAATTAAGCTGGCTCATTTAAAAGTTAACCTTCATTACTAACAATAGCCAAATATCCCGTTTCATAAAATGTAATATCCTAAAAGAGCTCTTAGAATTAACTAAGTTTTATATCTACGTTTGCAACTCCCATAAAAAGTCCTTTACCCTAAAGATATCTCTTAGTTGGGTCTGAAGGACTTGGAGCAAGAATTGCTTTTGAAATAGTCACCACACGATCTCCAGAAACAGCATCATAATAAGGCGTAGAAATGACTCTGTAAGTAGAGTTGTCAGCCTAATTTAAGTGATATCTATAAAATAAAATATAATAAATTACTTAATTGATATTTAAAGTAAATTTCTTATATAAATTTTCATTTAATTATTTATGTCTCATTCATTTTCTATAATAGTGTAAATCCTCATAAATTCTCACCAGCAAACATAAATTTTCCCCATATTTTCTGAATGTATCACGATTTAGAAATATAAGAGTTTAGAGGAGGGCTTGGTGAGAATTAATGAGGGTTTACAGTAATTAAAAAAAACTGCAAAACTTTTAATCTCTACAATTTTTGCTATATTTATTTTTGCCTTAAATAAATGAAAATATTATGGTAATTTTGAAATTATGTTTTGTATAAGTCATGTAACAGCTAGCCTTTTGCTGTTTCTATTTATTTCTATATATAAATTTTGTGTTGATAAACAAATTTAGAGACAGACTCAAGCTTGTTAGTAATTTATTAAAAATGCTAAAATAACCTAATAAAATTTGATATTTATAATTAATTAAAAAATTAATTACTATTTTGTGACATTATACCATGGTCTTTCAATCATTGTGAAATTACTTTCTATGTAATTGAGGAGAAGCCCTGGATAGATAAACATTTATTATCTAGCTTCAAATCCAAAGTAGATTTTGTAAATCTTAGTTACAAAAACGTCAAACAGCTAACTTTCTAAAATGTAATTCAAAATGTCTATTGCTTAAACTAAAGTGTCAGAAGATATAACATTTTGATAAACAAATTCATTAACTGTAGGTACAGTATTTGGCTAAAAGTTATACCAATCGATGCACTTCAAGCTCACTGGATTTATATCAAATTGAACAGGCTTTTGATATAAATAGAAAGATATTAAAATAAAAAATTAAAGAAGCATTTAACTTAGGTTTAAATGTATTAATATTTTTTAAGTTAATATTAGGTTGATTATTTATTTTACTTAACTTTAAATTTATAATTTTAGAAATTATTCATTCATTAATAATCTCTTTACATTTTTTTTAATTTGAAAAATTCGAGCAAATAAACAAATAAAGAAATGTAACATTGTAACATATTATTTATTTATTTATTTATTTATTTATCTATTTTATTTTTCAAAAATAAATATGTCGATTTCTTTCAATTTTATTGAATTTAAAAAAGTTTTATTTAAAATTTCTTAATATTTTTTAGTTAAGTTTGAGAATTTAAATAAATAAATTATTAGTTACTCCTGTATAGATGTCGCACATCGAAGTATTAGTATCTCCTTTTTAATGCATTCTTTTGGGTCCTTTGTAAGGAAACTGCCTTATCTAGTTAAAATCATAAATTTTGTAGCTGATTTCAAGCTTTGATAGAATAATATCATTCAGGTAGTTAAGTACAAACTCATAGCCTTTGAAAATATATTCTGTGGAGTTTTGATATTAGCTTAAACCATTTTGGAGAATTGTTTGTGCTTTTTAATACATTAAAAAAAATAGTTTAATTACATTCATGCATATATTTTATTAAAAATTAAAAATTTTATTGCTTTTTTTTAGCATTTTATGAATATTTTCCTCTTAAAGAAACAAAATAAATTAGTTTTTAATTCTTTATTTTTTGAATTCTCTCTTTGTAAAAATATTTAAAAGCAAAAAATGAAATAATTCATCATATGTATAAACTAATTTTGCTAAATATTTACAGAAGGATCAAACTAAATTGATTTTTCAAAAAAATTATTGATGGTTTTTTAAATTTGAGATATGATTTTAGCAATAAAAGTTAGTAAAATTTACCTTAGTTTTCAATAGAGTATTTTATATTTTACTTGTTAGTTTGGTGGAAGTAATAAGTGGTTGCAAATCCACAAATAACTAAAATGAATATAAATATTATGGAGAGATAAGTAATCATCAATTTAAGCTGATCTTCGATTTTACCATCATCTCCTACCTTCCATGTTATCAGATAACGGAATATTTTTTTATTGTTTTTCTCCCATCTTTCTTAATACTCCTCAAAAATGCCTTTCCTTTTGACTTCATTGTTATCATTATTATTCATCTCAGTTGTAGGTAAATTTTTGCTTTCGTCTTCGTTATTCTTTTTTTAGATGTGAGATCTCATCTAAATATTTTATGAAGTGATTAGTTAACTTGAAAACGACTGGTCCTTCACCGACTATTGCATTCTACCTTCAGTAATTCTCTTTGTGATGTTCTTTTTTAACTGATTATTAGCTGCAGATAATTTAAATTTACTATCCTTGTTATTTTCAGGGCTCTAGTAATGGTTTTATCCAGCTGAAATCTCTGAATTAGAATGCGAAGTAATGTCCTTATTATCGTTAAGCATTTTTAATATAATCTCAGCTTATTTTAATCTCTACTTTGTCCTTCACTTTGGTGAATTATAATTTTCTCTAACCTATATTCCTGTGTTTCTAGTAGTAGTATTATTTGCTTTTAATAACTAATAAATTAATTAATTTGTTTTTTTGCTTGTTTTTTTGTTAGTTAGTTAGTTAATTTATAATTTATCAAAATGTTTGATTCCTTTATTTACACTTGATTTTTGTTCAATCTGTCTGTCTATTTATTTACAATTTCCTGAATTCAACCAACTGCTTAGTTAGCTGTTTGCTGCATTAGCTGAGAGTATTAAAGCTTATTCATTTAAAATATGGTACAGTAATTAATATTTTTTATAATTATTACTAAATTATTAGCTAAATGTTTATAAATTAATTTGTTAACTTTTTATGTTTAATATTTTACTTTCAGTTCTTTTATAATAAATAAATAAATAATTCATTTAAATGGATCCATTTTTTATCAATATTCAAATCCTTAAAGTAAGATAAAAAGTATAAATTTATTATATTTATTTATTATTACTTTCAACTCAACAAATACTTTATTCGCGATTATTTTTTCATTTTCTAACAAAAAAACCTTACAATTTTATATTATAAATTTTTAAATAAGCATTTATTTTTGGAGCTATTACTATTTATCTACTCTTTCTCTTTATAAATTAGTTAACTCATCTGCTTTGTATTTTATTTTTATGTAACAAAAATTTATTTTTTATTGCTGATTTGTTTATGCATATAAAGTAGCTTGTTAATCAATTTAATTCAATAGTTAGTCATTAATCAAAAAATTACAATTTATAAATAAATACTTTTAATTTTAATTTTATTTTTCCTTGTTTTTATTGAAGTTTTTTTATGGTTATACATGAGTTAATTAATATATGCCGCAATTTATTTTCCATTTTCCAATACTAAAAAAAATAGATTTAGATTCTAAAGTTAAAATTTACAGTTAATAAAAATAGTTTTTTAGCTTAAATTTTCATATTATATCTGATTTTTGAAATTCACATTATATTCAACAACAAAAAAATAATAAGTAATTTAATTTATTACTGAAAGGACTTTTGTTATGTTTTTAATTTGATTTATTCAATTTAAATAAAATTTTTTACTTTTTTTCTTTAATTTTTCGGAAATTACTATTATTGTCAATTTATTTCTTTAGAAAAATATTAAACAAAGCAAAAAAATAAATAAATAAAATATTTTTTTAATGAATTTCGTGTTTAATAAGTAATTTTATTTTAAAAATGGAATAGATAGATAGCTAATTAAATTGATAAAATAATACAAAGATTAATAAGAATAAATGTGATAGTTATTCATAATTTCATCCTTAATAATTTATTATTGTCCTAAGTAGTCTTTTTGTTTTATAAAGTTTAGTTACTAGTTTTTGTTTTGAAACTTTGTTAATATCCCTATATCTTTATTTGAAATTCAATTTTTTTTAAAGTATAAAATCATATTTTGAATTCAAATGTGGTAAAAAGTAAAAAATAAATTAATTAATAAAAATTATTTTTTTTTAATTCAATTTAATTGTTTTTAATTTATTTTTCTTCTAAAAAAATTATTCAAAATAACTATTTAAAATTACGATAAACTGAGAGTTAAAATATGGAGATGTTCGCATTTCATCAAAGAAGATCCTAAATTATAAAGACAATTTATACCTAAAACAGATGGTCCTTCAATATGCTAAACCTCTCTATTATTTTTTATTTAAATTAATACATATTTTTAAAATTGATTCTCAATCGTTTGAAAAAATAATTTAAATATTTTTAAATAAATAAATAAATAAATAACATTTACTTGAGTTAAAGTGTTAAATTTTGTAATTGAATACAATCAGCTAAATGCAAACCTAGATCTAAAACACCTTAATGACTAACTAAGTTTTATCTAGAGATATAAATATGTTACTGAATATCTGGTAATTAAGATAATTATTAAATTTAATAAATCTTTAGTAAAAATATATTATTTGAGCAGTTAATAAAGTTTGTAAACATTTAATAAAATATAAAATTAATAAAAAAATATTTTTAAGGAAACTATAATTAATTAATTTTATTGCTTTATTTTAAATTAATATTAATTATCTAAATTAAATTAATAAATTTTACTAAATTCCGAGTGTTAAATCTAAGAGATTTTTGCAGTTTGCTAAGCCAGTACATAAACTTTTTATACCTCTGTCACCTATTTGATTTTAACTTTATAAAAGAAAATTACTTATTTTTTATTCAAATATCACCATAAAAATAACAATAATTATTAAATATGTTTATTTTTTGTTACACAGGAAAAGTAAACAAGAGATAATTAAAATCCACTTTAATAAAATTATTTTAGCAAAATACTTTGCTTCAAACAATTCTTTTTAGTTTCTGATTTGATATTAAAGATTATTTGGTAGTATAAAGCATTTTTTTTTAGACTAATATAAATTAATCACTATTTTTTATACTTTTTAAAAATTATAGTACATAATTTAATTTAAAAATGGAGCAAATAGATAGATAAAAATATATTAAATTTGTGATACTGAAAATAATTTAATTGGTAAATTTTTTCATTTTAATTTGAATTATATTAATAATTAATAATAAACCATTTTTACCTAAGAGAGAGCTTTAATTTTTATAATTTAGTAAGATTTGCAAAAGTAGTACCTAAATCAGTAGCTCCACTTAGACGTATTTCATTTTAACTTAAACAAATAATAATAATAATAAATTTTGTTCAAGAAAAAAAAAATTTAATATAAAAAACAAATTGAAATTAGTTAAATTCAAATCAAATAAATTATTTAAAATTCTTTATTATTTTTTGCTTGTGAATTTTTATAATAATAAAAAAATTTATTTAACATAAATAAAAACATTTCTACTCAAGATTGATAGTCAAATCAGAAAGATTGCTACAACTAACTAAACCAAAACATAAATTAGTTGTACCCTCATTACCTATTTAGTTTAACCTAAAGATAGTTAAGAAATAATTTTAATTGTTGGTTGTCTCAAATTTATTCGATAAGTAAAAATAAATTAGTTTTTTCTGAGCAAATATTAAATTTGATTTTTTTTAACTAATATTTTTGATTAAATAAGATTTTTTTCAATTAATTAATAAATAAAAATTTACTAAAGGCAGAGAGTCAAAGTTTATAGATTAGAATATTATCCTAAAGCAAAACCTAAACTTAATGCGCCCTCCTCCCCAATTTTATTACCTCTTTTATTATTTATTGATGAAATATTTATAAAAATAAAAATTCTTCAAATAATCCTCATAAAAGTTTAACTTAAAGGAAATAAGAATCAAATTATAAAATAAATCTATTATTTAAAGTTCAGATTTAAAAATGAATAAAAACATCCTCATTTGTAGATAAAAATTATAAAAACTGATATTTAAATAAGCTATTAAAAATGCATTTTATTACCTTAAATCCAGTGTTAAATTGGTTAAATTTATTGAATTAAACAAAGCACTATCTAAGCCTGTTAGATTTTACTCTCCAATTTTATTGTACCTTTAGTTAATTTTAGTTAAAATTTTTTATATTCTATAATTCAAGTAAGCCTTATTATTTTTTAAGATAAATAAACTAACCCAAGATCTAATGCCAAAGTTAAGAGATTGATGCAGCTTGACAATGAAGCTGCTAAGTCAGAAATATCTTGAGGTCTTAATTTATTAAATCTTTCAATAAAAATATAAATTTTAGTAAAATTGTTTTAATAAATTTGAATTAATTATTTTATTAAAAAAAATTATTTAGAATTAAAAAATAAATTATTTATTTATTTATTAATATATTTCTACCTAAGGTCAAGAGTCATATTTTAAAGATTAATGCATTTGTTATAGCATTATTCAAATCTTAAATGTTACTATTATCGATCTGGAACTCACTTTTAGTTTGATTAATTAAAAATAAATTAACTTAAATTTTGAATTTGATTAAAATGAATGTTTTGAAATAAAAAAAGTATTTATCAAATAAAATAAATGCTTACCCAAGGTATACTTCCAGATAAGAGTAAGATGATAGATTAGAATTTAAAAACTTTGTTTATTATAAAAACTAAATTTAATTAAATTTAAGAAATTAATCATAAATTACATCTTTCAATTTATAAAAATTCTTTTTCTATTATAGCATTATTTTATTTTTTAGAAAAATTTATAAAACTTTATTTACTTTCTTTTTTTCTAAATATCAAAAATTCTTTTTTTTACATCATTATAATAAAAATAATACATTAATTTAAAATACTTTAAATTCTCATTCCCCCATCTTTGAAGCCTAATTTGAGACAGGCCTAAAATTTTTTACATTTTATTATTTTGAGTAGTAATCCATCCATCCATCCACCTTTCTCACAAAAATAAATATTTTTTAATAAAACTTTTAAAATTTAAATTATTTATTTTGTTTGTGTTTGTTTGTTTGTAAATTTAATTTGTTTTTGGTATTTTATGTTTGTATCTTAAATTGTGAAATATCAATTTTAAAATAAAATCTAAATTTTACAAAGTATATTACCAAGAAATAAAAAGAAAAACGAATAATTAATATTAAGGGCATTTTTATATTTTTATTATAAATTAAGGCAAAAATCATTAACTCTCAAAATGTGATATAAATTGAAACAGTAAGCATTGTATTTAGCCAAATTCAAAGGCAAACCATATATTAATTCATTATTTTATTTATTGTTAAAAAGAAACAGTATCATTAATTATCAATATCGTTATTTGCTCCTTTTATTATATCAAAATTTATGGAATCTACATCAATAGTATCGTCTCCATTATTAAATGCAATAAGGTTATCCTCGTTTATCTGGTTTTCTGGTCTATTGCGTTGACTTAAAAAATAGTTAGTATAGTTGTTAGCATTTGCTGTAAAAACTAGGTTGTTTTCACTTTTATTAGATAGCAAAAAATTGTTAGAGAGTACCTGATTTCTATCTGAATTTAAATTTGCTATTTCTTTTCTTTATTGGTTGATGTCAGGATCAATCACACTCAACACATTTAAATTTCTATTGATTTCACCAGAGTCAATTTTATCCTTCTAGTCCATTTCATTTGAAATAATTTAAGGCATTTATTTAGTTTCTTTGATCTATTAAGCTAATGTTTAAGATTTATTATTATGATTATTGTTTGTTGCTACCGTATCATTTTAATTTATTGTTTGAGTTGTATGCTAATTTATTGATGTAATACCATTTTGAATTGACGGTGTTGCATTATGATTCACATTTAATGTGTTGGGGTAATTCTATGAAGTGTTCCAATTAGAAATATCTTGTTTAGAATTTTATGTATTTTACTGATCTAATTGCAAAAAGTTGCTTGTTTCTTTTTAAGGAAAATTATTATTGAATTCCTCATTCATGCTTGATTTTTCTTTAGAATCTCCAGCCAATTTAAAATTATTAGAGTCTTCTGGAAGAGTTTTGATTTAGAGTTTTTGAGCAGTTTATAAAGGCGATTGCTAAGTTCCTCCAGTAAAATTGTTGTTATTATTATTCATATTATTTTTTTTAAATTAACTTGTCAGAGTTTTTATTTACATTTAGGACAGTGCACTATAGTTAGAAATCTAGAACGAAGGCTCTGTATCGAATTTTTCTTTCTTCATATTCAAGTAAGTTAGCAAAGGCTCAATATAGCTTTGTAGTTAAGTGCCTCCGAATTCAGCTTATTCATATTTTAGCGAGGCTTTTCCGTTTTTGAGAATATTTTATCCACCTTTCCCCAGTTTCGAAATACCTTTAAGCTGATTTTCGAATCCTTTTACAAGGTCTTTTATTGTTTAGCTTTGAGAATTCTTTTAAATCTGATTTAATTTCTCCATGACCTCTCTCTTTGAATGCGTACCATCGCTGTTAGACACTATAGGTATACTGTTGCTTATGTTTCCTTTGTTGTCAGATTTAGAATTAATTATATTAGGGTTATTGCTTCCTGAGGTTAAACTTAGTGCACACTTGTTGAGCTCAGAGATAGCAGAAACCATATTAACTATTTTCTTCTTTACATAAATCATACAAAATATAGTAGCAATAACAAACACAACTAGACTTACAATACTAGAAATTAAAATATTTTCAAGATTCTGAGAGTTTTAATTATCGATTTCTCCATATACTTCATTGTACGGTATAATCAACATAATTACAATTTATTGATTTTTGTAATAATTTTCTGAATTAATTGTACTAGCCACCACTAGATCCTAACCTTATACACTAGTTATGGTCTATAAAAGATATTCTTAACTTTAGTTATAGATGCTATCCCATTTATCCTTAGGAATTAACTAAGTGATTGACAAATTTTAATAAGTTTTTCCTTAGAGTCCAACTTATTTAATGAATTAAGTAGGCTCATTGAGTAAGTTTCCATCTATATTTACTATGACTAGATATCCAGTGTCATAAAAAACAATATCTTAAAATAATTATTGGAATTCTCCAATCTTTATATCCAAGCTTGCAACTCCCATAAACAAGCCTTTACCTACAAGGTATCTTTTATCGGTGTCTTCTTTAGCAGGAGCTAATATAGCCTTCGAGATTGTAACTACTCTTTAACCTGAGCCAGCATCGTAATAAGGTGTTGAAATAACACGATAAACTTAATTGTCAGGCTGATTAATATGATTGTTCCTAGTGTTATTATACCAACCTCTCTCATGAACCCTATATGAGTCTGGAACTGATCCCATGATCAATCCCGGATAACCATACATCACTTATCTGTATTCAAATGCAAAGTAAATTTTGTACAGTTTAGTAACAAAAACATCAAAAATCTAACTCTCTAATACGTAATTAAGGATATCAATAGCTCCATTCAAAGTATTTGTATCAATCATTTATTAATAAACATATTAATTATTTAATGGTTATGTTGTTTTATCAAATTCAAACCAATCAATGCATTCTAAACTCACTCCATTTGGATCAAAATTAACATTCTAAAAATAATTATTTATTTATTTTTGTTAAAATAAATTCCATAAAGTCTTTGGAAAAAAAAAAATCAATAAATTTAGTTTGATTAAATAAATAATAAATTATTAAAAAGAATTTATTTATTTACTCCTGTGTATAAAGGACACATGCCTTTATCTGGATCGTTTTTCATGTGCATTTTACTAGGTCCTTTATACGGAAATTATTTTATATGGCTAAAATCATATACTTTGTAGCTAATTTAGAGTTTTGAGAGAATCAAGTCACTTAAGTAGTTTAAAACAAATTCATAGCCCTTAAAAATGTATTCAGTTGAATTTTTATATTGAATCAAACTATTTTACAATATTGTCTAAGCTTTTGATAACAAAAATGAAAATTATTTTAAAAAGCAAATCAAAAAAAAGTTAATTCTTTTTCAACTAAAAATTAAAAAAACAAGTTTTTTAATGTAATTGTTTTTTGCTATATTTAAAGCTAGATAGGTATTTAAGTAACAATTAAATGCTTTTTTATAGCACAATAAGTATATTATTATTTTCAAATTGAATATTTTGTTTACCTTAACTTTCTATTGCTTACTGAATATTTTCTTTGTTGGTTTAGTGGAAATAATAAGTAGTAGCAAATCCGCATAAAAATAGGATAATTATAAAAATTATTGAGAGGTAAGTAATCATCAGCTTTAATTGATCTTCTATTTTACCATCATCACCAACCTGCCAAGTTATTAAATATCTAAATATTTTTTTATTATTTTACTTCCATCTTTCTTGATATTCTTCAAATATTCCTTTTTTATTCACTTCATTTTCTTATATCATGTTTTAAGTATTTTGTTGAGGAGGTATGTTCGTCATACTATATTTTCCATCTATTTCGTGTTTGATCTTAGAAGTAGACTACTGCTTACTCAAATTATTGTTAAAGCTTGTTAGCATATTGGTGTTATTATTATTATTATTATTATTAGGCTTTTCCAAATTTTGCTACTCTTTTAAAGTTTATCTTTATTCAAATGTAATCATCCTTTTCGATAATGATTACTACATAGATAAAGTCTTCACTTTGCTTTCCCTACTAACTTCTAAATTATTCTATATAGTCCCGCCATTGCCTTATTAGCTAGACTATCTTTTTCTTAATTCTAACATCACTGGATGAATCGTATATCAAAAAATCTTAAAAATTTTATATTGAAAATTTTAATTCAAACTCTATAATTAATTATTTAATGATAATAACTACTAACTAACTAGCAAACAAATTAATTAATTAATGAATGAATGAATGTTTGTGTATACTTTTTATTATTTACTTTTTGATTTTTTAGATTGTTTTTTTAATGTTATTTCTTTGGATGATTGATTTTATATTCTCTTAAGCTTTTAATAATTAATTTATCATTCCTTAATTTGCTTTTTGACTTTCCACAAACAGCGCCCATTACTAAGCTTATCATCTATCTAAATGCAAATATTTCCTTTTTTCTAGCTGTAAAACCATCCAACAAAACAATTATTCATTCTTAAATGAGTAATTTATTAAGATCAATTTCTTTAACAAACATATTAAAAAAAATAAGCATTTTAAATACTTTTCATTTATAGCCGTTTAATTACTCGCTTATATTTCATAAAAAGTAATTATCTTTTATTTTACCTTAAAATATATCTTTAATATATAATTTTTCTTTTAAATAATATGTTCATAACTTGTCAACAATGATACACTGCATAATTTTAAACGCTCCAATTATTTGTTGGATTAGATGAAACATCAATTTGTTCAAAAAGCAAAGTAGAACCAAATTATATCAAAAATTAGAGCTTAAACTATAAAAAACTTTTACATTTAAAATATAGACTTAACTTTTTGGGCTAATATGTGCATTAATTATAGAAAAATTGAAGTATTTATTTCAATAAGCTTGAAAAATAAATATCTAATAATTAAATTTATGAAAAATAATAACATTTTAAATTACTTCATTTAAAAATGCTGAAAAATATAATTTTATTTTAAAACTGATTCTTTTGTGTGGTTGATTTAGATTGTTTATTTTGAAATATTTTAAAAGTAGTAAAATCAGAAATAATAATTTTTAATGATATCTCATTCTCAAAAAAAAATTATGTGCTATTAATTTTTTTATGGCTATATTTGATGTGTTTTAAAATTCTTTGATATGAAGAAAAATGAATGTAAATATTTATTTTTAATTTACAAATAGTTAGCTTTAAGTAATTATTTTTTTTATAATTATTATTAAGTAGGAAAAGTACTTATACAATAAATTCTATGGCATTAATAATAATAAATAATCAGTGATATTAATTGCAACATTAATTAATTATCTTTAAGTTTCATGTTGTATTTAATCATTAAATAAATTTTACTAGTGTATAAAATTTGTAATTAATTATTCAGTAATAAGTTAAAAATAATAGAAAGTAGTAATTCATCGTTAGCCTATCAATAGAGCTTTAAAATAAATATAAAAAATATAATAAAAACACAAATATGTCTATTATAGAATAGTGGTATAATATGTCACCATAAGAGCGGGTAGAGTAATTAATTAATTATTAATAAATTTTCCAATCTTAATCATGATATTTATTCTATCAATTTAATTTATTATTTCAGAAGGAGCTTTATGAAACTAGAAAAGCTAAAATAAATGAAATAATGGAGACATTGAAAAAGAATAAGGAAGATTATAAGCAAGAAATAAAGGAAAAATAAGAAAAGTTAAAGAGTACTTAGAAGTTGGATAAAATTAAAAAGAATAGAACTTCCTTTAATTGTGATATTGTCTTAAGAAAAGATTTTAGAATTTCTCCTAAATCAAAAAAGTATTTCAGTGGAGACAATGATATTTTTCTTGATCAATAAGGAGAGCCTGCTAAAGAAAGCTATGAAAAAGACTCACTGATTGTTCCAAACAGGGTTCTGTATTAGAAAAAAAGTAAAGATATTGAAAAATATAAAAATATGTTATAAATAGCCTATATTAAACTACTTAATTTATTATATTAGAAATTGTTTTGACTGATCCTAAATACAATTTAGAATAAAAAAAATTCATTTTAGAACAAATAGAAGCTAATTTAAAGCATAATAGAAATAACTCATAATAATACTAACTAGAAGGTTCTGCTTATTAAGACTATCCTATTTAAGTGCAGCAAAATGAAAGATTTTTACCATAAATCAATCCATCTCCATAAACTAGATTTTAAAACATCAGATATGCTGAATCAAGTGCACCATATTCAGGATAGAATCACTAATTTCCTGAATAAAATTAAATTTAATAACACTAATATTTCAGAAAACAGGATGAATAAAAATATTACTCGCCACAACAAAGAAAGGTTTAAATCTAAGATAACATTTTTGATAGAAATATTAGCTAAAAAGATATTCGAAGCAACAAATATAATAATCAAATTAGCTATAAATACAATGAAAATAACTTCAAAAATAATGAATATCCTAATAATCAAAATAACAATTATTTTATGTCAAATCAGTAACTAAGTTAAAAACCACCCAGTATTATAAATTCAAATAATAGAATCAATTATTAAAGAGAACAGCTACCAAATTACTATTTAAATAAATAAGTTAAGTAACATTCTCCATACATCAACTAAAATTACTCTAATGCCTATCAAAATGTATCTTAACCAAGTATTTAAAATAATTATTCTGCCCCTTCATATAACTAATATTAATATCAAAATTTTTGATTAAAGTATACTTCATTCATTTCTTCCTGTCTATATTTTTATACTAATTTATATTTTTTATGCTGAAATTTAAAATTTTTATTTAATGTAATTTTTATTTCAAATAAACATTTTATTAAATTAAAATATTCTAAAATTATTTATTTTAAGATTCAGGAGGTATAAAATTTGACCAGTATAAGGAGGGTATATAATTTAGAGTGGTTAATATAGATAGATTATATTTTATAAAAATTAATATCAATTTCTTATATTTTAGTGGACATATTGAATTGGATATTTTTATTATTTCTATTAATTATATAAAATTCAACAATCAAATTGAAAAATATAGTTTCAGTTTATTACTTGTGTGCTTAAAATATTCTTTTAATTTTAGCAGAGTTGAAATTTGTCTTTATTTAGTTTATGGAATGAATTTCAATTTGAAATATAATACTTTAGTGAATTAATTAATGTTCATATGTTTTTATGTATCTATATGTGGCGTGTCTGATCGTTTTGATTTTGTGAAAATTAATTTTAAAAACAGAAAAATTAATTAAGTCCACCTCAAAAAATATTTACAAGATTAATATTAATTGATTAAAATATCAATATATACTTTCAGTCGATATATTATTTAATACATTATTTATGTAATTAATAGAAAATAATAGGTAAAGTAATTACTGGCATAACAAACTATAACAAGTGATAAATATAAAACTCAAAATATTTTAGATAAAGTAAGCAAAATGGAGGAATAGCATCATGAGATCGATTATAGCCAAGTCGAATAAGCTGTTTAGATGAATTTAGATGGATACAATGGAGATCATGACCATTTATAGTAGCACTATGAAAATGGTTTCATGTAGAATAATGAAAAATCAAATGGCTACCATAATGATTATAACAATAATAATGATTAAACTCAGTAAGAGAGTTTGACTATATAAAATTAAAGAAACGATGATGAAGAATCCAAACTACTCAGATAAAATTCTTAACAAACATAGCAATAGAATACAGATAATAATACATATTAATATTAATTACCTCCTTAGCAGAAAAAGAAAAGCATACTAGATTTAGATTACATAAAGGTAATTGTGAAGTATTCATCATGAATTAATGTAAATAAATATAAAATAGATAGATGTAGTAGATTTTAAGAGAGTTGATGCCTCATTAGAAAAAAAAGTTACCAAAAGACTCCTTTTTATAATTGAAATTTAATGCCCAAAAACTTAGTACCAAAAAACAAGTAAATAAAATTAAGCAATAACCAATTTTTAGGATATAATATGTTTTATTAATTTAGTATAGGTAACTTACGATCTGTTCTCTAAAACGATAATAGGAATAGTTAATTTTGGGTAAATTTTTGAATACCATTGATTGCGTTAAATCAAATAAAAAAGCTAGTCATAATTATATTCATAATACATAATTAGGTACAAACTTCTTTCTGTTAGTAATTATCAAAAACTAGAAATAGCAGACTCATAAAATGATTAGCAAGTTCAAGAATATTTAAAATAAGCCAGAGAAATATTATTGGTAAAATATTATTTTATAAAATTGACTTCAAATTTGAATATTCGCAAAACAAATTGTAAGATTTTGAAATCAACTTTTAATTAATCTAAAAATAGGAGATACAGTCAAGGAAAGATCTTTTAATGATGCAACAAGTAATAATATTTAGAATTAAAATAAGTAGGTAGCAAATTGTTTGATTAATTATTAGATACAACATATGTTATAATTGAATGATGAAAAAAATACTGCAGATGAAGAATACATAGAATTGCTGGTATTTATTGAATTATTTAAAATTTAAAATAATTTTTCAAAGTCATTAAAATTTATAAATATTTTACGAATAACTTATTTTATTTTTAAAATATTAAATTATATTTGAATGAAAATAATGAATAGCAAATAAATAATTTAAATTTTATTGAAAATTAGATTAATATGGATAAACAATAAATTTAATATAACATCTATTAAAATAAATAAAAATATTTAAAATAAATTTATTTATTTTAACTAAAATTTGTAAAATGATTAATAGCCTGCTAAATTAATACATAAGTAAGATATTATTGAAGAAGAACTTGAAATAAGCAGTAGTTGCTAAGATGTCGCTCATAAAATTGTATACGTCTCTTAACAAGTACTAAATAAAAATTTAATTTAGTAATATTAAATAAATTTTTCAATATAATAATTTTAGAATATAACTCCTTTGAGTAGATTAGGGAGGATTTGGTCTTTTATAGACAGCTAAATTTTAGGTAGTGTTTTGGCTTTTAGAGTTATGCAAGAAGAAGGAAATATAGTACCAAAATATAATTTAGTCTCCAAAAAATATTTTGATTTTAGGATTTTATGTCTGAATTATGTTTAAGAAAAAAGTTTACTACTTTTAGGATCTCATCAAGGTTATTTATATTACTAAACCATTGGACCAAATGAGCCACTTAATAAGAAATCTAGCTCTGTTTCAATTGGTAATGAAGAAATATTAAAGATAGTCATATTCCCTTCAAATTAACATGCCCTTCTTATGATGCCAAGCAGCATAAGAATTTTCGATCTTAATTCTTTAACGGTAGTTGCTGGTGGATCTCTTAAAAAAAGGCTAGATGGAAACGAATTAGCCAGTGCTTCAATAGATTCGAATAATACCTAAATTTATCTTGGTATTTTTTTCATGTTATTTAATTGAATTCTAAATATCTTTACACATAAACAAGGTACCTCAAAAGGAACACTCTTAGTCTACAATTTAAATGAGTAAAAGTTGGAATATAAATCTAAATACTCTTTTGAAGAACAAATTCCTATATCTTCAATAATTTGCTCCTAGCCGTAATCAAATATTTATTTATTTAATGATAAATCAATAATTTTATTTTGGAATTCTATTTTTAAATCAATCAATCAATCAATTTGAAAATATTTTATTGACTACATTAAAAATTAAATTATCTTAAATAAAGATATTTATTTATTTCCTAAGGAGGAATTTGTACTGTACAAAAAATAAAAAAGATAGAACCAGAGTTAGAGTTATAGTAGGTAAATAGTATAAATTTAATTATTTTCGAATTGAGAGATATCAAATATAAATGTTATAAATAAAGAATGGTTAATTCGATATAGGCAAGTACATGAATTAAAAATAAAACACCATGAAATTAGTATCTCCTCTTTATATAAAAAAATACCAGCTCTTTATTTCTGGAACTGACACAGGTATGGTTATATTTTGGAGTGTAAAAGATGGGACAGTATTGTCAGTAATTTAAGTCACTTAGGACTAGAAACCTATAGTGTCAATATAGTATATAGAAGAAGAAAATTATCTTCTAGTTACTCTCTAAGAGGGGACAAAAGTATTAATTTTATAAATTTAGATGAAATAAATCAAAATATTTTAATAAAAAAGATATTAAAAATGGGTAAAGTAGAATAGTCTTTGTTGCTTGAAATATAAAAAAATTTAAGTTACATAGATTGATTCAGTGATTAGTAAAATATCTAAGTGTTTAAAAACTAAATAGATTATTATTTATTTTTTAGTAGTTGCTATATTTATTTATTTCCATGTATGTTTTTTCCTTTTTTTAAATGGAGGTCTAGTTAGCTAGCTCTATTTATAGCTCTATCTAACAGCAAATTAATTTCAGCGTAATATAAAATGATTAATTTGCATTAAGCATATTTGTCATTTTTCGTTCTATAAAATTTATTAATTTCGATAAAAATAAATTAGTTATGACTTTCTTAGTAGTAAAGTGCTATTATTTAAGCTTAATTAATAATTTCTGTAAAGTGAATACCTTTAACATATCATAATTAACACATGAATCCATTTAAATATATTTTAATGTAAGTAGCCAATACATAAGAATTAAAAAAAATAAAAATGAAAAGAAAACATAGTTAATTGAGTTTTGATTCCAAAATTAAGTATTTTATTCAGTCATTTTTAGATAATTTACATAAAAATAGTAAAAAAAATGAGGGTTTGCTCACTTAAACATGAAAATTAACATCTAAAGTAAAAATAATTACTATAAAAATATAGGATATAAATATTTCATAAATTTATATATTTGAAAAGTTCAAAAAAAATACTTTATATCAGTGATATAAATAGTATAGAACAAATATAAAAATAAAAAAATAATACTTGCATATAAAAGATTCTAATGAAATTGTAATTAATATAAAAAAGGTCAAAATATTATCTAAATTTAATAATTAATAAGAATAATTAATAAGAATGTCTAAATGAATATGTTTTGTTTTGCAAGGAGACTTAATGAAATAGTTCTATTATCAATATAGATCACTCTATCTCTTTATTAATTAAAAATTGATAATATAATACAGAACGACATTGACTTCAAGAATATGTTTTTAAAATCTAGTCTTTGATTTTTAATTGGGTGAAATGAAATTCACAATATTTGAAAGGAAAATTAGATTGGAAAAGTAATCCATAAAAGGAATACGATAATTTCTTGTAAAATTTTAAATACAATGAAATAGAAAAATTAAAATTCAATCAAAATCAGAATTTGGCTTCTTTCTTTCTTTTTGTTTGTTTGCATTTTAACATTCCTTTCAAATAATAAATTAATTAATTTATTTAATATTTTTTGGATAATTAATTTAGTTTATTAACTGCGCTTATTAGAAAAAATATAGAACTCAGTAGTAATAAGAAAAAAACTATTTAATCAAATATAAAATACACCATAATTAAAATAGAGTTGTAAAATAGATAAAACACCAGTTTTACATAAGATTAAAAATTGATTTCTACAATCAAAAATATTTCAAATAGAAATCAACTATTTTATTTTATATGTTTAGCATCTAATTATTTATTCTTTGCAAATTATTAATTCCAAAATAACAAAAAAATATTTATTTATTTATTTTTAATCAAATTTAATTGGATAAGTAAGTGCTCAAAAGCTCAAACAATTTTCAGGATTAGTTTGATTGATTGAGTGACTGACTGATTGTTTAAATTAAAGGGAGCACAATCAAAAGATCACTTTCGGTATAAATAATCTAATAAAAGAGTCTATAGACTTTAAAAACATTAAAAAAAATAATAAATTCATAAAGCTAAAATACTATAGATAATTAAAAATACAATTAAAAAAATTATTAAAAAGTCAACTAAATATATAGAAGAGTAAATAAAGTAGGCATTTTAAACAAAAAAACATATTGAAAAAGGTACTTACTTACTTATTATATTACTCACTCGATAAATCTAAACATGGGAGGAAATTCAACTAAAAGCGAAAACGCTGTTTCAATTGGAAATTTAAAACTCTATTTCAATAAAGCAGAGTTTCTTCCAGGAGAGACTGTTCAAGCTAATGTTGTTTTGGTTTTAACTTAAGATACTTACTGCGATGCAATTACAATCAAATTCAAAGCTACTGAGTAAATGATCTATAAGGGTAATATCTAAAAGCCATACACTGTAATTGATAGAATAGCTCAAATGATTTAAATTTAAAAGAAGTTGACCAGAGGAAGTCATAATTTCTAATTCTCTTACTAACTGCCAAATGTTTTGCAACCTTCTTACTATCTTGATAAGGTAAACGAAAGAATGTAAAGCAGCTAAGTTAGAAACGGAGAAACTATTACTACTGACCAAGAAGAGAAATTAAAATTCACCTTAATGTACATGATGGTTAGCCAACTTGAAATTAAAGATAAAAATATTTTAGACATGGAGGGTTTGAATATTATGAAAATAGGATCTGCTGCAAATAATCAGCCTATCAACGATACATTTAGTGAAGTTTTAAAGAATTTCTATGGAAATTATGGTCTTTATTAATAAAGGGTTTTCATTAAAAGAAGTGAATTTAATCCAGGAGAGACTATTCCTATACAGTTATCATTTGAAAACAAAGGATCAAAGCCTTTAAAGAGTGTAAACGTTAAGCTAATTCGTGAGCAAAATTTTATTAAACCTGAATCAGGTGGAAGAGAAAACAAGCAAAAGAAGTTGACTATTTCTGATATAAATTTAATACAAATAGTTCCTCCAAAATCTGTGAAAGAAAATGTTGGAATCCACTTTAAAATCCCTGATGATCCCAAACTAATACTTCCTAGTTACAACGGAGGAGCATTTTCATGCAGATACTTCTTGTAATTTACCTTTCTTTATAATGGAGCCTTCTGCTCTGAAGTGAGCACTTCAAGATAGGTACCAATACTCATCATCGGTAAAAATGATAGGAGATTTAATTGAAGACTTTTTTTAATCCTGAAACTAAAAATCTCTTGCGAGCTTACTTATCTGCTTTTACTGAATATTGTATAATATAGAATAAAATAATTAATTACTTCTCATTTCAAAAATCTCCTTAATAGTTAGTTAGTTACCTACTGAACCATTAAAATTTAATAATAACTAACAAAAATAATAGAGTTATTTGGTAAAAATGATAAGTATTTGCTTAATTTGGTGAACAGTTTATTTATAAAAAAAACATAATCTTAAACAAAATTAATTACTCACAAAAATTTGAAAAGAACTCTTAATCAAGTCTCTAGTAAATCGATCAAATAAAAAAATAAATTAGCAAGAAGGCAAAGTCAACTACAAAATAAAAATAGACAGACAAGATAATTTAAATTAAGAATAAATAAATAAATTATCTTGATGTCATTAACTAGTTGATTATTTTAATAAAATAATAATTAAAATTGATTAAAAAGTTACTCTAAATAACATAATCTAAATATCTTTAAATCTTAATATATTTATTAACTAACCTTAAACAAATTTCTTAACTGATTTGACTAATATCATCATCTTTTATTTTCAAATAACAAAATATTTTAATAAATAAAATATTATAAAATCTTAAATGCAATAATTTATTTTCTTTGTCTTAAATTAACTAATTAACTATAAAATTAGTGTATTCACTATTTCTTATCTTGATTATCAATTAATTATGCTATTTAGACATATTTATTTTTTAATCTAAACAAAAACTTTAAATTGTTAATTTTTCTTAAAAGATTTTCAAACTTTCATATTACTTCTACGATAAACCTTTCTTTTTTTCTGCTCCATTCTTCTTTATAGCTTATTTATCTACTTTAATATAAAAAATATTTTGTTTTTTTAGTGATAATTAATATAAAACAATGTTTTAATACCTATTTATTATCAGAAAATTAATTAGAAAGTTTATTTTGCTTTTAATTTCTCAAATTAAGTTTATATCTTTGTAAAATATTCTTAATATTTAAATAAAAGTCTTTTATCTCAAAAAAAAAGATTTTCATAAATCTTTTATTAATACTAAAAATTATATTCTTGGTTTATTTTTGTCCACATAAATTTCTAGATGTTCTTTTATTAATACACCGTCATAACTCTTCTTCTTGGAAACCTAACTTAATATATCTTTTTTTTAAAAAATATCTCTTTTATAATTTTTTATTTTGTCTAAATAATATTTATTTGGGTTTGCTCACTATTAATACTTTAGAGTATCTTCTTTATTTTGAAATATTTAATTAAATTAAAAAAGATATAAAAAATATATTTATAAAAAAAATGGAGCAGTTATCTGTTATTGAATCTCAAGAAAGCTATTGTAAATATCACAACAATAGATAAATTTAATACGCTTGCATGGAGATTAACTAACCATAGAAATTTATGTGCTCTTTGTGCTTATTAAAAGGTAGATTTTCTTAAAATGTGAATGACTTTCTTTATATTAAAGAAATTCAGGAAAATAATCAAAAATTGCCAATTTAAAATTGGCCAAAAAATATTAGTCCTGATTTAATAGACCACTTACATCATGATATATCTGAATGTAGAAGTGAAATGGAGTAAAAAATTACAAGCTATTTCAAGCAACTCTAAAGCTCTATTATTGTATCTATCGAAAAGCAATAGAAAAAAACTTTAGATATTTTTAATGATCTATACGATGAGTTGGAGTAACAAATATAAAACTATAATAAATTCTTTTAGAGAGAAAAACTCCATGAAATTTTCTAAAATGGAACATATTCTGATTAATCGTTTACTTAACTTTAAAATGAAATTGAAGAAACTAAGGTTTAAAATCTACAATATCTAGAATAGAGAAGGAAGTAGGCAGAAATTTTTGAGAAAAAAGTCTTTTAATAACCACATGAAATTAGCAATGCTATTAATTTACTTTTATTAAATATTGATTTTTTCGAAAGTGAAGATCTGAGATCGATAATACCCAACTATAACAAGATTATAAAGGAAAACGATACTTCAGACTATAACTCTTTGATAGCTAAATAGACTTTATATTAAATTAACCAAAGTAGCAAACTTTAGCAATTGATATTCGAACAAAATCAAATTATTGAATATAGAAATAAAAAGAGTTTATTTGAAAAATAAACTGATTCAGATGTTTTTTCAGATGCATAAGATATCTTGAATTAATTAAAAGCTAAAGAATAAAATGTATTTGATAAAGTAAATGATTAATAATAAAAAAATAATTTAATTCAAAAACTAGAAAATTTACTTATAAGTTTCAATTAAAAATACACTGGTTAAAATTTCAAAAATTCTATTAAAAAAATGGAATCAGAAGAATTCACTTAAGTCATAAAGTAAATCGAAAATATTTACCAAAAAGATTGCTAAAAAGACAAGGTGTTCTGTGCAGTAACCTATTTACAACAAAATACAGTTTTATGGCATCTTTAAACATTATTTAATATGTTAGTCAATATTAAAAATAAATAAAAATTAGAGTTTGCTATTATTGCTTCAAACTATGGAACAAGACCTACAATTTAAAATGAAACTGTAACCATTTCAAATTATGGATAAGTTTATTTTGATATTTAAATGAAAAAAGAAAAAACATATGTTATTCTTTTGAAAATTCATACTTACAAAAATTCTGGAGATTTTAAATTTGGATTAATCAAAAATGGCTATGCTAATTATGAAATTGGTAGTTACTCTAATACTATTATATATATAAGCACAATTAGTTCTAATAATATCAATTTGATAAGAGGATAATAAATAAAGAAAGATAATATTCCATAGTATTTGGAGATAAGAGTAAATATAGAAAAATAACTCTTTTAAATTTCAGATTACCCATCATATAAGAATGTGATTTAATATTCCGGGCGTTTTGATACAAGTCCATCTTATTAATTTGGGTTTGGTAGTTATCAGTCTGATTAAACTATTTCTGTAGAGTATCTTGAAGAAACTGATGAGTTTATAAAATTTTGAGTAAATCAGCTAAATTGAATAAGGTGAATCCTCATTTATTAACCTTATCCTCTCCCTCTCTATCTTTTAGACTGCTAAGATGTTAATTATATTTTTCTATAAATATATAAAAATTTTTGATGATAATATAATCGGACCTTTATTTTTTTGTGAGAATATAAAGTATACAGAAAAAAATGAAAAATTTCACATAATATTTTAAGATAATAACTGTAAATTTTATACTTAAAATATATTTTCAAGCAAGATTATTTTTTATTAAACTTTAAATCTCTTTCAAACAAAATATAAATAATAAAAAAAATTTTTGTAAATAAATACATTTTATCTAACAGAAACTGAATTATATGTTATTTCAATTAGCTTTTATTAGTTTTAATTTACTAACTATAAATTTTTGAAATATTTTAATAAGAATATATTTGATTCTATTATTTTATTTGGGTTAGATAATTTATTCAATAAACTCTTAATAATGTATTTAAAATATTACGGAATTCTAAAACTATGATATTAATAGTGATTAAATACTTTTTTTAGTTTATTATTGGTATTATTTTTATTAACTTTTTTAATTAGCAAACAAATATATTAAAAGTATGCTTAGTAAATAAAACTTGAAATTGTATAATATAATTTTTTATTTTTAATTACATGCAATTTTTATTTTAAATACCAATTTAAATATAATTTACCATCAGTTCTATTTATTTCATGCAAAAAATACACTTTATTTTATTGTATCAAACATTATTTAAACTACTATTAGTATTATCATAGTTGCTATTAATTTAGTAGATTACTGAATTATTTATTAAAATTGCTTAACCTTCAAAATATCATTATGACTTTTTTGTTCCTTTTTAATAAATTATATTAATTAATAATGAACAAAAAATTAAAAAATTAATAAAAGCAAGTCATTTTAATTTTTTATCAAAAAAAGGTTGATTTAATAAAATTTGTGAATAGTAATAAAAATTTGATTGATTAGAAAAAAAATTTGTAATAATACAGAACTTTGTTTCAAGATATACGAATGATAAATAATAAATTTTTAATTAGGTATTAGTCATCTTTTATAAGAATAGAAAAAATATTTTAATATAATAAAAAAATAGGTTCTGAGAACATTATAGGTATAAGAATAGTTGTCCTCTAATTCCAATTAAATTAAATAAAGGAATTTGCTAGTATTTTATATAAAATAATAAAATAATAAAACTTTGATTTTCTTTAGGAACAAAAAATTTATTTTATTCAATATAAAAAAATTGAAGATATGGAAGTTCCCTTAAAAGAGATATTAAAACCTTATCAAGATATTTATAAATAAATGAAGAATTTAAACTTAAATTTTATTAATAAAAATTAGCTGTTAGAATTAAAAATGAATTAAGTCTTAAGTAATTTATTTAAATAGAAAAAAAATTATTTTGAAAATATTTTTATCAATTATTTGATATATAAATTGAGTAAAAATTTTTTTGAGAACCAATTTAACAAAAAAATTGAAAAATTTTTACAATACATATGATTTTTGTTTTAAAAAATTTAAATCATTAAAATTATGATTTTTAAATAAATAATTTCATCGATTTAATAATTTTTAATTTATATATCTGTTAAAATCATAAAATTTATTGACTTTCAAATTAAAATGCTTTATTAAAAAAATAGGTAAGTTAATTTATAATTTAAATAAATAAAGCAGTCTATAAATTATATAAGTATTTTTGTAAATTAAGTTTGTTAAACTTCAAAAAACTCATATGAAAAAAATATTTTCTAATTTATTAAAATAAACCTCATTTTGAATTCAACAATCACAATTTTATGTTATTTAAAAGCAGAACCAATTAAAACTTAGTTTATTCTTACAAAAGAGGAAACTTAATTTAAATTTATATCAAAAGTTGTAAAGAAACTAATAAGTGATTATTTATATAAAATTAAGTAAAAACTATGAAGAATTTAGTTCTTTCTATTTTTATTTATGTTTTTTACTTTAACTCCCTATCAATATCAACATCAAAGGTTTAATCTCCAAATACTTGGGTTTATTCATCTTAGTATGACTATATAATACCTATTTCTGAACCTTAAGATATTTATAACAATATCAAAATCGCTTAATAAGCTAATCTTATCTTTGTTGCAGCTGGTAATTCAGGAGTAAAAGTCTTAGATCCTAAAAAAAGCTACTAAGTTATAAGCACACTTAGAAGTGATGAGTACTTAGAAGGATTTACTATTACTTAAGATGCAAAATATGTTTTTCTACCTTTAAATAGTAAGCTAACTATCTTTGATTATACTAGTAGAAGTTAATTTTAATAGATTGCTTAAGATTCAGTCTAAATTCTCAATGTAGATATGGTAATCAATAAAGCAGAGACTGTTGTTTTCATTTTCTAATCAACTGGATAGATCAGAGCTGTCAATGTCTCTAATAAGAAAAATCCTACTTTTGCTGGGACTGTTACTTGGCGCTCTTCTCAAATTTAAAGTGGTTTACTTTCATAAGATGATTAATGGTTATTTGTTTGTTAAGGATTTCAAGGATTAGCAATCTACAAAATTACCTACAACTAAGATGGCACTGTTTCTTTCTTTCTAGCCGGAGCTTTTCTAGGAGCCACATTTGGATCATATGCGATCAACCTCACTAGTGATTTAAAATATATTATTAATATTGATAACAAAAAGGGAGTTAGCATTGGAGACTTCACTCAAATAACTAATTCAGGAGGAGTTTATAAGTCTGCGACCTATACTGTCACTTGGTGGCCTACAGATATTACACTTCCTTCTCCATACTCCCTTTGTCTATCTGGTGATAATAATTTCTTATTCTTAGGTGTTCTTTCATAGGGTATTTATGTAGTAGATATTACAGATAAAACAAAACCTGTTTTATATGAGGTTATTTAAGTTGCTTACCAAGGTAAGTCAATTAAACTCTCTTAAGATGAGTCTAATTTATTTTATGCAAATGGCTAAAGTGTATAAATATTTCCTAAGACCACTCCAAATTTAAGTGACTAATATTTAAATTTATTTAACAAGCACTTAGTTACTTCCTATGATTGGTCCAGCACATACTTCTATTGGAGATGTGTAATTGATGACACCAATAAAATGTACTATGGCTCGTTTGATGATGATGGCTTGTGGATCTTTGATGCCTCACTACCCGAAGATATGGTCCTAAAAGTTAAACAATTTAAGCCTCCTAATTCATTAGCTAATATTGATATTGTTGTCTTTTTAAGAGGCTTTCAATATATTGTGCTTCCTGTTATAGATAATGTTAATGTATTCGCTGTCTATGCAACAAACGATATCATAACATTAGGATCTGGCGCTAACGCAATTTAAATGGTAGCTTATGATACAGATAACTATATAGTTGATGCAGATTATGATGAAATTGTAAACTTACTGGTTGGTGCTCTAGGGAATTCAGTTATTTTTATGGATATAGCTACTATTGGATCATTCTCTATAAAAACTGTTTGGAAATTTACTAACAAAATGAAAGGAAGTTGCACAGGAGTTATGTTTTCAGGCGATTTTAAGTATTTGATAGGAGCAAGCAGAGGTTATGGCTATTTTGTTTTGGATATCAGAAGTCTAAGCAACATCTAATTAGTAAATTATATTGATTCTTTAGGAGCTGAGAATGTATTTAAATATAAAATATCTCCCAACTATGGATTTTTTGTTGATGGTCTTTAAGGAATTTTCATAGCTAGTTTTGATAAAATGCCTTAAATAGATATTATTTCAAGAGTTGAAATTCTTGGGTGGAGTAATGACATAACATTTTTAAATAATGAAAAATTGCTACTTGTTTCTACTCTTGAACAGGGGATGGTTACCATGGTTGACATTTCTGACATAAATCACCCTTTCATAGTTTCAGAGTATAATTATGAAAACTAAAACGGTATGAGTACTTGTGCATTCTAAGATAACTCGTATATTTTCATCAACAACAATATTGGAGTACTTACTTTGCCAACAATCAGTCCAGTATAGATGCATGTTGAAGTTTAGTAGGTATTAGAATATTCATCGATTGTTTAGGATTTCATCTTTTAAAAGATGGATATAAAAGATGTATTCACTGTTGGAATGAATATTTAACTTGATATAATCTTTCTTTATTAACCATTAGATTTGATTGTTGATAGCATATGGCATTATCAAAAACAATAAATCGATCTTATTCCTATTTGGATGAACTATGATCCTGAAGCATATTCAATTAATATCCAAGTGGTAAAAGAAGCGATAGATGAAAAAAATATAAACTAACCTCTAGTAAATACAATTATTTTGAAGACCCTGAATCCGCTATACCAAACAGATTTTAATTACAACAACGCGTCTTGTCCTACTTCTTAAACATAAAATGAAGACATTTTTAAATATGTTTTGTCTCATGGTTACATAAACAATAATAGTGTGGTAAATCCTAATCTTAGCTTTACTTCTACGGAGGAAATTACAATATTTCCTAATTTAAGTGAAAGTTTTAACTAATGTATTAGCACAATGATCAAAAAAACTTTACTAAACTCAATATAATACTCTCCCATTTTCCTATTTTTCAAAACATCCCTAATTTACACTTAAAAGCCTGCAGATAAGCTAACCTACATTCAAACAGTTGCTAAAAAAGTTTCAGTATAACTCATAGTCCCAAAATTTAGTGGGAAATTTATTTATCAAAATTAAATAGGAGTTAATCTAACAGTAAACAGTGATAAAAATATAATTGAAATATCAGGTTTAGTTGAAAATGTTAATGGCTATCTTGCTAACAAGCTTATACTTTACGCTATGCCAGGATTTTCCTATGGATAGATTTAAGCCTAACTAATAATATCCGATGATATTAATTATGATTTGCAATATGATCTTTTGCTTCCATAAATTCCTTTTTTAAAAGAAAAAAGTCCTGTTTAATTAAATCCTTAATATATTCTTTAAGATTAATTTAATCAAAATTATTCAAATGGTGAAATAGAAATTCTTACATCATTTCTTTTCAATTTTGTTTAAACAACTTTTTAATCATTTGATGTAGGCTAAGTTACCTATATTGCTTACATACTTTAAGGAGATTAATTTCTGGTTCTTGATGCATCTCATTGGATTTCTTATAATGCTGAAAGTTAGAAGTTTTATGGAACTCCTCCTTAGTCATCATTTAAGACTTCTGTAACTATTAAGTTAGTTGGTGATGATGGCTACTAAAAAATTTCAGATACTTTTGTGATTAAAATTAACAAGTTACCAGTTTTATTAGTAATGTAATGGATATCATAAATTTTAGGACCAATAATTGGAGTTTTCGGCCTGTATAAATACAGAAATATATTTTATAATTCATTTTTTAAATACAAAAATAGATATACTAAAATAAATACTGTCGTAAATTAAAAATTTATTTTAAAAATCCCTTTGATTTCATAGGATTTAAATCAAGCTAAAGAAATGATTGAAAATCTGATACAAATTATATACAAAGAGAAGAATGGTATTAAAAAGTAAATAAATCTAGGTAAAATTGCTAGATTGAACACATTGAAAATTGGCGATATTGAAAATGATCATGCTCTAAAAAAAGAAGAAGAAAAACTGTAGAAAAAAGCTTTGAAGATATAAAACAGTTCAGAAATTGAAATTACCAATAATAAAAATAATGGTGATAATAACCATTCGATTTAAAAGAATAATTTTGCCTTTAATACAGATAGAAATGATATAACTAACTAGTTCAAAGATAAAATAATGGCAAGTAAAAATAACTTTAGAAATTCAAAAATAGAAAAGTAATACCTAAACTAAGAAGGAAAGATCAACATGTAATAAGTTATTTAAGATATGCTTCTATATAATGTTACATTTAAGATTAGTGGTAAGAAACTTGAAGCCAAAGCTTATAAAGAAGAACTTTATAACAAATAATCCAGTCTTTACAAATGCATCAAACTTTTATTAGCTCGCTATTTTATATCTCTAGATAAAAAGAGTCATTTAGTATCAGAGTATATCAAATATTATGGTAAATAGAACTGCTTTTTATATTCATCAAACGACTGGTATAAATAATTTGTGGACATTGTATCAGAAGATCAGTTAGATAAAAATGGGTAAATTATAGCCTTTCCAAAAATATTGATAAATTAAAATAAAATTGCTCCAGTTTTAATGCAGCTTGAACTTTTAAGCTCTAAATTAGAAAGTTTTGAATTTATAACTTCTAAAGGAATAAATCCATACCTCGTAAAGCTAGTTCTGAAGGCAGATGCTCTAGGTATAAATTTGAATCCTCCCTCTTCGCTGTTTCCATCATAAGGAGAATCCCTCTATATAAAACCAAGCTAATTAAAATCTGTTGAATCTTTTAAATATGCTCCTGGGGGTACTTGCTTTCCAATTATTAAATTCTTTAATATGGAATACGACCCATATGGACCAAAAGAAAACATGCAATTTCCTAATTGGTTAGAGTTAATTATGCAAAGCAAAGTAATTATTCTTTAAGGAACTCCTTAGTAATAAGATGCTGAAGAAATATTGATAAGATTTTATGGATTGTAAGGGTTTATCTATCGTTCTTTTACACTAAGAGTTAAAGATACTGAAGAAAACTATTAAAAAAGTAAATTTGCATTTAAGTTAAGGGATTCTAAATTTAAATAAGAGCATGTATAAAATAAAGACAATTCTTAGCTCTTGATAGTTAATGATAAATTCTATGAGTAGCAAAATACCTAAAATGACTTTGGATTGAGTGTAAATCAATTTCAAAGTATTTTCAATACAGTAGAAAATCATGAGAAAAAAGATTTGTAATAAAACTTTGAAAATAGTCCTCAAATTGATAACTTACCTACAGAATGTATAGGAACACCAGATATCAATTACAAAGAAGATATTCTTAAAGAATAAGATTGTATAGATTAAATTAATTTAAATTAATGAATTTTTGTAGTGTAGTTTGTGTTTTTTATTTTCATCTCTGTTTTAGCATAATTATATTTGAATAAAATAAATATAAATTAAAAATTAATTTTACATATTAAATAAAATAAATTTTCATGATATTATTTAAAATAAATTATGTATTAAAATTCTTTTTTATTTACAATATACATATTATTATGATTTTTGTTACAATTTACAGATTTTTGGAGTTTTCATTTTTAAAAACCAACCCTTAAAAAAGTTTTAATTTATGAGGAACTACAATATATAAAAACTTTTTAATTATTATTCATTATTTAAAAAATATATTTTCTTATTCTAAAAAAAGCTTTTTAATTAACCTATCTATATTTAAATATTATTAATTATTAGAACTATTTTTATTGCAAGTAAAAAAAATAAATATTGAAATAAATCAAAAACATTGAAGAAACATAACAAAATTTGTTGAACTGTACTATTATTTTAGTTAAAAGAAAATTTGAATTAATAAATTTTGATTATTTTACTTTTTTAGTCAATATTTAAAAAAATAGTTAAGATAATACGTAATCTGAATAAATAAAGAAGTCAATAAATTATATAAGTTTTCTTATGTTACAAAATTTATTGATTATTTTTGATGTTAAGTTTATAAAACTCCAAAAAATGCTCAAAGGAAAAAATTTATTTCTATTTCATTAAAATAATCCTTATTTTAAATTCATCATTATATATTTAAGTTTAATTAAAAGCAAAACCAATCAAAGCTTAGTTTATTATTAGAAAAGAGAAACTATAAATTTAAATTTATATCAAAAATTGTAAAGAAAATAATAAATCATCATTTAAATCAAATTAAGTAAAAAGTATGAAGAATTTAGTTCTTTCTATTTTTATTTATGCTATTAGCTTTAGTTAAATATTAAAAGCTTAATCTCCTAAAGCTTGGGTTTATTCATCTTAGTATGACTATATAATACCTGTTTCTGAACCTTAAGGCATGTATAACAACATCAAAATTGCTTATTAAGCTAATCTTGTCTTTGTTGCAGCCGGTGATTCAGGAGTAAAAGTATTAGATCCTCAAAAAAACTATCAAGTTATAAGCACATTTAGAAGTGATGAATACTTAGATGGATTTACTATGACTTAAGACGCAAAATATGTTTTTCTACCGTTTAATAGTAAGCTAACTATCTTTGATTATACTAGTAGAAGTTAATTTTAATAGATAGCTTAAGATTCAGTCTAAATTCTGAATGTAGATATGGTAATTAATAAAGCGGAGACTGTTGTCTTCATTTTCTAATCAACTGGATAGATCAGAGCTGTCAATGTCTCTAATAAGAAAAATCCTACTTTTGCTGGGACTGTTACTTGGCGCTCTTCTCAAATTTAAAGTGGTTTACTTTCATAAGATGATTAATGGTTATTTGTTTGTTAAGGATTTCAAGGATTAGCAATCTACAAAGTTACCTACAACTAAGATGGCACTGTTTCTTTCTTTCTAGCCGGAGCTTTTCTAGGAGCCACATTTGGATCATATGCGATCAACCTAACAAGCGATTTGAAATATATCATTAATATTGATAACAAAAAGGGAGTTAGCATTGGAGACTTCACTCAAATAACTAATTCAGGAGGAGTTTACAAGTCTGCGACCTATTCTGTCACATGGTGGCCTACAGATATTACGCTTCCTTCTCCATACTCCCTTTGTCTATCTGGTGATAATAATATCTTATTCTTAGGTGTCCTTTCATAGGGTATTTATGTTGTAGACATTACAGATAAAACAAAGCCTGCTTTATATGAGGTTATTTAAGTTGCTTACCAAGGTAAGTCAATTAAACTCTCTTAGGACGAATCTTATTTATTTTATGCAAATGGTTAAAGTGTCTAAATATTTCCAAAGACGACTCCAAATTTAAGTGACTAATATTTAAATTTATTTAACAAGCACTTAGTTACTTCCTATGATTGGTCCAGTACATACTTCTATTGGAGATGTGTAATTGATGACGCAAATAAAATATACTATGGCTCATTTGATGATGATGGCTTGTGGATTTTTGATGCCTCAGTACCAGAAGATATGAAGCTTAAAGTTAAACAATTTAAGCCTCCTAATTCACTAGCTAATATAGATATTGTTGTCTTTTTGAGAGGCTTTCAATATATTGTACTTCCTATTATAGATGATGTTAATGTCTTCGCTGTCTATGCTACAAACGACATCATAACATTAGGATCTGGTGCTACTGTAATTTAAATGGTAGCTTATGATACAGATAACTATATTGTTGATGCTGACTATGACGAAACTGTTAACTTACTGGCTGGTGCTCTAGGAAATTCAGTTATTTTTATGGATATAACTACTATTGGATCATTCTCTATAAAAACAGTTTGGCAATTTACTGACACCATGAAAGGAAGTTGCACTGGAGTGATGTTTACTGGGGATTTTAAGTATTTGGTAGGAGCAAGTAGAGGATATGGGTATTTTGTTTTGGATATTAGAAATCTAAACAATATCTAATAAGTAAATTATATTGATTCTTTAGGAGCTGAGAATTTATTTTAATCTACTATATCGCTCAACTATGGATTTTTTGTTGATGGTCTTTAAGGAATTTTCATTGTCAGTTTTGATAAAATGCCTTAAATTGATATTATATCTCATGTTGAAATTCTTGGATGGAGTAATGATGTAACCTTTTTAAATAATGAGAAATTGCTGCTTGTTTCTACTCTTGAATAGGGTATGGTTACCTTAGTTGACATTTCTGACATAAAAAACCCCTTCATAGTTTCAGAGTATTATTATGAAAATTAAAATGGTATGAGTACTTGTGCATTCGAAGATAACTCGTATCTTTTCATAAACAACAATATTGGAGTTCTTACTTTGCCAACAATCAGTCCAGTTTAGATGCATGTTGAAGTTTAGTAGGTATTAGAATATTCATCAATTATTTAGGATTTCATCTATAAAAAGATGGACGTAGAAGATGTATTCACCGTTGGAATGGATATTTAACTTGATATAGTCTTTCTTTATTAACCTTTAGATTTGATTGTCGATAGCATATGGCATTATCAACAACAAATAATGAATCCTATTCCTACTTGGATGACCTATGATCCTGAAGCTTATTCAATTAATATTCAAGTGGTAAAAGAAGCGATAGATGAATAAAACATAAGCTAACCTCTAGTAAATACAATTATTTTGAAAACCCTAAATCCGCTTTACCAAGCAGATTTTAATTACAACAATGTGTCTTGTCCTACTTCTTAAGCATAAAACGATGACATTTTTAATTATATTTTGTCTAATGGTTACATAAACGATTCTAATGTTGTAAATCCTAATCTTAGCTTTACTTCTACATAGGTAATTACAGTCTTTCCTAGTTTGAGTACAAGCTTCAACTAATGCATTAGCACGATGATCAAATAAACTTTACTCAACTCGATATAATATTCTCCTATTTACCTATTTTTCAAAACATCTCTGATCTACACTCAAAAGCCTGCAGATAATCTAACCTACATTCAAACTGTTGCTAAAAAAGTTTCAGTATAACTTATTGTCCCTAAATTTAGTGGAAAATTTATTTATGAAAATCAAATAGGAGTTAATCTATCAGTAAATAGCGATAAAAATATAATTGAAATATCAGGTTTAGTCGAAAATGTTAATGGCTATCTTGCTAACATTCTTGTACTTTACGCTATGCCAGGATTTTCCTATGGATAGATTAAAGCCTAAGTAACTATATCTGATGACATTAATTATGATTTGCAATATGATCTTTTGCTTACAGAAATTGCTTTTTTAAAAGAAAAAAGTCCTGTTTAATTAAATCCTTAATATATTCTTTAAGACTAATTTAATCAAGATTATTCAAATGGTGAAATAGCGATTCTAACATCATTTCTTTTCAATTTTGATTAAACCACTTTTTAATCACTTGATGTAGGCTAAGTTACCTACACTGCTTACATACTTTAAGGAGATTAATTTGTGATCCTTGATACATCTCATTGGATTTCTTATTATGCTGAAAGTTAGAAGTTTTATGGTACTCCTCCTTAGTCATCTTTTAAGACTTCTGTAACTATTAAGTTAGTTGGTGATGATGGTTACTCAAATGTTTCAGATACTTTTGTGATTTAAATTAACAAGTTACCAGTTTTATTTGTAATATAATGGATATCATAAATTTTAGGACCATTAATTGGAGCTTTGGGTATGTATAAATACAGAAATATATTTTACAATGCATTTTTTAAATACAAAAATAGATACACTAAAATAAATGCAATTGTAAATTAAAAATTTATTTTAAAAATCCCTTTGATTTCATAGGATTTGAATCAAGCAAAGGAAATGATTGAAAATCTGATACAAATTATTTACAAAGAGAAGAATGGTATTAGCAAATAAATAAATCTTGGTAAGATTGCAAAAATGAACACATTGAAAATTGACGATATAGAAAATGATCAAGTTCTGAAAGAAGAAGAGGAATAACAGTAGAAAAAAGCTTTGAAAATCTAAGAATAAGAGTAAAACATTTAAGACATTGAAATAACCAATAATAAAAACAACGATGATAATCACCAATAGATTCAAAAGAATAATTTTGCCTTCAATACAGATAGAAATGATATAACTAACTAGTTCAAAGATAAAATAATGATGAGTAAAAATAACTTTAGAAATTCAATAGTAGAAAAGTAATATCTGAACTAAGAAGGAAAGATCAACATGTAACAAGTTATTGAAGATATGCTTCAATATAATGTTACATTTAAGATTAGTGGTAAGAAACTTGAAGCCAAAGCTTATAAAGAAGAACTTAATAACAAACAATCCAGTCTTTACAAATGCATCAAACTTCTATTAGCTCGCTATTTCATTTCTCTAGATAAAAAGAGTCATTTAGTATCAGAGTATATCAAATATTATGGTAAAAAGAACTGCTTTTTGCATTCATCAAATGACTGGTATAAATAATTTGTGAACATAGTATCAGAAGATCAATTAGATATAAATGGATAAATTATAGCCTTTCCAAAGATATCACTAAATAAAACTAATATTGCTCCCGTTTTAATGTATCTTGAACTTTTAAACTCTAAATTAGAAAGTTTTGAATCTATATCTTCTAAAGGAATAAATCCACACCTTTTAAAGCTAGTTCTCAAGGCAGATGTACTGGGTATAAATCTGAATCCTCCCTCTTCTCTGTTTCCATCATAAGGAGAATCCCTCTATATAAAACCAAACTAATTAAAATCTGTAGAATCGTTTAAATATGCTCCTGGAGGTACTTGCTTTCCAATAATGAAATTCTTGAATATGGAATACGACCCATATGGGCCTAAAGAAAACATGTAATTTCCTAATTGGTTAGAGTTAATTATGCAGAGCGGTGTAATTATTCTTTAAGGAACTCCTTAATAATAAGATGTCGAAGAAATATTGATAAGATTTTATGGATTGTAAGGGTTTATCTATCGTTCATTTACACTAAGGGTTTAGGATACTGAAGAAAACTATTAAAAAAGTAGAGTTGCATCTATGTAAAGGAACTCTAAATTTAGATAAGAATCTGTATAAAACGAAGAAAAATCTTAGCTCTTGATAAGTAATAATAAATTTTATGAGTAGCAAAATACCTAAAATGGTTTAGGAGTGAATTTAAATTAATTTTAAAGTATTTTAAGTGCAGGAGAACATTATGAGAATAAACCTTTGAGATAATCTAACTTTGCGAATAGTCCTCAAATTGATAATTTACCTACACAATTGATAGGAACACCAGATATCCATTAAAAAGAAAAGATTCTTAAAGAATTAGATAATATACAAGAAATGAATCTAAATGAATGAATTTTTGTAGTTATATGTTTTTTTATCTTCATCTCTGTATTGTATGAGCATAATCATATTCAAATGTTTATTTGGAAAAGTCAAATCTATATAAAAAATTAATTTAACTTTTTAATAAAATATATTAAAATCTTAAAATTCAACCACAATTATGAGAGATACTATCCCCCCATAGAAATTATTGTACTATCCCTTATTTAAACGTTTTAATGTATCAGGAGTAGTGAATTCCATTATTTTTGAATGTGGTAATTCAATTCTTTAACTGTTTTGTAATTTTTTTTTAATAATTAATTTTTGTATGTCTACTCAAATACTTTCTATTTGGTAGGGATCAAGATAAATATTTGGTCAGTTTTTTATTTAATATTCAAAACTTACATTTTTGATATGTTGCTGGACTAATTTACTTCTATGATTAGGATCATTGAGGTGGACCAAATCAACACCAAATATTCACATGTAAAAAACAATCTACACAAAGTAAGCAAGTAGTTTCTAAAATATTAATATATATTGCTAATCCTGTAATTAATATATCACCAACTGAATAGGTACAGATGGCGATATTTCATTTAGGTTGAATTGAGTCCAACAAAAAAATGCCATCTTAGATTGCTTTTAATTATGATTTATTGCCTTAATTATTTATATATAAATATATCTTTCTTAATATAAAAATATTTAAAATTAAAAATTTTGTTTAAGAAAATGAATTTATATGTATATTCCCAAAATTAGAATTAATTAATTTTTATTGCATAATAGAAAATATTAATTCATAGTAATATTAATTTTATTTTATTTTTAAAATTTAATTCAAGATTCTCTAAAGAAAATTATTTTTTACTATTTGAATTGGCGTTAATTAGTATTGTCATCTTACAAATGATGAAAAATTGAATTGAAGATAAGCTAGAAATAAGATTTGAATTGTTAGATATTTTTTAATAGTTAAGTAAGTAGGATTCTAGAATTGTGATTAGATAGATAGAATATTTAGAGAAAAAATTTATGTCTGTACAAATTGCAGACTGAAATGTAAATTTAATAAGATTAGATGAATGGGGTTAGAAAAGGGCGCGATAAATTATGATAGAATATAAAGAACATTCATAGATAATTTAATTTCTAAGAAATCCAAATAAAATTAGTAATCTTAATATTTAATTAATAAATTCCTTTTTGGTTTTAACATCAGTTTGGTTCTCTTGTATTTATTTAAAAATTGATTTACAAGATAAAATATAGGTAGGATATTCTTTTTTATTACAAAACAATTAACTAAGATTTATTTTAACAAATAATTTAAAATTAAGTTGTAATTTAGTAGATTTAAAGCTATAAAATTTGCTTACAAATTCACAAAATATTGTCAGGAGAGATTAATTACAAGAAGCCATGAATTCCTACAATTTTATTCATAATATTTACAAATCATATAGCATCGGCCCAGCTTTAGAGGCAAGGATAGCAAATAATTTTACCAGCAATAAAAAAGACAATGCAAGCATGGAGATAGAGTCAGAGTAAAACAATAATTTAGTCAACGTGCTCATTCTTTATAAGCAAAACACCATTGAGTTATGGAGATAAAATAGCATTAGCAAAGGTTTCTTAGAAAATATCGCTGAAGTGCAAGTTTATTGCAATATTTTAAAAGTAGCAGTTATTAAATCCTCAGATAGTTAAAAAAGCGATATCATTTTCATTATCAGTGATGATCTCCAATATAGATTTTTCAGGATTAATATCAAAGGAGAAGTTCAAGTTTTAGAGCAAGGCGTTGTTTAGAATCTAGATTAAGAAAAAATTTCAGATGTCTCTCAAGTTTTTATTTCTCAATTGAAAATAAATAAATCTGAGTCAAATTGCATAATTGGTATTTATGCATATTATAAAAACATCAATCTTATAGTTTTCAAGGAGCTAGAAGGAGAAATTAAGCTTGTCGCATAGTCTTAAGTTAAAAAGTAAGCAATTATGGAGAAGATTTATAATATAGTTGCTATCGAGCAAAAGCAAAATTAAAATCAACACTTGATTGGAGTTTACTACAGCTATCAAAGAGAATCGAGATTTGCTTATTCTCAATTAGAAATCGAATAAATAGATAATGATTAATATAAACTCTCTGCAAACAAAAGACACTGTCTTGTTCATGAAACAGAGAGCTAATAAGTATATGCTCTCTAACTTTTCACTTAACAAGGATTAATTTTGTTTAGTGATTACAAAATATTTTACTATTCTTACAATGATAAAAGCACAATTGAGTTCACAACACCATTTCCTGATGAAGTGATTTGTCATTCACATGTAAAAGATACTACATACTTCATAGCCACTTAAGATGCAGCTTTCCAATCATCACTTTACTTAGTTAATATTTTAGCTTCTTCTAGATCTATAGATATTAAATATCTAGGTAGAATATCTCCTCCAACAAGCATAATTTAATTGCCAGAATAACACATTTTCATTAGTAAATTTTATAATAATATTATTAAATTTAAAATATTTATGATATTTTTATTTGATAAAATAAAACTTGAATATAAAATAATATTCACTGACTTCTTTTCGTAGATTTTCACAAAAATAGAAATATTTTATTTGATATTTTTTCAATATGTTTTCTCAATATTTGATATTTAAAATAAATTGAATTTAATTAATAAAAATTTTAAATATAAATAGCATCTGTTGATGACGACTGCAAAGTGATAAAAGTACATGATAAGTTTATTAAGAATTTGGAAGGTCATCTTGAAGTTAAGCTAAAACTTTCTAATTTATCATCAATATATAATATGAAATTGCTAGAGAGTGACTTTAATTAAAGATTGATAATATCAAGTCCAAGAAAGGAGCAATCGATGAATATTTTCTAAAAGGGAATGAGCTTAATTTAAAAGGGAGAAATCAAATTCAATTCTCCAATTAGAGAAATGCTAGTCGTCCATAGCGTATTTATTGTCGTAAGTTTTGATTTTTAGACTTTAATCTTGAAATTAGATGATAAAAAAGGCTCATTTAACGTTGTTATGAATATTAATTGTGGTTTATTGAATGTTTTCGCTTTAGAAAGTAGCTCTGAATCTCAAAAGCTAGTATGTTTAGTATCTGCTTAATCCATTAAATTAATTGACTTGACTAGAGCAAATATACTTTCAGAAATAGCTATCTCAAATAAAAGAATAATTTTAAGCACAATCAATAAAAATATTTTAATTACAGCTGACTCTACTAATAACTTGCAAGCTTTCAATTTTCTTAATAATTAAATTAGTCAAGTAGAAACCTTTTCTTATAATTCAAGATACTCCTATAGTGCAATTAATTCCTATGGAAATTACATCGCTGTAGCATTATGGTTCTAATCGTATATTATCCTCATCAATGCAAGTGATCCAACAAAAACCCATCAAATAGATATTCCTACTTAAAAAGTAGTTCGCAGTTTAATCTTCCATGAAGAAAATAAATTGTTAATTGGATATAGTGATGGTATTATCAGCTTAGTCTACTATTCAACTGATGATCAAAATAACATCGTTACTTCTAACAATTAAAAAAATATGGTTATAGGATACAAACCAGTAAAATTTAGATAGCTTCGACTATTCTCGTCTTACTGTTAATCAAGCACTCCTGCTTGTATATGTAAAACTTTAATTCTTTTTTTATTACTTAGCTTTTTTTAAATCAAACCAAAATTTAATCTAAAAATTAAATCCCAATAATTTTTTTAGTCATAAAAAGAAATCAATTTTTTTAATGCATTTAAAATGTATTTTAAAACATAAAAAGCTTGTATTTCAAATGAAGTCAGCATTTTGTCATTGAGAAAAGTGGATGAATCTTACTAAAGATACCAAAAGACTTACTTTAATATTTAGGATGTTAATCAAATAGATGAAATCGAAATTAATGGAGTTCCTTACTTAATAATGGCAAAAAAGAATTGTTTATCGATTGGTGGAATTGAAGTTAGTTAAAAATTCCATATTTATAGTTTTGGTAAGGATGTCAAAGAACAAAACGAATTCAGATGCTAAACTGAATTGGTTGACGTAATTAGAAATATGAGTATTTCCATTAGCATAGTAGAAAATGAGTAAGATGATGTTGTTTGCTCTAATATTTTACTTCACTCAATTAAAAATTAAGATTTACTATAATAACTTAAATTTAATAACACATGCATTTACTCTTTATTGGTAGTAGGAGATTATTTCTTCATCGGAGGAAAGCAAGAGTAAAATTAAACTTATGAAGGATTCCTTTAAGTTTACTTAGTGGATAATGAAAACAAAATGATTTAAGTAGATAAATTAGCATTTAAGATTCCTGTTATGCAAATTTAAAAATATAGTGAAAACTCCATAGCAATTATATTAGGACATGAAAACTTTAAAATTTACTAAATGCCTTACACAAGCGCTCAAGAATACTCAATTTTAAAATAGAATACCCAACATAAATTCTTATAAGAAATAGTCTCATAATCAAACCTAAACATAACTGCCCTTTCTTTGGATTGCAACAAAAGAAATTAGATTTTGATTGCTGATAGAACTTAAGGTATTTAGCTATTTTAAGAATAAAACAAAAAAGTTATGCTTGCTGCCAAGTCTCCCTTCCCAGTCTTTTCTACCCATGCTAAGTTCCTAGGAGACGAAAACATAGTTTTGTCTGATTCAAACACTAATATTGTGATTTTCCGTTAGAATGATTTTGCAGAAAACGATTTCGAAAGGATGAAATTGCTGGTAAAAAAATAATTATTTTTATTAAATTCATTATCAAAAATCAATTAAATTTTCAAATAAAATGAATAAAAGAAAACTATCTTTAAAAATCAATTTTTTTACAATAAAAATTAAGAAAAGCATCCATCATACTATTTTAAAGCAATACACAAGCTATGATTATTTTCATATTTCTAAAGAGCTTTTCTTGTATATTATAAAATAAACAATTTTTAATAAATAAAAAAATTCATCTTTTATATAAATTCAAAGATTGAATTTATTATCAATTTATTGCTTTATAAATATTTTGGATTTAATCAAATTAAATCTAGTAGTTATTATAATTGCAGATGAAATAAATGAAAAGAATTAGTAATTAAATAATAAGAGCAATCAAAGTTATTACAGATAGACTAATAGAATTTGTGCTTACTTTATTTTAATCATTTTTAAAAAGAATATGATTAAAAAGATTTATTCTTGTAAAAATAAATTAAAGGAATTTTTATTAAGGCTTGATTGAATAAATTAACAATTTTGTAACAAAGTTTAAGAAATAAGTTGAACTAGTATTTAATAATTGCTAAAAACTGATTTTAAATATTTAAATTTTATTTTTTATTTTAATGAATTCTTTTTTAAAATCTCAATAATTAATTATAAATACTATTATAAACTAAGGTTTTATCAGCAATAAATAATGGTGATATAGTAATAACTTCTTTAAGAAGAAAGGTGAACACTAAAGATGTGAAAGATAAATATATTACAACTGAAGGATTAGATTAAGTTATTTATGGTACTCAAAAAGGTTGGATTGGAGTTATAATGTCTTTGAATGAATAAGCTTACACAGTGTTACAAGATTTACAAGAATCTATTTTGCAAAAATTTAAATGTCCTCTTAAATTTGACTACAATAAATGGAAATCTATAAGAGTAAATACTCATTTTTATTTTAATTTTAAAATAATTTTTATCAATAATTTGTTAATAAATTTAATTAGAATATTCCATAGAGCAAATCAGATAAAAGTAACTTCATTGATGGAGAAATCATTTTCAAAGTTTTAAAAATGAGCCAATCAGAGCTTGTTTAAGTTTTAGATGGAATGTCAGCAATGCCAAAACCCTCAATAGCAGAAATGGAATAACTAATCGAAAATTTAGACTTATTAATATTCTGATTTTTCTTGTTTCAAAATCTCTAAAATAAATTTATCAAAATAAATTAGTAAATTCATTCTAAAATTTATAATATTTATTTTGTAGTAAACATATTAATGAATAGTATTCAATTTCTCTCCATTTTAAATATATTATTTAATTTAATTATTCATTTAAATCAAGATCAATTTATTTATTTATTTAATATAAATCAATTCAAGAAGAAATATAAAAATAATGCAAAGTGAAGATTATTCTATCTACCTTTAAAAAATTTAGATAAAGATTTTTCATAAAGCGTTAAATTGATTTAAGTAATTTATTAAAATTTTTACAAACAAATTAAATTGATTACTTTTCTACAAAATATAGAGAAAATAAAATAAATTTAGTTATAAATTTTAATTACATTTAATTTATAGAATTTATATTGTAAAATACATTTATTTTTAAGAAAATTTTTTATAATTATTTAATTATTTGTTTGTTTTTTTTTTGCTTGCTATTGATTTATATTTTTTAACATTTTTGCTTATTTATTTATTCTTCATCTTTAATTTATTTATTTAATCGTAATAAAAATTTTAACTTCAATAAATTCTTTTAATTGGCTTGTATTGAACATTTTGTTAAAATTAGTTTGACAATAATTATTGATGTTATTGTTGTTATTATTATTACTACAATTATTAGATTTAATTTGTGTTTTGTTAGAAGTATGGAATAAATACTTTAACATTATTGTTGTTGGGGTTATTGTTTTATTTTGTTTGCTATTAAGGAATATTTATACTCTCTCTGTTAATCTCCCATTATTTCTTTACTTTTTCTCTTAATTATTCTGCGAGTGGATGATTTGAAATGGTACTTTAATTTGTAGTTTGTTTTTCCTTTTCAGCCAAAGCTTTTCTACCCGCAAATGTTCTTAATTTATTGTTTAAGTGGTTTCTATTTAAGTGATCATCATTGCTGCTGTTGCTCTAAGATTACTATCTGCTTTAAGGGCCAACGTTGATTAAATTATTAAATTATAAATGACTTATAGGATTTTCTGTAGTATTTTGATTTATACTAAAATTTTCATTGAATTTTTATAAATTGGTATGACTTTTTTATTAATTAATTTATATTTAGTGGTGATTTTAAGTTGTTGGGTTTGAACTAGGTAACTAAGAAACGTCTATACTCTATATTGATATTTGACATGAAGGATTCTAAGAAACGTTTGAATACAAGCGCTTCATAAAATCAGCTTTAGAGACTTTAACATTGGCTTAGATATTTTCGATTCTCTTTTTTAGGTTTTCATGAGCAAGTTCATAATCTTTATTTTATTGAGATAAACTGCTATTTTTATTGTTATTGGTGATATTATTTATATTTGGATTAACATTTTCTTTGTTGGCTTGGCTATTGACTGAATAATATTACTATTATTAATTATCTTTCATTTAATTATTCATATTCTACAAGTTATTTAAATTATTTTGTTGTTGAATTTCTATGTTAATTTAGCTTGGTATTTGGTTTTAGTTTCCTTAATTTACGGAGTTAAATTGAGAGGGGTTTTAATAATAATTTTAAGTACTTTAAATCTAGCTGTTAATTGTATTCATTTGAGTATTATTTTACTAACTGGAGCCAATTGTTATACTGCGTGGTTTCTTAAATTGCTGTACTGCTAAGAAAGGATTGACTTGATTAACATTAGCTTTGGTAATACTTATAGAGTTATTGCTGCTTTGTCTTGAGAAGCCATTTTATGCAGCCTATTAAGCATTGTTTATTTAGTTATTATTTTATTTTTGTAAAGGGATTCTCTTTTCTTAAATAAGGTTAGGATATTAATGCTCTAAGTTAATCTTTCTAGAAAATCTTCCTCTCAGAGAATTAGCTGGGTTCATCAACTACTGCATCTTGAATTGCTGCTAGCTTTGTTTAAATTGTTGTTGCTACTAAAATAACATAAATGCATCCTCTGCTGTATCACAACTCTAAGTTCTTATTCTTCTAACTTATTGTTATTATTGTTGAAGCTAAGCTTAATTCTAAAAATAACCACACTCATTTGCAGTCTCAGTTCTCAAATAATTAGCAAAGTTATTATTTAAGATGTTAACATTGTTTTTAGTATTATTACTGTTAATAAATTCGCTTAAAAGCTGAGGAGATTGAGACATAATTGAAGATTAATCATCTTAAGTATCGAGTCTAGATGAAGACTTCTGCTATAAACTCTATTTTTATTAAGCAGCTAGCATTTTCTTTTAATCACTTTCTTCTCTTCTTACGGCTTCAAAAATTTCATAAAGTTGGCAGTTGTAGTTGTATTTTGACTTTAATGGCATAGCGTTACCAAATTTAATTGCTATATATTGATGAAAATTCTCAAAGAAGTCATCTATTTGATGCTATTCCCAACAACTTCTACTGAATAGTTTGCGAGAAGACTACGAGTTCTAGTTGCTGAGAGAAATCTGTTCCTTACTCAAGCTATTTAGGTCAGGAGAATTGTATTGAGATTATAGTTGCTATTGCTATTATTATTGGTAAGACAACAGTTGTCTCTATGAATCACTTGAGTCTGATGCTATCATTCTATTTAAATGGTTAATATCAATTATCGCAAAAAAAAAAAATTAATTGATTATTTTGATTTTGATTTATTTTGTTTATGTTTGTTTTGTTTTGTTTTTTTGGATATATTCTGTTCAAACAATATTAATAAACAAAAAAACAAACAAATAAATAATTAATATCTTCTTAAACGACTTATTTTGAATTTTTGTTTTTTTACTCATCAATTGCTCTTTAAATTTTTGAAAAGCATAGAAATTTTGGTTTTTAAATTGAATGAATTAGTTGGTTTTTAACTGACTCTTTGGTTTCTTAAATCACAAAAATATCCTACCTCATATCTTATTTAGATATTATTATTTACTTACATGTTCCATTATAAAGCATTTAAAATATATTCATTCATTCAATAATTATATTGATTATTATTTAAACAAATAAACAACCTAATTTAAATAGCAACAAAATTTGCCTTCTAAGCCATTTAAAATAAGTCATTTGAAAAATTTTATCTTAATATTTAGTGCTAATTAACTTTTTTGAAACAAATCAATAAAAAAATATTGAATTTCTAATCTTAAATTTATATTTATTTAGATTAAAACCAAATCAAAGACATTTTTTTATTTTGAAATTTGATAATTCTGTATATGCAATCAAACAGAATAAACTCTGAAAATGTTTTTAATATTAACGAATCATTAAAAATTTACATTTAATTTTGTGAATTATCTTAAAATTCTTAGGGCATGTTTTTTACATTTATGAATTTTTTTCATTTTCTATTCTTAGATTTTATAAAAACAAATAAAATAGAGCCAAATTTATTATATTACAATGAAAGAAATTGTAGTTAAATAATAAAAATTACCTGAAACAGATAAAAAGATTAAACCAACAATTATTTTATTTATATTTTTAAATTACATAGCAAATTAAAAAATAAATTAGATAAAGGAGAAAAAAAAGAAATTGATATCTGGAAATGGTATTTAACTCATCAAAACAAGTAAACTTAAATTAGAATATGATTCCATTTAAATAACCTTTTTTTATGCTAAAAAGTTTCTTAGCATTGAATCTTCTAACTATCAAATGATGAAACTAAATTTAGGGTGATTTTAATATTAAAATTATAAGTTTTGAATTTTTTACTAATAAATAAATGATTTTAATATGCAGATACCAAAAATTAGGGCTAAAAGGAATGCAAGATTTTATTCCTAGATTAATTTAATCTAAAAATCTTTAGAATCTTAAAATATTTTTGCTGTAACTTGTCCTAATTTTGTTAATAAATTTCATATTTAATATTTTTGTTTTAAAAAGGGAAAATTAGCTTGGTGATGAAGGAATTGAATGCTTAGCAAGTGGATTAACTTAATTAAAATAGCTTTAATATTTAGATATTGATATTGGGTTTGCTATTTAAAATAATAAAATATAAATCATTTAATAATTTATTTTTTATAAAGGCGAAACTAGATAAATGATTAAGGAGCTATTTTTTTAGGGAAAAGTTTAATCAACTTAGATAATCTGAATACTCTTAAAATTAGTTTTGCAGTGTAAAGAAATTTATAAAACTGGTTTATACTTTTAGTATCTCTATATTTTAAATAAAGTCGAAATTTCATCAAATCAGAGGGAGTTTAAGGATTAGGATATGGAATAGGGCTTTGTAAAAACCTTAAAAATTTAGATATAAATTTAAAGTAATAAAATAATATATTAATTTGAATCTTAAAAAAAATTAAATAAAAAACATAATTAAATATTAAATTAACATTCCAGATTATATTGCAAAGTAAAATTTAACACCGATTTACTTCAATTAAAATTTAAAAATTTTGATGAAAAGGAATTTGAAAAAAATTATTAAGATTGATTAAAAATTTTAAAAATCAAATATAATAACATTTTTAAGAAATAAAACATAAATTATTTTTATATTGTTAAACTAAATCAATAAACAAAAAATAAAGTGAATTTTTTATTTTTAATGTGAATCATCAGTTTTTATGGAAATTAATTATTTCTTTAAAGCTTAAATTTAAATAAACATTTTATTATAAGATTTAATAGTATAGGAGAGTCTGGTGCTTTATTATTGGGATAAGGGATTGGTAAATCCTAAACTTTGGAAAGTATAATAATCGATTTAACGTATTTTTTTAAAGTTACAAGAATGTATATAATTAGAATTAAAATATACTAAATTAGTGCAAATTAAATAGGAGACATAGGTCTATCAGGTTTATCAAGCTAAATTGCTGAGCTAAATACATTAAAAAATTTAATTCTTTATTTGCAGTAAGTATATTAAATTTTTAATAAATAAATAACCTAAAATTTAATTGCTTAATCAACAAAAAAATCTAATGAAATAAGATAAATCAATTTTACATGCATAAATTATTTTTATTGATTATTTTAGAATAAATAAAATAACTTTAGTTGAGTGCTCTGAATTTGGTTTAAATTTGAGTTAATGTCTTAGTCTAAGCAATTTAGAATTGCATTTAGAGTAAAATCTTTTTAATTCTATCCAAAAAATTAAATTAAACTCCTATGTTTGTTATGAGAAGATAAAATTAAATTGAAGCTAAAGGAATATAAAATTTATCAAATTAGTTAGGTTAAATCTAAACCTTAAAACATTTACAATTAAACTTAAAGTAAGATAAAAATATTTATTTGCTTAAGTTATATTCATTTATAAATTTAAGTCAAAGTAATATTTGCAATGAAGGAGCAACCTTTATAGGATTAGGCTTAGGTTAATCTTAAAGTTTAGTTAACTTAACTCTTAATTTGAAGTAATTTAATATTTTATTACTAAAATTTGTTAAGTTTAAAATTATTTGTATTAGGGAATGTAATATCAAAGAGTCAGGTGGATCAAGCTTAGGAAAAGGAATAGGTTAGTGTAGTAATCTTTAAATATTAAACTTAAACTTAAGGTTGGTTATTCATTCATTCATAATTTTTACTTGATATAATATTAAATATTAATTTAAAAACAAAAATTAGTAGGAATATTATTGGAAATGAAGGAGTATAAGGCATTGGTATAGGACTGAGCTTATGCCAAAAATTAACACATTTAGATATAGATTTAAGGTAATGAAATTTTTATTTTAAAAATTAACAATATTTAAATAATAACAAATAAAAACTATTTTTGATGCTTTGATTGCTTTATATTGAAAAATATAATATGAAAGAATATTAAACATGATAAATAAATTAGAGAAAATAATATAGGAAGTGATGGTGCTACTATTTTTAGTGAGGGCTTAGGATAATGCAAAAATCTTGAAAATTTAACATTGAGTTTATAGTAAATTAATTAATTAATTATTTTATTTTTAATTTCTAACATAAAAGAAATACTTTATTTTCTTAAAATTTTTATTCTAATTTTCTTATTTTATAATAAGTCGTAATCAAATTGGAGATACAGGAGCTAAAAATTTAGGGATAGGATTAAAGCAGTACCAAAGATTAGTCTAAGCAGTATTAAACTTAAGGTAATTTAAATATAAAATAAATGATTTTTTTTTTATTAATATATTTAATAAATATAGCTATAATTAAATAACTGGATAAGGAGCATTTGGCTTAAGCGATGGATTGAAATATTGCTCTAACTTAAAAGATTTAACTATAAGTTTGTAGTAAAATATTTATAATTTATAATTATCAATATTTAATTACTTTTAGCTTTTTAAAATACCTCAAACTTTAAAAAAATATTTCATTTTTATTATTTAGTCATAACTAGATAGAAAATGATGGAGCCTCTCAATTTGGAAATAACCTTGGTTAATGCTAAAATCTTACAATTTTAAATTTAAACTTGAGGTAAAAACAAATATTAAAATTTAAATATTATACTTGTTATACAAACAAAGATTCAAATTAAAAATTTTAGAGAGATTATCAAAAAAATGAGAAAAAAAAAATTTATTCAATCATCTCAAATCATAAAATTGATGACTACTATTATCCTGATCAAAATTTATTTTATATTGATTTATTTCTTCAAAAATAAATTAAATTATCTCAACTTTACCTTATTTAAATATAAACTAAAAAATAGATATGATAAAATAAATTTCTTCTTTTAAAATTTAAAAGGAATTTTTTTCTTTATTATTAAGAAAATCAACTTATGTGAAAATATATAATTATATTTTTATCAACTAATATTGTTTTTTTTAATTTTTAATAGTAGAAACTCAATTGGTGATAAAGGAATCCTTGGTTTTAGCTTAGGAATTGGTTAATCAAAATAGCTAAATACATTTATCTTAGACATTTAGTAAATAAGATTTTTTTGGTAGTATTTTTAGATTTTTTAATTTTTTAAAATAAAAGGTTTAGTAATATAGAATCTTAAGGGGCATTCGATTTATTTAATGGATTATCAAATTGCTAAAATCTACAAACTTTATCTCTTTAATTGACGTATTTTTATAAAAAATTAATTATTTAATTTTATTGAGGAATTTAACTTTATTTATTGAAAATTCAATAATTAATTTATAAAATAATTTCTATTTATACTTTAGATCGAACAAGATATCTGATTAAGGTGTAACTGACATATCTAGAGTTTTGGTAAACTACTAAAACTTAAAGTCCTTGAATTTAGGTTTAAGGTATTTCAACTTATTTTGATTTTTTTATAGATTTAAATTTTTATTTTATAAACTAAAGAGATAACAAAATAACTGGATAAGGTACTTCTAAGTTGGCATTTGCAATCTTAGAATGCAAAAATCTTTAAGAACTGACTCTTAACTTAATGTATTTAAATTTAAATAATAAATATAGATTGATGACTTATAAAACTTTTTTTATTTATAATTATCATTTATGAAAAAGGTTAAATAAAATTGATAAATAAGGTATTTCCAGTTTGTCTTTAGCATTATAAGAAAATATTAGCTTGTCTTATTTAGATGTTAATTTGAAGTAAGTTGCTTAAACTTGATTTAAATATCTATTATGATATTTTTTATTAAACTAATTAAAGCTCTTGCTTAATTTCTAGCTAAAATATCGTTAATTTTGCATAAAATATAGCATAGATAAAGAACTTAAAAATATTAAATATTGATTTAAGGTATTTATCTATAGAAAAAAATATTTTTATTTTTGACTTTAATTTTTATATTTTATAAAGCAATAATAAGATAAATAAAGAAAATTCAAAACAGATGTAAAAGATTCTAAAGAAAGCAAAATGGTTAATGAATTTCAAATTAGTTCTTTGAATACTGCTAAAAAGCTTAAAGTAGAAGATATGGAATGGTTTAAAACAAACAAAATACAAAATTTTATACTTAATAATTTACTTAAAAATTATATTTTTTTCTCATAAATAAAAACATCTATCTATCTATCAATTTATCAATCAATCAAACTAAAATTTAATTTTCGATTTATTTGTATAAAATATAATTATTAGAAAATAAAATAATTTATTATATTTTTTTAGTTGAAACTCTAAGAATATAATCAATACAAGAATTCATAGTGCACCATTCTTTTTAGTCTTTTAACCCAAGATTTTTAATTTATGATTTTTTCAGTCACTTTATTTTTCCTTTGAAAATAATTAATTTAAAAATCAAAAATGTTATTAATTTAAATGATATTTAAATATTTTAAAAGTTAAATCTATCAAATCACTCATATATATTTTTAAATGTCTCAATTTACCTTATGTTTATTTTCAAGTAGTTTAAAGATTTATTCTTTTTTAAACTTACAAAAAGATGGTAAATACCATTATCATCAATTTTATTAGTACTATTAATAAGTGTAAATTTTTTTATTTTATTTTATTGTTTGTTTTCTAAATAAAATAAATTAAAGGTCATTCAATCATTTAGAATTTTTAAAATTAAATTAAAGTGTAAATAAATAAAAAAAACATTTTACATTCCAGAAATATCGATGTTTATAATTTTTAGATTTTCAAAGCACTTTAATTAGAAATATAAACCTTATAAACCTTAATTCTCGATATTATTCAAACTAAATTTTTAAAAAATACTTTTTAGCTTAAACCATAACTAATAAATTGTCAAGTAAATAGTAATTAAGTTCGAAAATAAATTATTGAATTAGTTAGTTCTTTGATGTATTTTTGATTGCTATAAAAATGCTGATATAATTCTATTATAAAAATTGAAAAAAAAGTAAAATAAATTGATGAACATTCATACCTTAAGTTAATAATTAAATATTTTAACTTTTTTAGATTCCCAAATCCACTACCTAAATTTTAAGCACCTAAAACTCTAACTTCATTACTTATTTAAAGTTACAAGAATATTAGATAAAAATATTTAACTGTTTTGACTGAAGAAAAACTGTAAATTAATTAATTAATTAGAAATTGAGAAGTAAGTTAGTTACCCTTATGATAAATCAATATTCAAGTATTCTAGATTTTTAAGATCTTCTAAACCTTTTCCCAAAGAAGAAGCTCCAAAGTTACCGACGTTATTCTTACTTTTAGATAAAATAATAATTAAAAATAAATTATGTTTTTTTACAAAATCTAATTTATTAAAAAAGTAAAATAAAAATTTAAGAAAAATATTTCAAACAAAAAAATAAATTTCAAAGATAAAATTAAAATCTTTACGAAACATTTATTGACAAAAATGTGAGGTTTTTACAAAACGCTAGATGTTTTGATAAATATTGTAAACCATGTGGTCCAATTTTAGTGTTACTTTATTAATAAAAAATTAAAAATATTTTCTTATTTAATTATTATTTACTAAAGATTCAATGTCAACTTATTTAAATTTATATAGTTTAAAAATCCATAACTAATCACATTTACTCCGTAAGGTCCAATTAAATTGTTTCTAATTAAATATATTAAATAATTAATTAAATTATGTAATTCCTCATATATTAAGGTAGATTTTTAGTTTTTTATTTTAAGTTTGAATAAGACCAATAAAATCATAAGATTCGTTTAGGGAAAGGAGTTGGCCTTAATATATGAGGATTACAGTATTTCTAATTAAAATAAGTATAAAAACAATCCTTACTATAGATTTAACTTCAAAATTCTTAATTTTGTGCATTGTGATAATGCTTCGCCAAACAATTACATTTCGTTATTAGTTATTTTGTTTCCACTAATAATTAAACATTCCAGTATTAAATAAATTAAATCTTAAAAATAAATAGATTAATTAACAGCATCAAAGAATTTAAAAGAATTACCTAAAAAATAAATGAAGATTGACATGATTCTATAAGTCAGATGATAAAAACTAATAAAAAATTAAATTTAAATACTTTTTTAAAACCAAGCAGCATACTTTTTTAAGTTGGAAGCATTTATTTGTTTAAACCTACATTTTGTTAGCAGTTTTTTTTCTATAAATCAATTTATTTAATAGGTTAAAATCACTAAAAAGTTTAATTACAAAAAAGTAAATATAAATTATTCATTTAGTTAATAATTTAATAATAACAAAATATCAAAACTTTTGATAAGAAATGAAAAATATATTTTGAATAATATTTTCTATTACTTTAGTAGACTCTTTATTTTTAATTGTCTACTTGAATAATTTAAATTTTTTTAAAATTATTCGCTTTTATTAATCTACAATTAAATTACTAAAATATTTTTTTTAAATGAAATTTTATTGATAAAAATATTTTTTGAGATACTTTGATAAAAAATGAATAAATAATATAAAAATGAATTCGTTATTAAAACTATGATTATTCTTTAATGTAATAAATTAAATTTAAGATTTATTTTTTTATTAAATTTACTTACTGTTTCTACTCTGTTGTAAATCTCTTTATTTTATATTTAACTGAATTTAAATCAAATTAAGAATTAATTGTTTTTAATTATTTAATAAATTTTATTTAAAAAAGTATATGATTTTCCATTTAAGATATCAGACAGACTAAAATAAAGATATTTAGATAGATAGATAGATAGATAGATAGATAGATAGATAGATAGATAGATAATTAGAAAGACTTATCTCAATGTTATTCATTATAAAGATATATATATTTTTCTAAGTATAACAGAATTATACAAAAAAACCTTTTATTAATTCTTAAAAATATTTTTTTAGTAATATAAATCTTTTTGCTTAAAGTGGGAATAATAAATTAAATAATATTATAATTTCATATTAAGTAATCTGCAATATTTAAAATTTATTTGCTATCAGAATATAAGTAAAATATATTGATTCTCATTAATTATTTAAAGACTTTACAGTTTTTAAAACTGTAATAAACAATTTCATAATATTGTAATTTCTTATTTAGTAATTTAAGATTCTTAAACATAAATAAATACCTTATTTACTATCTAAAAAGGATGAATTATGAAAAAATATATTTATTGGTTGTCATTAATTATTTAAAAAGTTTTTTGCTTTTATAAATCTTAATAAACATTGTATAGCTATGATAATATTTTATTAAAATATAGATGACATACATTTGCTTTATATTTTTAAATTGAGAGATGAAATTTTAGAGTTTTTAATATTCAGTCAAATATATTTATATAAAAATACAAAAATCCTTTTATTAAATATCTTCTGTTAGGGTTTGTATATAATTATGTTAAAAATATTATTTTATTTTTATAACTTATTTCTAAATAAAATACTTTCTTCTTATTAACAATTTTTATTCATTGACTAAAAATTTTTTATTTAATGTTTTTTTAAGATTTGCAAATGTAAAATTAAATTTATGTTTTTGAAATCGATGGATTTGAAAGAGATCATAAGAATAGCAAATAATCAGATTAACCCTTTAACAATACTTGATATAGCTTTGTCTTTGAACTCTGAGAGTGCAGTATATGATGCTGCAGCAGCTATGAAAAGGCCGAAAAAGAATGTTGTAAAGAACATTTCATAAGGGAAAACAAACCTGAAAGGCAATTCTGTAAACATGAGCACTTGTAAGGTAAGAGTAACAGCTACAACTAAACCAATAATTGTGCCTATGGTTCCACTTGCCAAAACAAGAGAACAAGATTCAATCATGTAGACTCTAGTTATTTGCACTTTACTTAAGCCAATTGCTCTAAGCACACCGAACTCCCAACTATTTTCTTTTATATTAGCTACGAAAGAAACCAAAATCAAGAAAAAGCTGAGTATTATAGAAATAGAGGCAATTACTAAAGAGAAGAGATCAATAAAAAATAAAGTTTCTTAGACTTATTCAATGATAGTATTTACATCAAATAACTAAGTGAAATCTGATTTAAAGTAGTTCCTTAGTCCATTTCCAATAATTTCTCTTTACTTTTGACTCAGATTTTATTTAAATTGTATGTTTAAAGAACTCTTTGGAATACCATATGTGCTGTTTGGCATCACTTAAGAAAAGAACTCTTTTACGTCTTATTCTTCTGCATCTCCACTGTAATAATAATAACTATCCACCAAATATTTAAATTATTCTATGCTCGTTAAAATCTCTCCAAAAAATGAAATTTGCCTGTTAAAATTAAAATAAACAAATTTTAAAATAAAGTTATTAATTATTTAAATTTATTGCTTCAACAAAAAATAATTCATTGATTTATTTATTTATGAGTTAATAATGATTTCATATTTGGTTTTTTGAATGTTAATTAGTTTAATGTTGATTAATTTTGTAAGTAAATCAATTTTACCTGTATGAACTAAAGCGAAAACCAGGAAATTTTCTGGAAGTGTTTCTGATCCTGCAGCGATATTTTATACCTTCAAAGTTCAAGAGGCAGGGAGTATTTACATCCACACTTGATATATAATGTAGCCCTGAAGGTATGATAAGCTTTACTTCTTGGTCTTCAAATTTGTGTCTACTTATTTAGTTTATAGGACCATTATCATCTTATCCTTTTAATGGCTCATTTGGATCTTCTTAATCTTTATTTTCATTACTTTGTCCACCTCCCATTAAATTCTAATCTCTAATATCTGAATTAGATCCTACTTTATAGAAATCTACACTGTTTTACAGTTTTTGTATTCCATCATCAGTGTAAAGACCATAAACTGCATCGATTACACTTTAATCACTTTCAAGATACGGAAATTCCATTTTCGGATCAAATTCTTGAGGGTAATAAAAATCTAAGAAGGTACTACTCAAATAGTTCTTTTCTATACCTCTTAGCTGTAAGTTTCTATTAGTAGGGAATTAGCTCAAAGAAGAGAACTTAGGTTTTGACATTTATGGAAATGAATCAATTGGTAAAGTAATAAACGAGTAAGCCTAAATATGATCAGGGAACTCTTTCATGTAACTATCTAAGAATTATCTCATTCCAAATTCATCCAATCCTCTTTTGTCTCTAAGTAATAGCACCTTTAAATCACTGCCTAAAGAACTCTTTAGATTATCCACTATAGATTTACTCTATAACTTAAATCCTGTTCCAGCAAAAATCAAAAAGCTTAAAGCAACTGTGTACATTAGAGCTGTCTTGCCGTTTCTTCTGCGATGGCCCTCCATATTTTTAGTGATGATGGACTCTAGGTGCTTAGAACTTTTGAAGAAGCATAAAAATAATTTGACATACATTCTCTCAACAAGAGGTTAAGCTAAATTAAGCAATAAAGTGAAACCAATAATCATCAAAATCAACACTACATTAATAATTGCCAAGAATAAGGCTAAATCTTAATACACAAAAGCAGCTGGAGCAAAGTAGTAGCAAACAACACCAGTTAAAATCAAAGTTATTGAGTTAATAAATTAAGAGAAAGATATTCCCAATCTCTCTAATTTCTGGACTGAAACAGAAATCTCGTTAATAACTCTATGATATAAATCTAAGCTATCCCTTAAAGTTTTTGACATTGCTCTTTAAATAGGTAAGTAAACTGAAAGTAAGGGGATAAAAATACCTAAACACAAAGCAAGAATCACAGCACTCCAGTGCAAATCATACGAAGTGACAACCATGCTCCTATTAAATATCACAAATGCAATAATAGAATTAACCAAATAGGCCATAAGTAAACCAAGTCCAAGACCAGGAAAAGCGAAAATTAATCCCTCTGCTATAAGCAAATAAACCAAGCTAACTTTTTTGAATCCAAGAGCTCTCAGCATACCAAATTCATAAGTTTTCTCTTCAACATCAGATATCATCAAAGAATAAATTAGCAAAACTGCAAGCATAAAAAGTAAAAATATGCTTGTTGCTATCATATTATCTAAAAACATTTTAAGTATGAGAAGTCCACTTACTACTATAGAAAGAGGAGCAGTACTTTATACAGGATGAATATCATCTATTCAAATATTAATTTAATTATTAACAAAATTATTTTTAAATATATCTAAAATTTTTATTAAATTTTCAAATATTTTTAACAAAAATTCATTTAAATTCCTAAAAAATGTAAAAAATTTTTTAAAATTTCTTTTTTGATTTTTGAAAAATCTAAATAAATTTATTGCATTATTGTTTATTATTCTTTGGATATAATGATTGTAATTAATTCAAATTAATACTATTTTAAATTTAATTTGAAATTTAAAGTAAATAAATGAAAGCTTGATAATATTTTACTTGTTTATTTTGCAAATTTATCAGTTAACTAAACTATATTTTTTTAAATTTAATTTTTTCCTGTGTAAATGTGCATTCTTTCTTTAAAAATAACATTTGAAGACATAGCATATTGATTCAGATCAAGATTTTCTAATCTCCTATAAATAGTATTATTTAAATTGAATTAATTGTAAAAGATTTTAATAAAGCTCAAGGAAGGATTTTTCTAAATAAGCTCTGGATTATCCAATTATTTCTTAATAGTCTAAGAAATACCAAGCCAAGCTGACTGTAGTATGTAATTAGAATCTATCACTATTGTATTTCCTAGAGCAGATGCCCATTTACCTTTTGTACTTTCAACTGAAAAAACTACTTTAAAATCCTAAGTGAAGTTCATGGCCTTCATTAATACCGGTGTAATTTGCTAAGAGAATTCAGTAACATTTAAATGAAAGTCTTCTGGTAAATTATTTGACTCTATAGTTAATTACTCAACTATTTTTTTAATACTTCCATCTTAAAATGACGGTTCTAAAATCTTAATTATATCTAAATCTCCGGTTGAAATTCCTTACTATTCTAAATACATTTATAATGCAAAATACATTGCTTGCCTATTCTATTTAGTTAAAAATAAGTTATCGATTTGTTGAATTTTATTTAAATGAAATAAAATGCTTAAAATATTGAAGATCTTAATGATCAATAAGATGATAATCAATTTATAATTTAAATATATTTAGAATTCATCATTTACGTTTTAGTTTTCCATGGTATTCGAATATTTGTTTAAAGTATTCATTATACTCACTATTTGTTGCTTATCTAAATGCATTTCCTACTCTTCATTTTGCATAAGATTAGGGAACGATTAAAGTAGAATTTTCCTAAATTCTTCTGAAAATGCTTCATAAACTGCTTCTGTAGTTTAATTTTTTAATTTCAGCTGTAATAAATTTTAATTTTTAAGTATAGCTTCAACCATATCAATATTCAAAGTTATTTTATCTCCTTCTTTCAGATTTAATCCTCTCATTGTTGGAGCTGTAACATACGCCTCGCCTTCATTTAAGATATCACCTTTGAATCTTCTTCCTACTCCGATGCTCCTTTCTTTAAAAATAAAAATTTAATTAAAATTTTTTTATTATTTTAATTCAAATAAAATTATTCATTTTTATATTTATTCTTTATGCAAATGCTATTTGATTTTAAATAAATTTATAAATATTAAAATATTTAAATGACAATCTATACTTATCAACTAAATAGCTAAAAATCCAGCTTTTTAATAAAATGAATACCTTAAACTGAATCAATTGTAATGACATAGCTTCTAAATTTCTGGTGGGTAGTAGTTTCGGGATTAGAATTGTAGAGATCAGCCAATAAAAGCCATCTTGGAGAACATCCTTGTATTCCTTCTACATTTTCGCAAATATCATTAATAAGACTTGAATTAATCAATCTGATAGAGCTAAAAGCAGATTAATTATTCTAACTTTCTTCTATTAACTTGTTTTTCTCAAAAAATGTCCTGTTTTGAAAAGAAACAGGTGTTAAAACTATATCTGCATCTCCTGCTTAATCTTCTCCGATTGTGAGAAATATAACAGGACTTAATTAAAACGCACTTTCAATCGCTGATATAAAACCTATGACCAAAAAGATTGAAAATATGCCGATTTTGAAGGATCTGGGCTTTTTCTTGATATCATTTATTAAGTACTATATAATAATTTTGGCTGTGCCTATAAATGACTGTCCCTTCACCTTTTGCTTTTCATATATGTAATCCCTATCCATTTTAAATTGATAAGAAAACCTTTCTTTAAAAATCTGATAAATAAATCCACTTTTTTAAATAATTTATTTCAAGCAAATTTTGATTGAAATTAAATGTATTTCTGCCAATAGTAATTTTTATCGTTTATCTTATATGCATGCACGATTTCTTAGATTCTCTATCAAAACCGTCATCAGTCTTGATAATTAGAAATAAATCTTGTTAACAAAGCATAAAATATACTTACTAATTATGCGTACTTTTTACTGTAAGACATAATCTAGTTGTTTTTTACTCAATTTTACATAACATTATTCTTATGTATAATATAATAATCAAACAACATTTGTTCATCTTTCCAATGAGTTTAATTAAAATTAATAGTTGAATAGAAAACTTTCAAAAAATTTAGATATTGAGTTAATGTACGAAAGCAAAGTAAACAAAATCTCTTCCTAGATAGTAATCAATTACTTTAATTTCATTTTAAATTTAAATCGTATTTTATCATACAATATTTCTTCCTTTGTTCGAAACAGTATAATTCAAAAAAGGACTTTAAGAATAATCACGCAGTATAATATAATTAATTTGTTGGATTATTAATTTTAAAATTAATGAATTATATTTATAAATTATTTAAATTATTCTTGAGTATTATTTTATTTTGCTAATTGAAACATATATTTTAAAAACTAATAAATATTATTTATGTAACAGAAGTACTATTATATAAAGATTATAAAAAAAATAATTTTTTTTGAAAAATTGTTGCTTATATTGTGTGACTCTCCCTCATATTACCAAGACTAATTTTTTGTATATTAAGAATGAGGTTTTATGTTAATTTTATTATTGATAGCTAATAAATATTTAAATTAAAGATAATAAATAAAGTTGTTAAATAAATGAAATATAATTATAAAATAACTAAATTAAAGATAATAAAGAAATAAAAAATGATGAAGAGTTGTAGAACATTTATTCAAAATATCTTCCATCTATTTTATTTTTATCAAAATAATTTAATTTTTCAATAGCTTTTAGTTTAAAAATCTTTAAATGTCTTTGCTATTTAATTAAATATTTTTAAATTTTTATCATTTTTTTTATGAATTCATTACTAAAATTGTTTAAAACTTAAAGATCATTTTTAATTTAAAATATTGCCTTAAAAAAATAATTTTTTGACGAATAAAATAGGAATATACATTTTAATAGATTTTACAAAAAGGAGAAGTAAATAATATTCATTATTTTTGATAAGATATGTACAAATAATTTTTCTTATTGGATTTAAATGAATTTTTACTGATTTACTTTCAATTTTATTGATACTTTTATTAGTATTCGATTTTCTACTTTTGATAATAAAATAAGGAAAATATGACTAATTTTTTATACATTTTTGCTTTATTAAGTGTTATAATTTGCATAAAAGCTGAATGGAAAGCAATTTAACTCACAGGAGATGTTCCAAATAATTTAGTTTACCATGAATCCGTGGAGTATGTTACTGCTGCCGGTTCTCAAGTACACTTCATTTATTGCATTAATAACTTTAGATGATTTTTCAATTAAACCAAATATGATAACTTAAGTTATTTAGAAGAATTTATTTTATGTTTTAAGCTCAATAAAAAAGCACAGCTTTAAAGATTAATTTTCTTATGCAAGTGTAGAGAATTAATGGTATTTTTAAAAATAAATAGATGATTTTGCTATTTGGAGGATAAATATTAAATGGAAATGTGTTAAACTAAAATATTTACTAAATTGATGTTCAGAAATATTAAGTAACCAAAATAACACCTGGAGGTTCAGTTATGTAAGGAAGAACTAAGTTTGCTTCTTGTTCAATTGTAACTTCTAGCAATACTTATGTTTTTCTTCATGGAGGCTATTGTACTGGAAGCTCTTTCTGTGGTGATTTTTATAAATATGATGTAGCTGCAAACTCATATTAAAAACTAGCTAATACATTAGCAAGAGCAGAGCATTCAATTATTTGTGACAGCTAAAATAATTAAATTTGGTTATTTGGAGGTAAATCTTCCTCTACTACTGTTATGAATGATTTATGGTAAATCGTTTTTTTATATTTTAAACAAAAAAGACATCAATATATATTAAAATACGAATGTAAAATTTAAAATAAAGATCGTTTAGTAACTAACTTAATATTTTAAGAACTAGCTTTATAATCTTAATTTAATTTAAATTAAAAAAAATATTTTTAAATATTTACATTAGAGAATTGCTAATAAAACAAAATTAAAATAATATTAAAAAATCAATAGTAAATTAAACTTTTTTAAAATAAAAAAAAATATATTTTTTTTCTTTTTGTCTTTTTTGTTGAAATAAAAAAAAATAAATCAACTAAAAATGAATAAATTATTTTAAATAAAAATTTATTTATTTGATTTTTAAGGATTGAAATTAATTTTTAATCGATTATTAATTCAAACTAGTTCTTTAAAATTATAAGAAGACTCAACAAATGAATTAATATTCTTTACTTCTAAAAATAAGGAATTACGATATAACTAATGGTGCTTGGAAACTAGCAGATTATAATATATTTAGTAAAGTTGTATTGAATTTAGTTTTGTGGGATGGAACTACAGCAAGTGTTACAATTGATAACTACACAGATTATTTACTAATTTCTCCATCAGATCTCAGTAAGCTTTAATAAGCCCCACCCACAATGACTCTATTCGGAGGACCATATGACTGCTCTGTTGCAATTACTCAAATGCCGAGTTGTAGATCAAATTACTCATTTGTAAAAAAATAAAATGATCCCTACTTATACTTAATTGGAGGGTAGGATGCATAAGGAAATATTTTTTAAGATGTTTGGAAGTATGATGTTACTAACAAGGTATGGATTTAGCCACAAGATGGACTTCCTTCTACTTACACTTAGTTTTTTACTTAATAACGTGCAAAAGTAAATTAAAATTTAAAGTAAACAAGTTCAATTTTAATGAATTTTTTTTCTGTTTATAAAGTTAAGTTATGCTTAAGATTTTACATTTTTATTTGGAGGTTATAGTGGGAGTACTTACTCTATGAAAGGTTATGCTAGAAGTTTCAGCAATGGAAAAATATCTCAATTAAAAATACCTTAATACTCTTCATAAGTAGCTCCTCAAAAAGTTATTGGATTTTCAATAAACTCTTTTTCCTCTGGCATAACTATGACAGGAGGTTGTGAAGATTAAACCTTAGCAAGTCCTTCGTGTGCTCAAAGTAATTAATATTTTTCTTAAATCATAAATTCATAAAAGGTTTTTATCTCTATAAAGGTTAACTATCATTTTATATATTGGGTATCAATGACTGCAATAAAGCTTCAACAAACCATAATATGGCAAAATGTATGTATGGAAAGCATTGGTGTCTTGATTAATATTGGGGAGATTTATGCTAAAATTAGCTTTGTCCAGGTTCAATGTGCTTAAATGACATGTAAAAAAGGATAAAATTTATTAAAAATGATATATTAAATGTGAAAACTTAGCTTTTTTGCATTAAATCTCATATTTTGATTTTCTTATAAATCTCAAATTAGTTTACAAATAATTTAATAAATCATCTAAATTTTATACATTTTTTTAAGAAAATGTTTCTTCATTAAAAATATTTCACAACGAAAAATATTTTTATGGCTTAATGGTTTAACAATTTACAGCACATTTAATAACTTAGTTCTAAGTTAATTTTTTTTAAATAAAAAGTAATTCTTTTGAGTCTCCATTTTGCTATATGTGCTTTGGGAATGGTAAATTAAAACTAAATCTTATTTAAATTAATTATTAATTTGTATATTAAAGGTCAGTGTAATTCATAAGGTTAGTGCACTTCTTGCTCTTAAACATAAGCAGGAATAGGCTTTATTTCAAGTGATTGCTCTACTGTTGATTGTAAAAACTAATGTGGAAATGCAGGTACTTGCGTTAATTATTATCCAGTAAGTTCCTGTAATTGTTAAAAATTACTTGGTGGAGATTATTGTGGAAAAACATTTTGCTTAAATGACTGCTCTAATAGTGGTATTAAATGTTTGAGATTATAAGATTTTACTTTATTTTTTTTAAAAAACATTAGGTACTTGCTAATAAAATGGATTATGTTAATGCAATTAGGATAAAGAAGGAGCTGATTGCAGTATTTAAATTATAGGATTTTTGAGTTGAAAATGCCTGCTTAATTAATGCTTTGTTTATATTAAAAAAGGAATAATAAATTTTAAAATAAAATAAAAGTAAAAATTTAAATAAGTACAAAATGAGAATGACAACCAAAATACAAAAATAAAAGAAATAAAATGAATATACAATGAAAAAAAGAATTTTTATTTAATTTGAAAATGTTTAAATAAATGTTTATTAATTTGAAAGTATGTTTCTATAATTGATTGAATGCTTATTTCTTAATTTAAATTTATTTTAATTGTTTTCCTCATTTTTCATTTTTTTTTATTCTCTAAAAGAACTCATTGATTTCTTAGTATACCATTTACTTATTATTTACTATTTGTTATTCTTGCTTTTTTATCCTACATCTTTTAATTTACTACATTTGTTTTTAATTTTCACTAAAATAAAATGCTTAAATTTAAATCTTCGATAAATGATTCATTAATTGATTGATTGATTTTAGCTATTTTAAATTATATAAGGTGGGATATCAGTGAAATTTAAATTTTTGGATGTGATTTAATTTCTTTTTATCATTAATTACTGACGAAATACAATTATTTATTTATTGAATTATTCACTCATTAGTTTAATTATTCCCAGATTTTTAAATAATTTTTGATCAAAAGTTTTTTAAACCTTGACAAAATTTAAATTTTCTTAATTAAAAGTATTAGGCGGTGGCTTTTGAGGTATTTTGTTACTTAGTTAGTTAGTTAGCTAATAAAAAAAGAAGAAAATGAGTTTTAGTAGTATGAATAAAAATAATGCTATTAGATAATATAATTTTATAAATAAATGATTAGATTGGTAATCAATCACTCATTTATTCATTATTAGGAGATATTGATAGCGTCCATTTATTATTCAACTTAAGTTAAATCATCAACTTAATTCTAATGCTAAACATCGTTAATAGAAGGGAAATCATTCTAATCACCTTAGTATCCCTATGATTAAATATTCTATCTATTTTACCTATTTTAGTTGTTTTGCTTAAAGTTTCTATTGTTATATTTTTTATTGTTATAGTAGTTGCCATTTCCGTTATTATTTTGATAGTATCCATTATTGTTATAGTTCTTATAATGCTAGAACTTGTTATTATAGTTTCCATTTACTTATTAGTTGTTATTGTTGTAGTGGTATTGGTTATTATAGCCGTTGTTTTATCTGTAATGGCTATGATGCTAATAGTTCTTATGATAGTGTTGATTTTGTTAATTGTTGGTGTTCTATTCAACTTATTAGGTTTATTCAGTGGAGTTAACTTCTTGATGTTCAACAGTTGGAGATTGAGAAGATGAGGGATCAGTGGGTAGTTACTAATCGTTGTTGTTAAATGGCTTTTATTGATTTTAATACTTAGCATTAAATCTATATCCCTTTTGTTAGTTATTGTTATTGTTAAAATACTTTTTATTAGTATGTTTCTTAAATCCTCCATTTTAGTTGAAGTAAATTTTTGGCTAACTTTGTATGAATTTTTCGAAATCCTCAGGGGTTTAAATGTAGGGGATTGAGAGAATTTGTTGCTATTATTGTTAAGTCATAAATTAGTAGTTATGTTAGTTCATGTTTTTCATAGCGTAGTTATTGTTGTTGTTGGTGTTTCCATCGATGTTTTGGTTGTAATAGGAGTTTTAATAGTGGTGACTTTAATAGTGGTTGTAATTTTAATGGTTTTAATTGTGTTGATAGTATCCCTAATTGTTTTTATGCTAGAAACCTTTGTGATAGTTTTTGTTTCTCTTATCAGGAAAAATGCCTTTCTCGTAGTTAAACTAATTTTAACTGTGGGTTTAACAGAATTTTTAGTAGTATTCTCCTTCTCTATCTTCTCTGACTTTACGAATTTCCTTTTCTTTTAAATCGAATGATTCAAAGTCATTGAATACTGTTTAGAAATCTGACTTCTTTGCGAATTCAAAGAGCTTCAAGGCCTATTCTTGTTTAAATTTGAGTGATTTATCCTAATTTTAATTTTCGCTACCTACATCAACTTTTCCTACAAATATCCATTCTATTTCGAAAATACCGAACCATCTAGCTTCTTCTGTCCATAGTTAGAAAGACTTATTAGGATTGAAACCTTCCTTTAGCTTAGCCATACCATAAAGCTAGTTTTCAAAGAAGAAATAAAAGTAAATTTAAGCTAATGGGTTATTTAAAGATTCTTAGTATATTTTTTCAATTTAGTTTATTTGATGATTAACGGTTGTCCAAATGCCATATTTTATAGCCTTGTGCAAATGGTCCTTGTTAGAGCTTGAAAATTTCAAAAAAATTGCACTTTCTAAGTTAGGAATAGTAAAGTTGGGATCATTAATATTCTTCAATGGAGCAAATGTCTCCTTAATGCTCTCTAAGCTTTTATAATCTGCTGATTTGAATTCAGGCATCAAACCACAATCCATGTAAATTGGTATGGTTTGAACTTGCTCTTCAATCTAATTGGTTTCCTATTGATCTTGAAACACCACCTAATAATATTTTAGTTTGATATTTTTTTTTAGTCAGGGAGTTAACAAACAAACAAATTATTAATTAAAAAAAATAACTAAATCTTCTTGTCATCCGTTTGTTTTACAAAAATAGACAAAAGTTAAGTTAGTAAATAAGTAAGCTAGGCTAAATAAATTACATTGTTTTCGGTGGTGGCTTCTTACTACTTCTATCCCTATTGCTATTGCTCAGTATTGATGTAATCCTATTCCATTTTGCTTTATATCTCTTGTAATTTATTTATTTGCGTTTTCGCTAATTAATCTTTGTTTGTTTTTTTGTTTAATTTTCTTCTAATTAAGGTTATAATTACTTTTTGCAATTATTACTTTTTACTTTTGCTTTTTTTGCTTTTAATCAAATAAATAGTTGATTTTATTATTAAATAAATAAATAAATTAAATAATTAATTAATTCTTTCTTTATCTCTCTCTCCAAATCTCCTTATTATTTTTCTAACTTAATATTAATCCCAACATCTTCCTTCCTTTATACCTTCCTCCTTCTATCAAACTACCATCAAAGTTAAAAATATTTAAAGCTTAAGCAAGTGTATTTCCTATATTCCTTATATTGCACATAGAAATACTCAAACAATGAAATTAACTATCTCAAATCATATCCTAATTAGTAAAATTTTTAGAACGAATCTCCTAATATATCCTTTTATCTTATTTTTTAAAAGATTTAAATATTTAATTTAATATGCATTCCTATATCCTCACGCAGTTATCCAATTTATTTAAGCACGTCTTTGAGTTTATATTCAAGCGCCTAACTCGTTCGTTTTAATTTTTGCCACTTACTTAATTTGTATTATTTATTTATTTTATTTAATTTTATTTTTATTTCTTTCTTTCTATATAAAAATAAATAAATTGATACATATTTAGTTAGCTACATTCCTTTTTGTTTTCTACTTGTCAAATTTATCAACAACACATAAAATAATCATCATTCCAAAATAAATATTTAAATACTATCTTCATTAACTATACTATTCAATTGCAATTAATTTAGATTATCATATAAAATTAATTGTGTTTTGTGTACTTAATAGAATAATTCTATCTTATTCAGAGAAGCTAATGATAAATTAATTTGTTTTGCTTTCAAAAAATATAAATCATCTACTTTATATTTTAAAATGTAAAAAAAATAAGCCTAACATGCTTAATATTTAATATTGCTGAAATAAATTTTATATTATTAACCTATAATTTTATCTTTAAAAAATACAAATGTTTGCTTATTAATATATTTGAGAATAAACCAAAAAATTATTGATTAATAAGGATAGATGAAAATTATTTATTTAGGATAAACCAAATACATTTCAAATTGAGTAAAGATTAAATTTAATTGAAATTTATTTTTCGAAAAAATTAGATATTTGAAGATAAAAGTAAGACATAAATAGGTAGTTGCGCTCTGTATCATGTGTGATGAATTTTTTGTGCAAAAATTGCAAAGGATTTCTTGTTAAAAAATAATTTCCATTTTTCTTTTTTATAATTTTTTTTAAATGAGAAGATACTTTTTTTTAAAATTTGTTTTGAAAGATATTTAGAATTAAAATGTTAAAAATGAAAGATTAAATAATTAAAAAATAAAATAATTTAAAAAGGAAAAAGAATCCCTTTAATTTTTTATAAATAATAAATTTTTTTTATAAAGTTAACACTAACTTTTTTAAATCTAAATTTAAAACAAAAAAAGGAGATTAATTGATTTGAAAATATATTTGCTATTACTTTGTTTAAATATCAGTAAATAATGAAACATATTAAAAAGTAATAATTAAATGAATTTATAAGATAAACTATTTACAAAGGATAAGCAAACTACTTACTTACTTATAATATTTATATATTTATTTATTTAAGTTGAGCATATTTTATATAAGATTTTTGAATTATTTTTTTATTTTGCATTTATTTTTGGAAAAATATTTTGTTTAATGAGAGAAAAATAATATTTTAATTTAAATGTAGTCAATCTATCTGTAAAAATAAAGTTTAGGCAATTTAATCTTGTTTAGATTCTTCAAATTTGTATTTAGTGGATGTGTTTGTGCAGATTTTCTTTAACTTTATCCCAGTTGTTGATAGAGCTTGATATTTCTTGGTAGACTTAGTTTTCATCTGGATCTATTTGGCATAAGTTATTACTACTCAAACTTCTTGTTTTATAGAAAAGCATTATTTTGTTCTAATTGATATTGGAAGGAGATTTGCTATTGTTTCTAGATTTGTTAGTAGTGGATGAATTGAACTTTGATTACCTAATAGTTGAAGAAGATCTGTGACTCTCATTTCCTTTCTTCATAAATGAGAACTCTTGAGGGATTGTTATTTTATTTTACCAGTTTTTGCCTGTGATTTTATTTTGTAATTATTCATTTTCTTCCTTCTTTTTCTTGGCTGCATCTATTCTTTCAAAGAATTCTATGATTCCTTTTTTATTGAATTCTGTAATTTATTAAGAGAAATCGTTTTAATTGTTATAGCTGATGTTCCTTTGATTGCCATATTATGATGAAGATGTGCTAGATTGCGGGTTTAGGCCATTCTTAACAGACTATGCATTAGGCTAGAAAGTGCAGCCTATTAAATCTCTATTTTCAAACTACTCTGCTACCTTCTTCAATTTTTCCTATCTTTTTTAAGCCCAAATTTAGCATCTTTGATTGATATCATATTCACTATCACCATACATATAATTGCTGTCTTTTGATCTGAATAATCTAGGTTAAAATGTTAATTCTGGGTCTTCCTATTCTTCCTTTTCTTTTTGAATGAGCTTTATCTCTTTTTCCATTTAATAGACTTTATGCTTTTCATAAAGTTTCTACCATCTTGGAACTTTTTAAGAATTCTAAGAGGACTGTCTTAATTTTAATGAGAAATTGTCCTCATTTTAATAATTGTTTCCTTCCTCTTCTTCATCGCTGTAGTTAAATATGGATTCTTGCTAATAATTAGTAAAGTTTCTCTCACCGCTCCTATTTATTTTTGGTCTATAGGAATATTAACTTTCTAGACTGCTTCTTAGCTTGTTTATTTTTTCTTCATTTTTAGGTTGAGTTAAACGAACTTTTGGGTCTTCCATCTTTCCAGCCAATTCCATAGATTTTTTACTGAGGACTGGCTTAAATGTGCAATTTTCATCCACATAAACAGTTTTATTTTAGTTTTAAGCTTAAGATAAACCTGAGTTCTTACTTGATCTCACTTAAGAATACCTGGAAGAAGCACAATTCAGATTACTTTGAGATCTTCTAAGTTAACTGCTAGTGGTTGTTTCTTAAGTTTGATATTAATTCTTCCTAATACCCTAACTTGTAAATCCGCTATTTCCAGTATCAAAAGTGCAAAGGTTTTATTGCTACTGAGTTGGGATTTTCGATATGATTAATTTATTTATTTCATCGTCTTCTCTTGTAAGGTTAATATAATTTATATTCTCTCTATTATCATAGTAGTTATAATATTGATTATTTTATGCAGGCTCAAAATAGTAGCCGCCATTATAGTTTTAGTCTATTTAGTTAGAAAATGTGTTATCATCAATAAGCATTTAATCATTTTAGTTTTCGTTAGTCTCAGCTGAATCAAATTTATCATTTTATATTAAATCAAAAATGTTTTATCTAATTTATTGAGATTACTACTAAAGTCTTTGTTGTTAAGTCTTAGTGTTCTCTTTGTTTTTACTTTACTTTTAATTTTAACCTTAAGCTTATTTGTTTTAATTTGCTCGTTTGTTGCTACTCAAAGTAGTTTGATAGTCATTTGAGTGATTCGTAGTGGTAGTCCTTCCAGACTAAAATGCAGAGGAAGGCACTTGGTTTTCTTTATCACTCTTATAATCATTTCTCTTGGAAGCCATTTTAGAAGAAATAGGTGATTTACTTCTACGACAAACAGTCTTCTTGGCTTCTTCACTTTTCAAGTCTTCGATTGTGAACAAATTTTTGTTTCTCTCTTTCTATTAGTTTGATAGCTCCACTATTTTGTTTTGATTAAAATTTTACAGTTGTTTAATATCATTGTTAAGTTAGCTTGTACTCCTTTGCCTATTCAAAGCTTCTCCGAAGGAATTTTTACTTTTAGGTGCAAGGACTTGCTAGTTCTTGTCATGAGCCTAATATATAGTTGTACCCTTTTGTGGTATTTGGTTTAAGCATTAAGAAGAAGGCTATCTTATTAAATTTGAAGAAGCTCCACTTCTGTTAGTCATATTATTCTCAAACGATTGTAACGATTATAACTCAGATTCAATCTATCTTTCTAAATCCTCCAAGTCCATTTGGATTATATCTCTCTTACTCTTATTTTATTTCATTTCTTAAAAGGAATTTTCTCGCTATTTTTGATTGACTTTTGTTATCTGATGCCAGTCTGTTTTTTAAATAAGAAAAATCTTTTGTGTCAGTGTTCTAACTCCAATTTTTTGTACTTCTATCAAGGAAAAATAAAAAAAATTAATTAATTGAAAACAATCTCTATAGCTCTAACTAATTAATTAATTAATCAATTTATTAATTTATTAGTCCCTTAATTAATTAATTTCTTTGTTTTCGAAAAAATTCATTAATTTCATTCAATATCTGTTTTTAACGTTAAAAAAACCTTAGCGCCAACAAAAATATAAAATAAATATGCGAAAGAAAATAGCAAGTCAATATTTATTTTACAAACACTATAATAAATAATTTTGTATTTATAATAATATATAATATTAATAATAACATCAAATAATAAATCATAAACATAATTATAAAATTTTGTTTAAAAACATATTGATAAATTTAATTACTCTTAATTTTGTTAATTTATTTCTATATCTTAAAATCTTAAAATAGCTGAGAGATTTAAATAATTTAAAAAGGTTAAAATATATTTTAAAATTTATTTTAAAAAAAATATCGATAAATTAAGATTAAATTTTTAATATTTTATTATTTATTTTTAACTGAAATTAAAAATAAACTTTAAATAATAGTTAAATTTTTTGAGTTCTTTGATTATTTTTCTTTGAAGCTTAAATAAAAATAATTAATAGCAATATTGAGGATTAGATGGTGAGAAAATAGAAAATAATTAATTAGAATTATAAAGGGATTGCAATATAAATCATAGGAATATGAAAGCTAGTTAATTAGTTAATTAGTTAATTAGCTAGTTAATAAGAATTAAATATTAATTAGATGTTGTAAATATTTTAATTAAATTATAATTAAATTTTTAATTAAATGCATGATATATTATTTTGATATTCTATCGATTGATAAATTATCAGTTTTGGTATCTCTGAGCAGAATCTATTATTATTAATAAAGGTAATTTGTATTAATAAAAGATATTTAAATTATTTTAATAGTTAATTGTGCTTACTTATCTTTCTATCAACATCTCTCCTTATTATTTCCAGAGAGTTATAATCCAATTCCTTTAATAAAGACAGAATGGCACACACTATATTGCTATTTCTATTTACTAATTGATCATCTATTTGGCTTACATTATTCTATTATTTTTTATTATTTTAAAAATTCTAACTAAAAATTTATTAAATCATTTAAATAAATATTTTTCAAAAAGGTATCAAAAAAAATAAATCAAATTTGCTAGTAAAATAGATAGCCATTTACTTAGATCATTATTATCTATCTTTTATTGATAATTTAAATAAATTTTAACAGTATTTTTATACATCAATATTCAAATGATCTAATTTTTTATTTTTCTCAAATAATTTGAATAAATTGGGTCTTCTAATAATATATTGAAATAACATTTCATATAAATTAAGTGAAACATTTATCTATGATATTGAAACATGATCAAGATATGAAAATTGTTCAGAAATTTCTTAAAATTAATTATATTGCTTTCTTTCTTTGAATATTTGATCTCAAAAAAGTAATTAGTGAAATCATTCTTTTTATGCTTATAATAGCCACACAATAATGAAAAAGGAAATTTGTAGTTAATAAATTTGTGATAAAATCAGTATGCTTGCATTATTTTCCTTTAAATCTATGGAATATTTTCATTTTTAATTTAAAATAAGTAGCTGAAAATTTGAAAATTAAAGATAAAGTGGAGATTATTTTATGAATTGATTGATGATGCTAGAAAATATAGTTATCTTTTTAAATCATTTATTTCAAAGTTTGCATAATAAATCAATAAATAAGCTTGTAATATTATCTAAAAATATATCTCTATATCTATGTTTTTTCTATTTATTAATCTATCTATCTACTTTAATAGTTCATTGAAATTCGTTGGCTAAAAAAATAATTATGAAAATCAAGAGCTTACCATTTGCTAAACTTCTTCATAATTTGTCTGCTAATTATTATTTTATTAAACGGTTGAAGGATTGTTGTTTCTAGTATTGTAATTGTTGCTGCTGGCTCTAGTAGCTGAAGACTGTTGATACTACTGAGAGTAATTGTTATTTTCTTGATAGGTATTGTAATCATTCATCCTATTCATAGGAGAAGGATTATATTATTATTGTTGTTGCTGTTAGGGCTAATTTTGGTAGGAAGAATACCTGTTATTATTGCTTGTGCTACTTCCAACGTTGTTATTGTTAGCTACTTCTTCCATGAAATCTAATTCAATATTTTGGCAATTCATTTTATCTTCAGGAGTTATATTAACATTATCAAGTTTCTCCAAATAAGGAAGTGATTTTATGACTATTTCTCTGTAATTTGGAATACTTGCACATGGATTATCGCTCAACCAGAGTACTTTGAGCTACTTCAACTAAGAAAGATATTTTATTTCTGAAATGTCTGCTATTGAGTTTTTTCTAAGATATAATTCTTGTAATTTATGGCAATATTCTATATCTTTCAAAGTAGTGATCTTATTCACTGACAATGAAAGTACCTCTAAATTTGGCATATTTCTCAAAACTTTTAAGTCATCAATGTCTTGCCCCCATAAATTCAAATTTCTTATCATTTGCAACGAATCTTGTCTTGTTTTTTGCTTTATCAAGTCTTCACTTAAAGGTTTGCCCATTTTTGCTAAATTTATATTGATTTGTTAAGTTTTTTTGTATTGTTTGAGTGAGTGTTTGTAATATAAAATCTATCTTATAAAACCTGCTTGCTTATTTATTTACCAATTTAATAATTATGATTTTTTGATAATTTGTTTTTATTATCAACTATCTATTTATCAAATACATTAATTACCCAATCTTACAAATACTCATTCATTTTATTTATTTATTTACTTATTATTTTTCGTTCTTATTCACATATATACATGCATACGAATTATTCCACTCAAATATTACTTACTGCTTTTTGTCTGTTAACTCCTCCTTTATCATTTAATTTAGATAATTAGTTTTTTTAGTTTCCTTCTATTGTAATTTAAAATTTTTGAATTTATTTTAACACATGAAACTGTTTAAAATTATTAAATAATTTACACATCTTAGTATTTTTCTATCTACTTAATTCTATCATAGATTTGTAATAATTTATCACAAAAATACTTATTTGCCTGCATTCATCTTTAAATTTTTGCAAAATTTAAATAAAAAGATATTATTAATTTATTATTCAATAGTAAATAAATAAAAGATATTTTATTTTTAATTTGAAGTAATTAATGAATATAGAATTTTTTTTTTGTTTTTAAAGAAATCAAACACAAATATAAATTGATCAATATAACTTAACTATAAATTAATATTTATAATTTATAATGATTTTATGTTTCATTTTTTAATTAAATTTGGATATTTATTTTAATAGAAATATGCTACAGTTCAATAAAAAATGATAAATTTACTTTCTAAATCATGATTTTAATTACCAATATTGAAGTAATCTGTGTTTAGTGAATTGAATAAGATTAATTAGGATTTTTTAAAGTATTTTTAGAAAAATACAGAAATTATTTAGTTATTTGTACTATAAATAATACACTTAATAATTAAATCAATAAGTAATTAGTAACATAATTTATTATTAAAATGATCAAACGCAGCTTAATTTTAGCAATAATTTTAGTTATTTTAGGATATTCTAATTCTTCTTTTATTAGTTATTCTGTTAATTATGCAGATAGATTCCATCCATATTAGGATTTAATGACTTAGATATTAAATATCACTAGCTTTTATAACTTACAAGCTACTAATATTTAGACTTGCATAGGCAGTGTTCTTTATTGTGGAATTAGGACAGCTAACCAAAATTTTTTAACCAATTTTACATCTGGTCCTTATGAAATAGTTAGCTTGGTTGGTACAATATCTTAAGGTAGTATGCCTCATATTCATATTTCACTTTCAGATAAATATGGAAATATGGTAGGTGGGCATTTGCCTTCCTTGGAAGAAAGACAGTTCTACAATTAAACTGATTTTAGTTGTCCTATTTACACTACTGCAGAAATAGTTTTAACTGAAAATATTAATTTAGTATTTTAAAGACCTGTTGATCCATAAACTACTTATGATGAACTACAAATATCATACAGAAATTCCACCATAGTAGCTTGAAAGAAGAAAATAACAACTTAATAAAAATATGTATATGTACCCATATTTATATATTTGATTAATATAAAAGAAATATAAATTTTAGATAATATCTTTTTATATAATAAATCTTATATATAGGTAAAATATTCATAAACATATTTAATATATTCTACAATAAATTATTTTCTCAAAGATAATAAATTTATCTTGCTTGTATACATATTTCTATTTAAGTTTTGTGATAATATTAATTTTATATTCATAGACATAATGTTTTTATATTAAATGAAGAAAATTTATGATTAATTAGAATAGAATGCTTTAAGAGTAATTATAAAATTTGTAATAGGTTATTGAAAAAATTTAACACATTTTTTAACATTTATTTTTGGTCTGTTTAATATTGTTGAAATATACAAAACTTAGTTAATTTTAATACTTTAATAGCTTATCTTAAATCACATTAAAATTAGAAATATTAAAACTAAATAAATAAAATAATCATATAAAATTTTGAGAAAAAATATTTAAGCAATAAATAAATATATTAGATTTTTAAAATTATATATCATCAATCATTCTAAATAAAACTCTCAAAAACATAAAAAAGATATAGATAATTTTTGCAAAACTGATTTCAAAAGATCTATTGAGATATTATTGTGATTATTTATTATTTAAATCAAATATTTTATTCAAAAATTAAAAAGTAAACAAATAAACATATTAAAATAAAATAACATAAAAATTATAAATTAATTAATTTATTTATTTTTGCGAGTAGCTTCTTAGCTACAGAAAAAATATTTAGCAAATAGCAATAATGATTGAAATATAAATAAATAAAATAGAATTTCTTTTTTTAATTTTAAGTAATTTATAAATTGAGAATATTTTTTCCTCTTTTTAAAGAAATAAAACATAAATATAAATTGTTCAATAAAATTATGAATTGATATTTAAAAATTATAATAATGTTATGTTTTATTTAGAAATATTCTAAAACTCAATAAAAAATGATGAATTTACTTTCTAAATCATATTGATGAGAAATTTTAATTATCAATATAGACACGTGTTAGTGTGAATTAAATAAGATTAATTAGAATATTTAAAGGTATTGTTAGAAAAATACAAAAATAATTTAGCTCTTTGTGCAAAAAATAATGCACATGACAAATAAATAATATTTAAATCAATAAATAATTCATAACATAATTGACTATAAAAATGATAAAATAAAACTTAGTTTTAACAATAATTTTAGTTATCATAGGATATTCTAATTCTTCTTTTATTAGTTATTCTGTTAATTATGCAGATAGATTCCATCCACATTAGGATTTAATGACATCGATATTAAATATTACTAGCTTTTATAACTTAAAAGCTGCTAATATCTAGACTTGCGTAGGCAATGTTCTTTATTGTGGAATTAGATTAGCTAATCAAGCTTTTTTAACTAATTTTACATCTGGTCCATATGAAATAGTTAGTATGGTTGGTACAATATCTGAAGGTAATATGCCTCATATTCACATATCACTTTCAGATAAATATGGAAATATGATAGGTGGACATTTGCCTTCCTTGGAAGAAAGACAGCTCTATAATCAAACTGATTTTAGTTGTCCTGTTAACACTACTGCAGAAATAGTTTTAACTGAAAATATTAATTTAGTATTTTAAAGACCGATTGATCCATAGACTACTTATGATGAACTATAAATATCATACAAAAATTCCACTTAAGTGGCTTGAAAGAAGGAAATAACAAAATAATAAAAATTATGTATTGTTCATATTTATATTTTTGATTAAAATAAAAGAAATATAAAGTTTTAGATAATATTTTTTAAATATAATAAATATATTTCTCTCTCCAATAGATTGTTTTCTAAAAGCTAATCATATCATCTTGTAAAAAGTTTTTATTTGAATGTTGTGATAATTTAAATTTTATATTAAACAGGCATTATGTTTTTACTAATTATTGAAAAATATTTTACACATTTTTTAATATTTATTTTTTTTTTGTTTAATTTTGTGGAATCATATAAAACAAACTTTGTTACTTTGAATTTAAATACTTTTCTACCTATTTTCAATCAAAAACTCATTAAAATTAGTTAAAATTTAAGATAAAAAAATTAAAAAATAATTGATTTTTTTTGTTTTTAAATAGAGAGCATTTATAATAAATACTTATTCTATTAAATATTTTAATAATATTTTTAATATCTTTTAATATTTTTAATAATGTTAAAATTATTTATTTTGTAGTTTTATTGTTATTATTTATGTAATATTTATCAACTTTAACTTCATTTTTTGCTAAATTAAATTTCAAAATTTTTAATTATTATGAAATAATATGGGATTAAAGCCAGATCCTTTATAATATTGTTGATTTAAAGTGTATATTTTAAGATTAAGTTAAATTAAATTTATCATAATGTTATTTATTTATTTATTAAGTTAATCTATGTATTAAATTTTTTAAAATTGAAACTAGAATAAATTTTTGAAATTTATGGTTAAAATGGATGATGAAATTTAATTAGAAATTAAAATGAAAGATTTTAATTGGTGTTTGTTTAATGAATGTTTAACGCTGGGTTATTTTTTATGGATAAAAAAACAAAGAGCGCTTTATAATAATTAGTCAGCCTTTGTATAGGTTTAGTGGAATTAAATAGCTTGTTTAATTTATTGATAAAATAAGTAAAGTAAATAAAATTTCTACAAAAATAGTTTAGGATATATCAATAATAGAGGTCCAATATAAAATGAATAGCAGTGAATCAATGAATAAATAGAACGATCAAAAGCATGAATAACAACAAGTAAATTGTTTATTGCAGTATTAGAAATACTTAATAGATTCAAATAGTAGATTAGCAGCAGCGATAGCATGGTAAACAGTAGAGATTTGAGAACTCAAAATACTATCAATGAAATAATGTAGATCCTTTAGTCACAAAAGTAGAGCTATATTTAAGACAAGAAGAATGAGCATAAATTATTGGTACAATAAAGGAAGAAAGAAAACTTAGAATATAGAAAAATATAAACTTATTAAAAAGAGATGGAATTAAGATAGCCTTTCTTAAGTAGACCTAGGAATGATTACCAATATTTTGAAAATGATAATTCTAAATATTTGAAGAGAGATCCTTAGTTTAAAGACAAAGATCCTAATTATTATCTCTTACCAGAAAGAGCAAAAAACCCACTTGCATGTAATTTTCATTTTTAATATCGTTTTTCTAAAATTCAATAACAAATAGTCCACGTTTCGTCTGGTAAAGATTCAGCAGGACACACCACAATTAGTAAAATAGACATTAGTAAAATGGGTGCTAAAGAAAGAATTAGATATTAAATATGGGAAGAAATTAGGAAACAAAGAGAGAAGGAACAACAATTAATGGTATCATTAATTGTCAAATAACTATTTTTTTAAATTTTTATTTTAAGACTTATTAACTTTAAAGTGGAGCCTTTAAGAAGTCTGTTTATTTTGATTCTAAGTCTTTAAGCAGACCTTAGATATTTAAGCCTACAGACTCAAGAAATTCACTTTTCTAGTCTAACCCTTCCTCTATTTATGAAGTTCCTCGCACTCCAAGGTATTTATTTACTAATTTAGTTGAATTTCGAATTGAAATATTTATCATGATTTATTTCTCTTAACAAAGTTTTTGCTTATTTAAAATAATTCTAATATTAAAATTTTAAATATTAATAGAAGTAACATGAGATTAATCTAACTCAATCGTATAGTAGAAAAGAATAGTAAGTGGAATCCAAATAACAGTGTAATTATTTTATTTATTTTTCTCCTTAATTAACTAAAACCAATTTTTAAAAAACATATTTAATTTAGGGATTTGGTGTATTTGACCATGATATATACAAAGACAATAGCTCTTTCACCAACAGAAGCAGTCTCCTTCCTTTAAACGCATGATTAAATAATAAATATAATAACAATTAAAATTAAAATCATTCATACAATCTGACTGACTGATTAGCTTAACTCATCTATCAAACAAATTTACAAAAAAAAAGCAAAACAAAATTACACTTAATTTATTTCTTATTTCTAAAACTATAATAAACTAATTTTAGCTTATATATTTTATATATTTATTTGACTTATCTTAATTTATTGATTTAACCATATTAAAAATTTAAACCACTTTCCGATACGTCTCATATAAAATATTGTTAATTGCATTTTTTTTTGTAATAAAGAGATAAATATAATATTAAAGAAATTTATATAATAGTATATTAAATATTTTCATTTAATTTGTATTTAGTTTTTTATTAAATTTTAAAATTTTATAATTTGGCTTTGTATAAAATTTCCCTTCATTACTTAACTAAAACTAAAATATAAATCTAGTATTTAAAATTATTTTATTAAAATTTAAGTTCTATAATTATTAAAATTATTTCAACATATATAACTAACTAACTAACTAACTAACTAACTAACTAACTAACTAACTAACTAACTAACTAACTAACTAACTACCCCTCTAAAATTCCAACTGTATTTCTATGTATATGTTTGAAATAGAAATATTAAGATTTAATAATGATTGTTAAACTAACTTAGTTTTTGTGATATCTCTTCCTAAAATAAAATTAATAAATTCATATTAGATAATTATTATAATTTACTTTTTCTTTTTATCCACTTTTGTTTGAATTAAAAGTATATTAATATTTTAATTTACTTATAATTAATTAAATTTCTGTAAATAGCTAATCAACATTTAAAAAAAAAAATAAATAATGCATTAGAAAAAATATTTCAACAATGTAGAAGAAGTAATTAATTATTTATTTTCTTATGAATATTCTTAAAATTTATTTTATTAATAAAAAAAGTTTTTAAAATCTTCACTTTAATTTCATTATATTGTCCATATTGCTATGAGGTATATTTCATTTATTAATATTAATATTTTTAATGTTTTTTCTTATATTTATTTTTCAATATTATATTATTAATTTTCTTATCAAACTTATTATCTCTTTTATTCATTTTTTATTTATTTTTTCTTCATTTTTTCCTTCTAACTAGCTAATGAATTATGTATTTTTCATTAATATTCAAAAAGTCACAAATAAATTCTTGATGAAGGCGCATCAAGCTTAGGGTTAGCCTTAGCTAATTGCACTAATCTTACAAATTTGAAACTTGATCTTTTGTAACATTTTTAATAAAAAATTAATTTAAAACAATACAACTCTCTTAATTTATTTAATAGTATTATATTTGATTTATTTTCCTTTTTTTATATTTTACTAGTGTTTTTTTCTTCTTTCTTTTGTTAATTTAACTCATTTTTTTAATTCTCATCTTTTAATTTTATTATTAGTTAATTCATTTCTTATTTTATATTTTTTCTTCGTTTTTTCCTTCTAACTTAATAATTAATTTTTTTTTTCATTAAAATTGATAAAGTGGCAATAAAATTGGTCGAAAAAGTACATCAGCCTTAGGTTCTGCTTTATCAAATTGCCTTAATCTATAAAATTTGGCACTTTATTTAAGGTAAAAACAGTTTATTTATTTAGATTGCGAATTTTTTGAATATAAAAATGAATTTAAAACAAAAAAGCTCTTTCAATTAGTTTATTAGCTTTTTATTTAATTTATTATTTTTTACTTTTTTATTCTGCATGTATCTTTTTTATTTATTTGTTATTTTAACTAAATTTTTCATTTTAAACTTTTGATTTTATTTTTTATTAATTCACTTCTTTTTATTTCAAATTTTTTTTCTTCATTTTTTCCTCCTAACGAAAAATAAATAATTAATTTCTATTTTTTCTTCAATATATAAAGTTAAAATTAAATTGATGAAACTGGTGCATCAGCATTAATTTCTGCTTTAGCAAATTGCACTAATCTCTTAAATTTGACACTTAATCTTAGGTAAAAACAGTTTATTAGCTTTGAATTGTGGTTTTTTTTAATATTAAAATAAATTTAAAAAAACATAACTCTTTTAATTAATTTATTAACTTTTTATTTAATTTCGTTTTCTTTTTTTATCCTGCTTGCATTTTTTATTTTTTTTTGTTAATTGAACTCATTTTTTCATTTCCAACTTTTACTTTTAAAATCAATTAATTCATTTCTTATTACATCTTAATTTTTCTTCATTTTTTGATTATAACTAAATAATTATTTAAAAGTCACAATAAAATTGGTGTCTTTGGTACATCAGGCTTAGATATTTCTTTAGAAAATTTGATTAATCTCACTAATTTGACACTTGATTTTAGGTAAAGCTAATTTATTTTTGTGTTTTGGATTTTAATATATTTTTTTTATTAAAATTAAGTTAAAAGAATATTGCTAACTTTTTTAATCTATTTGTTAGATTTGTATTTGATTTAGTTTTTTTCTTCTTTCTTTCATTATTAATTTAACTTTTATTTCATTTTCTACTTTTACTTATATTATTAATTAATTTATTTATTTCTTTTTATTTCATATTCTTTTTTCTATTTTTCCTTCTAAATAACTAATTAATTATTTGTTTTTTCTTCAATATTTAAAAAGTGACAATAAAATTGGTGCAAAAGGAGCATCATGCCTAGGCTCTGCTTTAAAAAATTTGAAAAATCTTTCAAATTTTGAACTTTATCTTATGTAAAAACTATTTATTTGTTTTGGATTTTGATATTTTTTATAAAATTTAAAGTAATTTTATTTTCTTTATTTATAACTATTTATTTGGTTTATTTTTCTTTTTTTATTTTGTTTGTCTATTTTTTTTTTCTTTTATGTTAATTTAACTCACTTTTTAAATTTTTATTTATGTTTTTATTATTAATTTATTTCATATTTTTTCTTCATATTTTCCTAACAACTAACTAATTAATTTTTTATTTTTTTCAATATTTAAAAAGTAGCAATAAAATTGGTGATACATACATACATACATACATACTCGCACATGGTTACATGCACTCGGGATAGGGGCCCTATATATAATTACTTATACATTATTATTATACGTATACCAATTTATTTATATATAATTGTGGGTAATATACTAGAAGGGAAGGGTCACCTACACCCTAATGGCATTTCTACTAATCTTCCATGATTTGACTACGCATTATGCTCGCTTCCCATTTGTATTCCAGATCTTCTGTTCAGAATGGGGCCTCCTCTTTACCTCCTATCAGATTTGGCCCTTCCCTCCTACCAAGGAGACCGCTGGTAACATTCACATTTTTACATGGAATTTTTCGAAATAAAGGGGGCGGTATAGGATTCGAACCCCCGATATCACTGCTAAGACCCTCCGACTCGCCCACTCGAGCCGCTTAGCCCTTCAAAATTGGTGATCAAGGTGCATCAGGCTTAAGTTCTGCTTTTTCAAATTGCACAAATCTCTCTAATTTGAAACTTGATTTAAGGTAAAACAACATTTATTTGTTTTGGATTATGATATTTTTTAATTTAAAATAAATTTTAAAGTAATTTTATTTTTTTTGTTTATTTATTTATTTATTTATTTATTTATTTTTCTTTTTTTTTATTTTCTGCTTGTGTTTTTTTTTTTCTTGTTTCTTTGTTAATTTAACTCATTTTTACATTTTTAACTTTTAATTTTATTATTAATTAATTCATAACTTATTATTTCATATTTTTTCTTTAATGTTTCTTTCTAACTAACAATCAATTAATTATATTTTTTTTCTTCAATATTTAAAAAGTATCAATAAAATTGGTGCAATTGGGGCAAAAAGCTTAGCTTTTGCTATAGCAACTTGCAATAATATCTCAAATTTGACACTTAATCTTTAGTAAAAATAGTTTTTTTTTTTGGATTATGATATTTTTTAATATAAAAATGAATTTAAAAAAATATAATTCTTTTATTTTAATTATTTGCTTTTTATTTTATTTATTTATTTTTCTTTTTTATTGTGCTTGCGATTAATTTCTTTCCTTGCTAATTTAACATATTTTTATTATTTACAAATTTTACTTGTATTAATTAATAATTCATTCATTTCTTTTAATTTCATAAATTTTTTTCATTTTTTCCACTATTAACTTATAAATTAATAATATATGTTTTCTTTATTATCAAAAAGTGAAAATAAAATTGGTGAAATTGGTTCAATAAGCTTAGTTACTGCTTTAGCAAATTGCGCTAATCTCTCAAATTTGGCACTTTATTTTATGTAAATAAAGTTTATTTGTTTTGAATTAAATAAAAAAATGAATAAAACAATATAACTCTTTTAATTTATTAGCCTTTTTATTTTATTTTTTCTGTTTTATTTCTTTTTTTCTTTGTTAATTAACTCATTTTTATTTTCAACTATTTATATTATCAGTAATTAATTTATAACCTATTATTTAATATTTTATCCTCATTTTTTCCCTCTATTAACTAATTAATTTTATGTTTTTTTTTCAATAATTAAAAAGTAACAATAAAATTGGTAATAATTGTGTGCCAGACTTAGGTTCTGCTTTAGCAAATTGCACTAATCTCTCGAATTTAACACTTGATCTTAGGTAAAAACAGTTTAATTGTTTTATATTGTAATTTTTTAAATCTAAAAACAAATTATTAAACAATATAACTAATTCTTTTAATTAGTTTTTATTTAATTTCTTTTTTTTTTTTATTCTGCTTTCTATTTATTCATTTTTTCTTTTTTAATTTGATAAATTTATTCATTTTGAACTTTTATTTTTATTATTCATTAATTTCTTATTATTTCTTATGTTTACATCATATTAACCCTCTAACTAACTAACTAACTAACTAACTAACAAATTAATTAATTTTTTTTCCCTTGAATACTTAAAAAGCTACAATTTAATTGGTGACAAAGATGCATCAGGCTTAGGTTCTACTTTAGCAAATTGCACTAATCTCTCAAATTTAAAACTTGATTTAAGGTAAAAACAGTTTATTTATTTTGGATTTTGATATTTTTTAACAGAAAAATTAATTTATAACAATAAATTTTTTTTTTTATTAGCTTTTTATTTGATTTATTTCTTTTTTTATTCTACTTGTATTTTTTTGTTTCTTTATTCGTTAATTTAACTTATTTTTTATATTCAACACTTCCTTTAATTATTAATTAATTCATTTCTTACTATTTGATATTTTTCTATCATTTTTTCCTTCTAAAAAACTAATTTATTAAATATTTTTTCTTGAATATTTAAAAAGTGGCAATAAAATTGGTGACGAGGGTGCATCGGGTTTAGGCTCTGCTTTAGCAAATTGTTCTAATCTTTAAAATTTGGCAATTTATCTTCAGTAATAACTCTTTATTTGTTTTGGATTGCGATATTTTTTAATATACAAATAAATTTAAAATAATATAACTCTTTTTTTTATTAGCTTTTATTTGGCTTATTTTTATTTTTGTTTGTTTTGATTATGTTTTTTTTTTTTCTTTTTTGTTAATTTAAATTATTTTTTAATTTTTACTTTCATAATTAATTATTAATTTCTTTATTAATTCCTATTTTTTCTTTCAAACTAATTATTAATTTTTTTATTCTTCTATATTTAAAAAGTCGCAATAATATTGGTGCCATTGGTGCATCAGGTTTAGGTTTAGGTTTAGAATATTGCACAAATCTCTCAAGTTTGTCAATTTATCTTTAGTAAAAGCAATTTATTTCTTTTGAATTGTGATATTTTTTAATATAAAAATGAATAAAACAAAAGAAATCTTTTATTTATTTATTAGCTTTTTTTTAATTTATTTTTTTGCTTGTATTTTTTTTATTAGTTAATTAAACTTTTTTTTCATTTTCAAGTTTGGCTTTTATAATTAAATAATTAATTTCTTATTATTTCATATTTTTCTTCATTTTTTCTTATAACTAATAAGTTCTAACATTTTCTTCAATATTTAAAAAAGTTAAAATTAAATTGGTAATGAAGGTATATCAGGCTTAAGTTCAGCTTTTGCAAATATCCCTAATCTCTAAAGATTGACACTTATTCTTAGGTAAAAACAATTTATTTGTTTTGGATTGTGACTTTTTTAATATTAAAATTAATTTAAAACAATACAGCTAACTCTTTTAATTTATTAATAAGCTTTTTAATATAATAAATTATATAATCGCTAACTCAACCTGATTTTTCCTACCTAATTTTATCAAAAAAAATGTAATAAACATTTTTAATAAAATTAGGTAAGAAAAATGAGATTTAGCCAGTTATGTTAGGATTTAATATATTTTTTATTTGATTTATTTTTGTTTTATACTCGTTGTTTTTTTTCTTTCTTTCTTTGTTAACTAAACTCATTTTTTCATTTTCAACTGCTAAAATTATTAATTAATTTTTTATTTTCATAAATGTCTTCTATTTTTGCATCAAACTAACATTTTAATTTATTTTTTTCTTCTGTATTTTAAAAGTGAAAATTAAATTGGCGCAATTGGCGCATCAGGCTTAGGTTCTGCTTTAATAAATTGCCATAATCTCTCAAATTTGACAATTGATTTTAGGTAAAAACAGTTTATTTGTTGTTGATTGTGATATTTTTAAAATATAAATCTTTTTATTTAATTATTTATCAGCTTTTTTTTATTTTTTTTATTCTGTTTGTCTTTTTCTACTTCTTTCTTTGTAAATTTAATTTATTTTTCGTTTATTTTCAACTTTTACTTTAATACTAAATAATTTATTTCTTATTGTTTTATATTTTTCTTCATTAACTAATTTATTAAATATTTTTTCATCAATATTTAAAAAGCAATAATTAAATTGGTGACGAAGGTGCAACATGCTTAGGTTCTTCTTTAGCAAATTGCACTAATCTCTCAAAATTAGCACTTTATCTTATGTAATAGCTGTTTATTTGTATTGAATTAAGATAATTTTTAATATAAAAATAAATTTAAAATAATATAACTCTTTTTATTTATTACTTTTTTACTTTTTTCTTTTATTATTCTGCTTTTATTATTTCTTTCTTTTTAATTTAAGTCTTTTTTAAATTTGCTTATAACTTATACTTTTATTGCTAATTAATTAATTTTATATTATTAATATTTTTCTTTCAAACGGACAAACAAATATACAAACTAATTAATTAATTATATTATTGTTGTTAAATATTTAAAAAGTGTCAATTAAATTGGTGCAATTGGTGCATCAAGCTTAGGTTTTTCTTTAAAAAATTGCCCTAATCTCTAAACTATGATACTTCATCTTAGGTATTAATAGTTTATTTGTTTAAGAATGTGATATTTAATAATAGATAAATGAATTTAAAATAAGATAATACTGATAATCTTTTAATTTATTTATTAACTTTTTATTTGATTTATGTTTCATATTTTATCCTGCTTGTATTTTTTTTCTTTCTTTTGTTGTTAATTTATCTCTTTATTTCATTTTCAACTTTATTTTTACTACTAATTAATTTCATATTATTTCAATTTTTCTTTATTTTTCCTTGTAATTAATTAACTATTTAATAATATATTTTTTATTTAATATTTAAAAAGTGGCAATAAAATTGGTGACGAAGGTGCATCATGCTTAAGTTCTGCTTTAAAAAATTGCTCTAATTTATCAAATTTGACACTTTATCTTAGGTAAAAACAGTTTATTAGTTTTTAATTGTGAAATTTTTAATATTAAAATTAATTTAAAACAATATAAATCTAAAAGTTAATGAAAAATCTTTTTATTTGATTTAATTTTCTTTTTTTTACTTTACTTGTGTTTATTCTTTCTTTCTTTGTTAATTTAACTCATTCTTTGATTTTAAACTTTAGCTTTTATAATTAATTAATTTCTTATTATTTCATATTTTTCTTCAATTTTTCCTTCTAACTAATTGATTAATTTTGAAATTTTTCTTCGATATTTAAAAAGTTCCAATAAAATTGGCAATGAAGCAGCATAGTGTTTAGGTTCTGCTTTAGCAAATTTCACTAATTTCTATAATTTGACACTTGGTTTTAGGTAAAAACAGTTAATTTATTTTGGATTGTGATATTTTATAATTTAAAACAATATAAATAATTCTTTTAATTTATTTATTCGCTTTTTATTTTATTTATATTTCTTTTTCTTTTTTATTATGCTAATGTATTTTTTATTTATTAATTTAAATAAATTAATAATTAATTATTTTCTATTTAATTTTTTTAATAACTTACACTAATTTATATATATTAAAAGTAAAAACGAAATCAATGAATAATAATAATTGAAACTAGAAAGCAAATGTCTTAAATCAAAAAGATTAGTTTCTTTTAAAATATATTTCTCATGATAATAAAAAGTGGTGAAAAAAAGGATAAATTAATATAAAAATATTTGAATTATAGAATATAATATGTTTTAGTTTTTATATTTTGTAATTCAAAAATAATTTTAAAATATAGAAAGATAGATAGATAGATAAATTTATTGTATTTTTTATTATTTTTAATAAATATAATATTTAGGTAAATTAATAAATAGCTTATTAAATAAAACAAAATATAAAAATTAAATTTACTTAAATGAAATGAATCCTCTAATTTTGAATGATAAAATTGTGAATTGGTAAATTGTTTTCAAATTATAAGAATACAATACAATATATAAAAATCAATAATTTCCACTATCTTCAAATACTTCTTTAAGTTTATGTGAAATATGACTAATGGAGTTATTTATTACTTCTTATTCGATGTTTTCCCATAAATTTTAAATTGTTTCTTTCAGTTATTATTTATTTGCAATTTATTTATTAACATATTTATTCTTAATTTCATTCAAAATTACATGAAAAAATATTTTCATTCAAAAATACATGGAAAATTTTGAAAAAAACGGTAAATTTGACTACTTTTCATAATTTTTTTATTATATCCAAGTTCATTAATTTCATTAAACTGTACTAATATAATGATTTTAAATATTAAGGCTTTCTCATTTAGCTTTTATTTTTTATAGCTTATATTTTATAAATCTTCTTTATTGTCAATTGCTATATGGATAATTAAGAAGCAGTTTAGATGTTCATGCATTAATTTAATTAATTAATATTTTAAATGAAAAGTTTGTAATACTAACTATTTCTGGAGAAAAACAAACTGTAAATATAATAATTACTAATGTTCATATTAATCATAAGGGAATTAATATCAATATCTAAGTATTTAATTCTATAGATTTAATACCAACATTTATTTTATAAACTATTATACTTGGATCCTTTGAGTTTGAACTATTTATCTGCTCAGGGTAATACTCATATTAGTTAAATAAACTACTAGAAAAACTTCATTCATAATCAGTTTTGTATTAATAGCTATTTTATATATCAATTATTACTTATTTTATATGATAATTTAATTATTTATACAATTAATATACTCATAGTAAATTAGTTTTTAAACTATCTGTTTGTTTATTATGTAATAAAATAAAATAAGATTTGTTTATTCAAACTGATTTCTGATTAGAATTTAATGATTATATTTTATTTAAAAATACTTTATGAGTATACTAACTCTATCTATTTTAATCAATATTTAATAAGAATTAATTATAAAAACTCATTTTTATAAAATCGCTAACAAATAAGATTTCTTTGATTAGACAAATTTACTTTTATTTAATAAAATATAATAAATAATAAATAGTTAATTTCAAATTGTTAATAAAAAAAATAAATTTATTCATGATTAATTCAATTTATTAATTTTTAATTCCTTTTTGATTAAGTTCTTTTGTTTTTAATTTTTAAAGAGCTGTTTAATTTTTTAGTTCATTAAATTGTAACAAATAATTGTAACAATTAGATATTGTTTCTAATTAAAAAAGAAAATACTATTATTACATTATTTAATCTAAAATATCAAATCTTTTATAATAAAAAAAACAAAAATAAAATAAAAAATTATTGGTTACCATAATTATTTAATTATAAGGTACTAGAAATATTTATACAGTTTTCATAGAAATAAAGAGCCAAATTTTCCATCGCTGATTAATTATATTTTTTCTAAATCATTAATATTTGATAATTATAAGGTAATTATTAATTAATTAAATATTCATAATAATTATTAAATATGTAAGTAAAATTCTTTAATATTTAGCGGTATTCAAGATTAGTATGTACTGGATTAAATTTTATGAGAAAAAATAATCGAGCAAGAGCTAATTTATAACTGGAATTTTAAAAAATAAGAGATAACCATAATATTTACTGAAAATATTTAGAGAACAAAATTTAGTCTATTGGTTTTGAAATGAATTAAATTTTGTTACTCGATATTATCTAACAGTAATATATTAAGGTAAATCATTTTTTATAAAATTGATAATAACTGGTACTTACTAAAATTTTTGGAAGGGAAAATATAAATAGAGTAAATAAATAGCTATAAATACTTTAATGTAGAAGAAGGTATTAATATTCAATTTATGATATACATTTACTTATACATTAAATTGATGATCAATCAATCTTGCTATAAATTAACATCCTAGAGATTTTATATTTGCATATAAATAATGATAGAGTAAATGTAAAATTGAGTGATATTTATCCATCAAGTTAATTGATTTTTGAAATAACAATAAGGCTTTTATTCAAGTTATTGAATATTCATAAAAAGACATTTTAATAATATATATACTTTTTCTTTAGTTAATTAGTTAGTAACTTTAATTATAACAAAAGACTTGAAAAGTGAAGGTCTGTCTAAGAGCAAATAATTATGAAGAAAAATACTTTAAAATTGAATTTTGAAAATACTCAAAAGACTCATGATAATTTAGTATAGATTTTTTAAGCTAGAGCAAATGAAAAAAGTATAACAGAGGATGAGAACGATACTAAATTGGATTTATCGAAGAAGAAAATGCCTTCATAAATGGAATAAAGTATTGCATCATCAATTAAATGTGAGACGCCTTAAAGCGCCCAACAACCAAGAATAGACTAAATTAGCAATAAAAGGAGAAAGAATTAATATAAAGGATTAGAATAGCAATTAAAAGAATCTCAAGATCTGGTAATGTTAAGTCCGATTGTAAGCCCAGGTGCTAATGAAGGAGCTATTTAATCTGGCTATGATCTCAAAGACTCTTTTTAAATTGATAGTAAAACTTATTCGTTTATAAAGAGAGGAGAGGATGAAAATGGAATAAATAAGAATACCGGTTACAATCCAGAGGCTTAATACTTTGATAGCAGCAATATGAACTTAAATTAGAGTAAATAGAACTTGTCATTTAAGGAGAAAGTGCTTTAAAATAGGTAATATAGCCCAGATTAAAAGTATTAAACTGAAAAAAATGATGTAAAGAGCGGTCTATCAAATCAAAGCTCCTTAGTAGAAGAAGGAGGGGAGAATTTAAAATTAGATAAAATAAAAGTAACTTCAAATACAGGCAATATGGATAATGGATATAATTCTAATGAGCAAATTCCTTCAAATATAAATAACACAATGCTAAAAAGTAGAGTTTTAGCTCAGAACAATATGCGGTCAAGTAGGGGTGTCATCGATTATTCCAACTAAAGAAAAAAATAAAGTGTGTAAACAATATCTGGATTCAAGAAAAAAGAAGAAAAGCTTGTGGAACATGACAAAAATTCTAATTAAAAAAAGGAGAAGAAAGCAAATTTTTTAGGTGTTATTATGAAAATGAAAAATTATGCTTATAGAATGGCATCTACTGTTGAGTCTAAAAGATTATCTATTCTTTAAAGATAGAAATTTGAATACCTTAGAGATAAAACAGTTGTTTATGGTAGTTGGGAGAGGGAAAATAGTGAGTTTAATGATTACAATAAATTAAAGTAATTTGTTTATTTGTTTTTTCAATTCATCCAATCAACAAGCTGCATGAAAAAGTTCAGAGAAACTTTACCTGTAATCCCTCTCTTTCTTCCTCAGTCTATATGGAAATTCTTATGGGATATCATAAATATGATAGTTGTTATTGTTTTTTTTTTCTTTTTGCCTCTTCACTTTATTTACAATATAAACTTTAGTGACATATTTTATTTTTAAACCATCGATATTGGACTTGCTGTTATTGCTTCTTTTGATATTTTAATTAATTTAAACACTGCTTAATACAGAAAAGGAAATCTTCTTAGAAAGAGGACTCTAATATTTTTAGAGTATTTTTCCAGAAATGGTTTTGTAAACATTGCCTACATTATTATGTTATGGTTAATTATATTTTAGTAGCGATACGACCTTAGTTCATTTTAAAACTATAAATTTGGTTTTGTGTGTTTTATTATTTGTTTGCTAAAAGTTATTGAGTCAAATACGTTTTAGAGTAAAATTAACGATAGATTTTACCTTAGAAAAATGAATAGAGGAATTATAACACTTATGCAGATATTTTTTAACTTATTTATTGTTTCTCATTTATTTGCTTGTGTTTGGCTGGTTGTAGGAAAAATCGATGATTCTAATTAAGCTATACAGTGTGCTTTCTAAGATCCAACAAGTAGAGCTACTTGTAGTTATACTTGGCTTGATAAGCTAAAAGGTATTTAAGATATGACTTTCTATGAACAATATTTAAGAGCATATTACTTCACGACTGTTACTATGATTACTGTAGGTTATGGTGATATCACTCCTGTCAATAGTAGAGAATACTTGCTCTCAATTTTAACTATGTTGATAGCTTGTGGTATGTTTGGGTATAGTCTCAATTCAATAGGTTAGATTCTATCAGAAATGAATACCGATTAGAAAGCATACAATGAGCATTTTAATGCAATCAATGGTTTCATGCACAAGAAAAACATATCTATCGATTTGCAATTCTAAGTTAGAGAGTACTTGCAGTATTTTTTCATACAATCTAACTAAGAAGATCTCTAAAAACAGCAAAAAGTAATAAGGTTACTCCCAGAAGCATTGTAAAATCAAATTATGTTCGAAGCAAACAAAATAGTTCTCAATATTTCTCCTCTTTTTAAGTAACTTTATTAATTGTTTAATTTATTTAATGGAAATCGATTTATTTATTTATTAGTTTATTTGTTAGTTTAAAAGAGAATATTTTCTATTTATTTTAATATAAAAAATGATTTGAGAGAAGTTAATTTTTCCATGTTATTTGAAATTTTGATTAATTGATTTAAAAATAAACAAACATTTGCTAAGCTTTTATTAATAATAAATAAAAATAGACAAAATTTTAGCGAATAAATATTGCAAAAAACAATAAGGATTATAGAGTAAAAAAAGTATAGGCCTGGAGAGTAGATAATAATTCAAGATGTTGAGAATGATAATTCAATATATTTTATAGAAAAAGGAAGTGTTGAGGTTTATAATTCAAACAGCAATGAAGAAATAAAAATACTTTCAAATGGGTCATCTTTTGGGGAAATTTCTTTTTTTACTGGAATGAAAAGCTAAATTTCTATCAAAAGCATTGAGTTTACAACGCTCCTATCAATTAAAAGAAGCATTTTCTTTGAACTAATTTAAAGCTCTCCACTAGATTTAGAAAGATTTTGTATGATCAAAGATTCGATTATTTTTAATAATAAATATGAGACTGTAGGAATTTACTGCTACTGCTGCAAATCAAGTAGCCATCTTGTTACATCTTGCAATTTCATTCATCTTCACCTTGATAAATTTAAAGTAAACTTTTTACAAAAAAAATAAATTATTTTTATATTAATTCAATTTTATTTATTTTAATATTTCTATTTATTCAGTAAAAATAACAATTTTAAAATTATTTTAATTAATTTCTCTTTTTTAAATAATAAAAATTATGCAAATAAAATTAAGATTTTTTATATCACAATAGGTAATTAAAGAATATGTTAAGGATGAATTTCAATAAAGAGAAAAAGAAATTTAGAGAAGAAATATAACAACTAATTCGTTGTAAAATAAAGATCAAATCGAAGAGTACGCTAATTAATTTATAGAAGAAAATATCGATGAATTGCAAATGGAGGGATGGTTTAATGATTTAATAAAACTTGAATATTAAAATAATTTAATTGTGCGCAACAATAGTCAAGGAGTAAAAAATTATACAAATTCTAGAACCACTAGTCTCAACGAAAACGTGTAAAGAAATTAAGTCTAGAAATCAAACTCTAATTAAGTAAGCTAATATGCAAATATAAAAATACAATATCAATACGGTAAAAGTATTTCTGGTAATCTCCATGATTACTATGATTCTCACTCTAATATGGTCAGTGATTATACTCCTGCAAGCGCATAAAATTTATAAATATAATAAAAATCACCAAATAATTTCTTTCGAAGACACTCTGCGAGAAGTGAAGAGGGATAAAATTCTCTTGCATTTAATACAAGTAAAAAGGTTTAATTCTCAATTTCTTCTTTGCCTGCTAGTGAAAACGATGATCACTTTGGTGAAAAGTCAAGCTCTCCTCCTTAATAATAATACATAAAATTAAATTCAAATAATCCAAATTCATACCTTCAGCAATTTAGTGTTGTGGATTTAAATAATAACACTCCTACTAATAGGTTGCGATAACAATCAAATAACTCAGAATTGCCTCCATCTTCTATAAATGTGGCAACTAGCAACAATCATGTAAATATTAATCATGCCAATTATTATAACACATAAAATAGTGGCTAAAATAATTCAAACAATTACAATACCAGCAGCTTTTAGGTAAATAGCCTAAACACTTAAATGAATACAAATTAAGCTATGACTCTAGCAAAAGGTATTCTTACAATGCAAGTATCAAACTAAAGCATATCAGATGTACATTCTCTTTAGTACAACTAATAAATTAACAATTAATCTTAAGTCAGATCAAACAATGTTTCTATCACTACAATGTAAAATAATTAAATTTAAGCAAAATAGAAAGAAGTGAGTGTCTAAAGAGGAAGCAAAAAGAGAATAACTTTAAAAACTGAGAACTTTATTAAAAAAAGACCACAAACATCTCCACACATCACAAAATAGATGAGTAATTTAGTTGAAAGGCAAGCTAACGAGAATTTAATTAGACAATTGTAAGAATTGATGCAAATGCCTCACATTTAAAATACAAAATAGGATAACTCCCCATTCGAAATCCTCAAAAGCTTTTAAGTATACATGCCACATAATAATCCTGATAGAGTAATATTATAGCATTTAGTTTACATGAGAAAAAAGCAAGGTTCTTATCAAACTAAAAAAACAAAAAAAAGTATTAACAAATTTAACGAGAGCTCATTTTTAAGAAATGGAACTCATGCTTCTTCTAGAAAGAATAATAACAACAGTAAAGATCATCATCACTCACACTCTCATGATAAAAAAACAATTTAAGAATACAAAAACATCTTAAGCGAAAATGCTGTTGAGCATGAATTGTTGTTTTAAAATAAGCAAGATTTATAATCAATAAAATCAATTATGTCATAAAACTGATTATTTTAACTTTAATATATTAATTACTTCTATTTAACTCAAACTAAACTATTTAATTTTAAGTTTTTGTTTATTTTTCATATTTATTTTCAAATTTTAGTTAATATTTATTTCACTTACTTCTCTTTACTTAATGCAATATCTATCTAATTAAACAATTACCTTTATCTTATTTTAAAAATAATAACATGCTTAATTAAACACATTTAAGTTTAAAGCAATTTTCCTAATTTGCAAATCTAAAATAAAATTTAAGAAACACATTTTTGTAGATACATATTATCAATTAGTATTTTCAATACTATTATTTATAATAATAATTTATTTAATCCTATCTAAATTAGCTATTGTATTTCCTCTAAACTTTACGCCATACAGAATAACTTTTCAAAGTTTAGGGAGTTATTATATTTGATAAATTTACTGGGCATTCTTATGATAATATAAATGATGAACTTTCCAAGATTTACAATGAGCTTATTTATTTATTTACCTCCTAATAGCACAAATTCACTATAACAATAAGATTTGACTATTAACAAAATATACAAATCTAAATACTCTGAATTGTGGTGCAAGCATTGATTTCAATAACAAGATCAATAATCAAAATTATTAAATAAAAATTTTTTAACATACATTAGTATATTATGGAATGATATTTCAAAAGAAAATGTTATTAAATCATGATTCTCATTTAATTAAATTAAATTTATTTATATGTAATAAAATAATTCTTTATGCAAATAGATTAGAAAATATAAGTGAAAAAAGTCTTGATATAGAGGGAGAAATAGATATTAATGAAGGTTTTGAAATAGTGTCTTTTAATAGAATAAAATTCACTTAATAGAATATTCTAATTCAGGAAATTTATTAATAGGTTTTAATGATAATATTTTAATAGAATAATTATTATTAAATTCAATTGAAAATTGAATATTATGTGAGTTGGCATGTTTATATTAATTAACTATTGTATTTTATATTAAATAATATAATTCTTCTCAATATTAAGGTTATTTTTTTAAATTATTTTCTATATTAAAGTGATTTTTATATTAAGATGGTGCTTTTTGAAAAATTAACTCTTTAAAAAGGAACCTTAAATAGATAGAAAATAGACTGTATATTTCCTACTTACTGAATAATTATTCGATAATAGCTATAAAATAAGTATTTTTTATGATACCCTCTTTCATTATGTGTGACTTTTGGTATGGCATAATGGTACTTAATTATAGTCTAAAATACTTCCAATACGGTAAAATACATACATTTTCTACTACGGATGTTTATAAACCAAATTTTTTTGGAAAGAGCTTAAAAATTTTTAATTTTGTCAATGCAAATCATAACAAATTAAAATAAAAAATAAAATCAAGCAAGGTAAAATACTAAGAATAAAGCTTGAAAATTAATTAAGGTTGGGTTGATTTATTAAAAGAAGTTGTATATTATATTGTCAAATTAATGTTACTTTATGATATTCTAATTCTATTTATAACTTTGTTTTCAATTAAATTTTTTTATTTTTTAAATACTTAATTTATAACTACTCAAATTATTTAAATACAATAAAATGGAATTTTTTTTGTAAGTACTTCTTCTTTCTGATATAATTTGATTTTTTTATAAACTTTTCTTTATCTTTGAATACACTTTAACAATAAATTAAAAGTATCTATATAATAATAATTAAACTAAGTTTCATAAGTATAAATTTATTTTTTGAAATATTTTACAAGCTTTAAATGACTTAAAAATATCTTCAACGAAGAAATTTAATAAATTTTTTTTAAGGCTATTTAAGTTTTATCTATTCTATATATAGTTTGTTTTGTGAATTAAATATTTATCTAATATGTAGGATGAATATTATTAATTGAAATAATTTATGATATTATTAATCAATTTATATAAAGAAAAATAAATAATAGTCATTTAAATTGATTTTCCTCCTACTAGAATACCTTGATTTCTTTTTGAATTGATTTTTTTATAATTATGTCTCTTAAAAACATACTAATTTTTAGTGAGTAAAAATTAATATTTGTTACTTATTGTCTAAAAAGCTTTATTCAAATTAAAAATAAATATTTACTCTTTAATTTTATAATTAATTTACTTCTAAAAATATTAAAATCAAAAAGAAAATGATTAAAAGATTAAGTTAATTTCATAAGAGTTTGCTTTAAGAATTAAATTTTTAATCATCTCAAATAAAGCAAAAAATGTATTTTACATAAAAAAAATGAAATTTAAAGAGGTTTGAATGCAGAAAAGTCACTTTAAGTCTTGGAAAAAATATTAAATAAAAATTATCAAAGAGCCAGCTCATAAAATTAACCAAGAAGACCAATCATCCTTGCTAATAAAATTTAATAAGATAGTAAATTATCTTGTATGAATGTCTTAAATAGTAATAACTAAAATGCTAAATTTTAAAGTTATCCAGAGCAGCCATCTAGTGATTTAGAAACTCTCTTATAATAAAAATTGAACCAATAAGAATAATTAAAAATGAAACCTGAAGGTGAAGATCTTTTTTTAAAAAGTGTTCATTATTAATTAGCAGGTTTAAAATCTAAAAATTAAACACAAATTTCTAATAATGAGTCTTTAAGTTTTTAAATAGGTCTTAAGTTAGAGAATAAGGAAATTATTAAAAGTGCTTATAAAGATGAGTCTAAAATAAATTCAAGAGATTAAAATCTAAGCAAATAATAAAATCAAGGAATTCTTAACTAAGGAAAGCTAATAAATATAAGCTAAGTTAACTAAAATAATTTGTTACATTTTGATGATTAAAATGAATTTAGTCTATTTTAGGGATAAAATTCAAATAAATTTGAAGATATTTTAGCAACAAAATAATCCTAATTAAAAAAATAAAAACTCTAAGTTAAAGAAATTACAAACAATTTAAATGTAAGAGATCATAGTTTAAATAAAACTAGAGTGAATAATCTTAAATAATAAGAAAAGAAGGTTTACAAATGAAAGTGATTCTATTAATAAATTATTTATTTATTTATTGCATCCTTTATAAATAAAATTTGTGTTTTTTAGTATTTTTTTGCTTACTTATATTTAATTTTTATAAATTATTATTTTTAAAAGTTGGATTTTTGATTGAATTTTAGAAAATCAATTTATTTTCTTTAATAATTGTAAATTAGTGTATCCAAAAATACACACTTTTTGCTTTTATCTTTATGAAATAATGGATATCTTTAATATAAAATAATCTAATTCTTTAAAAAATTATCTCAATTATTATTTTAAGGTATATTTTGAAAGATTGATTTTTATTTTGATTGAAAATCATTAAATATAATAAGTTAATTATTATGAAAGAATAAAAAAATTTAGATTGTGGGATTTAGTTTTTATTTGAAAACTAAAATGATAAAAACTACTTTATAATTCCTTCTTTTTGAATTTTAAAATTGTATAATAAATAATTTTAATAACTCTGATTTAAGCTAGAAATTGATAAGATTAGCTAAATAGTGTATTTAATTATTTTTCCTTCGTCTTAATAATCAATCTAGCAAATTATAATATCCTATTAACATCAATATCAGAAAAATACTGATAATCAATTGTTACCATCTGTATTTGATAATTAAACAATTCTATTAATTTGTATAATTTTTGAAAATTTAATTTTTAGGAGTTTGCAGTAATTTAATTAATACTACTAATAATTAGTCAGAAACTAACTTTTCTGAAAATCTTACTACAAATAAATATATAAATATGTTAGGAAGCAAGCATATTTATTTAATTAATTAAAAGAAAAAAGTAATACTTAAATAATAAAATGAGAAAACTAACTTAGTTATTTAAAAATGGCTATATTCCCAAAAAATGTTTTATGCCTCATTCACTGTCTATAAATTAAAGGTATTTCTTTTCACGATTACTTAATTATATAGATTCTCTTACTCAGACTTTTGCTAAAAATTAAATAATCTCTTAAGAAGTAAGAGGATTATCTGATCTTAATATGGCACCTAGAAATTTAGAGCTATCAAAATAAAAATAAGAGAAAGTTAAATAAATGTGTTTGAACAATTAATAATAATAATATCCTAAAACAGTTGACTCTTGTTTAATTAATGGAACTATTTTTTAGAAAATAAAAATGATAGAAGATGCCAAAAATTGTTATTTAGATGCTATAAAAATTGATCCAAAACTCACTCTAGCTTATTAACATTTAGCAGATATTTATGAAGATACTAAGAATTTTTAAGAAACTGAAAAGTATTTGTTGAAAGCATTAGAAATTACCCCAGATGATATATATTTAAATTACAGATTAGGATTTCTTTACTAAAAAATGGGTAACTTGAAAAGTCAAAGACATTCTTTATTAAGAGTGAAGATTAATAAAAAGCGTTAAAAGTGAAAAGCTCAGACAAATAATCAATTATCCAGTTAGGTGAATTCTACAAAAAGATTGGAGAAAATGAAGACGCAATTAAGCTTTTCTTGAAGTCAGATGAGATTCAACCACTATAAGATATTTATCTTAATTACTCTTTAGGTTTACTCTTGTTTAAAACCTAAAAATATCAAGAATCTATAAAATATCTACTAAAACAAAATGATCCATAAAATTTTTTTACCAACTACCTTTTAGGTCAATCTTACTTAAAAATAAATAAATTAGAAGAATCTAAAATTTATTTTCATTAGGCTTTAGAAATTTAACCAAAATCAGAACTTATTTGTAATTAACTAGGTAAGATTTATTTGCTTTTAAACATGAAAGAAGAAGCTTATAAATACTTTTTAAAAGCTTAAGAAAATAATCCTTAAGACTTAGAATCTCTTTTTTATTTAGGATGTTTGTATTAAAGTTATAATAAACAACAAGATAGATGCAATTAATTGTTTTTCAAAGGTTTTAAAAAATTAGCCTTTAGACTTCGATTCTAATGTTTAATTAGGAATTTCTTTATATTTAGTTGGAAAAGTAGAAGAGGCTAAAGTATATTTCTAAAAGGCTTTTGAAATCAAACCGTAATCAGTAGGAGCTTATATTAAAGTAGGTAATTTTTACTTGAGCTAAAGAAATTCGAATGAAGCTATTGAATGCTACAGTAAGGCTTATTAAATTAATCAGAAAGATTTTGACTCTTTTATTTTAGAAAATTTTAATTCTTCTTTAATTTAAAATTTGAAATTCTAAAACGACTTGGACTAAACAAATGACTATAATATTTATTCTAACCTATATCGAGGAATGGTTTATGATTTTATCAATAGGCATGAATATGCCAAAAAATATTACTTTAAGGTTTTAGAAATCGAACCAAAATTATTTTAAGCAAACTTTTATATAGGTGTTGGATATATGAATGAAAATACGCAAAAAGAAGCTGAAATCTTTTTATTGAAAGCTTATGATATTTTACCAAATGATTTTCATATAAATATAGTATTAGGACTATTTTATTAATAAAATGGAAAATAAAATGAGGCAAACTAATATTTTGAGAAAGCTTATTAAATCAGCCCTCAAGATTTTATTTAGAAAAAATGATATTCTTATAAATTTTAATTAAGTTTTAACTTGAATACAATATTTTGATTACTTATACCTTTAATTCCTTATATAGATCTCAATTTTTGTTTTTGTTATGAAGAATTTTTTTTAATTTTAACTCAATAATATTTACAAAAAATAAAAAATATTTTCATTTTTTATAATCATATTTTAAAAAAATATTTGTCATGCGAAATATTTAAATTTTGATTCTTCTTTTTCTATATTTAAATGTGATAATTAAAGTAATTATTAATACATTACATTAGATAAATCATAGTATTATACAATGTTTAATAAAATAATTAATTACTTTAAAATAGATGGCAATTTAAAAATATTTCAATAGGAAGTTCTTTATTGATAAAGCAAAAATATTGGATGATAAATTTTAGCAGATCAATCATCTCAGGTATTTGTTTAGTGTGAATTTAGATGATAGGAACATATGGGCCATTAAGGGAAATTAAGTTTAAATTAATAATGATTATGCTTTTGCAATAAATAAGGTCTAATAAAAACAATTTTAAAGTTAATTATTGCAGTTATTGTTTTTTCCTTCCATTGAAAAGTAGATAAATGATAAATACCACTAAATTTCCAAAAGATTTAGCAGAAATTTAGAATGCGAGTAAAGTAAAAACTTAAAGAAATTCCAAAATTTATGCTTTTTTTTGTCTGAAAAAGTAAGATTTAGTTAGAAAAACTATGTTTTAAATCTCTAGCACAAAAGAAATAAAGAAGCAATAGTCTCGTGATTTGAATTTAAGGTAAATATATTTTTATGGTTTATATTATGGTTAATTCTAAAATTTAAAAATATAGTCTTAAACAAGTTTAAAATATCAATTATTTCCTAAATAGGCAATTTATATCACTGAGAGAGATATATAGATGAAAAAATTATATCTACTATTTATTATTAGAGAAAAAATATGAAAGCAAATATTAATTATTTTACTTATTATAATTGTGTAAGGAACTCACCAAAACAAAATTAGAAGGAGATATAAGAAATCTAAAAAATATTGAAGACAATAAATATTTTTAATGGGAATATTTAGATAAATATAATAAATTTAAAACTTTTAATCACTCACTACATTAAAGTAGATTATATTAATTATAAATTAGATCGATATTTAATAAAATAAATTAAAAAATTAAAGATAAATGTAAAATTAGAATAAGTAGAAATTAAAAAAAATTTTAAATACGATCTCGATTTAGAAAAGTAGCAAAATATGGAGTCAATAATTTGAGTAATTGAATAAATAAGAGCTCTTTTCATTTTTTAATACAATTAATAAATGTAATTATTTTAAAAACATTTACAAAAATGTTAAGAAAAATCTTTTTAATATTCATTAATTCTTATTTGTAAATTTCAAGTTCATTTTATTGATTTAACTTTATTTTTAAAATCAAACAGAGTAATTAAAAATATTTTAATTTTAAAGATGAATTTATTAAAAATATCAAATAATATTGGTTTAGAAAGTAACAAAATACTAATCGCGTTTATATCCTTAAACTTTTTCTCCTTTTAGATTATAAATTGTGATAAATTTTATAACTAGGTTTCATTAATTAAATGAACTATGTTATAAATTAGACTTTTACTTTACTGTTATATTTTATAATCCTAAATTAGATTTCCAATAAAATTTACTTATTTTTTTTTGTAAAATTAAATGGTTAATTTTATTCAGGATATAAAAAGCTTATCCTTTTTAGTTGAAATAATTATGTAAAAAATTGTTTTAAGTAAGAAATATTGTCTTTTTGTACTGTTGTGAAATGGTGAAAAATTTGAGGAAGAAGATTTTTCATTTTGCTAATTATTTTATAAATAAATGTTTGATTTGTTTTTTATTTAGTACTCACTAATTTTATAGATGATATCATCTTATATTGTATGATCACTTGTAATGTGATTAAAAAATAATCAGATTAAATTTTATTGATATAATAATCAAAGAAGTGATACATAATATTTATAAATTCAGTAAAAAAAAATTTTATTTTTAAATTTTTTAAAAAATAGAAAGTGTAAAATTAGCTTAAAATCATAAAAATTAAATGAAGTATCTCCATCTGTATATACATAATTGGTGAGATTTTAATTACAGGATTAACAATAGTTTCTAATAGTGATAATATAATCTCACATTATACATTATGATAGAAAAGAGAATTACTAATAGCCTAATAATATTTTAGAAACCTTGCCTAGTAATTTGAAAAAAGATGAGAGGAACTTGAATTACATAAGAAGAAAACAAATATTTTATTTAGTAGAATATAATGTTGTTTTATTATAAATAATTATAGCGATAATATTTTAAGAATAAGAAAAATCTTTTGGGTGGGATTATTTACTTTTTACCACTGGTTATTTTTAAAAGAAATGGAATCTTAAATGGAGAATATTGCATCTTATATTTGTTAATTTTATTATCTATTTTATAACCTTCAAGTTTATTTTGTTGATTAACACTTTATATTTAAAAGTAAAGATAGATACTAATTAACTAATTGACAATATTTTAATTTTAGTGATGCAATTATTGATAATAACTTGGTTTAGAAAGTAACAAAATGCCAATTCCTTTTGATAGTTATAAATTTTTTCTTATTTTAGAATATAAATTGTGAAAAATTTAATAGCCAAGTTTCAATAATTAGATCAGCTATGTTATAAATTATTCTTTTGCTTTGATATTATATTTTATAACACCAAATTAGATTAGATTCCTAATACTATTTACTGATATTTTATTATTATAAAAATAAAAGGTAATTTTTTTCACAATTTAAAAACATAGGATTTAAAAGTGAAATTTATATTTTAATATTTATTTAAAGTAAGAAAGAATTTTTTCCAATTTTACTTTTTAAATGGTGAAAAATTTGGTGTTTTAGATTAATCAGTTTGCTCGTTATTAAGTAAATTGCTTTTTTGTTTTACTTTTTGCTTCGCTTTAGCTAAGTACTTAAAACCAAATTTAATAAATTGTTTACTTGATAAACGAAAAGTTTCTGATATCAAAGAACCTTAATTGAAGCCTTAAGAAGCTTCAATTTATTAAACTATGAAAATCGAATTAACTGAAAAAGGCTACTCTGATTTTAGGTTTTTAGGGAAAGGGGCACAAGGATTAGTCTTGTTAGCAAAAAATTAGAAAACTTAAATGAGATATGCAATCAAAGGGGTTTAAGTGAAAGATCTTTATGGAAATCTTTCCTATGGTATTTATAGTAAAGTGAAATAAGAAATAGATATACTCTAACAATGTAGAGGCTCTCCTTATGTAGTCAGCCTTTTAGACTCATTTGAAGGAAAATAGTTTGTCTACTTAGTTTTAAATGAATGTTAGGGTAAAAATACTTACATATCTGCTTTATCTTATTAAATTAAAATATAAATTTAAATAAATTATTCAACACATTTTAAAAAAATGTTTAATGCCTCATAGGAACTCTCACCGAAATCATAGAAAGGAACTAAAATAAAAGACTAAATGAAATATCAGCAATCAAATATGCTAAGGATATTACAGAAGGCCTTTACTACATTCACTCTAAGAACTGTCTTGTTAATGATCTGAAAATGGACAATATCTTAATTGACTATAATGGAAATGCAGTTGTTTGTAAATTATTGGCAAATATAACAATATTTTATACTCTATATAATAAATATTGCAGCTGATTTTGGATTAGCAGATAAACTGACTGATAAATCTGATTATTCATCCAATCAATATGTATTCATCAATCTTTTTACCCACACTAACAAAAAGTTTAATTTTTTCAAATTAAAAATTTTTAGATGGGAAACTTTATTTATCAAGCACCAGAATGCTATGATCCAACTGATAAAATCATAGGTAAGGTTTATTATGATGAATATTAAAAATTAGGGGTTAAAGTAAAACAAGAGCCAAGTAAAAGAGTAAATACTTTAGTTTAAAAATAATTATAATTATCTTATTTTTTGTAAATTAATTAATTAGAGCGAAGCATGCTCTTTAGGTATTAAATAAAATAAAAATATACTGGTTTCATTTAGTTAATTTAAAATATATAAATAGGATATATAATTTATTCTCTTGTCTAAGGAATAGATTTCTAATTAGTATTTAATAAGCATAGGCCATTGAATTATGATAGTGAGTTTTAAAATTTTGTTTATCGCAAATAGCTTAAACAACTTATTGATGAATTAACTTAATTTGTCCCAAAGAATAGATTGTCTATTAAAGAGGCTTTAATTATTTTAAAAGGAATTATTTGTTTTGAATTTTAGTTAGATGACATGCTTATTGAGATGATAGATATAGACACTCAACAGCTCGCTAGTTCATTCAAAAATGAAATTGAGTTCGTTTAGGATTTGTCAAATAAGTTTTATCCCATCATGTAAGAAGATTTTTTCAAATCTAGTGCTTTTTCTAAGTTTTTTTTAAGTAAAAACTAGCAGAACTTCATCTAGTTATTGAAAGAAGAACCTCAAAAAATAGTTTATGTAATTAATAAAAATTTAGGTCAAGTTATCCTTAATTTACTCAAAACAATTAATAAAAAAGGAGGCAAAAATAGCAGAATTATATCAAGCAAATATCATACTTAACGAAACTATTAGTTAATTAGAAGAAAAAACTAAAGTTTTATTAGAGAAATAGCAAAAGTAGGAAGAAATAAACAAAAATTATTTGTAATTACAAAAAAAATTTTTTTTCAAAACGAACTAAAAAAATATTATTTAAGTAGAATGTATTTACTTTTAATAATTTCGACACAACAAAATTCTTTACTTTGAATACTTAAAAGCAAAAAAAATTTTTTAAGCATTTTTTATTAATAAAAATAAACTACTTTTCATTAACATTAACATAATAACGAGTAATTTATTTTATTAATTTCGCATAAATAATCTTTCATTTAATATTAATTAAAAAGTTTTATCTTTCAATTACTTTAATTTTTAGATTATTTTTTTTTTCCTATTTTTAAATAATTATTTTAATTATGGATTTCCTTTTTAAAATAATCCAAATTTATTTTAGTAATTAATAAAGATGTAATTTTTCAAAATCAATTTACATGTTTTATTCAAAATTTTATTTAGATACTAAACATGAAATAAATATATTAGAAAATAATATTATAAATTAATTTTTATATTCTTTTAGAACATCATATTTATATTATAACTTAATTAACTATTACTCAACTTAAATTTTACAGCAAAATTAATTCTAATCTCTCATACATTCATTAAAATAACATTATAAATTTACTTAGTTTTTCAAAATATTAAATAATCTTTTTATCTCAAATACATGTCATTATTTTAAAAATAAAAATAGGTAATTAAAATTGATTATGATGAAAAAATAAATGTTTTTATCTTTAATATTAAAATTAGGTACTAATTCATATTTTAGATTTATTTTTGATGAATAATAAAACATTGAATTAACTTTTATATTAAAAATAGGGAGTAATTAATATTTTAGAATAATTTTAAATGAGAAAATAAATACTTAATTAACTTTCATATTCAAAATAGGCTGTAATTTATATTTTAGAATTATTTTTTATGAGAAAATAAATACTGAATTATTTTTTATATTCAAAATAGGAAGTAATTAATATTTTAGAATGATTTTTGATGAGAAAATAAATAAAAACTGAATTAACTTTTATATTCAAAATAGCTAGTAATTAATATTTTAGAATGATTTTTGATGAGAAATTAAATACTGAATTAACTTTCATATTCAAATTAGGAAGTAATTAATATATTAGAATAATTTTTGATGAAAAAATAAATACTGAATTAACTTTTATATCCAAAATAGGAAGTAATTAATATTTTAGAATGATTTTTAATGAGATAATAAATAATAATTAACTTTTGTATTTAAAATAGACAGTAATTAATATTTTAGAATGACTTTTGATGATAATAATACTTTCATATTCAAAATAGGAAGTAATTAATATTTTAGAATGATTTTTTATGATAAAAAAATATTGAATTAACTTTTATGTTAAAAATAGGGAGTAATTAATATTTTAGAATGATTTTAAATGAGAAAATAAATACTGAATTAACTTTCATATTCAAAATAGGCTGTAATTAATATTTTAGAATGATTTTTGATGAAAATAAATAATGAATTAATTTTTTATATTCAAAATAGTGAGTAATTAATATTTTAGAATAATTTTTGATGAGAAAATAAATAATGAATTTACTTTCATATTTAAAATAGTGAGTAATAAATATTTTAGAATGATTTTTGATGATAAAATAAATACTGAATTAACTTTCGTATTATAATTAGACTGTAATTAATATTATATAATTATTTTTGATGAGAAAATAAATACTGAATTTTCATATTCAAAATAGCTAGTAATTAATATTTTGGAATGATATTTAATGAGAAAATAAATATTGAATTAACTTTCATATTCAAAATAGTCAGTAATTAAAATTTTAGAGTGATTTTTGATGAGAAAATAAATAATAAATTAATTTTCATATTCGAAATAGCATGTAATAAATATTTTAGTATTATTTTTGACGAGAAAATAAAAACTGAATTAACTTTCATATTCAAAATAGACTGTAATTTATATTTTAGAATTATTTTTAATGAGAAAATAAAAACTGAATTAACTTTCATATTCAAATTAGAGTGTAATTAATATTTTAGAATTATTTTTAATGAGAAAATAAATACTGGATTATCTAAA